TTTTTAGGTTGCATGGTTGGTAACTCATGGTTGGTAGCACCATCACAGTACTTCAGCAAGAATTATATAATAATGGTCAAACATGATTGAAAGTTTGACCCATAGCAGTTTTCTGAGAATTCTAACCTGTTAAACGTATCTTTGATAATCTTAGATAATATTGGAGTTTCTCATTCCAGGACAGCTGAGATGGAACATCACTCTTATCTTGAACAATATCACTTTGTTCAACACTTGTATTAAGACCAATATTTAAACTTGAACTTGGTTTGGTGAATGTTTCCGTTGAGCTGATTGCTTCTTTAGTGCATTGAACAAGATAACGACATTGTAATTGATGCTGAAATATAAAAAATGTAAGATATGAATAATGGTCTTTCTATAAAATACCGCCAGGGGCACCGGTGAGAAGCAAGCATGGGAAAGCCGGAAAACCGGGTGATCGTTTTTGAAGTGTTTTGCAGTGTCTGGAGTTCATTTACATATTTCTCTGCAGCTGTGTAGATACATTTCAATATTTTAAAAAATAAAAACAGCTCACAAATCATCACAGGACCACAAATCCCACCTACCCAGCCCAAGGTATGTTTTGTGAGATCGGTCTGTCACACAGTTCACTTCTTAGGACGAGCACGTAAAACTATTCAACTGCTGGATAAAAAAATATACTTACATTAACAATGCATGGCCTAATCTTCCAACCTTGAGTGGAGTAATTACTTAAAACTCCACCTCCAATACCATACTTTCCCGTCTGAGGACGGTAACAGGAACACGTTTTTGTATTCTTGGAAAACGGTGTTTTTAAGCACTTCCATGGCACATAACTTCGTAGGAATGCCAAACGGCATTGTGTCTTTAACATAACGTTGTCGTCTTAGCGTTCATTCTTTTGAATTGTGAGAAAATAACACAAAATTGATGGTTTTCAAACTTAATTTCTTGTCAATTTCGTAACTATTTCGAAAGGACGGCCATTTGTGCCCGCAATAAGCATGCGGAAGTAGCAGAAACTTTATTTAGGAAGGAATAAAATGTGTTTTGTTGCAAATATTGCATCTGAAGGTTGAAAGGTTGAAAGATAACTCTCTGGAATTAAATATTGCAATGGGTAATAAAAGGAAAATGAAGGAACGAAGGGAAGAAAAATCCCTGGCAAATAAAGAAGCTTACACAAGAATGAACTTTTTGTATCAGGTAAAGAATTAATTGTGACAAAATCTACAGTAAGAGATTGACCAATCATAGCACAGCATAACTGTATAATTGTATATTCGTTTAGGCTTCCCAAACAGTTTTAATGGAGAATCCACAAAATGTAGAGCTTTCAAGATTTTATATCTTCACTATGAAAAATATTGGACAAAAATTGCTTTGTAAGATGTAGGTTCACGCACAGCTAACTTTACATTCTGGACTTCAGATGTTTTTTAAAAAATGACAATCACTTCATTTCTTGAATAGAGACCCATCCATTAAGAGAACAGTCTGCAAATATTGTCACTCAGTTCTTATTCCTGGTGTAACATCGACGGTCAGAGTTAGAGGTATTAAAATGCAACACTAAACAGCAATGTGCCTTATTTATGTTGTTATTTACCTATGGTGTATTCTATTTTAAACTTAGGGAAAAGAGAAAAACATGTGGTTGTAACATGCTTGGACTGCGGGACGTTAAAACGATTCAATACTCGTAAGAATTATCAACTGTGGTGTGAGCAACAAGAGAATGAAAACACACAGGAAGCAAAATAAAAATAGAAACTTTGTTGAAAAAAATCACCTCATTCTTTGGACAATATGCTCCCTAAATGAAGTTGTCAGTCCTTAAATATATAATTATATACTATTTACTTTATTTATTACCCTTCAAAATAGTTACCACATTATAAAAAATAAATGCCAAAATTATATTGTATTAGTTCAAAACCAAGTCTGCCATCTTAACTTCAGCATTTCAACTCTTTTATATAACAAAGTTTGATTGCAATGCTTCATAAGACAAACTAGTTTTTTACACACATGATTATTTTCATTCTTAATTTATCTCTTCACTTCTTCCACCCTGGTTCCATTTCATGTTGTTTTCTTCGTGAAGCTCAGAGCGGAAGAGAATATTCAGAATCTTGACTTGCCTGGTGATGGACCATCATTCAAAAACTCATGTCCAAGACCATTTTTACAATTTCCACATTTTATCTTATACGCATTATAACCTTCTTTGTGTTTAACAACACTATTGCTGTGAATGGTGTCTGAAAATGCAGGCCAAGGACTTGAATGAGAATATTTCTTCTCACTGCTGAATAATTCATGTCCACATTTTGAACATACATAAATACCTGAAAATTAGAAAAACACAGCATGAACGGCAATACAGTGATATTACTTACTTATATTACTTTCTTATATTCTCAAGTTATTTAATAACTAAACTTTGATATACAATATCCATATTATTGAACGAAAGTTATACCAACCATCAGCAAAATGATTTTTATATTTCTCTCCCCCTGACCAGCCACAGAAACTCATTATTTCCTTAAATCAAAAGCTTCAAATATATTGACGATCCTTCGTATGTCCTCTCAGAATAAAACCATTTGTCTTGGGCAAAATGAACGACTTTTAATGATACTTTATCAAGAAAATGTCATTTCCGACCACAAAAAAAACTTTGTTATTATTTTACGCAAGAATATGGTTAAACGTCATGTAATACAAAATTATACATAGCTTACAGTTGCTTACAGTAGAGTATGGTGACAGCAGGGCTGGTGACAGATATGGTAACCAGATGGTAAAGGGTATACTAGAACCACATTACAACAAGATCCGCTGTAGTCAGTCGCGACTCTGAACTACCTCTGAAAACAATTTGGTTTTTAAACCAAATACACAAAAATTTCCTATTTTACTCCGGACAAAGTGATATATTTCTGGCAATATAACGAAGTGAACTGTTTGCCATATTATTGTACCTGATAAAACAAGAAAACTAGTTTAATAACCGGCTGGCTTACGCATGCTTTAAATTAAAATGATTTCAAAACAAAGATAATTCATAAATATTTCATTAATACAGTAACATTAAGCACACACGCCTGAATAAATGCTCGAAAACTATGATCCGACATATCATATGTGTACGTAACGACAACACTGTAAAAGCATCTTATAAGATAATATAAACCGAGGTTCATGGACAACACGATGGGATGGAAATCTTGCACTTGGCATGACACGGAATTCAAACGACTGGTTAGCTCTACCTCCAAGTTATATCTCACAAATCTTATCGTTATTTGTGTTGTTAACATTCTGCTAACCATTTCAAATATTTGTTTAAATACAATCACAATTTTAGCCTATTTTAAATCAAAAGAATTGAAACAGAGAAAGTCCTATTTTCTAATAGCATTGCTGTCCTTTAATGACCTGACAATAGGAGTGTTGGGAACTCCTAGCGTTGTTGCATTGGCGGTGAAAACTTTAGTAAAAGATGATGAATGTACTGTCGATATTCTATTCGAGCTCACTGCCGGGAGTTTATCGGCTTTTTCCTTCTCAACATTATTTGTGCTGAACTTAGAGCGCTATTTGTGCATCGCTCATCCATTTTTTCATCGTAATCACATGACGAAACCTAAGCTGTTTGGAATGGTGAGCCTTCTATGGGCATCAGCATTATTACTTATCTTCTCAAGGTTATTCATAGACACTGTGATGAGATACACAAGAACCATTGTCATCATCATTATGGTTATTCTATCAGTGTCTATGTATATCTCAATATACCGAAATTCACGCAAGACGACACAGCTCTATCGTTCACAAAGGCATTTGAGAGCAAGCAGCACCCAAGATCTCAAACTGGCAAAATCTTGTGGAATCGTCGTGACCTGCACGATCATCTGTTTCACTCCATACGCTATGACAAGCTTCTTCAAACCCAAGGCTGACGATCTAGTCTTCGCAATGGCATCAGTTTGGGCGACCACCTTTGCCATGGCCGCGTCTTCCATCAATTCAATCATTTTCTTCTGGAGAAATAGAATCTTAAGGCATCGAGCAAAAAGAGTTCTGAAGTGCAGGGCTTAGCAATGACTAGGGTTTAACGAAAGAAAATAATTAAGTGGTCTTATAAACATACACTGCAATATACCAAATCTTGCCAGAGTCGAAACATTGCTTCTTGAATAAAGCTTCACTGAATTCGCGAGTCGCTTAATTCTTGGGAATGGTTTTGAAATAAAATAATTGAATAGCTGGTGAGAAAACGACAAGATGCATGCATGATTTAACACTAAAAGCAAGCAAAGAATTTTTTATGTTTGCAAAACGGAAACCTATATTTTTTCTTCATTTCTAACGTTATTTAATCAATGTCAAAAGTTACATTAATAATTAAGAACAAGCTTCAGAACTCGTATTGATTATCAGCTGCTTTGAGGGAAAAACGCTTTCCGATTATTATATCATAATTATTCTCTCTTGAATACCGGGAAATCAGTTATTAAAAGCACCCGGATTAATAAGTAGTGACGTCAAATGACGTAATTGCTTATGTTGTTTTTTTCCTTTTCCTTTTGGGATATTGCTGTTACTTTATTTACTTCAACCACGCTTCAACTTAATAACAAGTCTGATGATGCCTTTATGACGTAAGTCGCTTGCATGCTTTTCAGATATCATTAACGTACATCCGCCGGGCATATCAATGTGTAAAATTTTAGCAAAACTATCCCCGGCAAATACCCGGTTTGTAAGCGTGGTTTGAGACAACTGTTCCTGATTAAGGAGGCGTTTAATTCTGTGCAACTCTAGTCCATTTATAGCCGAGTCATTATAAACTAAACTAAACATAGCAAATTTTGATCATAAATACTGTCAAAGGCTGAGTATTTTCACTGAACTGCGACTTAACTTCAGAGCCTTCTTCAAACCTGATTTGGAAATTCTTCGTTTACAAAACTGCGTCTTTCAATCGCATCTCTGCAGATGTTTCCCCAATTTCATTCGTTATCTTCGGATTCTTAAGACAAGCAAGAAATAGTTTTAATTAAATAATTCCCGTTATAAAAGGTTTCAACATTTCCTAATATACATACTTGCAAATCTGATTTCTCAAATCGTTTCAGAGCATTTTCAGCCCAAAGCAATAATGGTACTCCATCCACTGGCATTTGTAGCCTCATTGGTTTGGTGTTGAGCAGACGAAGAACTCGAGACAGATCACGTATTAAAGCTCTAGGTTGCAAAAAACCATCTTCAATATACTCAGGAACTATGAAGAAACATCATGCACACTAAGTTATCACTACACTTACTTGTATTGTACGCCTTGATTTGTAGTCTTATCTTCCAACATATTCAATTTTTTCTTCACTTCATTAATCATCTTTAAAAACACTGGTGCATCTTCTCGCAAACTTTGAACTAATTTCTTAAAATCTTCGTCAGTCCAGGTGTTGTCAGCTGCTAGGAAAAAAGAGAACGTGTTCAAATACACACCTGGTTGGATGAACAAGTTTCAGTTTCGTAAACACAATAGAATCAAATGCTTGTTATTTTCTTTGCGCACAGCATCGGTTATCGAATCCCTCGAAAGCTTTCTAGAGTTTCTTAACTATATGGAAGGGCTTCTCTATACTAGTCAAGTATGGCTCATCTTTCCCGCAACAGCGTTACAAAAGAAAACCTGATCTAAATCAACTATCCAACACTTAACAAAAAGAGTAGACAACAAACCTGGCCGGTTATGTGAAAGTTGATCGTACTAAAAAAGAATAGAGTCGTGATTCAATAATTATCTTTGGGTTCACAAGGGTCTTTGCTAAAAACGTTGAAACTCCTCACAGGCAAGAGCTCGTACAAAGTTACAAACGCACCTCTCCCAAAATTTGTCTTATACTTGGCTTGTGTTTAAGGCTTGTCATTTGAAGACGTTCCTCTCCCTCATCATCGCGTTGAATGCAACTGGAATAAGATTAAATCAGTTTATATTTCCTGCGAACAGTTCTGACTGGACAGACTATAGACAGTAGGTTAAACTATGACATAATCTTTAAACGAAACTTACAAAAGACATTTGACTTTCTTGCGATAAGAAGGACAAAAAAGACAAAGTGACAGAAGCAACAGAATAATGAGAGTTGAGAGTACTACAACAAGGATTGTGTACAGAGATTTGAGCTTGCTTCGTCCCCTGAAACAAATTGTGAATAAATGAATGGTGAATTAATGATTCAGCATCAATTACCAAAATTAATTATATAATCAAAAGTTTCGATTATTTACAAATAGATATCGATTGTAGATTATCAGATTGATTTGATACGAACCTTTAATAACACACGTTCCGTTCTTACTGCGACTAAAACCACTCTTACACTCACAAGAACCTGTCGTTGCACAGATTTTCGTTGTGCTGCTGCATTCATTCGTAATGGAACATGCTGGAAGAGTAAAAAGTTTCATTTGATCAAACAACGTACAGTCAGAAAACGAATCCACATTAAAAACAAGCGTTTATGTCCCCGTCAACGTTATAAATACATCTGCATGTTGCTTTAGAAAGGAAAAATATCTAGTGATTAGTCAATGTAGTGACTATATCACTGTACAAATAAATCAAACTCACCAGCAGTGAAGGTATACAATCCAGTAAAAATACATAGACCAGACAAAATGAACACAAGAGAACTAACCATTACGAACCAAAAGCTAGTCTTTAAAACACATTTTAAAACTAGACACAGATAAGATAACACACTCGCGTATATCTTGGTTCAGACTTTGGATTCTATATTTGTACTTAAGAGACTATAAATATGGCTAATAGAAAATTATTATAGTTTTTGAATAAGTATTAACGAGATCAGCGTGGTATTAACATTAAACACAATGCTATCGCTCAGGGGGGTGCCACTCAAACGGAATCCAACTGTTGTGAATATGAGCCTGCAACGGTTTATAGTCAGTGGTGATGAGCAGTGGAGAGGTAAATTTTCTGATGTATTCGTGCATGACGTTAACCATTCATGTCTGAAACGTCATCACTAAAATCCATCAAACAAGATCCTCTTATATTTGTTCACTTTCAGCTAAAAAGCTTTCTCGAACTATACCATAAGTTATATTCGCCTCACCAAATCTCAAACGCTGAGGTTTTCGTTTTATTTGATCGGATTATCATCGTAATGTCAAGCACCATTTATTTCATTTTCCAACTGCAAAGTACGATGTCCTGTCAAGCGAGTCTGATCTAGTGTTAAACGAGGTACTAGACCTCACAATAACAACTTTCACACTCATTTCAAAGCCTGCAATGAGCAGACGTTGTCTCATTCTTCTTCTTTTTCTTTCCATTTTGGGTCTTTTTATGAATCTCTTCTTTGACGCTGTCCTGTAGTTGAGTAAAGAAACCGGAGGATGATGTCAGAGAAGAGTCTCGTTTCTTCTCGTCGACAATCGTGCTTGATTTGTCCTTCTTCAGAGACTCCAGAGCTTTCGCCTTGCCGTATTTATTCCCAAGACCTAGAAAGATGCATACGAAAGTCTTTGAAAAAGATGATAAGTAAATATTCATTATTTCCTTATTACCAGATAAGAGTCATCTTTTATCTCAAAGCGACCAAGTGAAAAGGGTAATAGAACCTAATCTATGCAAAGAATGAGTTTTTACCTGGATTAGTTTTCTCAATAACTTTTTGAAGTTTTGCTTTTTCTTTCGCTGCAAAGCGTTGTTTCCGCTTTTTCCCCCGCCGTTCACGATTTCGATCCTGCTTCGTCATCTCTCCCTGAGATTTCACTTCAGTTTTCTGTTTATCAAAGATTTCCTCAGGAGCCAGCAAAGCAGTTTCACTCACGTTCACTGGCGTACATTCTTCGATACTTATTGATGGCACGTTTGAGACGATATTCACTTCAGATTTGAGCTGAATTAAGATGAAACATCAAATATCAAAACACATCTCAATTTAAACACAAAAATCGTAAGCATACTAACCGGTTTAGGAGTAAAATGGAAGTTAGTTAAGGCATCCAATTTTGAAAAGAGAGACTTCATTAATTTCTCAATTTCTTGATGTTCTTCATTCTCTTGTTCTACTTCAGGATTCTCAAAAATCAAATAAACACATGATTGAAATTTTAAAAACGAAAGCCTAGATCTTTTCTCATCAGTGGGAGTGAACTGGCATAAAATGCATTATTACACCTTCATGAACTACCTGTTGTTGAAGATATTCTTTTTCATAGATTTCACTGAGACTCATTTTACTTTTTTCTTGATTAAGAGGCTGAGGTTTTTTATATTCATAAGGTTCTTTCACTGGCTTTTGTTTCCTCTCAACATCATCCCAAGCCTAAGATAACAGATGTACAGTAATGCTCCTTTCATCAAATGTTTGAGATGTTAAATACAGAATACATTAAATTGTACTGGAGGAAATCCAGAGATCCTGGAGAGATCAGGAGATCCGGGAAAGATTAAGAGATCCTGGAGAGACTAAGAGATCCTGGAGAGAATAAGAGATCCTGGAGAGATTAAGAGATCCTGGAGAGATTAAGAGATTCTGGAGAGATTAAGAGATCCTGGAGAGATTAAGAGATCCTAAAGAGATTAAGGAGATCCTGGAGAGATCAAGAGATGCTGGAAAGATCAAGAGATCCCAGTGAATTATAAAACAGTAAACACTACTTACACCATCTTTAATTCTCTGTATAATAATTTCTTCAAGCGTTTTACTTGTCTCCTCAGTGATTACAGGAGCTACAAATAAAAGGAAAATATTATTTATCTCTTGCATCTACTGGTGTTAGAGACAGAAAGAAGCAATCTTACCACCAGCAGTTGTATGATCAAACTGCAAGACTTCCTCTAAAAGGCTGTTTGAGGGTCGAGCAGAAGCTGATATCTCTCCTGTGAGTTGCCACGACTTTGCAGCAACATTGCTATCCTCTAATGCTGTAATTTGTTTCTTCACCTTTTGGGAAAAACATGAATAATTTCTAGTCATCTAGAGGCTGTCATGATTGGGCTGACTCACAACATACAAGCAGTGAAATATCTTACCCTTTCTTGTTGTTTTTCCAATGTTGATTTGGTACCAATATCATCATCAGGTAGAACTAAAGCACTGGAAATTTCTTCTGTCTCTTCATAGTCACTACTATCCTTATCTTGAAAATCATCATCCACACTTTCATCACTCTTCTGATCATTACCTATCTTTTCTTCAGTCAGATCATCAGGAATGTCAAAATAATCGGAATACATCACACTTTGAGAAACATTTCTAGACAAAAAAGAAAACATTACATTCTGTTTTAGACAAGGGACATCTGAAAGTTGCATAAGTTTAATATACCATGTACTTACTTTTCAACAAAATTTGATGTGCCATCCCCTTTATTTAAATCCGTGAAATAATCAATATTTTCATCATCATCACTCCCATCTGAAGAAGCGTCATCTCTGGCATGCTTGCTTTCAAGAAACCTCTCCATTTCGGCCAACTTAAAGAACTGATCATCCACAATGGAACCTTTGAAACTGGTTTTCTTGGGTTTCGATCTTTTTTCAATACTTTTTGCCATCTCTTCATCAGTATTTTCCTCCAGCAGGCTATCAGCATGATTATTTCCACAAGAACTTGACTCAGCCAAATCAGCAGGAATTTCATTTTTATCCAACGTGATCACGTCACTTTCCTTACTCCTACTACATTCTTCATCATTTAAATGCAAATAAATCTCCTTCTTAAGAAGACGTTTGAATCCAGTCTTTATTTCTTGTATCAAAGATTTATTCTGAAGTTGAATTTGTTGCCATATCACCTCATCGTCGAAGTTCATTGGATCCAGTTGTAAACTTTCGAAAGGACAAGTCTCTATCTTTCGTCCACAAATCACCTCGTCTATCTTGTTGTAATTGAAGAGTTCCCGTAAAACAGACAATATCACAGCACTATGTTTCTTATCATAAGTTATAAAACGCTCGAGATTATCTTCAATATTCGTCAGGGACTTACCAAGGGAGGTTAGTTCATCACTGGAAGCTAAATCTTGGATTTTCACGTTGGCGGCCATATTGGATTCCGGAAGGTCCAGTGAACCACTGAGCTATATAATATATCCTGGATAGCTCACTGCAGTGAACTGAACTGAATAGAAGTGGATGCATTTTTTGCCCCCCCCCTTGCAACTGTGAGACAGAGAACAGTTGCCCCTGAATTTTAACACAATAAGGCAGTGTTCTGGGATTTTAACCCAGAGGCCAAACATAAAAGCACTTTTTAAAGAAAAAATATAATTCACTATAGATCTTTGTTTGGCCCCAGACATGGACACTGTTTTTTGCCAAACATGAAATGGAGGGAAACCGGAGTTCCCGGAGAAAAACCCTCGTGACCACAACATGAAATCCGGATCTCAAGTTAACTGGTCTGGTCCGACATTTTGGTATTTTTAGTTGGAAATTCCGCAATAATTAATTGGGGCAGGTTTGCCAGTTATTTTTGTTCTTGTATTTTACCAATTTTTGGAGATAATCTGGCAACCATGTGGACTATTTTTAACGGCATTACATTTATACATTATCAATGTTTTTCATCTGACCAATCTTTAAAAATTGCCACACAATTTTTAAGGGTTCGTCAAATGATCCTGGTGGTCTGAAACATGCGCTTAGATTTATTTAAAACAAACATGCCTAAGGCAATGGCATAAAAAATTTACCTATAGGTAATGGGGATTTTGGTAATATGACCCATCGTTATACTGAAACCTGGCCAAAGTGAAATTGCATTCATCTATTCAAACTGGTTTTGCAAGTCCTTGGCTTATTCATATATCATCATCAAATCCATCGTTATAAAACCTAAAGTGATATTCCTATTAATTAATCTATTGAGATCAGTTGCAATAGCGTGTTCAGGTCTATATTACTACATAGAGATCAGATGCGGAAATAACAGCGTGTCATCCAGTGATCATATTGAGATCAGGGCCAAAAAAAATCGAGCGCGTATAGCCCACTCACTAGACACTAGTCAAATATAGCTGGTATTTAGAGATCAGTTGCAAAAAAGACTCAACATAATTAAACTTGGAAATCAAAATACTACATAGAGATCAGAACAATTGTAGGCGAAGTCAAATTACTCTCTATTACGTCGCTTATTTTTCAAGCAATATTTCGTATACAAGTAATCAAAAAAACACTAAAGACAACTCCTTTCAAAAACGAGAACAAATTTCTTGAAGTCCAGAGTCCCAATTTAGAAGAATTACGGTGATATTTCAACATAATAATATATAATAATAATTAATAATAGATAATTACTCCATGCACAAATTTACTCTAATTAACGTTCATCCTTAATTAATAAACTTTATTCTATTCAAGATTCGAATTTATTCTAACCATCAAAATATCAACCTATGCTATTTTCATGCTTTCCCACAAGCTTCGAAAATAAAAATTGATAAATAGAAATTTATTAAAGTCACAGCTTTCAAGGTACACTCCTATAGATTCGAAGTAAAAAAATCCTTATAATAGAACATAGCTAAACTAAACTATTACTATTCACTATCCTATCAAAACTAAACTAATCTGCTGTCTATACCGGCCGGTAATATTTAACTAAACTTGCTAACTATTTGGCAAATATTTTTACTTGATAAATAAAAAAAAAAATAAAAAATAATTATAATAATATACTACATTTATAACTTATTCAACTGGTTTTGCAAGCCCTTAAGGCCAATTTCCCTAATTAGAGCAAAGTAATTTATGTTGTGGCATGCATAACAAAATATTTTTCAGCTAATTTTTGATCTTATACATGTATGAATACGACCTATAATCATGCTATATATGCAAATATTTTTACCATCACATGCACCTACCCTAATTAGAGCAATGTATTTTATGTTGCATGCATAAACAAAATATTTTTACACCTATTTCTTGATCTTATACATGGAAGAATACGGTCGTCTATAATCATGCTATTACTCAGGCAATCATTTTTAACGTCACATGCACTTAGAAAGTCAATTACCCTAATTTAAGAGCAATGTATTTCATGTTAAATTGTGGCATGCACAGCCGAAATATTTCACAGCTAATTTTGGATCTGATACCTGTTAAAATATATCAACAACCTATAATTGATCATGCTATTATTTTGGCAACTATATTTTTATTTGCACATGCACTCACAGAAATCAATGTTATGGCATGCATTACCTCAATATTTTGTTGCAAATTTTTGATGCCAATGCCTTAGGTGCAAACAAACTCATACAATCATATATGCATACCTGGTTCTTGTTCACAGTTACCTTTGTACGAATTCCATTCTTCAAGTTGAGTTCATGCTTCATCATTTTTAGACACACTACTGGCTACTTAATTTAGTAATATCATGCATTTCACCAATTGCATTACACATTAAGTGATAAAACAGGAACATGCATTTTCAAAGAATCAAACATGCTGTATACATTAATTTGCTCTGCATGCAATCCGAAATTTTGACTTATTATCATTGTCAAAGTATGAAATCAGAATTTCACTTAATGTCTAACACATTCAGTGCAGACCACCAGGAAAACAAGCATGCACAGACACCCAGGATAGAATGCAAGAAAACTGAATAATACTACCCATCAAACCTGTCTTCAGTCCATCATCATCTGTCATCGGGCAGTCCATCGGCATCTGTCATCGGGTGGTCCATCATCATCTTTCATCGGGTGGTCCATCGTCATCTGTCATCGGGTGGTCCATCATCATCTGTCATCGGGTGGTCCATCATCATCTGCATCAAGTGGTCCATCATCATCTGAAATGATACATTTCTTAACATCTGAAATGATATGAAACAAAATCACCTATGGTATGTTACCTGCATGAGCTCCACCAACATCATCTTCACCACGACGCTCATTGTACATGCGAATACAAAATTTTCATGCATTTTCTAAATTACATGCAAATTTGGAGAGATTTATTAAACACATGCATTCATTCGAAAATGGGATAGACATTTAACACTCGACCATTATATCTTAAGATCATTTCAACATGCATTTGTTTTTTGTGCTCCAAGAGCAATATTTGCCTATGCCAGACTAGGTCAGTCGAGCATACAGAAAGTATAAATGACCCGGGCCCCTGATCACTTATACTTACTCATTACTCCTGACAAAACATGCAAGATATAACCAAGGGTTGGGATCTGAACTGCATGCAATCCAAAAATTGAAAATTAAAAACAGAGGAGCCTCAAATGTCTGGGAAATTGGGAATATCATAAAATGTGTGGTTTGATTTGATTTCATAAAATGTGTGGTTTGAATTTAAATTTAGATTTTGTATTTGCATGCAAAATGGTAACATTTCTCCATCACAACTAAAATGAATAAACGAAAGAGCGATAAGTATAAGCACAATATCTACATGCCTATCAATCCATACTTCTGATGGTAGTATATGTTTATACAGGATTATTTAGGGTGTTCTAATAAATACTCCCAGTTTCAAGTAGGAATACTACAATAGTGTTTCTATGTTGGTTTATTGTATTCGTTTCAAATCAGAAAATAGATTTGGTATACCACTCAAATTACAGGACATATATAATATAATATACCAGGACATTTCAATGGTACGTTGTGGAAACACAGTAAAAATCATCGAGGCATGTCCAGGCATGAAGAGTGATGTCAGGTTAGATCTGAAATCCGGTGATGTGATTGATTTGCGAAAAAATTTGTCGCGAAAAAGTAGAATGGTTTCCTACTTTTTATCTGTTCACGGGAATTAATTTGCCTCGTGGAAAACACTTAAATTATTGAAATACAGACTTCACTACGATTTGCAAATACTGACAATGAACTTGAAAAATACACACTTGTTGATTATTAACTTTTAGCCTTGTTAAATAAGCCCCTTTTTGATTAGGCGCATGTCATTTGGGGCTTTTAAACGCCTATTTTTCACCTTTTTAACACACCAAGTAAATTTTAGTTAAATATTCTTAATCTAATTTGCCTTTACTGAACACCGGCATGCAAATGGCACAAAGCACATGCGAACTCACATTTTTACGGGATCAAAGAGCACAATGATTACGAATGCACAAAATCAAACACATTTATTCATCAGTATAAACATAATATATCAATTCCTTATTGCAGTGGTATCAGTTGAAAACATCTATTATCTATCGTATAGCTATAAATGCCTCGAGCTCAAAGACCTCGATTTGAAAAAAGACGGCGAGCGGCGAGATCTATAAACAGTAAGAAGCCCCGCATGGCGGCCCCAATACACCAAAAAATACTTGATTCTTCTGCAAATTGATACGAATACTTAGGCAGAACTACTTTATCTTTGCTTACAATATAAGAAAGCGTGAAAAACTAAGCAATTATATGCTCTAAAAGTTAAACGGCGGCGACTAAAAGTCTACACTGACAGTGTAAAAGAACACCGGCGTCGCAAAAACACGCACATGGAAATTCGCTAGAAACGCTGAAAATTTCAGTGGACCTAATTCTTCTTCAAATTGATACGAATACTGAGGCAGAACTACTTTATCTTTACTTACAATATAAGAAAGCTTGAAAAACTAAAGAATATGCTCTAAAAGTTAAACGGTGGCGACTACAAGTCTACAACAGTTGAAAAAGGAACACCAGCGTCGAAAAAACACGCACATATCAAATATCATGAAAATTCGCTAGAAACGCTGAAAATTTTGACCTTATTCTTCTGTAAATTGATACGAATACTCAGGCAGAACTACTTTATCTTTGCTTACAATATAAGAAAGCTTGAAAAACTAAACAATATGTTCTAAAAATTAAACGGCGGCGACTACAACACTCAACAGTTTAACTGAAAAAGAACACCGGCGTCGCAAACACGCACATGAAAATTCACTAGAAACGCTGAAAATTTTGACCTTATTCTTCTGTAAATTGATACGAATACTACAGCAGAACTACTCTACTTTGCTTACAATATAACAAAGCTTCAAAAACTAAACATGCTCTAAAAGTTAAGCGGCGGCGAATACAACAGTTGAAAAGGACACCGGCGTCGCAAACACGCACATGCATGGAAACTCGTTAGAAAAGCTGAAAATTTGGACCTAATTCTTCTGTAAATTGATACGAATACTCAGGCAGAACAACTTTATCTTTGCTTACAATATAAGAAAGCTTGAAAAACTAAACAATATGATCTAAAAATTAAACGGCGGCGACTACAAGTCTACAACAGTTTAAAAAAGAACAACAGCGTCGTATAAAAATCGCACATAGAAACTAGAAACGCTGAAAATTTGGACGTAATTATTCTGTAAATTGATACGAATACTACAGCAGAACTACTTTATCTTTGCTTACAATATAAGAAAGCTTCAAAAACTAAACAATTTCCTCTAAAAGTTAAGCGGCGGCGACTACGAGTTGGAAAGGACACCGGCGTCGCAAACACGCACGGATGAAAACTCGCTAGAAATGCTGAAAATTTGGACCTAATTCTTCTGCAAATTAGTAGAAATCGCTACGAATACTATGCTGAAGCTATTCTAGCTTTGCTTACAACAAAGGAAATTTAAAAAATCAAAACAATATGCCTCTAAACGGTGGCGCCTACCAATCATAGTGTGAAGACACGTGCAAGCGAAACGCACTTAAATACGTTGAAAAATTGAACTTAATTTTCAGCACTTAATAATTGACACTTATTGACTTAATCATTTAACTAATTGTTACGAATACTAAAGGCAGAACCATTCTAGCTTATTCTAGCTTGGCTAATAAACGTTTTAGTTCAATAACTAACAGAAAAAAACACAATTAATACATACTTTACAATTCACGACCATTGAATCCAGCTTTCGTCGACGGATTTCGGCCTAAAAAGAAAACAAAAAAGTGTTTAATAACTATGCAAATATTTAAAACATTGTTTGAATAACATCTTCGATCTTTTTATGCAGAGTATTCAGAGATATACACACCTTGCAACGAGGAGCGAATTTCCTTGCCACCGCATCGTCCACATGGTCTTGAAAACTGACTGTCAATCACTCAATCTGTCAAAAACTGTCTCATGTCTGAAACTGCGACTTGTGATTGGCCAATTTGGTCACACGTCATTCTTTGCCCACAATGCAATAGACCACTGACCTGTATTTATTATGGACCAGTGAATTCAATTCTTTGCTGGACTATAAAATGTTTTTGAGTGGAATAATCTCATATCTTTATTTCACGGTTTTATAGTTTTTGCAACCTAAAACGGAAAAAATATGAGCAAATGCTTGATAAATCTCGCAAAAATAGGTGCTCAGACGGATCTGAAATAGCCTCACTGCCCCTATGACTGGCCCCTACCACTGAGCTATATAAAAATTCCTGGAGGACTTGCTCACTGGCCAAATCATCCCCAGTCCTCAAGCCTCAGATTTAAGAAAGTGACACGTGATATGACCTCTACACACGGTTGCTTGTGATTGGTCAAGCCGCAGTTCCTAGTTTCAGGCCTGTGTAAGCGCGCGTGCGACCAGAAAGGGTGAAACACGCAACACGCGTGGTGTAAACAATAGAAAATTATGGCCAAAAGTATTGTTTATATGCCTTGGCCTCCGAATTTTTGCTGAATTTACTCGATATACTGGACTTTCTTCTCTATTTTTCGCATGCCATGGCAATGTTGGGTTGTACCTTTATTTCATAGCCACAAAAGATCGATTATTTTCATAAAAATCCTTCGTAAACAGCAAGACTTTGATGATTTGTTGAAAAGCGAAATCCATGACAACACGATCTAATACAGCGTTTACAAACGACCAAATGAAAGATGCGCTAAGATTAGCCAAAGGCCTGTTTGAGTCCAAAGGTATGATGCATTTTAGGCTATTTCTTAAGGCATGACATAAATAAACACATCCATCATCTAGGGAAGAAATTATCTTGTAAGAGTAAATCTGAGGATCTGAGTTCATGCTCAGTTAATTGTGGCTTAATCTACCAATTCTCTATGTAGTGCTGGTTAAGCGACCTCCCACCACTGCTCAGAGGGCAACCTACAACACCAGTCGGCCTCAAAGCGTACCAAAGTCATCATCACATCGGACCAAGAAACTAAAGCCGAACAAGTCTGAAAACCAGCTGGTCAATCCAGTTTGGCGACCTTTCAGTCAGGATAAATCATTAAGTCAGGCTCGAAAAGAGATCATTTATGGCAAGAGACCCTTGATAAGGAATGTTGACAAAGAAGATCATGGAATCAATGACACAAAACCCAGGCAGGAAAATCTAGGATTAATACTGGACCCCTTTAGGAAGAACAGTTTGAGATAGCTAGACAGTTTTTTTTACCAATAGGTTGCCAAGAGGTATTGATTCAATGGAACCCTGGATGACTGACGAGAATCTTGAATCATGGTATGCAATATGGTTGCAAGGTATATCTAATAGGGCAAGATATTACCAGCTTTCTTGTGAATATTTCAATATAGGACTGGTATTCCTGCAAATGAAAACTGTTTTGTAATGTTACCAAGTGGATTTGCAGCTGATGTCAATTGTCTGCCACCTCCACAGAGCCCTACAGACACCTTGTTGGAAAGATCAGTTCAGGAAATTAAGGTGATGCAGTATTATTTGCAGTAGACTACCTAGTTATGGTTTGATGGCAGAAATTGACACTGGGAAAATCTTTTTAGGCATATGTTCCACCAAAAATTCTCCACCAATTATAACTACCTGGTAAGTACCAAAATATATTGGTTTGGCCATTAGTTCCACAAACCTTAACACAGTGCTATCATTCTTGAAGGAAAACGAAGATCAATCCTTTCAGTGTCAACATGGCCAGAAGCAACAGGGTAAACTTGAGTCCAGGTATAGAACAACAAAGAAGTTCATCTGATTAATAAGCTCCCCAAGATCAACTTCATTGACACAGATTGTGGCTTGCTGTCTTTTAGAGAAAACATGAAAAGATTAGAAACAAGTGAGATTATAATGCAAGAAATTGAAGAGCTTGAGCAACTGCTCCAAGGTAATGCAATGTGTGAAAATAATGTAGGAGGAATAGCCATTTATGTATTTCTATGTTTCAGGGTATGGTAATCCAAACAGTTCTTCCATTGTCAACCTTTATCAACATGAAATTACAACCCTTAAAGAGATGGTAGTCACAACATTACGGGACTATACCTTGTATGTGATATTATCCTCTTATACTGTGCCATTCTTTAATATTCCTTGATCAGTTCTTGAATGATTGCCACCAGACTATGACCTCAAATGCAATTCCTTTTTTTCTCTAGCAATGTAAACATACCAGAGGAAATGGCACCTGAAATTTTTCATGTCAGTAATTTTCATGGACATCTTAGCTCTTGTATGATGGCTTCATATCTAACCTGCAATGTCTCACACCTAGGGTGACTTATTTGAATTTCTGGCACATCATGACAAAACAATTGCTGCAATAAAGGAAAAGCGGGATGCATGTGTAAGGGAATTAGCAAGACTGGAAAAAGAACTTGTCCAAAGTAAATAAACCAAAGCCAGGTATACAACTCTTTTTCCAATCAACATAACTAAACAACACACACTTGAGTACATAGTGATTTGAGTTAAGTTATTCCACAATATCAAATGTAATTGGAATGAAGGTTTTAATGTGAGAAAGGTCAAATGCAAGATTGCATAATTCTCTTCAATAACACAATTATAAATAGTTGTTTATATACATATTAAAAGACATCATTGCAGCACTGATTATTTCCAACATACTTCAGACTATTTAAGCTTTCGTCTTTTACGTGGTTTCTTTAACTTGGCATAACCCTTGCCATACCATCCTGCACCTAAATGTTCCCTATTGTCCCACTCTACTGCATCTTGTTCCAAATGTTTCACATCTTGTATCGAACAAGGGTTTGTCTCACCATTTAAATGCTCATTTGCCCTGCTTTCTAGAAGAACCTCAAAATTCTTTGTTGTTTTCGTGCAAAGTTCATGTTCCCGTAATGGTGTGCTCAGGCGAAATAATGGGTCATGTTTCCTGAAAAAGCAATTGTCCCATTTCAGAAAAGCCTCAATGGCAAAACATTTGGCAAGAAAGAGGGTCTTGAGCTGATAATGGAGAAAGACAGAGCAGTTAATGGAGCCCAATTGACATTATTCACCTTTTATAACCTGGAATATCCAGGCCAAGCTTTGCCATGACCAATTGCATGATATCATCACAGCGACCATTAATTTTCAAAGTTGCAGATGTATCTTTTGGAGTCCACTAGTGGAAAAATAAAATTTTGAAATTTGAACAACTAGTATATGAGGAAATGCACTAAATAAACCCTATTTGTACTTTGATTAGGGGTAAACTGTTTGCTACATTTGCTACCATGAAATTATGAACCAATAGTAATTTTTGTACCTGTAAATTAACAATGTATAGCTGTGGTCTTCTTGCCTTTGTTCTTGTCATCCCCCAGAGAGAATTATACCTCTTTAAAACCTTAAATTATAATATTTTTATGTATATATCGAAGTCTATTAAAGAAATGATAGAATGTAAAGTGTGAATAAAGATATTTTATCTAATTCTTATACAGATTGGGTTAATTTATTTACTTTGAGACTTGAACCAAGACAAACAATACAATCAGTTGCTTTTCCTGCATCAATGGCACCCTGCCAATTCAGTGGCCACTCCAAACATCCTTTCTCACCAAAATGTACAATTGTGTCTCGTAGTTTTCCTCCACAAATATGACACATTCGACCAGTGTTGTGGCGACGTAATGCTGTTTTTTCTGTCACATCGAACGTTCGAACATAAGCTCTCTCTGGTTCACACTCGGTACACACCTGGAGAAATAAATTATTGTTAGTTATATTTACAAAACAGATTACACAGTTTTTATAAGACATAGATATACTTCAGGTTCTTGGATGAAGAAGAGCCTGATATATCATCCTTGGTGTATTGAGGGCTTCTCAGCATGCAACAATGATCTATATCGAAAGCCTAAACTAACCTCAATATACATATTGCCATGAACTTCAGACAGCGCTTCACTTGGCAAGCCACTACGAAGGTGGAGGCCATCACAGTTCTGTGATACAACATGTTTCACCTTAGAAATAAGAAAATTATATATAGACACTATAGAGTTAAATTTTTCAAGGCACAAGCAATTGACTGGTAGTAAAAATGAAGACATATTCATGAGTCCTCCTGACATACATGTCGTTCCTGATAAAGTTTCAAAATGCTCATGTGCGTTAAGGTTGGCTCTGCATCAGAAAGATTGGTGCAGTTTCTAAATAAAATGGAAAATATAGCAGAACAAAGCATACATTAATAGCTTAATAATATTGATTTTTTTGAAATAAAGGTTTCATAAATTAAAGACAATTTGAGCTAATGGTTGGTACCAGACACTCATAATTTATTAAAAACATGTCTTTATTCTTTGTTGTAAATAAATTCAAGTTTAAATACTTTTAAAATACAGCAATGCTTCCTTACTTTATTGACTCTCCCTTTGAAAGTTTTGTCCAAATTCCATTTGGACCCCTGTAAGAAAATTAAACACAGCTGTAATTTTATAGTTTTAATTAACTAATTGTTTTAATTTTTTCCATTTTAACCTATAGAATTCTTCTATCTTTAATTTATAAATATATTTTTATTTTTAAAGGTGAAATATTCTTACCGATAATCTGGAATAGAAGCTGCCTAAAACGATAAATAATAATAGTGAAATATTAAGAAGCGTACATACTTTTCAATATTCGTGTAGGTTCAATTACTTTCATTTTTTCAAACCAATATATTGGAGAGTATTGAATATCACTTATTTCAACTAGCATTATGAAAAATTAACAGTGATATATTATAAAACAAGACTGTTTTAAACCGGGAATACTTTAAAGAAGTATTTATAAAATGTTTTAAAATATTTATTTTACCGTACTGACACCAGCACCAGTGTAAACAACTACAAAATTCGCTTCCTTGATGGCATTTGCCAGCTGCGTTGCCTTTGCAACAAGTTCTTCTGGAGAATCGCAGACCTTAAGAAGAAAAATATATAGTATTATTAACAAATCCTTTCTCGAAATAATTAGGAAATGCTAAAAATCAACCTCAATTTTACGGGCTTTGGCATTCGCCTGTTTGATCGCTCTTCGTTCAATTTCTTGCACCATTTCAGGCGACTCTCGCAAGATATTCAGCTCTTCTTGGCTGCATTCATCAGTTCCTTTTTGTAAGATTGATTTTATTTGTTTCAACCTTGCCTGAAGCTCGTCATTTACTAGAGAACTTCCACGTTTGACAGTACACTTTCTTGTCAAACCTTCTCGACTGGTCGCCATCTTGTAAACACATCACATCAGTAATTACGCAATCCTAATCGCTGATCCTAATCTGATCGCCTCTCATGCTTAATCCATGGGAAAAGCTGAAACACCATTGGCTGAGAATAGTGTGCTGCTATTAGGTAAGCATACTGCGTTACTATTGGTTAAAAACAGTCTGGTAGGAATACTGTGATGTTATTGGCTGAAATACTATGTTATGATTGGCTGAGATCAATGTGAGGCTATTTAAGTGAGAGTAGAGAATTTGTAACTCAAGAGAGCGTTCCTTTTGATCGGATTTTGAATTATTTTTTTAATTCTAAATTTGTTGTATTTAAATATTTAATTTTCCATTTATGGGGCAAATTTTGACGCTGATTGTTAGGAGAAATTATTTAATCGACTTCATGCGCTAAATTCAAAAGAGTTCTGTTCTCCACAATCTTTTCTCGCGGTTTTCCTGTCTGCAAACCAAGCTCTTGTTCGTGTTTATCGATACGTTCCCATTGTTTAAACGATACTGGTTTTATCCCTGAAATACACAAGAGTTAGAGCTGAATGGTTAGGCAACTGGTATTTTCTTAGCACAACTATTTAAACACAACGAATCCAAAATACCTCGGGATTCCAAGAGGTGATTTACAGCAAAGAAACCTTTATCTTTCTCAGTGATTCTTGGAAACTTCCCTGTGATATTCAGAGAAGTATTGAAACAACTACATCGTTGGGAACAATTCAATTACATGATTTCCAAGACTTGATTCAGTCACAAAAGCTCGCTACCTTGTTTCAAATCGCTGACGACAATCTTAGCTGTTGCTCTGCCTTCGTTTAATGTACTCAGGATAACTCCGGTGGGGCCAGTCCTTACCCAACCACAGCAGTAAACACCTGAACAAAATAATAGCAAGAAGCTTTGTTTAGTTGAATTGATTGAATTACGATGGGTTTATAAACCAACGTTATCTTTTACAAACACTGTTAAATGGCTAATCCAAATAAGACAATGTCATCGTTCCAACATGTTTAACAATACCTCATTTTCATGAAGAATTGAACGGAGTGAAAGGCTTGCAATAGCTCTGTTAAAAGCGACCATTCACGAACCTGGTAATCCAGAGACATGACCATCATTCGATTCACAAGATACCACTCCACCATCAAATGGTATTTCGTCGTCAATAACGACACTTCGGTAACCAATACTTCGGAATATCTGTAGAAAAAAATGAAGAATTGAGATGGATTCAAGCTGTGCTTCTCATGATCCCATTGAGTTTAAAAACAGTCGCTTACCAGACCACAGTTCAAAGTTTCTATCTTTCCACTGCCATTGGCTTTCACTGTTCCATCTGGCATCTATGAAGAACATAAAAAATCTCAAACGTCGTGATCTAGTGTAGGTAGTATTCTACAATAAGCTGTCATGGTTTGTGTCTGAACTACCTGAGAAAGATATCTCAAACGTGGTGGTCTAGTGTAGGTAGTATTCTACAATAAGCTATCGTGGTTTGTGTCTGAACTGAACGTAAAAATCCCGTTGTCTACTTTAGGAATGCAATACCTCTTTTAAATTATTTATTTCGAATTTAATCCCCGAAACTCTTCCAGAATCACTACTCATAATCTCAACAGGACTTCGACGGAACAGCAATTTAAACTCTTTTGTAGTCTCCGACATTGTATCGTCAGGTTGAGAGGTATTTCTGATACGAAAACAAAATAAAATCCTTTTAGGAAAATCGTGCAAAGTTATCTGATCTAAAAACAACATCTCAAACTTACAATGCTGTGTTGCAGAGAAGCTCAAACAACCTCTTTTTCTGGCGCGGGATTTCTATCGGAAAAGACGTAAAACTTGGTTTTCTAATAGTCATTTGAGAGTAAGATCGAAAAACTGGGTAAAAAGAAAACTCTCAAACGATTTACCTGAAATCATTTCTCGTATGGGTTGAAAATCTTCCGGAGAGAAAACGGAGCGACATCCAGGTAATTTTGTCATTTCACGCAGTTCTTTGATTGTGAAAGATATCTGAAAGACGGACATTTTCCAGTGAATGGAAAGTGATCATTTCCTTTAGTGAAGCGAAAATAAAACAGTCGATTGTAAAATGATATTACGACGAACCTGTAAAGGACCTCTTCTGCCAACGACGTAAACTCGCTTCACTTTGCTTTTTCGGATCAGGTCCAAAGCGTGCTCACATATATCCGTTTTCTACAGCAAAAATAGATCGAACTGCTGTAGATGAATTTGGTTTGGGAACAACAGTAAAAAATATTAGTTAAATTTGGCAAAGTGGGTTTGAATGCAGGCCAGTCATACCAATCATAGATCTATAATTCTTTCTACTGAGTGTCTAACTTTGAAGACTACTGAATTACCTCCAACATTTCAACTGGTTTTAATAAAATCCTTGCAACATCTAAAGCCACATTTCCTTGACCAATTATGACAGCAGTCTCAGAACTAAGATCTGGCTTTAACTTGAGAAAACAAAGAAATGATAAGTGCCCTTAATTATTTCTCTTTGAGAATAGAAAAATTGAGGAAATCTAATGAAGACTTACGTCACTACTTGCTGGTAAACCATTATACCATTCCACAAAATGTCTAGCTGAATAAACACCATGATGTTCCTATCAGAGAAGAAAATATGTTTGGAACAACTAGCAAATTGAAGAAATCTGGAAAAGCTGTTTGTATACCTCGCCTGGAACTTGAAGTTTTCTGTCGTTTTCCGCACCATAGCACTTAAAACAAATATAAGCTATAGTTTCAAAGATAAATTCTAGCAGCGAGGGGCATTGGATGTCCAAAATTAAACAAAATTATAATGATATAACTAAATTAGATTAGAATTACCAAAATAACAACATCATAAGCAGCCTTTAATTCACCTAAAGACACATCTTTCCCGATGTGAACATTGCCCACAAATCTGCATCTCTCATTCTTTGCTGTTGTTGTAAATTGATTGATACAATTCTGGTGAAGTGACAAATGAAATACAGATGAATAGTGATTAAGTCAATTCTACTTGCAAAGATGGTTGACATTAAGATAATATGAAGTGTCTAAAATTAGAAAATGTGTTCATGATTGGCGGAACTAGAACTAACCTTTGTCTCAGGGTGATCAGGAGCAACGCCAAATCTAACCAGACCAAATGGTACGGGCAATTTGTCATAAATGTCAACAGATAGATTCTCGTGCAACTAAAAATGATGGTAAATTAAAACTAGTCATATTTAGATTAAGATTGGATTTGTCCTAGAGAGTCAGTCACAAGTTGCATCCTCATATAACCAGTCATGATAGAAAAAGTTTAGGTCTGCCATGGTACATCCCTGGTGACCAAAGTCAATCTATGGAGAAGAAATCCAGGACTGATTGCCTAATACCATACCTACAACATATACTACCTTTAACAAATATTGTGAAGTGTAAAATCCTGCAGGGCCACTTCCAACAATACAGACAGCAGGCCTCTCATTCCTGTCTGTTGTGAATGATCTTTTCCGGCAAACACTTCTGGAATAATTAATGTGTCGTCGAAACAAACCACCATGTCTTGTGAGTGGTCTTAAAAGCTGGTATTGAAACTGAACCATCGATATTCATAGGTTTTAGTCAGATCTTAGAGAGCCTTTACTTGCAGATTTCTACCACAATAGTTGCATTAAATAATATTATATTTGATAAAACTGTTAAATAATATAAAGAGGAATTGTTGAAGTGATGGAGCTTTGGATTATGGTTTGAATTAGGATTAAGAAGTGGATTAAATACTGACCTGTAAGTCATCTCTTCATCTTCATCATACACGCTGGAGTGACATCAAATATGGCGGAAAGTGAGGGAATTTCGAAATCTGAAGAGAAACAATGTTTAAAACCTGTTTGTATAATAACTTTAGGCATGGCAGGGTCGGGAAAGACTACCTTTGTACAGGTTCGTATATATATGTTATACCTTTGTATATGTGGGCGTTTTGATGTCGACATTTGACTGATTTGAGCTCTCTCTACAACATTTGAACCAACTCTTCATGAAAACAGAAAACTTGAAGCTTTATGATCTATAATCTGACAATTTAAAGACCTTCCTGTATGGCATGGAAAGTCTGTCAAATTAGTGATGAAACAACGCCATGAGTAGTCGTATCTGAATTAATTTTGTAGCGAATCAATGCTCATCTTCATGCCAAGAAAACACCACCCTACATTGTCAACCTTGATCCAGCTGTTTATGAAGTTCCATATCCAACAAACATCGACATTCGAGACACAATAAAATATAAAGAAGTTATGAAACAATACAGTATGGGTCCAAACGGAGGGATTATGACATCACTCAACATGTTTGCAACAAGATTTGGTCAAGTTATTGAATTTATTGCAAAAAGAGCTTCAGAATTCAAGTATAAAGAATACAGATTTTCTTTGGTTTTGCATCTAAATCAATCACCATCATATTTTTTCTTTTCTTCTTCAATTCTGTGTTTCCATTGTAGGCATGTGTTATTTGATACACCTGGTCAGATTGAGGTCTTCACATGGTCGGCATCTGGAGCCATTATTACAGAGTCCTTAGCATCATCATTTCCAACTGTGGTAGCATATGTCATGGATACAGCACGCTGTGTGAACCCAGTCACATTTATGTCAAACATGCTTTATGCTTGTAGCATAATGTACAGAACGAAACTTCCCTTTATCGTTGTCCTAAATAAGGTGATTCAATTTTACCTGAATGTTACACTTGTTCTGCAGTTGTAGTGCTAATGTATCTAACCCAGTTAGAACTTCTGTTGCCTGATAGTTTCTATAATTTTAGACAGATATTGTTGACCACAGTTTTGCAAATAAATGGATGACAGACTTCTCATCATTTCAAGAAGCATTGTCGCAAGAGACAACATATATTTCCAGTTTGTCAAGTTCACTGAGTTTGGTCTTGGATGAGTTTTACGAGGGCTTGCATAGTGTGGGCGTATCCTCCATGACTGGGGCGGGGATTGACGATTTCTTTGAAGCAGTTGACAAGGCAGTGTTAGAATATGAAACAGATTATAAACCTGGTAGGTCAGTCATTGGCACAACCAGAATGTGTTTTCTGTGTGAAATATACTAATATACAACTTTGACTTTCACAGAATATGAAAAATTAAAAAGGAAGAAAGAGGCTGAATTAGAGAAGTCTAGACTTGATCAATTAGCAAAACTACAAAAGGATCTTGGGCATGGTGAATCAGTTTCCATGGATACAGTAGATCACCACCCACAGCCCAGTGTAAACCCAGAGATTTCTCTTGGGGCTGGTGATGAGGTGGGAGAGAATGATAACGGTGAAGAAGTGGCAGATGAAAGACAAGAACAGAAATCATTCCAACGTTTCCTTTCTAGAGAACATGAGAAATCCTCCAGTTCAAAGACTTAGTTCTATCACATATCTAAGATCTTTTTCCATTTTGACTGGAATTATCATCATATAACATTTATTTAGACTTACAAAATAATTTAATATTTATTTTCATTCCTAACTATATATATAGATATACAATATATATTACATGTAACCTAATTTTGAATTGACTAGTGTATACAGAAAATGTTGTGAACTTCCAAATGATTTTTTTGGTTCTTTGTGCGAACTATTTGTACATGAAAAAGGTGTGTTTCATGATAGCTAAATCTTGGTAAAACAAAAATATTGACAAATAAACAAGTAAAAATATTGCAGATGAAAGAGAAAAACAAAATACCATTCACGTCTGACATATAAATATTTTATCATACCTGGGTGGTCTCACATTTCTGTCTTGTACAAGTAAACTTTTGTTCATGTTTTGAAATTGAAATTACTTTTCATTGCGCTGTAATGTGAAGTTTGCTGCAAGACGAACTTTCGATGGAGTTGCACGGAAACAACCTTTCTCACCCACAGGTGAACAAACCTTTGCTGTACCTGATTCGCTGGACACTGCCTCATGATCTGGAGCTCTCTCAGATAATGATTGCATGCGGAGAGAACTTGGTGGTTGGACAGGTTTATCTAAAAAAATTGATTAAATATTTTAAATTCTTGAAATATTTTAAATTCTTGAAATACACTTGAAGTCTATTTCCACATATATATCCTACCTTTTTTTACAGGACAAATTTCTTCAGTGCTTCCACCAATAATTTGTACACTCAACATATCTAAGAACAAAAAGACAGTTCCATTGTTTTGTAGTGGTGCATTGAAAACATTTTACATACAAAGCTATGGCTCAGATTCTGAAGTGATGATGATGATAGCAGTTTCAACAATCCTGTGTGTCCCCCTTTGGCAAATGTTATTGATTTCTAAGGGGGAGGCCCTTTCCCCCAAATCAAATGTGTACAACAGAAAATACATACTGACCAGAAGTAACTCTCTCAGAGATTGATCTTTGAACAGCAATAACCACCTTCTCTGGACCAGTGCCAATAATTCTTGCTACATGAGGAACTGCATTGAGAAGTGAGGATAGCTTGGTATAACCATAGTCAGAGACAATACATGGCTTAGAGTACATCTGTTGATAAACAGGAGCAAATCTACTCAGAGACAGGCATCCACCACATTTATCCAGCAGAGCCTGAGTTTCCACTTCAAAACGGGAGATTGGAGACAATGTGATATGATGAGCATTGTTTGCAGAACTTGTCACCTAAATAAATGCAAAACAACCCTCAGTCCTGGACAGTTCTTCCTAGAGGTCCAAGTATGGATCATGTCTAATTACTTCAGGAGGAAAGTTAAATTTAAGGGTCCTTACTGTTATAAAACCATTCAATCTCTCTCTAAAATCCTCCAAACACGATGAACCATGTAATTCAAGATGAAATATCTTCTTAAAATATTCTTCATATCGTTCTGGAAGCTCATCCAGAAATATTGAGGAATCGTCGATTGAAGAAAACAATTGTTTTAGTTCTTCAACGAGCACACGTGCGCAGTACGAAGGCTTCAACTCAACCATTTCTACACCATCCACTCTTGTTACCTGAAATAACAAGAGATAAATATGAAGAAAACGCCATGGCATCATTCCACTGCATGAGATGACGCTCATCAGTCATGAGTGTCTAAACGCCTAGATGATGATTGCGGCCAATGCAGTCACATCTTACCTGAACACAGCTGGGAAGACTTGCATCATTTTGTGGAACTGTTCCATTTCGACGAAGCTTTTCCTGATACAGATTTAAAAATTTCTTTTTTTCTAACGTGTAACCCAGACATTCATAGAGAATCTCAACTGCGGTTCTCACAAACGGAAAATCAATGTTTTTAGGTTTCTCTTCTTGTGTGCCATGGAGAATACCAATGATCTGTTCATTTCCTTTCCCTCGAACCTGATACACACAATAATAATCGTATCAACAGTAAGCTATCGTGGTTAGTTGTTTGATAACTACCTGATAACGATATTTAAATGTGACCAACTGACTGTACCTCTAACGGTTTATCGAGATTTTCTATAGCTTCATTCAGGAGTAAGCTGTCGTATGGAAAGGTGTGATGAAAATAATTTTCGTACAGCTTTGAAATATTCTTCAGACAAATCAACTTAGTTTCTTGAGCATTCACGAGTGTAAAAATGTCGGCCTTCACTTGCACGACGGAGTGGACAACATTGCGAAGAATTTGATTGAAGTCCTTGGAGTTTGATAGCTTCTCGTCTCCTGAAACAGCGCATGAGATATCCAAAATTACTGTCAAAGAAGTCCTGTTTAGTTGTTTAGTAACGTGTGGTAATTTGGATAAATTTGGGAGCTTTTGTTAAACGAAGAAGCTCAGGATATCCCTACCTTCAAGAACAAGTTTTACTGTTCGTTGATCACCAACACCTTCGATCTAAACAAGTTCAATCAAACGACATTTCAAGTAACGTGATTTAGAGCCATCGTTGAATCTCAGCCAGACTAACCTCAGCAACGCTTGACACGGCTTTGATCAGATCAGTTAGACGAGTGAAACCAAACGATGATAGTTTAAACTTCTGACCAAAATGCTTTACATACGAAGCCATGAAGTTTGAAAGAAGAATGCTGTGTTGAGGCTGTTTCTTTAACAACTCTGAAATTTCTCTTTTAAATAACTTCACTCGATGTTGATGAAGAAGACAGATGTGGCTTATCGACGAAACTTCTTTTACCTGAAATATGTAAAGAGATTGCATGGGTCTAATTTTAAGCCCTAATGGCCTATTAAAATGTTCTTCCTAGAGGTGCAGTAAGGATCATCTCTTATTGATCCAGTTTTACTACAGGAGGAAACCTAAACTAAACTAACTTTATTTATACTGGATAACTCTATCAGTTCTAAACTGTTCTTCCTAGAGGTCCAGTAAGGATAATCTCTTATTGATTCAGTGTTACTACAGGAGGAAACCTAAACTAAACTAACTTTATTTATACTGGATAGCTCTATCAGTTCTAAACTGTTCTTCCTAGAGGTCCAGTAAGAATCATCTCTTATTGATCAAGTGTTACTACAGGAGGAAACCTAAACTAAACTAACTTCAATTATACTGGATAGCTCTATCAGTTCTAAACTGTTCTTCCTAGAGGTCCAGTAACGATCAACTCTTATTGATCCAGTGTTACTACAGGAGGAAACCTAAACTAAACTAACTTTATTTATACTGGATAGCTCTATCAGTTTTAAACTGTTCATCCTAGAGGTCCAGTAAGGATCATCTCTTATTGATCCAGTCTTACTACACTACAGGAGGAAACCTATACTACATATTGGACAATTCTAATTCATGCTAGACACTCCAATTACCTGTGCAATGCTGACTAAACAACGCAACAGATTTGAGAGGTTTTGAAATCCATACGACATCGGGTCTAATTCACATCCATAACAAGATAAATACTTTTCCTGCAGTCGTTCAAATGTCATATCAAATTCATGATCTTGTTGCAGAATATCAACCAGCCTGGAACCCAATTGTGACATACCCAAGGTATCGCCTGGGAATTGAACAATTTCAACGATGAAAGAAAAGAACAAAGACTAACACCACCTGTATTCTTCAAAGCTTTATACTTACCAGGGCTGGAAGGAGGTCCATCTTGCCACGAGATATTTCGCTTCGTTGTACTACCAGTGACCGTGACGTTTGGTATACGACACAACAGCTCTTCCAGTGCAGATCCAGTGGAACTGACTGCGATATCTTTATGAAACTCTAACCAATACAAGGCTGGGAAACTAACTAGAGGAATGACGCCGTCGTAATGATGAAGAAGCTTCACAACATCCGATGAGAACGAATCATCAACAATAACTGTTTCTGAATCAATTTTTCCTTCTAAAAGTGAGATTGTCTGACAACCTAACGAGCCATTCACCACCACAATATCTTGAATCTGATCCAAATGTCTTTCGTCTAAACGTTTGCGATACTTCTTCTCAAAGTTGGTAAAAAATGTAGCAAGCGGTAGCCAGCTTAACGGGGCTCCTCGTAAGATAGAAATCGCCTCATCTTGTAAATAACACGATTCTTTATCTCTCTCAGTTGCTAAGGAAACATGAACAATCTTGCCAAGGATTGATTTGCCTGAGACTTTCGTAATTGCGATATGAGCGTCCGTTGGTTTGGGGACCTTCACAAAAGCACGCAATGGTGCTCCGTTCTTTGAATAAAGCACGACAGAATAAACCTGGAAACACAGAAATCATCATTTAGTGAATGCTGTGTTCATGAAATCTTTGTCAAAAGATCTTAATTAGCAAAATAGTTCGCATATATGTACAGAAGTCTAGTGCAGGAACCAAAAGTTAAGAGCAGGAAAACAGACTTGGTAGAGTCATGTCCATGATCCTTATCTTAGCAGCTAAATTGCCCAGAGTGTGTTACCCTGGGCAATTTACAATACAACAACATAAATCCTGAATAAGAATTGTCCTATTAACTAACCTTACAATGCTCTCGGAACACGGAGGCTATTTTCTTCTGAATTTCATTTTTAGGCACACCTTCGTTGATATTGGTGACCAGTAGATCCACACCATTGAACTGTTGTTCCGGTGAGGGTGATCTTCCGGCCATACCATTGACTACAGGTCTGAGTGGAGATGGTGGAGATGATAGGGGGGAAGGAGGTGTGGCGATTGGTATTGGGGAGGGGGAGCCCCCACCCCGTAAACCGAATATGTTATGCAATAACGGAGAATGATGCAAACTATTGAACATCATAGGACCAGGGTGACGTGGAAATATTTGCGGATTTGGATATGGAAAGCTTGTTTGCGACGGTTCTTTAAAGCGATGTTGAGGAAAGTTCAATGTTTGATTCGGAGGATTAAAGATATTCTTGGTGCCGTTAGAACAATTTAACGATTGGTTTTCTTTCCAAGATCCATTGCTCGTGTTCTCATTCAAACGAAGTCCCATGCGAGGTTTGACCAGATATGAAGAAGTTGGCGTCGAAACATCGCTAGAATTCTCATCATGTTTTTGTCTTGTGGGTGACTCATCACCGCCATCTTTGTTGTTTGTCAAAGGCAGTTGTGTCGCTCGTAAAATATTGCCAAACAAGTCTTCTTTATCAAGTCGTCGTCTGGCCCTGAAATTGAATATTTTTTGGAATAAACACAAAATTAAACTAACTTCGCAGGGAATCACTAATTCATTTCCAAATTGATCTTTGCGACAGTCGCCTGGACGTCGAAGTGGGGTTGATCTACCATCATCCTGGCTCCTTCAATTGCTTCAGTTCTGACAGCTCTACAGAAGCTAGACTATTGCAGTAGCCATACAACCAATAGTTAATTTACCTGTATGCAGCTTCAGAATTTGGAAAACGCACGATAGCTTTATTCCCGTTGATAGAAACCACTTTGCCTCCGCAGTTATCAGAAAGTTTGGTCAATCGTGTTTTAAGGACAGTTGTATTCTTCGTTATTGGCAGATTCGTCACCAACACATCGTTGGAGAAAGATGACTTGTACGTTGTCTGTAAGTAGAGTATCATTGACCAGAATTACCACGAGTTACTACACGTCGTTTAGGCAAAAGAAATCCTAATTTTTATACGTGTACAGATAAGAAAATACCTGTCCTAGTGCTTGAAGTTCTTCAGTGAACTGATCAAAGCGATGAGTTTCGTGAGCAAAAGCAAGCAATGCGGACGAGGCAGCAACATAATGAAGACAAATGATCTGAAAATTGTGACGATGTCTAAGATCAGATAAATCAGCTGCAAAGTTGCCATCTCCAGAGATCAGAATCACCGTCGCTGGTCTGCTGAATGTCTGCGCAAAACGACGTAAACTTTGACGAAGTTTGTCATCTGCAGCATTCTTTGAAGTCGCGTTGATGTGAACTACCGTCACCTGAAGGGAAGTTTGACGAGAAAGTTTTGAAGTATTAAGATTAGGATTGGTTTAGAAAATTATTTCTTTATAGCCACATTGCATATTATGGATGGATGGATGGATGGATAGATGGGATGGATGGATGAATGGATGGGATGGGTGCGTGGATGGATGGGTGGATGGGATGGGTGGATGAATGAATGTACTGTACCTGTGCTTTATTTAGTTCCTCAATAACAGTTTTCTTCTCCTTGCTCGTATCACAAACACACATAAACTCCACTTCTCTCTTTTCTTTAAAGAAGACACGTCGTATTTTCTGTACTACAGCTTGAGCCGACTTTCCCTTGGGAACTGAGCAATTCTCAAAATCCCAGAAAACACCAACAGGCTCCAATTCTTTCAAAGTCTTTAAGTGATTTGGGGAAGAATTGATTGCATTAATTGAACTGAGAGGCAATGGTTTCTGCATATGATTTGCAGAGGGTGTGTTTAGAGGATTGAAAATATTAGGGTTGGATTCTTTCCGAGCACAGTGCTGTATAGTTGGGTCTCCTTGTTTTAGAAAGGATTCTTGTTTGAGCAACGAAGTTGACAAACCATTGCAATTGTTTGAATCATGTTGAGGCCAAGGTTTATTACTGTATTTTATGGAATTTCCCATGTTTGTCTTGGAGATGATCATTTGAGTCTTGTCATAATTGTTATTTAGACAATCACATGAAGTCTGATATTTTTTGTTTTTCATATTGGTTTGTTGGGTATGAATATTTTGGGTGTTGTTTTGGGTGGTGGTACAACATGTTTTGACAGGATACGTGGGATGTGGATGGACAATGTCCTTCTCAGCCTGCAAGCGGGTTGACGTGAATTGTTGAATTGGACCTGGACGAGGTGATTTTGCGACATTCTTGTAACATCTGTGGTTTATTCTTTCTTCTTCTTTGAAAAATACAGCTTGACACTGATGAATATGGAAAATAATGTAGTTTAATCAATCACATAATGATAAGTGCTAAACTGGCAGCCTAATGAAATGAGCAACCAACCAGTAACACCCAACATTAGCCAACCAATAAATAACCCTCCGCAAAGCAACCAACCAACCAATGATCCACCACTAAGCAACCAACCAATCAACCAGTTTAAGATCATTCTTTACCTTGGTACAGGTATCAACTGGGTGAGCTAACTTCTTCATTGATGTTTTGACATGTTCATGATACGCAGCATTGTCCAAGAAATGAGTATTACAATCTTCGTTGCCACATTCACCAAAACACTTAAAAGCATTATGGCTTGGGCATCTGGTAACTGCTATGAAAGGGAAATGAATAGAAGTTGTTGGTTGTTAGGTTTGGTGTTGCAATATAGAAACCTAAGGGCAATTAGGAGAGCGAGCAAGTCAAATGTTGGTTCCAATAGATGAGATGATAATTATAAACTTACTATTATCTATTATAGTTGGAGTTTTAGTCAATCTTGGATGTCTTTTTGGACACTGAATATTCTCGCATCGTCTCTCCAACCATTTCACACAAACAACTTCAGTATTTCGTGCTGGACCACAATGGCGAAACAGACACTACATGAAAACATGGTGAATATTGCACATAGTATTGAAGAAAACACAGACAACTATCAAATCCTGATGACAGCAATACAAGTTCACTAAACTACGTTAATTGTTTGTGTACAAAAAATATTTACCTCTCCGTATCTCCACGTGCACTGACGACCATCAATAAAAAACAAGCAATCAGTGAACATCCTATAATCCTTCTTTGACGCAATATTTTGTTCATTTCTCAACTTCTGTAGCTCGCTTGGTCCTTTAGTTTTGATTGTTTGACCTAACAACTCACATCCATCCATCACCGTTGCTGCACACTCGGCAATTTCACGGTTGTAAAAGTTAACATAACCAAACTGCTTTGACTTGCCAAGCTCGTCTCGACAAATCACAACGCTTTTGACCGGCCCAAATTTACCGAAATAATCAGATAATGTCTGTTCTTTGCATTGCAATGATAAAGAACCTATCCACACAGAGAATTTATCTTCCATAGCAGCTTAAAATTATTATTTTTCAAAAAGAACGAGAGACAAATCAGACAATTTGCAGACCACCGAACCTGTTGTTGTTTTTACGACTCACTGAACTGTTAAATTTTAAACAGTACTGGAGTGCTCGCACTCTTACGGGTGGTACCAACAGAGGTAACATCACCATACCACCATTCAATGGTGACTTACCAGCGCTGTTGCATGGTAGCAGCCATATTGTATGGTACTATCTGCAGTTACTAACAAGGCCATTGTCAACATCGTAATTCAAACTAAGAACTAAAATAGAAATCTTTTATTTATCTATTGGAAGAGACGTGGTCTCTTCAACGGGAAAATTCATTTCTTCAGTGGAATAATCTTTCTCTTCCTCGCGAATCGTATCCGACAGTTCCTTGTTCAAAGTTTCAAACAACAACAAGGAACTCAAACTAGCAATGAAGCCAAAACTTCCGAAAATAATGAACGGAACAGACTTTCTGCTTTTCTCTCCCTAAAAAATATTAATGAAAAGATGGAACTACATCTAGACTTCTACTAGAGAGTAGATAGAGTAGAAACTTTTAATGCTTTACGTACCAACAGCAGAATCTGAGGAGCAATCACAGCACCAAACCTGGTCCACGACGTACAAGCTCCTAAGCCTACATTTCTGACGTTAAGACAGAGCATTAGAAGAATACATTTCAACAAATAAACCGAAAATATCGCGTGAAAACCTACCTTATCTCAGTTGGAAACAATTCAGAGGTGTAAATGAACAAGACACTGAACGATCCAGCAAATCCGACTTTACCAATAATCGCGAGAGCTGTCGTTAAATCTTGAAGTGCATCATTGTCTGGAAAACAACAAGACAAAATATTTAATCTCACTCGTTAGATATTGTTAATGAAGGTAAAGCAGCTCTAAGCAACTCCCAACTAACCTGCAGCTTTCTCAGAAAGAACTCCAGCAGTAATATTCATGATTGCTCCTATCATGAGATACGTACAGAGAGGTTTACGACGACCAAACCTTGAAACAAATAAGGATATTTGCTTCAATATGCCTTAGCTCAAGTCGTCAATATTTAGTCAAATAGCAAGGAAAGTTTCTAGGGGGAAAAATACCTTTCAGTTATAAAAACTGTTAAAAAATATGGTATTAGTTCCACGGTCCCGCTGATGAAGAAATTGAGGTATTTGTTTCCAGCTAAACTTGAGATATTGAGTGATATACCATAATAACCAACAGAGATGGAAAACCTAGAGTGATAAAAAATTCTACGTTTGTTTAATGTTTCCAGGTCAACCTAATGTAAAAACACATTATCACGAGAAAGAAAACTCAGTCAAAAAAGTCATTACCATATCCAAGCCAGAATGATTGATCGTTTTCTCAGCACACGATAACGAAACATATCAATGATGGTGTATTTCTTGACAACAGTTATCTTTTGTGTTTTACTTTTTTCAACAACATCGTCAAATATTTCACGAGGAAACTCTAAGTTATTAAATTTAACAATTTTTGTGACCACTTGCTCGGCCTTGTTGAATTTCTTCTGCGTTATCAACCAACGAAAGGATTCTGGCAGCAACCTGATAGAATTAAAAACAAGAAACAATTTCTGCAATGATTTAAAGGGACTGTGACTTATGTAGATGATCATGGTGATCATTATGATGATAATGATAATATTGATCAGTGATGACTTTCATGATGAGGTGATCACAAAAAATTGTATTAAAATTACCATATTAAAGAAATCTGAAGAATTGTTGTCAGAGTTATAAACAATTGAATATATCTCCAGTCTTGAATGAGAAAAGCAATCAAAGCTAGAAACATCACACCAACTGCCCAGAAAGCGACCTGTATGGTACCAACTCTACTTCGATATTTCAAAGCAAATAACTCAATTATCAAAATATATGCTGCCTCGAGTCCCTGGAAAAACAAGAAGATCTAGTGCTCTGCTTTTCCTACCCAAAATATCATGAAACTGGTAATGATTATAAGTTTACAGGAACAAATTAATCCATATTAATCTTATACCTCTAACACAACTCCCAGGATAAAACGCAATATCACAAAAGCGATATAGTTTCTTATGAAGAATATCATTATACCAAGAATGATCTGTGAATACAAACAGCATAATAGTACTGGTCTTCGACCAAATTTATCAGATAATGCTCCAAACAGCAGACCTCCAACTAACACACCACAGAAGTAGATTGTTGTAGCAAGATTTGTTTTGTATGCATCATCACAAACCAGATCAAACTATAGAAAACACAATTAAAACCATTCTTCTCAAAATCATTGATCATTACCAGAAGGATCAACAGAGATAAAGAGCTACCACAGTATAACCAACCAATTAAATACCATTTAATTCATTACCTCAGATATAATAGTTTGTTCTCGTCCTTCCAAATAATATGTCCATCCATTGGGACATGCTTCCTTTTCCTTAGTGCTGACATTTACATAAAGATTACATCCATCCCACAATGTCTCCCCACCTTTCTGTACAAGGGGGACAACTTCATCAATTTGTGTGATATTCCCCACTGCACAATGATGTTTAGTTTTTGCACCCATAAATGCCATGGCCAAATGATTCCAACAAATAAAGAATAAATTGGAACATAGCATTATGTACAAGATCATCTGTAATTTGCCAGGTTTCCCCAAAGCACTTGCAAGATTATCTGCACCGAGTGAACTCATAATGGTAAAGGGACCTAGTTTGGTACATGACCAGATGAGATAAAATAGAGATTAGTGCTGCATCTTAACAATTCACATGGAACTATACACTCAAAGCAGGAAATAAACCCTAGCCCTTGTCATGTAATTTCTGCTCAATTAACTTTGCTTTACCTTACTTAAGTACACGGAAGTAGTAAGTACTTGACAATTATTTTCCTTGAATACTATTGAAAACTCTTTGAATCTCCTATAAAGAAATTAAATTTATCTGTGCCAAGAACAGAGGTAAAAAAATTGTTGAGAGATTCTGTGATAATTCATATCCAGAATCATTTAAGAAATCATAAACGATTCTAAAACCAAATGCATCAGTTCTATTTGTAAAAGAGTACCTGCATAACTGTATATATTTTAAAAAAGATTAATGGTATTTTTAGGTACAGGAGTTTATTAAATATTGACACAGAAATAGATTACAATAGTGAATAGTGAATACAAGATCAAGGTCTGCTAGATCTCACAAATGTTTACAAAGCAAACAAAGAGCCTCACATACGATTGATACGAATGAAATAATACACACAGACCGTGCGTAATTCACCTGTTTGTAAAATCGTGTCTGTTTTTATGGACAAAGTGATGCTAAAATCATTCCAAATGATCAACGACGCGAAAACTTCGCCGAAAGTAAAACATGTTTAACAATTATTAATAGACCGGAGAGCAAGTGTCAACATTCATGCACGTAAGAGGTGTTATTTTAAACGGCTCTAATTTCCAAATGCATGCCAAAATTTGTTCACCTGGTTTTCCCAGGTAACGTCAAAAAGATGTGTAGGCTTCGTGCTTGTAAACAAGGATCTACAGATCAGCAAATTGATATGATGTCCACAGTTTAATACCAATGACTTGGCATGGTTGTATCCACAATCACCAGTAATGTAATGCATAATGATATCTGCCGCTACCACCATCAACAACGGTGGTATCCCCAGTTGGTAGTGATATGTTGGTATCAACAGTGGATACCACCGTTCAATGGTAACTTACAAGCGCTGTGGATGGTGCCAGTCGCATGTTATGGTACTATCTGCAGTTACTAAAAAGATCCATGTTCACTGTGAATTAAAGAACTAAAATTCCTACTTTTCTTTATTTATTTATTGGAAGAAGTGAGGACTCAACGGGAATCTTCATTTCTTCAGTGGAATCATCTTTCTCTTCCTCGCGAATCGTATCCGACAGTTTCTTGTTCAAAGTTTCAAACAACAACAAGGAGCTCAAACTAGCGACGAAACCAAAACAGCCGAAGATGATGAACGGAACGGACTTTCTGCTTTTCTTTCCCTAAACATGTAAATGAAATATATTACACCCAGAGTTGCACTGCATTTGGAACGTTTTACAACCACTTTATCGGCTGAAATGAAATGAATGCACCTAAAGAGCAGATGATGATATCAAAGAATGGTAGTATATAACACTTGCAGCTGAGAATGCACAGGTTTCTGAGCGTTAATTTATGAGAACTAGCAAGAAATTACGTACCAACAACAGAATTTGAGGAGCAATTACACCGCCAAATCTGGCCCATGACGCACAAGCTCCCAAACCTACATTTCTGACGTCAAAATGCGTCAAGATACAGCATTAGATAGAATTCATACCACAGTATATCAGGAAGATATCGCCTACAAACCTACCTTATCTCAGTTGGAAACAATTCAGAGGTGTAAATGAACAAGACACTGAACGATCCAGCAAATCCGACTTTACCAATAATCGCGAGAGCTGTCGTTAAATCTTGAAGTGCATCATTGTCTGGAAAACAACAAGACAAAATATTTAATCTCACTCGTTAGATATTGTTAATGAAGGTAAAGCAGCTCTAAGCAACTCCCAACTAACCTGCAGCTTTCTCAGAAAGAACTCCAGCAGTAATATTCATGATTGCTCCTATCATGAGATACGTACAGAGAGGTTTACGACGACCAAACCTTGAAACAAATAAGTGAATATTAGCTTTACTGCCTTAACTCAAGTTGCAAAACATTCTGATGTTGGAAGTCTTCTAGCTTTTGATAAAAATTACCTTTGTGTGATAAAAACTGTCAAAATATATGCTATCAGTTCTAGTAAACCGCTGAGAAAGAAATTGAGATATTTGTTTCCAGCTAAACTTGAGATATTGAGTGATATACCATAATAACCAACAGAAGTGGAAAACCTAGGGTGATAACAAATTATTTGTTAGTTGCAGTGTTTTTTTTGTTAAAAATACGAACACAACATGTATGCCTCAAAGGAAACTAAATAAAAGTAAGAAGTATCCCATTTACCATATCCAAGCCAGAATGATTGAACGTTTTCTCAGCACACGATATCGGAACATATCAATGATGGTGTATTTTTTAACAATAAATTTTTTTTCTTCTGTTGTACTTTTTTCAACAACATCATTAAATACTTGGTGAGGAAACTCCAATTTATTGAAGCTAACAATTCTTGTGACCACTTGCTTTGCCTTCTCAAATTTCTTCTGTGTTATCAACCATCGAAAAGACTCTGGTAGGACCCTAAAAATTTTGACAAAGAAAAATGAATATCAGATATATTGATGATCATATAGTGATAATCAATGAAGATAATATCAATTGATCTGTGGTTTATTAGTGACAAAAAATTGTATTAAAATTACCATATTAGAGAAATCTGAAGAATTGTTGTCAGAGTTATAAACAATTGTATATATCTCCAGTCTTGAATAAGAAAAGCAATCAAAGCTAGAGACATCACACCAACTGCCCAGAAAATGACTTGTATGGTACCAACTCTACTTCGATATTTCAAAGCAAATAACTCAATTATCATAATATAAAATGCTGCTTGCAGACCCTAGAAAAAAAAATAGGAAAGTTCTTATAAAAATTCATAGCTTACAGACCAGTTGGAGATATATATATGATTCATGATTTTAAAAAATAATCAATGTACCTGTAAAACAACACCCAAGAAAAAACGCAGTATCACGAATGCAATATAATCTCTGATGAAGGATATCATTATACCAAGAATGATTGGAGAATATACACAGAATAGTAAGACAGGTCGTCGACCAAATTTATCAGATAATGCTCCAAACAGCAGACCACCAACTAATACACCACAGAAGTAGATTGTTGTAGCAAGGCTAGATTTATATGCATCATCACAAACCAGATCCCACTAGAATAAAACAGTTTTTAATTAAGCTAGGTTGTTAATAGTTGACAGTCATTTTTAGATTGACCAAGGAACAATGTACAAGTTGTCTGGTTATAATTCACAAAAAAAATCTAGTCGAATTACAAGTCAGACCTCTACAGATAACAACGGCAACCACAGTAGGATAAAACTAACAAATATATACCATTAATTCATTACCTCAGATATAATAGTACGTTCTCTTCCCTCTAAATAATACGTCCATCCATTGGAACATGATTTCTCTTCCTTAGTGCTGACATTTACATAAAGATTACATCCATCCCACAATGTCTTACCACCTTTTTGTACAAGGGGGACAACTTCATAAATTTGTGTGATATTCCCCACTGCACAATGGTGTTTAGTTTTTGCACCCATAAATGCCATGGCCAAATGATTCCAACAAACAAAGAATGTGTTGCAACATAACATTATGTACAAGATCATCTGAAATTTACCAGGATTACCCAGAACTCTTGCAAGATTATCTGCACTCATGGTGGGTATGATTGAGACCTAGTTTGGAGACAAATTAGTAATCGATCTTAGGGTCTGTTTATATGATTAGGGTCTCCTTGGAGCATGCTCACACCTCAAGTACATATAATTCATTATTACCCCGCCCAGCAACAATGTTTGTCCATATCATATGAACACGCAACGGCTTTCTAGGCTAGGCGGGATGAAAAAGTCTAATTCTGGCTAAACCCAAATAGTTGTACTAAATGTATGCAAGATCATATCCATATGTATGTTCACTCAAGATCAAGTAACAACGTTTTCTGGCTGTAAAAGTATTGAATATTGGCCTACAAATCTGAACTATTAATGCGGTCATTTAGTGGTGGGGAAAGACATACCTGCAGGGATGCAATGGACGTGTTTACATGAAACTGGCAAACGGCAATATAATAATAATAATAGTAATAATAGTATTGTACAAACACACCTTTATTCTAATCGAGCAACTCGTGGGATCTCGATATATTTATAATTGAAACAGATGTCCTATTATATGTAGCTGTTGTAATAAAATACTAACTGAAAATCCTGAAATACTCATATTACCTCTCGCGTGGGTCCTCGTTTGTCGCGAGGATGAGGTGTACCATCTCATTGTCTATTGTTTGAATTGCAACCAAATGCGACCAAAACGCTTGGCTATAATAGAGAGTACTCCTTTGTTTGAAAGTCATTAGTTTTATACCCAGCAGTTTAGAAAGCATTCTCACTACTCTATTATGCAAAGTTTAAATGAATAACCTCTTTGTTTGACGTTGTTGAGCCATTAATCCAAACTTACTTCATGTTCACAGCGCAACAAACCTGTGAAAATGTGAAATAGTTGACGTTTCTGATGATATCTCAAAGCAAATTGTAGTATTATGATATTACCAAGAGCATCAGCGGCATTCTGTTCACAGACACAGCTGATAAACTATCAACTGACTGTGCTTTCTTTGTTGTAAACACTACTTTTATGGCGACTTCTTCAGCTGAAGGCAAAATCTCCATTCTGGCAAACGACTGTGTCTGTGAGTGTGATGAAACGCCACTTCTCACAAAGTTTGCTTCTAAATCACGAGGTGCTGTCAGAATCAAGCTTGTCTCGCTGTATTTTCTCACCTGTTTCTTTAGAAGTTCACTGACTGAGATAGTTCTTCTGTTCTGTCATTAGCTTTAGATTTTTCCAGCCGTGTAAAGTTGATAACCGAGGCTGATTCTGTTGAATACAAAGGTCCATACTTTCGAGATGGAGAGAGGAGCATCGACATGACTCTTGTTTTTCAAAGTAACAAAACACAATCCGGTGTGAAGAGCCTCAAATCTCGTGAGAAAAGAGAGATATTTGTGAATAAATTAATCATGAATGGAGTACAACTGGAAGTTGAGACAGCCCAACAATTTGTACGTTGTTTCATCTTTTACTAAGCTATATGTCGACTATAAAGTAGACTTCAAGCTCTATCAGTTCTCAACTGTTCTTCCTAGAGATCCAGTAAGGATCATCTCTTATTGATCCAGTGTTACTACAGAAGGAAACCTAAACTAAACTAACTTTATTTATACTGGATAGTTCTATCAGTTCTAAACTGTTCTTCCTAGAGGTGTAGTTATACTATAGGAGGAAAATAGAACTAACTTTATCGTTTTCACATAAAACTGTTTTTCACCATGCAGGATACGGACATATTCTTCATCAAACTACACGTACCGTTGGCCACTTTGCAAACAAAAGCTGAAGAAATGAAACTCAAAATTCCATTTTCAATCTTATCAAAAAATCCTGAAATGGACGTCGCTATCGCCTCCCTTCCCTTCACCTCTAGAGATAAACAAATCAGTCCTCTCAATCATCGATACTTTCTACTAACACCTTTCGTGAAACGACACGCAGAAAAATTCATGGCGAAAGGGGATTGTTTTTCAACATTGGATCGTATCGCGGTGTGCGAGAGAATTCTGAACGAAACGCGTTTTTCAACAAATGAGAAAGAATTTGGAATCAAACCTTTATTAAAGCAAAAGATTTTCAACGCTGTTTATCCTCCACACGACTCCGGAAAAGATCTGTCAGCTAAAAACAAAACAGGTAGCTATAAGAAGCAGTAAGGATAATCTCTTATTGATCCAGTGTTACTACAAGAGGAAACCTAAACTAAACTAACTTTATTTATACTGGAAAACTCTATCAGTTCTAAACTGTTCTTCCTAGAGGTCCAGTAAGGATCATCTCTTATTGATCCAGTGTTACTACAGGAGGAAGCCTAAACTAAACTAACTTTATTTATACTGGATAACTCTATCAGTTCTAAATTGTTCTTCCTAGAGGTCCAGTAAGGATCATCTCTTATTGATCCAGTGTTACTACAGGAGGAAACCTAAACTAAACTAACTTTATTTATACTGGAAAACTCTATCAGTTCTAAACTGTTCTTCCTAGAGGTCCAGTAAGGATCATCTCTTATTGATCCAGTGTTACTACAGGAGGAAACCTAAACTAAACTAACTTTATTTATACTGGATAGCTCTATCAGTTCTAAACTGTTCTTCCTAGAGGTCCAGTAAGGATCATCTCTTATTGATCCAGTGTTACTACAGGAGGAAATCTGAATATTCTAATCCAACCATTTTCTCTTTAGGTCGGCAAAAACTAGCCAAAGATTGGGCCTCACTTCGAAGCACGTTCAAGATGCAGCCAATCAACACGGTGCGATCTTATCTGGGCACGTCAATTGCGTTCTACTTTATATGGTTAGGATTTTCTGCATGGTGGCTCTGGCCTCTGGCTATGGTTAGCATGATGGTGATTATTTATGGTAGTTTACCTCTATCTGGTTACCCTCCTGTGGAAGAGATATGCAAGAAAACAAACACCACGCAGTATCTGATGTGTCCCCAGTGTGATGAATGTGACTTCTGGTATTTGAACGAAGTCTGTGTTTCCAGTAGAATAACACATATATTGAACAATACCTTGACGGTAATATTGTCATTCCTGGTGGCAATTTGGTCGTTGTTCTTTATCAAATTCTGGAACAGGTATCATTCAAAGATGGTGTTTCAATGGCAAACATACGAGATCGAGAAAACAGACGAACCGTCACGACCAGAATTTCTGTCTAAAGTAAAAACATTTCGTCGAAACATCGTCACAGATCAATTAGAACAGTTTGTACCACTATCCACACTGTGTTATAAATATTCACTTGTCATACTTACTATGATCTTAATAATAACACTAGCACTTGCTTCTCTCCTGGGCGTGGTTATCTACCGCAGTGCAGTGTATACTGTACTTATAACCCAGGGTAATAACAACGCTAGGGTGATAACAGATATCACGGCTGGGGTGATAACACTGGTATGTATTAACGTATTATGCTGTGTGTACGAACCAATCGCGCGAAGGCTCACGGACTGGGAAAATTCTCGAACACAAAGTGAATGGGAGAACAGCTTCACCTACAAGATGTTTGCTTTTCAGTTTATTAATTGGTATTCCTCGTTGTTCTACATCGCGTTCTTCAAGACAGAATATTTCACAGGCAGACCAGGGGGGTACATAAAGTATGGTGAATATCAATTGGAGGGGTGTTCCGCCCTGGGCTGTTCTATGGAACTATCCATCCAGCTCGCTGTGATCATGATTGGGCAAATGTTTCTCCAGAATATCACAGAGCTTTCAAAACCGTAAGCAAGTTTATATATTGAATGGTTCACATTTGCTTAGAATGACAAACATGAATCACCCTATTTACTTTTCGATTTAGATATTTGTTAAAATGGATGGTGATACGGAAAAGTAAAGTGTTGTACAACAGGCTGTTACCGTGGCAACAGGAATACTTTCTTACGTCATCTGACGACACACTATTCTGGGAACATATGGAAATAGGTAAAGACATAAACACGTATTTAATGTTTGAAAAACATCCAGCTTTAAACAACTATTCTGATAGTATGGTTTTTAAAACGCAACCAAAATGCTCTGGTTTCTTTTAGTTTTGCAATTCGGTTTCGTCCTGATGTTCACAGCTGCTTTTCCACTGGCCCCTTTGATTGCTTTTATAAACTCAATCATTGAAATACGCCTCGATGCTATCAAATTTATTCATTTCCAACGACGTCCAATTCCTAAAATGGCTGTCTGCAAGGGTGCGTGGCAACACATCTTAGAGGAGCTTGCTGAGTGGTCAGTTCTGGTGAATGCGCTGGTTATAGCAATGACGACTGATTTCATACCAAAACTGGTCTATCGCATCAGCTATAGCGAAGATGGAAGTCTTAATGGTTATGTCAATAATAGCCTGTCTTTCTATAATATATCGTGCTTTTCTATGATGGGGAAACACACATCGAGATATCGCAGAAATCTACCTACATTTTGCAGGTATATCCGTGATAATATTACAATGCTATGTGAAGGCGATTACCTTGAATGAACCCCCACGTTTGAGATATCTTTCTCAGGTAGTTCAGACACAAACCACGACAGTTTATTGTAGAATACTACCTACACTGGACCACCACGTTTGAGATATCTTTCTCAGGTAGTTCAGACACAAACCATGACAGCTTATTGTAGAATACTACCTTCACTGGATCCCCACGTTAAAATGACTTATATAATTTTTTTTAAGATACAAAGGCTACCACGAAATGAACGGCGATTACTCGACGCAATACTGGCACATCCTGGCAATTCGCATCATATTTGTGCTATCATTCTATTACGTCATCAGCGGTTTACGAGCGATATTGAATTGGACGATTGGTGACGAGCCTTGGCGAGTCGAAGCGAGGAGAAAACGAACAATATATTTCATAAAAAGATTATTTAAGGATCGAAGCAGAGGGCCCTTCGATGCCCAGGCTGCATGATAATATATTGATGGCTTACTTGGTTCATTGTATAATCAATAATTATATACATTATACAATCGATAATTATACGTATTTCACTGGACTTGTTGATTTATTTATTTATATACACATTTAAAATGTCTGTTTATGTACAATTATGTTCTTTACAAAATATTCGACAAATGCCTGATTGCTTTTAAATTCTGAGGATAATTTCAACTCCGCCTTCATCCGTATGAAAGCAATTATGCCTGCCAAGTTATTAATATTCTATGGTTACTATCCATGGTTAGTTATTACCCATGGTTACTATCCATAGTTATTACCCATGGTTACTATCCATGGTTAGTTATTACCCATGGTTACTATCCATAGTTATTACCCGTGGTTACTATCCATGGTTAGTTATTACCCATGGTTACTATTCATAGTTATTACCCATGGTTACTATCCATAGTTATTACCCGTGGTTGAATCCATGGTTATTATCCATGGTTACCATGCAAGGTTGCTATCCCTGGTTACTACCACTAGTTACCATCATGAATGGAAACCATAAACGATAACCAGAGATAGATCTTGATGATCTTGTGTTCTTAACATTCAAGAAAAACAAGACTGTCGGTGATACTGGTTCTTTGAGGGATAGAATTCAAAGCGTGTTACCTTCACCGTGAACGATGGATGTAGTTCATCACTCCAGTTTAGTCGAGAAAGAAGATATGGCTGAAATGAGTGGCGGTCATTTTCTTCACTTCCTCTGAAATGAAATAATTGTATCGTGTGACCTCTGAAAGTAAGTTTCCTCAATTAACGACCAAATCTTTGGCAGTTAACCCACCGTTCACGTCAATCAAATTTGCGTTCTTTTGATGAAGAATAACATAAAGTTCTCGTTGGTCAGATTTTCTGCCGACAACCCAGCAGTCGGTCAGTGTTTTCATAAAGACCTCGCCATCTTCGTTAGCCCTTTAAACATAAATCACAATCTCCTTAACAAAAAATCTCAGCTTCGAAAGGCTAAACACATTTGAAGATCGAACTTCAGTTTTATATAGATCAGTAGAGAGTCCATGACGGACCCAAAAAATTTAGGAGGTTGGGTTGAGCTTCCATTGGAAGCTTCCCACCGTGCTCTGAGAGCGGTTGTATAGCAAATACACACACTCTATAACACCAAAAAGTGAAGCATTCGTTTTAATTTTTCACACATAATATATAGTACAAGATAGTCACTGTGGATTACGGTGCGCTGGGTGCTACGCACATGCGTAGTATAGCCTAGGTCATTTTTCGTTTCAGCTGCATTATACACGAGTATCTACGTTCAAGATGACAACGGTTGATGAAAACAAGATGTAATCCTTTGTAGAATATAAACCTCCTCTCTATGTAGATCCCCTCATTTACTCTACAAAGTGTTTCTATTAATTATAGAAAGTGGAACTGTACAAGTGAATGGAGAAAGGTCCACAGTATCTCTTACCTGGCAAAATCTGCGTTGATGTTGCATATAATTTTGATAATTTCTGGAGAGACACACATCTGGTTCTGTTTCTTGTTATGCATCGTTGTTTTCTGGGCCAAGTTCATATGATTGAAATACACGTAACGGTATTCGTGATCCGGTCTAAATATAACACATGTGATGAGTGTAGATTGATGATAATGATTGGTTATGATCACTTCAAGATAATAATCAATAATATTGATGATCGATGATTCATCTTACTACAAGAGGATGAGTTTGACAATATTTATTGTTATGAATTTCACCAAATTACAATTGAGTCATGCATTGATACTAACTAAACTATGTGACAACAATGGTATAACTTATAAAAGGTTTTCTTGTATTTTGGCAACCGCAAATAATAAATTATGGGAGTAATTGCAGCGTGGATCGCAATAAAGCAAGGAGCAACAATCAAAACCAGTCGATAAAATTCTGGGTTTGTGTTTTCTTTAGTTTCAAGAGGTAACAACATCATTAAAGATGGAACTCTAAATACCAACGTCGCAGAACTCACAATAAATATTGTTACTAAGAACCGTTTTTCGTTAGCGAGTTTTTTTTTCAAAGTATTTTGTGCAAGGTCGTCCACATAAGCTTCCTTAAAGCGTCTTTGTTGCTGTTTAATCTTTATAAAACAGGCGAAATGTAGGGTGAAAGCTATTGTCAAACACAGAAAAATTATGAACGTTTCAGCGATGAAATCAGAGAAAGGTAAATCTTGTATTGCGTGTTTCAAACATTGATCTAATCCAACAATAACCAAGCCAAGAATCCAAATAAAAACAAAACAACGCCGAACTCTTCCCTTCGTGAAATAAACATTGTGAAGAATTGGTCTGCCAACGGAAATGAATCGCTCCACAGCAAAAGTCGCGAGGCCAATATTTGATATAGATGTTAGAAATAAAACAAATGGTTGGTATGTTTCAACGTTTTTTGATCCAACGTAAAACGTAGTGTTAGTTTGAATCGCCTTTATTACCATAGGATAACACAAAACCAGAGAAAAGAAGTCAATAATGGCGAGGTTTTGTATAAAATACGAAGAAATATTGCAAAAACAGTTGAGAGGATCTTTCCAATGCGCTAGAAGAAGCAGAAGGTTTGAAAGGAGACCAAATATTAAAAGGAATACATAAAATGTTATTTCCCAAGCTTGATAAACGATGTATAACGAGTCGTCGTCAGTGGTGTTTTTTGAAATATTCATTGCCATATATCTTAAAAATTGAGTTGTGCCGTTGTCAAACCACCCTCTTTTAATAAAGTTGAAGAAAAATATTCTCCAATTTAATAACAGTTTTTAATTAATTAAGGTTCAGCGTTGTGTACATTATTAATTAAGGTTTATTTGCTATAGTTTCAAGCAATAAAAATAGGTTTATTGGCGAGTGATGAGATGAGAATGTAATTACGACAACGAGAACTTTAGACTGCTTTCAACTGTCGCGTTTTTTGTACGTACATACACGCATGTAAAAGTTTAAAATCATTTAAATGATACTTATAAAATCTACAACTGAACTCAGTTGAAGATTTGGTATGTTTTCTCTGGCATAAAATTAATTATACAACAACTTAGAAGGTTTTAAACTTTTACTTGCGTGTACGTGCGTGCAGAGAACCGACGACAGTGGAAAGCAGCCGGCTTTATGAATGACTTACGTATTCGCAATGGTTTTCTTATTGTGGTCTCCTATGCTGTTGGCCAAACTTGTCAAACGAGGTCCAACGAAAGCGCTCAGCTGTTTACAGAATTCCTTATCAGGTGGTTGATGCACTGCGGAGTAAATATAAAAAATAATTCCTCAGTTTTCTCGAGTCCCGTGAAAGATATTTCGTGTGGAAATGCAGTAGTTTAGTTTTTACCTGTCACTAGCATGCAAACCACAGCGTCCAGAGCCTAAAAATTTACACACAAGATTGCATTAGTTTGCTGCCACTGCAGAGTAAAGTTTTAATAAACACTGTATGCTAGCTGATAGGATAAAATGGGACTGTTTTAATCACCTGGTAGACAACAAGAAAGAATTCTTTTAAAACATCATCTTCTTCGATAAAAATACGAGGAAGTTTTCTCGGAGGACCCCGCGTCTCATCCGTTACATCTGAAGGACAAGTGACGAACCTGGGAATTTCAAAAATATGACTAGATTATGGATTGTTTTATTTCCTAGGCTGTTGTTGCGGTCTTTGGATGAAGGAATGGAATATTGAGAGTTTAAGATGGTATATTTTAGGTTAATGGTAGATTTAGAAGACTTGTCCAAGGTTACCTTCCTCTATGAGTTCTTGACATGGTATTCTCTCCTCTAGCAACCATTTGTTTATCGTACATGACCCACTAAACAAGAAAAGTTGTTAGCAAAGGATGTTCTACAGAACCTCCAGTAAAACAACTTTGGCATTTGACATTAGAGCTCACACCTCATCATTTGTAACTGGAATCAAACTGGTTGTCAGATATTTGTACAAAACTCTCATATCCTCCTGTTCCAGACCACTCCTAAATTGTGAAATAAAATGTGATCAATTTCACATAATTCTCATCAGCTCACAATGAAACATTACCAAAGAACGTTGATTGATTTAAAATGAAGTTGGTTGGAAAAACTTAAGGTCTGCTAGGACTAAGATTTCAGTTAGTTTAAACAATTTTTTAAACTAATGATAATTCTTACCACACTATTTGATCATCAAACATGAATACTGTGTACTTTATTGAACTAAAAAAGAGATGTATCATCTAAGCAAAGGTTTCAAGTCTGATGGAAACTTCTAAATGTAAATTCTAAATTTATAACAAACTCACTTGAACTTGTATTCAATCAAATTCATGAAACAACTGACTTTGAGAAAAGTATTTTTGTCCAATGGAAGGAACTGTATCCCTAAGAAAGAAAGGTTAATCCCAAAATTAATAACTTATTTCATCCCTGGCATATCATAGGAAATAGAAAACATGCAAGGATATTTCTTGAAATACAAGTATTTGATCTACCATACCTGAGAAAACGCTAAGAATATCCACTTTTGAAAAGTTGATTGTCACTAGATACTAAATAAGATTTGACATAAATTGTTGAAGCGGCATTTATGCAGAATATTGCCATATCTTGATGATCACTGAGCAATTAATTTGAGGGCAATAGACTCACTCTTCCAAAGAAATATTCTAATCTTCTCCGTAACTCAGCCAAATCACAAATTGAAAGGATGTGTTGGAATGAACCATTGAACAACTGAAGTGAAATGTTTAAATTTTCATTAGAAGATATTTGATTTTAGTTCACATGAAATGATCTTACATTACCTTGAACATCTGATAGGTTTGCTTCAAAACTGATCGTAAAACTGTATCCTATAAAGTAAAATATATTCTTACCAGTTGTTGAGAACTTAGATTGTATGCTAAGAAAGACAATCAAACTAAACTTACATGAACATCTTCACTGTGATAATGTCGTTCAGGTTCTTTACCAGCGCTGTCCACAATCTTCTCACTGAAGGGAATAGTCACCGTCTGAGAAGAAAATATCATACAATTTTGATAAACTGTTTTAAAAAGGAAGATACAAGAGATTGGTCAAAGCCCATCATTTAAAAAAGTTAATAAATAGAAGATATAAAAATTGCAAGCCCAATATCTGGCTTGTGATGGAGGTTTCGACGCTGGCCACCACACATACCATGATCATCCAGTAATCTTTCTCTGGTTCATAAAAAACCTGTCTTGTCTTTTGAGTATGAACTGACTCACATGGTTTGTCTGGAGTGAACTGCCTGAAATATAACTACAATATTTACCAACTATGGAGAATATTAGGACAGACTAACAGCTCATTAGTCACATACTCAGTAAATTTCACAATTGCCTCGCAAAGTCCAACATTTCTGATTTTCTTTTCTATATCCTCTTCAGCAGGAAGGTAAAGTAAGATCTTCTCTTTTTCCTGAAACAATCACATGACGAAAGGGGCTTCAACTGGGTTTCAATCTGGGTTTTCTGCACTTTGTATTTTACATTGAGGTTGTATTTATTTCACGGGTGAAATAAAGAGAACACTGTCACTGACTCGCTGAGTAGGATTTCCAGAGCTCTATTTTTTATCTTTAGTTTAAAGGCAATAATACTCCGTCTATTTTAGCCTTATGCAGAAAAAGATTAAAAACCAAATTATGGTTTAATACTTGTAGCATAAAATGCATTTCATACCATGCCTTCCTTTGGTCCTAATGTCGAGTTATAGATAAAAAAGTTACGAAATTCTGGAGAAGTTTTACTCAAGGTCGCCATTTTGGATTTTGCTCCAGCTAGGCACAGTCTTCTTCGCCTCCTTGCGGTAAAATGAGCTCTGGGACATCCTTTCACTTGAAATGGATCATTTCAACAATATTGACGCCATTCCGGAAATCGCAAAGCATTGTTGTTCAATTACTGTGTGGCATGTACCGTATGTTGCTGTTTTGTCCGTACATAAGTGTGCATGAGAAAGCAAGGACGTTGTAATACTCAGCTTATTCGGCTCTAATAGACACGCTCTGAAAATGTGTTGCAAAAATTTATTGATTTCATTACCTTTCTAATTAATATAGTATTTCACGAATGTAAGCTATAAGTGCTAATTTCTAGGTAATTAACCCGCTAATGATTAGAAATTAAGAGCATTATGTTAGTATCTGAAGGCATAAGGCTACACAACACGTACAAAATGTTGAAAACGAGAAGAACACGCGAGTGCAAGAATTTAACCAAGTGCTAATATTCATGCATCTTCATGCACAATGAATGCTATGATTTATCAAATGGTCAAGCCATATCCAGATCGAATCCTTTAACCTTTCATCCTAAAACCACTCATGAGAAAAAATTGAAAGGCTAAAAGGTAAAATTACAGCTCACTGAGATGCTGGCCGGGTATTTAGGACCTATCCCAATTCCCAATTCCCGAAGTCTGAATGCTTCTAAGAGGCTTGTCCTATTTCAAATATTTGGGATACGAGTATTTGGATGCAGTGATTTAACTGGTATGGCTTGTAAATATATCCTATAGTAATATATGTATATGACATTTTACAATGATGTCTTTTATCTCTAGTCATTGAGCACATCTAACCCTGTTTGCAAAGAAAATGCCTCAGAAATGACTTATTATTGTACGTTTACACACTTACACACCCTAAAACCTGATTTTCATAAAGCCGCCTGGCGTGTCTCTGTTGTCAACATTTCAATCTCAGTTCTGCATTGGAGCGTTATAATATATCTTAAACTGATTTGTAAAACATTTTTCAGTCCATTGTTTTACATTGCAAAATACGATTTCATTTAAGACAACATTTACGGCAAAATGAAAACCAGGTATATTTGAAAACGCGGTAAAAGGTCTAATTTATGTCAGCCATAACTAGAAATTATAAGTAGGTCTTGCCACGTTTATCGTTATGTTGATGAAGTTTCGTTTCAGCGATAAGCTCTTCCCTCTTCTTCTTTAGCACCAGAGTGCTGGGCATATCTGGAATGGCCCATGCTATGAATTTCTTGAGGAAGGACATACTGAACTGGAAGATGAAAATGAATGCAAAACGACCAGCCATGATTTGCCAGTGTTGTTTAGTGTACGGTTCGCCTGCTTCTGTTTCTCGATAGCCAATGTATCTGGAGGAAGAAGTCAGGTTAGTGCTGGTGATAGTGAGGATTATGATGTTGATGAACTGACTAAACTGATGGCAACAATGATGAACTGATGGGAATAATGGTGGACTGAAGGTGGTAATGATAGTTTGAAGATAATGATGGATTGAAGATGATAATAATAATGGATTAAAGGTGACAATAATGCATAAATGCTTGCGATAATGGATTGAAGGTAATGATAATGGATTGAAGGTAATGATGATGGATTGAAGGTAATGATGGACTGACACTGATAACGATTAACAGATGGCAATGTGGCAGCTCTGATGACTAAAATTAAAAGGTGACAGTACGAACAATATACAATGAAAGTACCTCTTGGGTATCGGGAAATTACGTTTAAAATCTTTGAAAATAATACCTGCAGGTTGAAGGAGGCACTTTAATGCTACCAGTCGCATACCGCTCTTGAGGTCTGGATGAATTTGTCCAGAGAGAGGTGTCGAAATAAGAGAGACTGTTGTTCAGATATCCATCAAGAGAGCCATCGTCACTATAGCTATACTTGTAAACCATCTTTGCGATGAAATCAGACGTGAAGGCAATTACAAAAGCGTTAACAAGAACAGAGAAACTGGATAAGGCATCAATGATTGGATACCACGCCCCGATATCCTCTGCCATTTTAGGACTGGGACGACGCTGATCGCGAATGAAATTGATGGCGTCAACTCGGATCTCCAGAACCCCGTTGGCGAAAGCAAAGAGTGGAGCGAGCGGAAAGGCCGCGACAAACATCATCACAAAACCAAGTTGCAAAACTGTGGAAAAAATATTGAGATAAACATATTTATTTATACTGGATAGCTCTATCAGTTCTAAACTGTTCTTCCTAGAGGTCCAGTAAGGATCATCTCTACTAAACGCAGGAGAGAAGATACATACCAACTTCAAGATACTCCCAAAACATTGTCCCTTCTGTTGCCGGCAGAAAGTAATCTTGTTCCCACTGTGGGAGATGTGTAATACTGGCCTTCTCAGTCTTTCGTTCGTTCCACAATTTCATCAGGTATCTGAAATAGATCACATAGGATTCTTATAAAAATTTACTTGTGAAGTGAAACTCGTATGTAACTTATTTAAAGATTAAGATCTTCCCTCGTGTGTGGGGAACTAGCCTGTGGACTTTTTGAAAATATATAAAAGAGTATTCTTCATCCGAAAATGGTACTGTAGGTCAGTAGGTAGAGTGCAAAACAAAGTTTGTAACTTACGGTATCATAACTTCAGTGAAATTACTGATAATTTGTTGTCCAACCATGATGATTACCAGCTGAATACACAACTCAACCAAACAACCCTGAGGTCCACAACCGTCCAATCGCCATTTACCGAAGGCTCTCCGATAATGTCCTGGGGTGCCAACGAATAGGTTAATCTTGAAGAAAGCGATGTAAAACAGGGAGGAATACATGTTTACGAATTGATAAATGTACATTTTGATGGTGTAACTATCTTCCCAGTCCGTTTGTGTTCGAGGATTCTGCCAGTTTGTCAGCCAGAGTGCGACGTATTGGTAAAGAAACTTGAGCAAATTAATGGCGATCAGGTTGATTACAGCTGCGGTCATGGAGGTTATGACTTTGGCATTATGCCGTACATTTTTGTCATCACTTGATGCAGAAGCTGCAAACACCGCAGCACGATACACGACAACAGCGATGACGGCAAAGATCACGAGTGTTATCATGAAGAAAACGATACTGAAGACGCCAGCGTATTTCTTGTACAGGGTTTTGTTCGGAGTGTAGGGTTCCATACGACCTGTAGCAGGATTCTCTTTGAGGGTCGTCACAACAGCCGCGTACTCAGGGCGGACCTGTTCTTCGACTTCCTCAAAATCACAGGTATGCCATTTGTACGCCAAGATATTCTGCTGACGTTTCCAAAATTCAAGGAACAACGTGGACCAAATCGCCATGATGCAGGCGAACGCAATCGAGAAATTGTTGTCGAAGAAATGTGCGACTTGCATGTAGGTGCAAGTGTCGCTCAGGAGCCAGTACCAACATTGCTTGTCACAGAGCGGACACATGGTATAATTACTCTTTTTATCTTTACAATCTACAACAGGAGGGTAACTACCCGAGTCAATAACGCCATAAAGAAACGCGATGAATCCAATCAGAGCAACTGGTGCCAACATGGTGCAGTAGTAGCCCAGCCAAGAGAAATATAACCCTATGGAAGTCCCAAGGTAATCCTTGATTGCATCCAGAGGCTGGAACTTGTACCATTTCCCAAATTTCGCCCATTCAGAGCGCAACGCTTGACGAGTATTCGAAGGTGCACTATCCTCGGGGATCTCACACGGACCATCGTGAAGTGGATACGTTCCTGTGAAGGCTTTGCTATACACGAGCTTTGCTAACCCAATATCGTGATCTTTATTTTCCGAGAATGGCGTCTGACCCATTATTCGTTCCACCATACGAATCCTGTCCGTCGGACTGAAGAAAGTTTCCTGATTTTCCACACCAAGAAACTGCCGCTCGTGTTCCTTGGTAAAATAAGCTGTGAAGTATTTCTTGTCGTCAGGAATAATATTTGTATCATATACCATTGGGTTCTTCTCCCGAATACTTTCCACAAGCTGTTCTCCCAACAAGGTCTCCAAGGTGGACATAATCTTGATGTCTGATTCTTGAAGAGGCATTCTCAGGAACATTTCCTCCGCCATTTTTGTGCAAACATCCCACGGAGCGTGGATCTTCACGAAATATACTGTTGGGTCTTTTTTGTTTTCGTTGTCATCCTAAAGGAAAAGAGTTGGATCATTTACTGTTACATATTGCAACAAGTATTCGTTCATCTTGGGGGGAAAGACATCTCACACGAAACAATTTAACGTTAAAATCTTTTTAATGATAACGGTGACGCGAAAAGCCTCGTGTTTGATTGGCTCGTGAACTTTGAAAAAAGACGAAAAGGAGACGACGATTTCCTCCTTATTAGGGGAATGCATAAATCATGCTTTCAAATGAATGAAAACAAATATTAACAGTGGGTATTCTTTATGTGTGAACACCTGGCGAAAAGCTGCACTCGAATATAACAAAATTTTGCAACAACAAATTTTATAAAACACGACCGGCTGAGCCTGGGACACCGAAAACTTTGAACCAAATACCCTGTTATAATGATGATTCAATGACGAGGAATATTTGTAATTTTAAAAAGATAATAAGAATATAACGTGTCCACTTTACAATGTTAATTTGCATCTGTAATTTTACATAAATGTTCTTTTAAAAAAGCGTTAAAATTCCCTGAATTTTTTTTTTCAATTCTTAATTTCGCAAAGCCAGGATAAGATCACTGTCTTCAAGTCACAGGTATTCAGCCAAACTTTTGAAAGTTAAAGCTGACAATATATGCCCGGAATTGCACTGTGAGGATTCTTTCACACGGTACCGGATGTGATAGTTGACGATTTCGTCTTTTGCCATTATGGAGCAACGATTATTAAGAAATGCTTTTTAATTCGATAGATTTTGTGTGTTTATTCAAATCCCGGGCATTAAAAATTTCCAAAACTTGACGGTCTTGACCTGTTCCTATTTTCCGGGGCCTGACATGGTTTGAATATGAGCATTATTTGCTCTATGTAAACTGTTTCCGTCTACATCTGCATCAAATGACCTCTGAAATCCGAGACGTAAAACTGCAAATGTTAGGTAACAGGATAGATCACTTGTCAGAGAGGTTGAAATATTCACACGGGCATTGAATACATTCCTGTCATTTTTGGATTCCTATCTTAAAATCAGGGTTAATTCACATCATTTCTTAATACGTGATACTAATACAAACGAAACCAGTTTCAAACGACGTGCTAAATGTTGACAAGATCACCGATGATTGCTTTCAACTTGCCAATATACTCGCAAGAGTTTGATTCTAAAATTGGCTCGACCTATGACTTGACAAATCGCTGCAACAAATTGAAACAATGTTTTGTATTGAATTGATTCTAGACTCTTCTTAGGATATTTCAACCTACATTATTGAGTACAATTTATTTCTATTCAAGTACTATCTAAATCGTCTTTTCGAGTTAGATAGGAGTAGAAATATCATGGACAAGGAGCTCAATTCAAAACAACTTGTGGGGGTCATATTGTTCATTCGAGAAGGTCGTACGCTGTTGTCATGCGAGCAAAGTTAATAAAAGAATAAGAAGAATAATACCTCAGGCTCAGATTTAGCACCGACTAATTGATCAATCTCAACAACCAAGTCAGCTGCTTTCAAACCATCGATGTAAAAATCACGAATCTTTCTTTTATCTTCTTCCTCTTGCTGCTCCTTTTCAGAGTCCAGGGTCGAAGGATCAGGCACTTCATAAACCAGCACCATATCCACAACGCTCTTGCCATCTCGCATCTTGTTCTTCGTCGGTTCTGCGTTCACCGAAGGCGAAGCCATGTTTTGCCCGTCGTCTTCAGCTGGATGTTGAACTTGATGCTCAAGGAGAATAGCACCTTCGTCTAAAGAGGACGTATTGGTTTCAGGATCGTTTCCAACCTCTTTCTTGGGTTGATATTTAACCGAAGGGTGGTTCTCCCCCGTAGACATTTTTGTAATGTGTGGCAAATGCCAGAAGATACGAGCAAACCCCGCCTTTTACGCCCACGTTGCAAGTTGCAACAATGTTTTGAATTGTTCAGACACAACTCGTTTACAACACTCAGTGACGGTGTAGTTATATGACTGACATTCACATCATCCGCTATCGCGGGTTCAATCTATCTTAGAGCCTTGCTACTTTAGACATTTAACTGTACAAACACTGCTACACCTCACATTAAATATGTAAAAACATGCAGAAATGCTTTTACTGAATATTGATGACATGTGTTGGATCCCGCACAGATATTGTGCTTGAAAGATTGTTTTGAATGTCTCGGTCGGTGATTTTTCGCGTTTGAAAGAAAGCAATATTGTCCAGTTTACGCACGAGAGATATGATGCTTTGAAATATGCAAATGCATGCTGAATCAACGACTGAAAAGTCAAGACCTTTGATAAAAACATTGACGTAACGTTCTTCGCAAGTAAGCTCTACTATACAACGATTATAATTCTTTTTTGCCAAAAGAATGTTAATGGTTTCATTCTCTTGTCTTGTTGACACAAGTTTTACTTGTATCCTCGTGATTTCAAAAGGCAATTGTTGTTTGTTTGGGTACACAACTTTACATCAGTATTTGATATAATGTAACTCTATAAAACGTTTGTTTCATAATGGTTTTATACAGAAATTGCGGACATGGAATTTTCTATACAATCGTTGCTTTAAATGGTTCATAAGATGATAAGAAAGCCAAACAGAAGACTCGAATTTGGACGTTTGGAATTTGAACGGTCTTCACGTTACACGAGTCTCTCAAAGATCACTAATAACACAGCGTTGCAAAACCAACATGTAAGTTGCAGCTCCGTGGAGACCTGACAATCATTTTTAAACTTCAAGTTAATAACGTCAATATATTTACTTTGACGTAGAACGATTTAGAGACTTTCATTAAAATATTAACGACAAAATCTTGTCATATTTGCATTAGAAATTGTAAAACTGAATTGAAATGACTCGCAGAGTACGAACTAGGTTCATATGTGATCCAAAATGGTCGCACTTTTTATTTGCAGTATCTGTACTTAACGTATGGCATGCAGTGTTGGAAATATCATTTATTATCTATTTATTTTATTACCAGATTGCATTGTTCGAGTAACATAATATTATTCATTTCGCATTCTATACCGCAGCCATGATCGTGTTTAGATTTGGACTAAGATGATCTACCAATACGAAGATGATGATCTACCATGTATCAAAATCTCCAGTAGGTTCAATGCGCGAGTTTCCTGGCAAACTATTTACATTCAATCTATGATTTGTAGACTGAATATTATGTTTATCTTCAGTTTAACAAAATCTACCTACTTCTCAGACCAATCGACTCTTTCTCAGCGTTTTCCTCATTCATTATACACAAGTTAGCAGTGCTGACAACTTATAAATCCTCAAACTCTCTTCATATAGTTGAAAACACGAGAATATCAGTACCCTTTGAGAATATCTATCCTCTTACAAAAGCAAGCATATATTGTATATTATGCAGCACGATTAAAAAGGTCATTTATGACATATTAACAGTGTTTGTGGCTTGATCTTGAAAGGTCTTGTGACCTTTGTAATTAGAAATGTAAATCATGTTTGCACGCTCTGGTATGTGAGCAAGGTGCTAGGTTGTTCTATATAGACAAGCTAAACAGCTTTGTCCAGGATTGGACAGATCACTGAAATTATATGAATAATGCTCGTGCAAAGCACATTGTTCATAACAAAATATTCTGGACTAAACGAAAGAGACTAATTTTTAAAAATATAGACCCGTTTTCCAGCGTGTTCACGAAATCGGTTTTTGGCAACGGCAGCGTTGAAATGACGTTTACAAATAAACTTCCCCGCCGAAGAATAGTATGACTTGTTCTGAATTGATGTCGTTTTGTTTGCCATGATAAGGTTTACTAAACTTTATATATACACAAGGTTTTTAATGAGCTAGTTTTGTACCATCACTTGTGTGTATACATATAAATATAATTCATAGCTGTATTTGAACGGCCATAATGTTTATAATCATCGCCCCACATGCATGGTGATATTCGAGGTGAAAAGAATCTGACGAATCGATGGTTTAACTATTACAGATAAAGTACATAATATCCACACAAAACGCACTACTACATCCAGAGGGAAATAATAGTAAACTATATATGCTGTGAATACAACATATAGCGTTGCACGGTGCCTGACTTCACTTGTCAGAGCGGGCAACCAATAAAACTCATTCAAATATTTTACCTTTCTTCTGAGTAGTCTCTGTCTCCATTCCTAGACCTGTCTTAATCAACAATACGATCAAACTTTTATAAAATCCGTGAATTTGATGGCTGAACCTCCTTCTCAACTCATCAATGGCGAGGAACACTAATCGTTGTGGGTGTTGGTTCGTCAGACTATGACAGAATTGATATTTGAAACTTCCTCGATTTTATATCCCGCTGTTCGTAAACAATCGCTCACGGTATAGACATTTGAATGACATAATTACACAGCATTCGGTGCCGTGTTATTGTTGTATATGCATAAAAGAAAACTCCCAAATTTGTGCCTTCCCATCTCAATAATCATACAAACAAACTTTGGTGCAGAATGGTATTGTTTTGGTACTTCGTAAAGTTATACCATGCAAATTCAAAGAAGTAATTAAGCTTAGATGCGTCTCGAAACTTATAAAACAATTAAACAAGGATTGTTTATAAAGACTAAAGTATATTTATAGTAATAAATTAAAATATAAAGATGCTTTCAAACATTTATTCTGACATATTTAAGGGATAACTTTTAAGGCAATAATATCAATGAACATCAATCGTGATGTTGTAAATGATGATTTTTAACGTCGACACAATCCAATCGCAGAGTTAATAGTTCTAGGAGATGCACTCATGAATTTTTCATTTTGATTAAACTAGCTTGGTTCAAGCCTAAATCATATTGAATCTAAAGTCTCACAGACCACATCACATGATCGTGATAAGCCGAGTTTTATTCAGAAATGGTAGAATGAGATGTACGTTGTTGTTTTCGTGGACTTTTATTTGCTTTTAAATTAAAATATAAGTTGCAGGGAAAAATCACGAGCACTTTGCTGTAAGGGTTGCCGATTGAATTTAACTTGAATTGAATTTAACTAGCAGCAGAGAATGCCTCTTCAACGATGCTTGTAAGAAATGGATAGCAGCGAAAAAAGAGCGGCAAATCTTACAAGATCTTTACTAGACCATGCGACCATTTTCTTCTCCATTAGTATAAAGACCACTGCTCATGCAGTGGCGATGCTCAACCATGCACGTCTTTAAATAGAGCAATACAAAATGAATCCTACCTTTATGAGAAGGAACTGGAGAATAACGAACCCCTGAGTGAGGATTGGGGTTGTTATTTACAGCTGTTGATGACGAAGAGTTTCCCATATATCAAGGTATGGACAACCAATTCACCTCGAGCTGACGAAATGAATGCAAAGTGCGGGTGCGTGTGACGAATATGTGTTTTGGACTTTCAAGATTTTGAATAAATTGAACGCCCCGTTAACTCTCGACCGCACAAGTCAAAAACACGACGTAACTTTGCTGTAAAATCGCTGGTCAATGGTCATAATAGGAAAGGCCGCTGTATTACACTGTCAGTGTTTCTCAAGACTCATTAGATTTCATTACATTCCTCCTAAAGTCGTTAGATGATTCGAGAGAGTTTCAGCTGGCTGATTGATTTTATGTACTGCTCTTAAAGCTGTTGGCTTTTTCCCCCTAACATTTTCCGACGTAACCGATTGCCAACGACCGGCCGACAACTTATTATTTTCTAATTGTCAATTTTTTCCCCTCCTGGCGAAAGCCAATGAGGGCGGCTATTTATATTGGTGTGCTTTCGACTTTTTTATGCGAAAAAAATTTCACTTTTGTTTCGGGTCGCTGGAAAACAATCAACTGGGGTTCCTGTCAGTATTGACTCCAGTCCAGTGTTCATGCATGATAATATTTCAGTATGACACTAATATGTACAAATGTACATTTGAATTTTGAAAATGTACAATTATTGTACAAAAACAATGATGAAACTTTCTTTCAATGTTTATTTGCTTGGTGAATAGTTGAATGATCAGAGAGAACTCACTTGAGAATTGTCAATGGTTAGTAAAGTGTCAAACAAGCCCAACTGCTCTGAGAGATTAACCTGATAGAATGAATGAGATTTTGCCAATTTTCAATTCCAAAGGATGCATGGTCTTCAGTGTGAGGATTCTCAACACTCAACAGGTGGCAGAACTTTACTTATCCGAGTAACAAAATATTGACAATATTCTTCTTGTTTGAGCAATCGTTTTCGCTCGGAGACATGAAATTATCTAACATTGTTTAGTTTAATTTTCCTGCATGAAATGAATGATTTCGGAAGTTGACAAACTCGCGGAAGATCAGTCAGGCATTCAGCCGACTAAACTGACGTTAGCTGTGCTCAAAAAATGACAACATTCAATATCGTAGACGATAGACCACCGCCTGTATAATTAGCTGGAGATTATGACAGCATAAACATCAAGAATTACTTCTTAATGTCTGCATGCAGTGCTTTAAAGCTGTGGTCTAGGACTCTAGATGCCCGAAGATGCAAGTTCTGAATTTGATATGAACTGCGAAGCAAACTGTGAGACTTTATCGTCTTTATCGCGGCTATGGTCTATGGAAGCACAGCACTTACAGGAACACTCAAACCACTGAGAATGTCGAACCAAAGGATTTCATTTGTGCAAAAACTTGAAAAGCCTGAACGGGCATGCACAGTCAAACCATTATATATATCAAAGTGTATAGATAGGTATATGCTAAGTTACGATGTCAGGCATGGATGACAATGGTCAGTCATAAACCCGACAAGGTGTCTTCTTGTACATACAAACATGTACATTCACACGAGCTGTAAACAGGAATTACTATCCAAGCACTGGCAATAAACCTTAAGTATTCTATTATATATAAAGTATATCTACAATATCTACCAGATGAGATGATACTAGTCAAACTATACTAATACAATCAAGCGAGCATCATGCAGACAGAGTTGATTATACACAAATTCACCGAGATTGTTGTAAAAAGAATAAGCTTTCGTACCATTAGAGATTTCATTGGTTGGATTCTTCATCGATTGGTAACCCGTAGGATTGTTATTTAACTGAGTGCTTTCATTCTCTTCGTTTCGTTCAGCCATATTTCAGGCACAATTCAAGAAAATGTAGAAGACTTGAACAATCTATTCTTGAACTAGCGAAGTGACCCTTAACCCTGCAATCTTTTACATTACTAATATGGTTTAAAACCAGTCATCCTCACTTCCTATTGGTTCATCTTAGTATAGATTTACATAAATATTTTCGTCCTAATCTTGTCACGAGGAAGCTTGCATAATTCATGCTTTAGGGACATGATCTAGAAACAACTCGACCAACTTGACCAGGTATCATAAGTTAGGACTGATGTAATCTTGAGACCGCTTTATCGTGCACTAGTATAACTTAAAAATTTGGTTAGTATATCAAAGGTATGCATGATTATGTATGATTTCACGAGGTGACCTTATTGGGCGATTACTAAATTTCGCAAGAAATGACCATGTTTCTTGTTGACAGATAAACAAAAATTACAGAACCACATGCACAGGCGTTATCCTGAAAAACATCTTCAGCAAAGAAACTTGGAAAGTCTAAACCTTCTCAAAGAAATGTCATTAACGTTCACAAAACGTCTTTCCTATTTAATAAAAAATAAAACCAATAACTTTTATATTCCCCTGATTCACCTGCGCTATGCATGGTTTTCAAATACGATGAAAAAATTGTCAGTTGATGAGATTTGAAGATAGAGATGAAAACTGATGTTTTTCTTTTGTGTTTTTGTTAATAACACGACTAAAGTTTCAGAAGTGAAGTTTTCAAGTTGTTGTTGTTTCTGGTCCGATGAAAAACAAGCATTTATATGTTTGAACAAGTTGTAACAACATAGTTGACAGGGTTGTTCGTGATAGACGACACCACAGCCATTCTTGAATGTTGCTTAGTTTCATCAACCAGAACCTTGTCAACCAGAGTGTAAGAACTCACTAATACCTATCCCCAAACTACGTTAAATTGAAAAAGGGAAAGTCGCAGAACGAGGTCTCATTCCTTGAATGATATTCTCGTCACACACGACTATGTCCGTGTCTAGTTTCGCCGGTTGGCTCCCTGCTACCGGGGAACACGACTCCTCTTCCTCAGGAACATCCGCAAGATACGATGCCATGGTATCAGGTGACGTCAACGAACGTGGTCGTTTTACTTCGAGATCTTTCGGAAAAGGATCGTGGATAAATCGTAGCGAAGCGAGAGGCATTCTTTGTAGATTAAGATGACATTTTGCGCGAAGCAGTTTTACTTTCGACTCGAGTTTTTGTCTCCGCGCACTGTAGCTTTGGGGAAGCTCAGTGCTTGATAGATCATGTAGAAAGGTTTCAACTTCTAAAAAACAATATTTACAAGATATTAAAACAGTTGAAAGCGGTTATCTTTTTCTTTGTAAAAACCCGACACGTTTACTATAAACCAAGAGAAGATCAGCCAAATTGGCGTTAAAACCGCTGAGAATCTCATATCTTATCAAATATCTTTGCGTCTACGTCAATTTATCAAGTATCGCAAACAACTTCTTTTCTATTATTTGAAAGCCATTACGCTGATCGAGTCGCGTCAATACAAGTTATAATTGTCACGATATTGACGATTTTAGATTGCTCTCTCGTGCCTAGTGTTGATGATAAAACGCATGCACATAAACAATGCACACCTTATTGGCAAAGTTTTTTTCATAATTCGTGTCTACAGGCGAGGTCTACTGCTTTGTTCTGACCGCTGTTAAAAGACGATGATTGATAATATGAAGATAGTGATTTTGATCCCATTTTTTTTCTTTATAAATTCTCAAAATTTCCATTTTCAAATATAACAACATCATTTCACTAAACAAACAAACTGGAGACTTCTATAAAAAGCAATATGCTGGTAACAGTATAATTAAAAACTTTTTTTAAACATTTGCACAAAAGAAATGTTTTTAAACTGAACACTGTCTTTTCTTTCGTTATATTAAAATGTGCATCAACAAACAATATAAAAAATATTGAAGTTTGAAACGGAGTAAAAATAGCTTGCATTAGCAGATTAATAACATGAAGTATTCATACTGATTATAGAATCTATTTTTGAACGAGGTTGAGAAAAAACAGATTTTGCTATCTGCTGAAATCCTGAAGAGCAAATTGAAAATATCATTTATAATTCATGAGTAAACATTGTATATTTGAAGTTGTAGATCTTTGTAAGGAAGTCTCTCAATCTATGTATGAACGACTGGGATTTTCAAAGTGTTATTGAAATATTGAACGGATTAGGGTGATATATCGTCAAAAAAGAGTTGTTTTTTGTGGGGACAATGGTAAATAAACGCGCTGCAAATACCTAATTACAAAGCAAGCCAAAATTGGCCAATAACCAATTGGCAACGACGCAAGTCTTTTTCGCATTTGCACCTTAAAAGCTAAACAACAGCTTGGCCAATGTAAATATGCTTCAAGCCTTCAATATTATTATTTGCCTTTGGCTTTAGATGGAGCTGCGTGTCTCGAAAAAAATGAGATGCAAGATATTTGCATGAAGTCAACAGTCACTCGCTTCGAAACGGATGCCTAATATCGCTGTATCACTCCACGCTGGCAAAATTGATATGTCGAACATAGAACAGCGTTTAGGATCAGCCAAATCCAGATTAATCCCTTCACAAATTCATTTGAACAATTAAAATTTTGTTGCTCAAGAGTTTTGTTAAGGCTTGCTGTCTGAGCAAGTGACCTGCAGTTCAGCAGCTATATATGTACACTCCAGCCCTGTTCAAAAAAGGTCAGTCTGCTGCCCCGGCTGAGATAATTGCCTTCCCAGACATACATTTCGGATTAACTGAATACGGCTGATGTTATAAAGCTGTTCACCCTGCCTCAAAGAACGGACAAATTGATTAAATTCCTAAGCGTTTTCATTAAGATACGGACAGCCCTAGGAATGTTTAGGCAATGGAAAATGTCAAGAGCTGAAATTTAAAACTTTCAAAGCCATTTCTGATCATTTAACAGTGAACATCGCGTACAAATTTACCTGCAAGGATTGAGTCCACTTCGTGTTGCAGCCTTTCAGAATTCCTCATCCCTGCGTTGGAGATCTTCTACCCTGAAGCCTGCGAATGACTTCACAAACAATTGACAATGAATGGAAATCGAAAGGGTTATACCCAGCAAGCGAATATAAGCAAACAGAACGAGATAATCAATAGCACTTTTGAGGCATTCCCGCAATAACGTAAGCTCTGTTTGACAATGTATTTAAAAACTCACACGACGGGAGGGCGGAAGATAAACAAATTATAAATGACGATTATTCCTTCCTGTAGAAAAATACTGTCACAAAATTAGACGAGATCGTATCTCGATACTTTGACACAACGCTATTTCCATAAATGTTCAGCGTCCTGTCACCTGCGAAATAAGCGTTGTTATGGAAACTATATTACCATATTTTCTACAAAACATCCGTCTCACTTACGCCGATAAAGAATCTTAAAACCTTTAAAAATGCTCGTTCATGCTGATAATTAAATACACGATTTCATTTGCTTGTTTTTAATAATTCAGCGTGCTGCGTTGTCTATGATTAATTTACATTTAAGAAAAATCTACAACGCTATTCTATTAAGATTTTACAATTATTTTCCTCTTCCTACCTTAAGGTCTTAAAACTGAATCTTTCTTTAAAAACTAGATCGAAGAAATGAACTATTAATATTCATTTCAAATTATTGAGACTAGCCGTGACTCTGGACGTATGTACAACTATGATAAGCAGTTTTTAAAGGAGTTTTTTTCAAGGGATAATGGTGAGTCTTTACGGATATATACTGACCTAATAATGATGAGTGTAAAATACCCATAATTTGTTATGAATGTTTCATTTTCTTGCCCCAAAAACTAAACATTTCTAAAGGCTTGTTTTTCACTCAGGAGAAATAACCACAGGACCACAAAATAAAGTAGTACTTCAGGGCAACCTCAGACGGCCTCGAACCCAGGCCCTAGACACAGCGTGGCTTGAGGTTGAATAGAACTCGTTGTATCTGTCAGTTCTCGATGAGAACCCATGGTTTTAATCTGGCCCTGAGGATCATTCTTTCGAGTGGAAACAAACCATTATGGCTAATCGAACACCTACCATGCAGAAAACTTAGTGTAATCTGAAATTTCCAGCTTTTCAGAATTCCAATCACATCTCGTATGCGGGCATGATATAATTCCTGGGTACGAGACCAACGCGAATATCCGGGATATCCATTAGGGAGGCAACCCACCAATCACTGTTCGGTATCTTCTCTCGGATGTAGAGATAATTTCCGCGGGAAAATGCCAAGTCGTCGTCATCATCGGCAGCACAGTTCCACATCGCGACATAAACCTTATGAAAATTAACAAAAATAAATAAACCAGGTAAAGTGTCGACATTTTTAGTGTTCGTTTGAAAAGCCAATCTCACTTGTGAAGGAAATGCTGGAAGCATTTGAACCCCCCTTCCCCCCTTTCCCCTTGTAAAATCAGGAAACGTTTGCCTCTGCAGCTAACAGCTAGTAAAATACGAAATTTTGCTCAAGGAAAGTGTTCCTTGTCGTATAAAACTACCTCAGTATTCGGCGCTGAAGATAACGAAAGATAAGCACACTACAGTGGTTTTATATTGACCAGTGGCTTAGTAATCCTACCTTATTATAATCAAATTGTTCGCCAGGTTTCAAAGGTTTTGTCTTGACTGGTGGTAAGACTTCAGGTTTCGGCGCTGGTTCCGTCTTAGGCTCAGGTTCAGGCTCCGGCTCGCTCTCAGAGGGACTGGGTTGGGATTTTTTCGTCAGTGTTGGCGTGGTTCTCGTTGGTAACGTTGGTGGTCCTTTCTTTGCTCCGGGAGTGGCACGAGGGGGCAGGTGGGGGACATCTTGGGACGACGTTGGTCGCGGGGGTAATGTAGGGGATGATGATGGCTTTGCACGATTGACGACTGTCATGGAAAAATATACAGATTTTAAAGTTTTACCTATTATGATGGTGTAGTATGGATTGTACGTCACTGAGGTCAAGCTATGGAAAGATAAATCTAAATTAAGGCTTGAGAAATCAAAGTTTAGTCATAGAAATAATAGACAAATGAAGAGGGTACACATTGACGATGGTTTACAATTCTCACCTGGCGGTGGTTTCTCTTCATCTTTTGATTTTCCTAAAAAACAACTCAGTTGAAATCATCTCTTCCATGCGCTAGTTTCTCAAGCATAAACAAGCACAACTAGAGTCAAAACTATAGAAATCCTACCTCCAGGTGTTGGAGCACTTGAGTCAGTTTCATAGTCTTCCATTTCATCATCAACTTTCTCAAATTCTTCTTCTTCATCGTCTTGCGCTGGTGTTGCTGCTTTTCCTGCTGCTGCTGGTACACGGGCTGGTAGGATTGGCGCGTTGCCCGAGGATCCTGATGTCTCTGGTAAAAATTGATCAGTCAATTCATACAATTCTACCAAATCAAGCAATCCTATCGCACCTGCTGATGATTTAACAATCAAACTGGATTCTAATCGTATGCCATCATGAGTTGAAATGCGGTATCGTTGCTGCTTGCAACGTATCATCAAGACTGACAAACACGTTTTCTTCTTTTGATAGATGTGAACGAGTGAAACATTATAAACGCTGTGAGGTGAAGGAAGCCTTATCCCAAGATTCGTAACTTCTTCACTCGTTCACATTGCTCAGAAGAAGGTAATCATATCGCGTTAAAAATCGCAAGGCTCATTTTCAACACACCTTCTGGATCAGCAGAGGATTTATTCTGTTGCATCGTGTCGATACATTCATACAAGTCTTCGCCCTCTTCTACGTCATCGTCGTCATGGACACTCATCTTAACACTATTCTGTCTCATGATCCTGCATTGCTCATCAGAGAGATCAGTTGATAAGGCGGCTCTGATGTGTGTAATCCAGATATCCAGCTCTGACTCCTTCGTCACCTTGAACTGAAAAAAAATAGAAATGTTATTACTTCAACTATCCTACGCTTGCCAACCTCAGCTGAATGTCTGCATTTTCCATGCTTCCAGTAAGGTATTCAATGCCTGCAATATCCTATGAACGGGGAAAATTGTGCAATGGATTAGATTTCTTGGCAAAACCCAACACCATATAGAAAGACCTTCTTGAATTGAGTGAAATTGCACAGTTTGTTCTACGTTACTGCAATCTAGCTTCCATTGGATAGGTCAAGAGACGTTAAAAGAAATCCCCAAAAAACATACCAGGTAGCATCGACTTTCGTTGAGTAGTTCAAAGCACAATTTTTTATCCTTTACTTCAGGAAAGTTGTGGCAACCTTTACGCAGAGTTGATTCACTGGATGGTAAAATGATTTGGCCTTTTTGTTTCTGATCTTTCTTGTTCTCATAATAGTAGAGCGCAAGTGGTGTTAGCACGCAATAACGACGTTGAAACTTCTTAAATAAACCTTTTGATTTGTATTTCTCAAGATCTCCTACAATGCAAAGAAAGTAAGAATGAAAAACAATGGATTTTATAAAAGAAAACCCAGTTCTTATTCAAAAAACACACCTTCGTATATCTTGTCTGTTATGTCCGATGCACGTCTTGGTTCTGTTACACCAGTAGCATCTAATATTTCTGAGTTGTTTGACTTTTTTGATGCTGTTGAAATAGTTGTTGAATAGTTTAGCAATCACTTTGAACATCACATTGTTGTCAAACCAAGAGAACTGAGTTATTGCATGTAGACTGAACCTACATGATCTATTTGCAATGCCTGTATTGATTCCTGGATCAATGTCATCATAAAATTCTTCTGGTTCATCATTTGGTTCTAAATCAAAAATCAGGTTTCTTAGATTTTCGACTAATCATTAGGAGATAAAATGCATGAATGGAAATGTGAAAAACCTGTTTTATTCAGCGCAGCGACATCGTCATATTCTTCTTCGATATCTGGGAAAATATTAAAAAATAATTTTAAAGACATTGTCAGTTTAAAAAACAAATATTTTAAACTTTTTCTACCTTCTGGAGGCTCTGCAGATACAATTTGGGCAACATCGTCATACATTTCTTCACCACCTAAAATTATCACTTGTATTATTCCTGTCATCTTTGCAGCAGGGGTATGGTGGGGAGGGGATGTGTGGGGTGGGTGGGGATGTGTGGGTGGGGAGGGGATGGGTGGGGTGGGGGGGGATGTGTGGGGAGGGGAGGGGATATGTGAGGACAATGCTACAACAAAGCTATATTAAATAGTTTGGCCAGACAACAGTAAGATATTTGAATATCTGAAAGTTTATTTCTTACCAACATCACCTTTAACAACATCATCATACATTTCTTCACCGCCAACTGCAAAGTTCACAACAAAAGACTCATAAAACATATGGAAACCACTAACTCAGGAATACATCCAGATTCATTCAGTTTAGTTGCAGTTTACTTGGCTAATTACTCATACCATCTCATATCTCAGTAGAAGAGTACGCTACTGAGGTTGGCAGAACTATCAGTTAGTGCCAAGGCAACAAGAGAGAAAGAGGGATAGGGACAAAATACCTAGGAGCTGGAAGTATATCATAGTCTACAATAAATTTCATTGTATATTTGTTACCATCATGAGCGGCGACGTCACCATATTCTCCCTCATCAACCTAATTAATCATGATTAAAATAATTACCAAATGTTAAAACCAGTGAGATGCAATATATGATAATGGTTTGTCAGTACAGAGAAGATCATTAAAGCACTGATCACCTGGTTATCATCAGCTGGACTAGGCTTGCTTGGCAATGGGGGAGGAGGCTTCCTCTTGCTTGCATCTTTGTCAGGTAATTTTAGGAATTTTTGCAATTTTTCAGTCAGCTCAAGTCGTTCTTTGTTCACATCACCAGGAAGGTTGTTGACCTTCCCAAGAACCTGAGTTAGGAATCTTTCTACATCTAAAAATATTCAAACTACTTTGAGACTTTCTTGCCAAAAAAAAACAACATTCTCCTGGGACTTAAATGACAAATATTTACGTTTTCCCCCCACAAAAATATGCACCGCTAGTAGAGACAATTTGTGCAATTTAAACATTTGACTGATGAACTCGAAAACTGGTTAAACGATTTATAAACTAAGTAACTGAAATCGTGAAGTATTAGCAAGCTTCTATTTAAAACTCTAAACAAAATTTTATTGCTAAAACAAGGAAGTATTAAACTCGTTGTGTCATAATATAAAATGTATATTATATATACTAATAATGTCTACAAAGTCATCGTTTTCAACCTTATTTCGTATCATAAACCTCGCATAGTTTACAAATAATGTCTTACCTTTTAAAAAAGCCGTTATTTCTTCCATATTTTGTAAAAAAATGAATGTTATTGAATGTTCTTTTATCAAAATTTTACCGCAACTTTCGGTATTTTATTTTCTTACACAACTTCCTGTCTGAGGTACACGTGGGGTTCTTATTCCATTTTTGTGGATATTGCGTGGTAATTTCACTGCGCGTGTATTATTTATAAAGATTATTATTGCACTACAGGTATATAGCTACGATTCCTTACCATAATAATGATATTACAATGGCAACCAAAAAGGCCAGGTCTCTGTCAGATAGAGCTCTGATATCCTGGGGAGGGGAATGATAGCGGGTATATGAGGGGGTTTCCTCCCCTCCACTCGCCGCAGATCAGTGAAGGCAGGTTTTTCTTCGTTATCAGACTTACCTTGCGTGATACCAGCAACAACTGTCTCATCTTCAGCACGATTCTCCTTTGTAATCTCATCATCTGCAGCACATTTCTCATCTTCTGTTATTTCCACATCTTTCTCCGCGCTTACTTGCAGAGGCTGAGCGGCTTCTTGCAGAACCTGGACATGTTCTTCAAAGTTCCAAGTTGTTTCATTCGTCTCGTTCAAAGCATCTTCCGACATTTCCTTGGTGACATTCTCCACATCCATCATATTGGAAGCATCTACATTCATTTCAAGCGATTCTGGTAGCGTTTCCGCTTCTTGATGGCGTTGTTGTTGCTGTTGTGTTTGATTTTCCTTGTCTTGTTTATTCTGTGTCTGTTCAGACTTTCGCTTGTCTTTTGGCTCCTTTTTCTTCTTCTCCTTTTGCTTTTTGTGTAGAACTGAAAAGATATTTTTACCTTTCTTGTCTGCAGGTTTATTCACTTGTTTCTCCGTTGTTTGCTGTTGTTCTTCACGGCTTTGTTGTTCAGTTGCTTCCCCGGGCAAAACTTCATAAAGTTCTTCATTTTCAGTGCCTTCTTGTTGACTGTTTTCACCAGGAATTAATTCGTAAAGTTCTTCTCCCCCTACATCAGCGCTGGTTATTTGACGTTGCTGTTGTTCACTTAGTTGCGAAGCTGTTGGAAGCGGCTGTACTGTGTTAGCATTTGCCACAAAGCCATCGTGCATTTCTTTACTTCCCTCCGCACTCACCCGTTGTTGTTCTTGCTGTTTTCGTCGCAATTGAGGAGGTGTGAGAGGTGGCAATTGTTGTGGAGGGGGAGGCAGCTCCTGAAGCAAGCTTTGTTGTTTTCGTGGAGGTGTTGCTGGAGGTGGTTGCTGTGGTGGTACAGACAAGCCTTGTGTTGTATCGTCGTAAATATCTTGTCCAACCACAATACTTACTGTTGGTTTCTCCGTTTTTTTCGGAGGTTTTGGCGGTGGTAAAACAAATGTTGGGGGCAATATATGTTTGCGTGGACCCTCCTCAGCGGGTAATGCTTCATAGAAACCTTGAATCTCATCTATGTTCGGCTGTGATTGTTGCTGTTCTTGTACAATATCATCATAGATATCTTGCCCGCCATCGAGATTCTCCTCTTGTTGTCGTTTCATCGCTTCTTCCTGCTGCTGCCGCTGTACCTCCTGCAATCGACTCTCATTTTCTCTTATTTTTGTAACAATCTCGGAAATCCTCGAGCCAGAGTTTGTCTTCCCCAGCCCTCCAGCAACTTTCTCCAACGTCGTCATCCACCCTCGTCTGTCATTTGCAGAGATACATTTGAATTCATAGAACTCAACCGGGCTGGCAACTAAAGTAAATCGGAAATCGTAGGAGCTTCTTTTAGCCGTTTTGCATTGAACATTTCGTGTCAACTCGATGACTTTGAGCGCGTTTGGGTTGTCTTCACACGCGTGAAGTATCAGCTGTTTTCCTGTGATGGTAGCCCAGAATTGACCCCAGTTTTCATCGATTGCATTTGTCTTCAGGTAACCACTGCGGTAACATTGTGATTCAACGCTTTCTAGTTCACCAGAATCTGACAAAACGAGATGAAAAGCAAGTCTGGTTGGTTTGATCTTTTACTGTGGATATGGAAATAACTACATATAGATGAACAAGTTATAATACCGAGATTTAAATGTTTTTTTTTAAATATTTCTGACTTACCAATTGACTGCTGATCGGATGCACAATAGAGCTCATTAACACTTTCCTGGGCGAGTGTATTGTTTGCGAATGTTGTACCTTCACTACCTTCACTGGGATTGGTCATTCCCACATAAAACACGTCATCAGTGTCCTCTTCTGATTGGACCAAGGAAACCTCGCTCGTAACTGATTGGCTGTCATCATGGTCGGTGATATTACGTTTGGCCTTCGTACAACACTGCGGGCACGTCATCTGGCAAACGCTACTGGCCGCTGCTGTTAGTGTTTTTATCCATGACTGGCGACGGTTTACATTCGGTGTTTTAAAAAAGTACTCCGTAGTTCCGCTTGTCATTTTACTAATCGCTTCGTATATCGTGAATTTGATGTTTGGCTTAAGCTCAATACGTGTGGCATTTTGTCCTAGGAAATGGTTTTCGGGATCAGACAAAATCAGAATGTTTTTCTCCACAGAAACTTGATTCTTTCACTTATTGTTGCCCGTCAACCTTCAGCAAGCCTCGCTAGGGTCGTCTTTGGATAGGCAGGTACATCATGGTTAATTGGTGTACCTGTTTAATTAAAGATTGCCAAAAGTTGGCACGATTCTCTTGTTATTATCTGCATAAATTGCGACTATATCTGTGAATATAAGCATTCTAATTGTGATATGCTCCTTAAAGCACTTCTTATTGGTATTAATCATTACGTCAATGACACTAGAATATTTTATGAGATTATGAGATATAAACTCACCGTAATCTTTAGGAACTATTCTCGGGATTTCAGGCAAATCCTGCTGGATTTCAGGCAAATCCTGTTGGAGATTAGAGTCATCTGAGATAAAACCAGGATTAGCAAAATCTGGCATAGCACTATGGCGTTTTAAACTTCGTTTGGAAACGTCGAAAGGCGTTTATTGGAGCATCGAACTGCAAGGAGGACGTTGAAACGCGATCTGCGGAATCGGTTTCAAAAGAATAGCCAAAACTATTTTTAGGCGATTTTTGGTTTTTCAATTTACGGTCCATTTGAGGTTCGCTCTGTGATGATTTTAGAGCCCGCAAGTTGGTTATAACGGAGCCGGCTTCACTAACAGGTCTCGCATGTTCACTTTTATTGAACGACTTGAAAATATTTTGTTCCGTCTCGTAGATTTTAAGTGGGAATTGATTTATTTGCCTTCGCTTCCTGCGGATGCTTCGGATTGTTTGTACTTGTTGAATTAAATGTATTTTGAGAAACGATTTCGCCCGGCTGATTGTATAAATTTTCTGTAAAACTTTGCCTTGACGCATCTCTGTTGTTGTCCACATTTATTCCAACCTGCGCCTCATCATTGTTGCAATGCAAAAAAAAGTGTTTCGACAAAAACCTGTCAAAACCATTTCCAGATTATCAAGCCATACCTTTCTCGCTAATTCCGTCTCACATTTTAATACAAATGTCTCGCCGTTTGTAATCTTGAATTGAAAGGTTTGGTCGTTTTTGTTCACGCTTTTACAAAAACTGTCCGCAGTTATCAGGATTAATTTCGGTTCTTCTGAAGCATTCAAAAATGATTCATGGTTTGTAAATAAACGCAGCGAATTTGATCCAAGGATAGCCCAGTATTTTGTCCACACATGCCGAGATTTTTCTTTCTCGAAAAGCTTCAAAGACCCAGAGTGAAACACTTTTTGTTCACTGTTCATCGCGATGGTGAATTGAATAGGCTTTGTTAATTCTTGCACAGTAAAACCCACGCTTAAGCAAATGATTTGAATATTCAAAGTATTCACTTCCGCATACACGCATCCGCAGTTGTTGTCGATGAAATGTTGGTTACCACAGGAGTTCTGGCTCTGGGGAGATAGGTCAATTAAGGTTAAAATTACCCTGGAAAACATTAACCAGATACTGTAGGAGCTGTGCTGATCGGAAACTTGGCTGTACCAATATTTAATTTGCCTACTTCCACAAATTACCATGTAAGGACTAAGCAGAAGATAAAATTCCTTAATAATTGGTCAATTTCGCCAATCTAAACACTCATAGGGAAAGCCTATACTCGTAACATTTTTGCGGTGTCCGATATCAAAAGTGAAAATCAAAGTATACTGCAAAAATGCGGAAAACCGAGGGATTTTCTGGTGGCAAACGTCTTTGGTGTCAGAGATTACGCAATATCAAGTAACATTATTATGTCATGCATTAGCATATACCACGTGCGCACATGCCACGTGGTTAAAATAAAAATACGTTCGTGTCCAATTCCCGCCACATTGCGCCAATATTTTCAATAATAGAAACTCGATCCTGTATTATAAATTTATATAAAAAATCGTCTCCGTACCTTGTACTTTATACCTTGTACTTGATATTGGGCAATCATCTCTGGAAAAAGTCCTCTTTTGTGCCTTGTATTGAGCATATCGTCATATTTTACCTTGAAATTAATGTAAGTTTTGGATGAACATAATTGTAATGTTGTAATCGGATTTTTCTCAGGTCATTTAAAAGTTTAAACGGTAGTACAAAGTACAACGCTTTTTGTGTTTTTTATATTGATAATTCTGGTCCACACGACACGGTCTTGAAGAGCTCAGTCTTTTTCTCCGAGGGAAGGTTCTCTTTTACATGCTTTGTTGAGCGCGAATAATCTGTACAATGCATCATTATTTCAGATTAAATTTCCCCAAATAATTCCACGATGGATCAAAGTTATCTTCAAGAGCCCTTGGCCACCAACGATCCAGAGCTTTACGAAATCATAAAGAAAGAAAAAACGCGTCAAGTGCGAGGTTTAGAGCTGATTGCTTCAGAAAATTTCACAAGCAAGGCTGTCCTTGAAGCTATGGGTTCCTGCATGCACAATAAATATTCTGAAGGGGAACCTGGTAAACGCTATTATGGAGGAAACCAGTTTATTGATGAAATGGAGATATTGTGTCAGAATAGAGCTCTACAGGTTTACGGGTAAGTTGGAATGTAGGGTAACACTTCTTCACCAAACAACCAGTTGTCCCATGGTCTGGTTAAGGAGATCATTTGTTTGTTTTATCCTTCCTTTTTATCACAGGCTTGATCCAGAAAAATGGGGTGTGAATGTTCAACCATACTCTGGTTCTCCAGCAAATTTTGAAGCATACACTGCGCTTTTGAACCCACATGACCGAATCATGGGGCTGGATCTTCCTGACGGAGGTCATCTCACGCACGGTTTCATGACAGATAAGAAGAGGATTTCTGCCACATCAATTTATTTTGAGTCCATGCCATACAAACTGAACCCAGAAACTGGTTATATTGACTATGAAAAACTGGCTGAGAGTGCAAAGTAAGTTTTGAACGATCTCTTGGGAAGGATAGTACTGTGCTTCGCATGACAGAATTTCTCTTTTATTTAGACTATTTCGTCCAAAGATTATCATCGCTGGTTACAGTGCTTACCCTCGTGATTTGGACTACAAAAAGTTCCGAGAAATCTGCGATAGCGTCAATGCTATCATGCTTGTTGATATGGCCCACTTCAGTGGTCTGGTGGCAGGCGGGGTGATCACCAGCCCTTTTGAACTTGCCGATATTGTCACAACCACAACCCACAAATCATTACGTGGTCCAAGAGCCGGGATGATATTCTACCGTAAAGGTATCAAAGGTTATTCCAAAACTGGCGATCCAATTAAGTATGATTATGGGCCACGCATCAACAGCGCTGTGTTTCCGGCACTCCAGGGTGGTCCACATAACCATGCAATTGCCGCTCTCTGTGTTGCCCTGAAACAGGCACGCCGGCCTGATTTTAAGGAGTATGCACAGCAGATCATAGATAATTGCAAAGCCATGGCCAAAGTCCTGATCTCAAAAGACTACACATTGGTCTCTGGAGGAACGGATAACCATCTTGTGTTGTGGGATCTACGACCGCTTGGAACAGATGGTGCAAAAATGGAGAAAATACTGGAAGAGATTTCAATCACAGGTAAACTATAACTTCTTTCAGGTGATCTATAATGGGACAATCAATGAAGACAAACTTCTTTCATTTCTTTTAGTAAACAAGAATTCTTGTCCTGGTGACAAAAGTGCTCTTCGTCCTGGTGGACTTCGAGTTGGAACACCTGCGCTGACATCAAGGAATTTCAAAGCAAAAGATTTCGAAAAAGTTGCGGAATATCTGCACCAAGGAATTCAACTTGGTCTGGAAATTGTCAAAGCAAGTGGACCCTCTCTAAAAGATTTCATGGCAAGTATGGCTAAGGAAGAATTTGCTGGAAGAATTAAATCATTGAGAGAAGAAATAGAGGAATACAGTGCAAAATATCCCATGCCAGGCCATGAACTTATTTAGGAACTATGTATTTATAAATTATATATTTCTGAAAGACTTACTGTTTATTAACTAGTATGGAAGTAATGGGACAGTTGAGGGACACACATATATATATTAGGCACACAGGCCGTGCAGGTCGCCATGGACTAGGCTGCACTTCCCCCAATTAAGCTTCTAGTTCTAGCGACCGCCCTGGCGAAGGTGCCCTTTTTGTTTCCTGCGTATACCCACTTACACGCGCCCAAATCTTTTTGTAGAGCATAAATATAAACCAAACTAATGGTGTCCTTGAAGCTTTCCCTTCTTATTAACCAAAAGTGCCCCTGGAAACTGGTGAGCCCCCCAATCTCTGTATGCTTCACACCCCTGGCAATTTTTCGAAAAAGTTTGTCTTACATTGTATTGAACATATCGTCATATTTTACCTCGAAATTGATGTAAGTTTGGTATGAAAATAATTGTGAGGTTGTAATCGGATTTTTCTCAGAAGTCGTGTCGTGTGTGTTCTTTGATATGCTAGATTTACATGTAAAACAGCAGTACCAACGCGCAACGCCGTGTGTGTTTATATAATATTGGTAAATACTGGTCCACATTACTAGTTGAATAAAAGCTCAGGAACGAAGACACGGAATAAAATAAAGAAGCGCAGTTGAGTATGCAATATGCAAGATGAACAAACCGTAGGTTAGTGGACTTACGGTATCTCTCGCGTCGAAATTAAAGCAATTTTTTGCTCGTTTGTCTTGTAATCCCCCGATGTTAGGGTCTCTTGCATTTACTGCATACTTTATATATCGCCCGAATACAAGTTTATAAAATGAAACTGACATTCGTAAATCACCCACACCCTCCTGTAAACACCACATATTCTGTACAAACAGTACAATCATAGACAGCACACTGGCGGATGGTTTTATTCGAAGTAAAAATGCACACTTTGATGATGAAATTTACGCATATCTCATTTATTTACATACACTTAAAACACTTAAACCTGCAACACTCACAAGTTTTTCAGACACGCAAATTGCTCGTTGTAACTTACAACGGGCAATTTGCGTGTCTGACAAGGCAATGTAGGTCTTACTCGCATAATAAATATATCCTATGTAAATAAACCACATATTTGTGAATTTCATCAGTGCACATTTTTACTTCAAATAAAATCATTCGCCATTGCCATTGGGTTCCTATAGTACAATGCACTCAATATTTAGACTAGATTACCCCAAATAATTCCACGATGGATCAAAGTTATCTTCAAGAGCCCTTGGCCAGCAACGATCCAGAGGTTTACGAAATCATAAAGATAGAAAAAACGCGTCAAGTGCGAGGTTTAGAGCTGATTGCTTCAGAAAATTTCACAAGCAAGGCTGTCCTTGAAGCTATGGGTTCCTGCATGCACAATAAATATTATAGATATTATAAAGGAACCCAGTTTGATGAATTAGAAGCATTGTGTCAGAATAGAGCTCTACAGGTTTTCAGGTAAGTTGAAATGTAGGGTAGCACTTCTCCACCATGCAAACAGCCAGTTTGCAATCATCTGGTAAGAAGAGATAATTTATTTATTTAATCCTTCTTTTTACCACAGGCTTGATCCAGAAAAATGGGGTGTGAATGTTCAACCATACTCTGGTTCTCCAGCGAATTTTGAAGCATACACTGCGCTTTTGAACCCACATGACCGAATCATGGGGCTGGATCTTCCTGACGGAGGTCATCTCACCCATGGTTTTATGACAGACAAGAAGAGGATTTCTGCCACATCAATTTATTTTGAGTCCATGCCATACAAACTGAACCCAGAAACTGGTTATATTGACTATGAAAAACTGGCTGAGAGTGCAAAGTAAGTTTTGAACGATCTCTTGGGAAGGATAGGACTGTGCTTCGCATGACAGAATTTCTCTTTTATTTAGACTATTTCGTCCAAAGATTATCATTGCTGGTTACAGTGCTTACCCTCGTGATTTGGACTACAAGAAATTCAGAGAAATCTGCGATAGCGTCAACGCTATCTTGCTTGTAGATATGGCTCACTTTAGTGGTCTGGTGGCAGGTGGGGTGATCACCAGCCCTTTTGAACTTGCCGATATTGTCACAACTACGACCCACAAATCATTACGTGGTCCAAGAGCCGGGATGATATTCTACCGTAAAGGCATTAAATGTTATTCCAAAACTGGCGATCTAATTGAGTACGATTATGAGCCACGAGTCAACAACGCCGTGTTTCCGGCACTCCAGGGTGGTCCACATAACCATGCAATTGCAGCTCTCTGTGTTGCCCTGAAACAGGCACGCCGGCCTGATTTTAAGGAGTATGCACAGCAGGTCATAGATAATTGCAAAGCCATGGCCAAAGTCCTGATCTCAAAAGGTTATATGCTGGCCTCTGGAGGAACAGATAACCATCTTGTGTTGTTGGACCTTCGACCACTTGGAATAGATGGTTTAAAAATGGAGAAAATGCTGGAAGAGATTTCAATCACAGGTAAACTATAACTTCTGTCAGGTGATCTATAATTGGACAATCAATGAAGACAAACTTCTTTCATTTCTTTTAGTAAACAAGAATTCTTGTCCAGGTGACAAAAGTGCTCTTCGTCCTGGTGGAATTCGAGTTGGAACACCTGCGCTGACATCAAGGAATTTCAAAGCAAAAGATTTCGAAAAAGTTGCAGAATATCTGCACCAAGGAATTCAACTTGGTCTGGAAATTGTCAAAGCAAGTGGACCTTCTCTTAAAGATTTCATTGCAAGTATGGCTAAGGAAGAATTTGCTGCAAGAATTAAATCATTGAGAGAAGAAATAGAGGAATACAGTGCAAAATATCCCATGCCAGGCCATGAACTTATTTAGGAACTATGTATTTATAAATTATATATTCCTGAAAGACTTACTGTTTATTAATTAGTATGGAAGTAATGGAACACACTTGGATATATGGTTAAAGGATGTTCAATGTAAATTTTAAAAAAAATTGTGGTTTATTCATTAAGAAAGATTTGTCAAGCACAAACACAAGCCTACCTTGCATAATAACTTTTCTCCTTCACTTGACATGATGCTGATGATAACCTTTCAACATGAGAGTTAACCAAAAGAGTTCTTTCATTTCATATTCTCTTTAAAAAAACTTATAGTCATGACAAAAAACCAGGAGTCTTGTCTTATAAAATCTTTGGATTAAAATGCATTCAGTATTTACAATTTTTTATGTAAACTATTCTATGAATGGGACCTGTGCTGCTATGGTATCTAATAGCATGAACAGTTGCATATTCGATTTCACTTCCATCAGAACATAGGCAATCCAGAAATGTTTCGTTCTCGTGGCGCTCACGCGTGTAATAATAATAAACCAATACTAATAGAGCGAGTAGACTCGCGTACACGCGTGAGCGCCACGAGAACGAAGACATTTCTGGGAACGAGGTTGATTTCTAGACTGCCTATGAGCGATCCCATCATGCACTGTGATTTAAAAATGGTGAGACTTGGGTAAACTGTACAGATTGGTTCATTGGCGTCATTTTCCGCTATTCCCGAGATCAGTTCGTTTTTACGATGGTCACATCATGATTCTTTGTCTCGTTTGCGAAGTTCTTTTAAAATTAGGTAGAAAATTTTCTTCTATGCGGAAATCATGACTGTATAAAAGGGAACAGGGCAGCCGCGATACCCAGGGCTAAAAACTATGTCGTCTTCACGTCATTTTTGGCGTCGAATAAACTATTTTTCTAGTAACTCTGGATGATATTCCATAATCATCATTAATATACTGTCTGTGTACGCTCGTAACCTGTGGTTTAATGTCTCCTGTTCCCGAAGAGCCTTCAGCACATCCTCCTTGTCAGCGGTTAATAGTTCGTCAGCTAATGATGTGTTCTAAAGACAGGGGATTTCGATGAGCTTCAGATATGAATTTACTTTAAGCTACAGTTGAGACATACCTTTTCAAGAAGACATTTTCCTTGCTGGATTAGTTGAACCTTCAATTCATCTCTGCTTTGAACCAAGTCAGCATTTTCCTGCAAAGTGAAGTTAGAATGTAAATTCATTAGAACCAGTGAATTCCTGGATTTGCTGATTCAGTTTCAAGCTGTTCTTCCTAAAGGTCGAGTAAGGATCATCTCTTATTGATCCAGTGTTACAACAGGAGAAAACCTAAACTAAACTAACTCTATTTATACTGGATAGCTCTATCAGTTCTAAACTGTTCTTCCTAGAGGTCCAGTAAGGATCATCTCTTATTGATCCAGTGTTACAACAGGAGAAAACCTAAACTAAACAAACTTTATTTATACTGGATAGTTCTATCAGTTCTAAACTGTTCTTCCTAGAGGTCCAGTAAGGATCATCTCTTATTGATCCAGTGTTACTACAGGAGGAAACCTAAACTAAACTAACTTTATTTATACTGGATAACTCTATCAGTTCTAAACTGTTCTTCCTAGAGATCCAGTAAGGATTATCTCTTATTGATCCAGTGTTACTACAGGAGAAAACCTAAACTAAACTGACTTTATTTATACTATCAGTTCTAAACTGTTCTTCCTCGTATACCGACCTTCTGCAGAGCTCTGAGTTGATCTTCAAGATCTCCTTTTTCCGCAGCGACGCTGACGAAATCTGGTAAACGGGACTCCGCAGCTTTCTTGAAATTTCTTAATTCATCTATACGACTTTGGTACTCGACTATTTCCTTTGGGAAAAATAACATAGAATTAGCGGAAACCTCTCGATAAAGAAGGAATCTGTTCATGTCTGAAAGCCCCACCATACCTGAGTGTGGCCGAGTCTTTCCTCTTCAAATTTCGTTCTCTCAGAGCGAAGCTTCTCATCAAGTTCTTCAATTACGCGATCTTTTTCACTCAATTTGTATTCCAAGTTTTCTAGCTTTTCCTCAAGATTTCGTTTTTCCTACAGGCGGATATTTCACATGAGAAGAATTAAGGTGTTAATAAAATCATTGCTACCGTCTTTCGTGGTCAATGGATTCAATCTTATTCATAACAACGACTGAATGCGAGTGAGGGAAACAAACCTGTAGACATATTTCTAATTCACGTCTTAACATTGGATCAACTTGTTTCAACTGAGTAATTTCTTCGTCTGCTTCATTGAGCCTGAAAAACAGGAAATTGAGCATTCCAACAACGAAAATTAGAGTTTCCTAGACTACTTAGAAATTGAAAGATATCAGGTTGAATGAAAACCTACTTGTTTTGAAGTCGTTCAAGTCTTTCTTCACTTTCTCGCTCTAGTTTTGCCTGGGGAAAAACGTTGTGATGGTCAGGGTTATTACTTCAAAGCGCCCAATAAGGAGGTAATCTCGTCATTTCTAAGCACAAGTTTTCCAAGTACTATATCAACTTACCAAAGCAGCGTTATATTTTCTAGATTCGTTCGCAACTTTTTCATCAGTTGAGATTTTTTGCTGCTCCAACAACTCCTCGAGAGCATTTATTCTGGAAGAAACAAAACGTTTAAAATGAAACAGAACTTGCAACAATGAATAGCGACAGATGAAATTGTAGGTATATAAGAGATTATATATAATAAAACTGTCTGATTCCTCAAGGAGAATGCGAGCATTTCCAAGTGACGGACGTGAGAGTGTCAATATTTTCAATGTTAATATATCGCGATTAGTAAAGTTTGATTTTGGCACACAAAGATTAATGCAGACTATTTCACATCAACCACTCGTCGTCGTCGTAGCGACAAGCCATTACTAAATGTAAACTAGGCTCAGTCAGTCAGATTTCATTGAAATGCATCGGTCATTAACGAAACATTTGGCCATTCTTTATTGTGCTTTTACACATGGAGTGATATTTTGTGTCAAAGAATCGAGTCATAGTTATTCCCGTAAATATAATGCTATATGCCACAGTGAGTTTGAAAATAACATATTGTATTCCAAGATAGTATCCTATGAGTTAGATATATATTCTTTGACATGGAAACAGCATTTGTGATAGGTTTCAGCGCTGCATGTCAGAAAGTCGTAACAAACGCCATATTCAAAAGGAAAGGTCTAAAATATTTCATGTTGGATAAAAATGGAATGAAAATCGTAATCATCCGTAGACAGTTATCTCGAATACTCCAGCGCGCTATAGATTCACACGGTAACTGCGAAGCACTGAATCACACAAGAATCATGTGAACTCTCAGAATACAAGTTATTTTCATTGCAAAATAAAAAAATACAGACTGGACACAGTCTAAAAAGTCATCATCTCCCGGCCGTGTACAATATAAAAATCAATCAGGTTTTTGTCGCCACTCACAATTCAACCTCATGCAAATTACTCGAAGACGAAGGCTACAGATAGGAACCGCGCGCGTTCGGTGGCCTGTTATTGGAATTGGCTAATTTCGAACGGAAAATAGCCCATGTTTAACCCAAGATAACTTTATAACTAAAGGCTATTTTGATTTAATTTTTTCTTGTGTTTGTTAAAGAAGGATAGATCTAAAACACAAGGCAATTTTAAAAGTCCAACAAGCTCAAACAAGAATTTAATTTGCAATGGAATAAGTTGAATTTTGAGTATCGCGACGCCATCGAGATCATGCGGCACCGGCGTGCGACGATGACATGTCGTGTTCAAACGTAAATCCGGAGTGATCTCTGGGGTCATATGGGACAATATTGGTATCAAAAGAAAGAGGAGAACCTCAGCTATCCACCAATGTCCTATTCTTTCGAGTTTTTGACTTGGAAAGATTATTTCATGCGAAAAACAAGACTTTTTTGTGTTTTTAAACATTTTCTGGTGCGAAATGTCAGAAGAATCAGGTAAATTCGAAATATTTAGACTTTAAGCTTTCATTTGATGTGTATATTTTAGTATTAGAAAGCGGAGATCACTCCGGATTTAAATTTGAATTTTATAGAAATCCGAACGAATTTCGCCACGCCATTGAGCACTGTGAAAGAAGCATTATGTGAAAATTGTCGCAACTTTAACGACGACGATTTGCGTTTGCTTATTTGGAAATGGGGCGAAGCCTGGCTGGAAAGGTGAGAATAAAATTTGTTTTAAATTGTTGTCGAAAATATTTGAAATCAGTAGTTGTATCGAGGGTAACTAAGGTGACATGGTTAAAAAAAGCCTTCTTATACTGGACAATGACATCATCCCACCTAAATATATAAGCAACCTGAAGCGAAAAGTTATAAGAGTAATTGAGAAATGTCCAGATGGTAGGTGCAGCATTGGTAAACAGTATTTCATTCGGCATTGGTGAAGAATGTGAAAAGTATGGTATAACTGCTGAAATGCTAATTAATTTGCTGGGAGGTGATGCAAACCAGGCTAAGAATAGTTTAGATTCATCAGTCATGATAACTAATAAATTAGTTGTATAGTTAAATGATTACAGGGAAAATTAAGATTAATTAACCTAGAGTACTCTGCTAACATGGTTGTTATGTATAAAAAATGAGAATGAAGATGTTGACTTAAAAGTATTCCATTCTGCTGTTGATCATGTTAATGAGTGGAAGCATAACCTAATGAGAAATACAGGTGAAAATGCATGTGAAGAGTTTTTAACCCAAATATTTAAGTTCCCTAAGAAGGATAACTGGCACTGTAACACGAAATATGCCCAATTTTGCGTGGCATGAAAGGACATTACTCATTAGTAGACATTACTAGTTTCTTCAAAATTCACTTTTTAAATGGGCAGATTTTAGAATGTTTTAAAATAATTTTAATTAATTCATGTTTATTGTTCTATTCTTAGTATTCATCCCTATCATACTGTATAACATGGTCATGGATTGAAAGTGTTAATGGCTTCAATTTTATGGATCCTTAGGCTTAGCCTGAATCAGTAAATGAGTCACAAGAACAGTATGTAGGAAAATGTATCTGTTGATAAGCAGTCCAGTTTCATGTACATAGTCCAGCAGTTTTTATGTCCAAATCTTTGAAAGGTATTATTATTATTATTATTTGTAAAAATAATTATTTTCCTATGTGAAATGCCTAAAATAAATAGATTCACAATAATGTGACGTCATCTGTGACGTCATGGATCCGTTGTGTTGTCATGGAAACAGGCATGTGGAGTTCATTCCGAATTTTTTAGTGCTTAAAGTAACAAAATTGTTGAAATATTTCATTATAATGCTCAGGATAGGAATATAGTAATACAAGGTTACTATAAACTGTAAACTTACAATGACGTCGTTGTGACGTCATCAAGTTTTCATGGTAACACAATTTTGTAACATTGTTTGAACAATTATGACAACATTGATGTATATAAGTCATAAATTATCTACTTGCACTTCTCGTAAGCTTTTTTGTCATTTAATGACGTCATAATCGTTGCCATGGCAACGATAAGTGTCCGATTGTTACATCGTATTGTGTCTTTACATACAACCAGTCGACTCTGAAAATTTCGTGGTGATTGGATAAAAATTCTAGAAGTTATACCCTTTTATGTTAAAAAAATAGTTTAAAGTCGCGCATTTTGGTGCCATGTTAAACACCTAGTTGTAACACCTTTACACCTACGCATCTTCCAAAATTTGGCCTAAAATTCCGACCTTTAAACTGTCATAACTTTTGATTGCCTTAACCGATTTTGATGAAACAAACACCAAAATGTTTCAAATGACGAGATGAATCAAACTAGCGTATTTGCAGAGCCCCCCTGTAAATTTAATTTTTTCACTGTTATCCCTACTACAGACATAGCCAGATATCAAAGAATCGAACAATCCATTAATGAAATATAAATCTCACCTCGTTTTTTATCCCCTACTCGTTCAAATTGACATTTTTCACTTGTTTCGAGAAACTTAAAAATCAATGTCTGGCTATATTCGCCTTTCCACAGACAATGTTCCAATACTGAATTATATTTCAGCGTTCCTTTCAGAGACCCGCAGGTGATGTTTTGTTTGTTATGTAAATTAGTTGAAGTTTTTTCAATGCATCTTTAAGGAAGCTGTGAGTTTTCGACCGGAAATGCTGATACCAGAGCAACAAGTGGGCAAATACGAAGCCACTTCAAAGCAATAGATTAAGACAATCAATAACGTTTAAGAACGGCTCGACTGTGGTTAAATATATATTGCTCTGGCACGCGACCCTTTAGTTTTACAAAACACTAAATTCAAGACTGTCTAGGCAGTTTTGTATAATATAGGACAGCATAGGTTGGTGAGTGGTCAAATTTCAGACGTGTCACGGAACTGGGAGAAAACCCGGAACTTTTACCAAAACATCATCTTTTTTTACTAAGGCTGCTATCTGTGTCTCTGACACAATTGCTACGGTCGCATTAAATGATAGAGGCGTACCCAAAAGAAACACGCTTCATTTGATTTTATTTCAAAAGAAAATGTTACTTTCTTTTAGAAGAAGGCCACAGCTGTCTGATATTTTTTCACAACAAGAAAATAAAATATTCACAAGATTCCAAAAATAATTATAGGTTGGACTGTTTAATGTTGGCTTGGTTACGTGCTAATATTTATAGTCTTTTGTTGGCACGCCATTTATAAACCATTCTTGCGTGTGTGAATAGGAAATATGATTAATTATTTTATTGACTTTTAAATTGTGAGTTTTTTTTTGACAAATAGTATTGTTTGCGAATTCCTGTGCGCAATGTCGCAATATCAATCATCGTTGATTGTCGAGGAAATTAGTGGTCGAGAAACCTTTGACTTTGGCATGAAATCAGTTATTTAACTACAAAGACGATATTTTTTACCAACCTTTCTGTCAAAGTTTTGTTATCCTGTTTCATCTTGTTATGTTTATTGAGGTTGATTGAATTATCCTCTTGTAAAGTCGTTACCTCAGATGTTAAACGGAATATCTGTAGGTACAAAATAGCTTTATCAGTTCCAAACTGTTCTTCCTATAGGTCCTGTAGGGATAATCTCTTATTGATCCAGTGTTACTACAGGAGGAAACCTAAACTAAACTAACTTTATTTATACTGGATAGCTCTATCAGTTCTAAACTGCTCTTCTTAGAGGTCCAGTAAGGATCATTCACGTAAGGATCATTCACGTAAGGATCATTCACGTAAGGATCATCTCTTATTGATCCAGTGTTACTACAGGAGGAAACTTGGGTTTCATATGACCATATTTCACATAATTCAATTTAAATAAGTCAATCTTAGGTAAAGGTACAATGAACATATATTTCCTAACCTTATCTGATAACGTGCTCAAATTAGCTTCATTGTCAGAGATTGCCTTTTCAAAATCATCGTAACTTCTGTGAGGACTTGTGTTTAGTGAATGTGACATGAAGTTGTTGTTCCTGTGAAAAAATAGGATACATTAGTTGAATCTGGTATGTTTACCATCATATCACTAATATCACAAACCACATTATTCATCACCATCATTATCTGTCATCACAACTACCATCATCCACAATCATGACCATCACCTGATACCACCGACACCTTCATCCCTAGTTGCAAGCAGAATCACCACTATACTATCGCCTGTCACCACAACCACCATCATCCACCATTGCAAACATTGTCTGTCACAACCACTACCATCATCGCTCCCCACTATCACTACTGGTCAATACTGCCAACACTACAGTACCATCATCTGTTACCACCTCTACCATCATTACCAGTCACCAACACCATGCAAGACACCACCATGCACTATTACCACAACGATCACTTACTTTCTTCTAAGCTTTCCATGCTTCCTTTTCATAGTTGGTGTACTTGAAATAGGACCCAGACTGACATCCTCAATAACCTCACTAAACCCATTATATCCACCATTATCAGACTGATACTCGCTAGTCTCACTCAAACTTTCATCTAACACATTACGTGCCATCAACCTTTGAGAAAGCGGTGGCTCTTTCTTTTTAAGATTTCCTTTCGGTGGATATGTTGAATATATTCCATTCCTTTGAAAACCAGACCCAGGATTAAGATATTCTTCTGCTAAACTTTCTTCATCAAAGTCTCCGTTGTAATCATTTGTAGATGCAGTACTGTGTGAACAAAGATCTGCCTGAAACATAATGAAAATACAAATTAAATGAAATTGATCAATATTTATATAAATTAACAGCCTCTCTGTATACCTCCAGTTCGTCATCATGATCTTTTTCAGTCTGTTTATCTTTCAGGTTGTTATTATCATGGTCAAAATCACCATGATCATTATTAGCAACTGAAAAGATAAGATACTCATTTAAACTGTATACAATTAAAATTACAGCTATATATGCAGTGGCCACAAGTGCATGGTAATTGTGATGAGGGTTGATTGCAATGGTTGTGACTGGTGAACAAATGATAGAAACTCTTAATTGTGATTATGGTAGATTAGGATGTACCCTGGGAATGATGATCTTGACCAGTGATTGTGCTAATGGTGAATTATCATGACAGTAGTTTGGGTTAATGGTACCCTGTTTTCGGTTATATAACAGCATCATAGTGACCTGTGACTGTGATGATAGAAGATTGAGATTATGGTACACGGAAAATGATGAGGATGACAAGTGATTGTGATTGCATGTTACTCTTGTATCCAACATAGTTGAACTTTACTGTCCATGCTTGTTAAAATACATGTCAATATAACTATATACCCATGAACTCCTTGACTCCATCGCAAAAGTGATCAAAAGATATTGAACCATTTTCATTTGGATCTAAGAATCCAATCATACTAGCAATATCCTAGAAAAATGACAGAAAAACACCTGAAGTTATATTGAAAAATTACAGATTGATCATATGGCATAACACCTTCCTCCACCTATGAACCTTGTGTCACTATACCATGGCTGCACAAACTCTAAATGTAACCAAGATGAAGACTGGCAAGATGGTAGCCCTCAGGGTAAAATGGCTGTACAAGACTAACCACAACCTTTGTAAATTGTAGTCCATCAGGATAAAGTATTGGACCAGGGTCAAATGTCAATCTTCTCAATTCTCATGTGCCTTATATGCCAGTTAAAATGACCTAATATTTTTGACACATTCAGCACACAACAGGAGGGACATTTGTAGACAGAATATGTATTCTATGCCAGGCAAAATAAACCTTATTTAACTTAGGGTTACTCATCCACTACTTCAGAACAATTCATAGTTGCTCATATTCTTCTGTGTATAATATTAAACAGCAGGTAATCAAGTATTTGCGATGAAACAGCTTGAACCTTTTAGCCAATATACAAAGACTCTTTCAAAGTGGATAATCCAGGTTTTATTTATGACATTCTCGCATGCTTTTATTTTTAGCAATTTAATGAACCTTATCTTTTCCGAAATCCTAACAGGGTCAATCAACGTCTTTAATAAAACGTGAGGCCTTGGAGTCGCAAATCAAATATTTTGTCTAAATAAACTCAAATATTTAATATGAAAGGGATTAAAGTTCGTTGATTTGCCTTTTCGTGTCGGGACGAAACAATACACGGATGTAAATAACACCGCTTAGACTGAAAACTGATCTTTTTAATTTGCTCTAAAACATAAAATGATACGTAACCTCATCTCAACCTAACCGAGTTGACCCCAAATAGACGGCTTCTTCGGCAGATTAATATAACAGTATAAAACTTCACCTGAAAACTACAGTAGAGAACGCACTACCATTGCATATCTACTTGTAAACTACACCGAGTACTCAACGAGAATGATCCAAAATATAGACTATCGTGTTAGAGAATCAGTTTAGTTTCATTGAGATGTTATAACTCCGATATAAGCTATCGGATTCATGAAATATTTAAGAATAAACACCAAGTCCTCACGAATTAGAGCCCCACAGATTACAATCAGACCACAAATAAATGGGCAGATATGTGGCGTTTTGGAGTATATTTAACAAATCCAACCCAATCCAATAAACAATAGGATCATTTCCAATGCTTGGAAATTTATTTCAGGCGATACAAAAGGCTAAACATTTAGTTTTCGCCATGGGAATTGTTTTTTTGTATTGTTTACCTCGCTCGCGATGTCCGTATGCTGTTGAATGAGCCGTAAAAGGTCTTTCGTCTTAACGAATCCGTCTCCATTTTGATCACAGGCGTCAAAAACGGGCTTCAGAGAGCCCATCGTATCCCCGATTATTTCCATGGTTTAGTTTTCCGACACATTTCACTTTCGAACGCGCAGAAACATCGTAATATTGACAGAAATTCACATGCAAATTATTGGTAATTAGAATTCGCAACATACATATGTTCCTAGGGTAATAAATCCCCCACAGGGTGGGGAGGGAAATACACGGTGTTGCTAAGCGCCTATACCGGAACATGAAGTGTCTCAAGTGGGGTAGAGTCTTAGGTTCTTTATACCTTTGATGTGTCAATTTCGCCGTCATGATATTGCTCTTACACTGACCGATAAATAAACTAAACATGTCTTTACATTAGAGAGGGAGGAAAATTAGACCACAGTACAAGTGTGAATACAACATGTTCCTCATAATAGTTTGTGTCATCTACTTGTCAGAGTATTGGGGTAAGATCACAGGCCCTGCTAACTCCATGGCCACACCCAGCGTGGGTCGTGGAGCGGATGTAAAATTGAAAAAACAAACTCTTTAAAATGTGGGTTGTGCGAAATACATACAGGGTCTGGCATAGAATAAGATGTCTTTGTCCCATATCATGTTACATATCATTAAATTTGATATACATTAAATATCATAGACCTTTGTGGACCTAGTATATTGCTCACAATGACGAGCTGGAGCCCCCATCTTGGCTTACCAGGTTGCAGTATATAATAAAACAATCTATTATCTATATATGTTTTATTTATTTGATGTAGTTCCTATACAGATATGATCTTACATTTATGACTTTGTTTTAAACTCCACATGCAAAAGATAGTGAAATTATATAACAAATTATTTCAAGTAATATTACAAAGAGTTCAAGGTGTAGATAATGCCATTTATAAGAACTAACTACATAGGCTCATTCACCAAGACCCATCTGCTCTTCTTTGAATCCAACTATGATGGATCTTTCACCAACTCTAATGGACTGCATGCCTGCTCTAAAGTGATTTCAAATCTACAGTTTGAACAGTATATTTGGATAACAAAGTCCAATTACTCGCAACACAATATTCTATCATTTCCTTTTTCCTCCCTTCTTTCCTTTTTTCCCTTTTTTCTTCTTGTTCTTAAGTTGCTTTCTTGCCTTCAATGCTCGCCAAAATGATTGTATTAAAGTGGCTGCCTTGATTTTAGCTTGAAGTTCCCTGTTTGCGTCTTCTGCTTTCTCTCGTGCAATCTTTTTCTGCTCCACTATTTCCTGATATTCTTTCTCCATCGTCCGAAATCGTTCTTCCAGTTCATTCAGTTGTTTCTTCTCTTCAGTATAAATCTCATCCAACTGATCAAATTCATTCTAGTAAAGTTTACAATTAAGAAAGCAGTTTATAGCTTTTATTCTCCATCTACACTGGCTCAAGATTAGAAAACACTGTTCAGAAGCACTGTAATTAAATACAGTTTTGGTCCTGTTACATTAATATTTTGTATGAGGGTAGATTACTCTTAATCCTATGAGCACAAACATGATTATTCCATCAAGTTGTCCTACCTGCCGTTCACCCATATCAGTATCATATTTCTGTATCCAGTTTTCTACCTCAGTTTCAACCTTGTACTTTTTCTGAAGAAAACCAAAACTACTATTATACTCTTTTACTATGAAAATTAAACCACAAAAGCTCTCCAAATTTGACCTCCAGATTCCAGAAGCGATCTCTCACCTTACGAAGTGCAAGCTCATTTTCGCGATGTTTCCCAATCGAAGTTTCAATCAATTTCTTCTCTTCAATTATATCTTGCTGCAATCTCAACCTCTTGCCCTCAGAGTTCTTCTCTTCCGCTAGTTGCTCCTTCGTTGCTTCGTTAATGACTTGCTGGTTTGTCTCTTTTGATGTTTGCTCAACATGGAAGATATCAAACTTTATTTTCCGTATAACTTCATTACGTTTCGACAACTAAAAACAACCATAGCTTGTATTTAGTGACTTAGGAGGGGACTCTACTTGGATAGGGAGAGGATCTAATACAAACCTCATACCCTGACCTACTTTATTAGAAAGCATAGACATTGCAATCAGCCACTATTTATAGATCAATGACTAAGAGAAGCAAGATGGTGAAGGTGCATGGGATGGTGGCCCATGCATGGCTCACTCGCTTAGCCGATGGTCTCTATATAGCAGCTGAATGCAATCTTATGTTTCCTTGAATCTAATTGGAGGATGTTATATTACGAAGGGCATGTTTCCACTTGCCTCATTCTCTTTATCTTCAGTTGCAATGTTCAACTCATCTTGTAATTTCTTGGCCTGCTTGCTCAATTTCCTCTCTCGTTCAGTTATAAATCTCAGATAACTATCTCTCTCTTTTAGTTCAGATGGCGTCCGTAACAAACGTTCAAACAAAGTTCCTTTCAAAGCATCAAGCTGCATCAACATCTCCTTTGCTTCCGGTGAACGTTCCCTCTTCTCGTTTCTCAAGGCATCTAAGGCTGTTGGGTTTCGAACAAAAAGCCGCAGAATGGTTCTGAGTGACTGTTGCAGTTGTCCTCTTAAAAAATCAACCATTTTCTCTTCCTTTTTAACCTTGCCATCTGCTAGATTTACATCTAAAGCAGATAAACCATCATCATTTTGTACATCGAGGGTCTGCTGTTCGTCATACAAGAAGAACTCGGCCTCTTTTTCTTTCTTCTGTTGATCAAATTTCTCTTGTAAACTTGCAAGTCTCTTTTCGTCCAAATGAAGTTGAGAAACAGCCTTTTGATAGCGTCCTTGTAAACTGTCATGCTCTCGTAACAAGTGCGTAAGTTCTGCTCCGAGTAAGATAGAAAATCGGCCCAGATTTTCCACTACAAATGGCAGGATTGTAGAAACTTCAATACGACGTATGGTGTCCTCCAAAACAGCCATAATGCGTTGAGATTCAAGTGATGTTAATTTCTTCCTTTCCGGCTCTAAGACTTTCAAAGGGTCTGCGATGTCTCCAGATTTAAAGCGATGAACTTTTTCATGAATTCTGCTCTGTGTTTCACTCGCACTTGAAGCCGTCGAAGGCATTTTTACCATTCTAATTGGTTCCAATATTGGTGCAGCCATCTTTGCTTCGTGTTGTCGTCAGTTGTCGTGATTGCTATGGAAACGTGTACATATACACATTTGTTACATAGAAATAGTATCCATGGTATGCCTTATATAACAACATTTACTCCCATACGGGATATCAGACCCCTATATAACAACATATATCCCCAGACATCAAACTGTATGGTATAATACCACTGTATATACTAAAGAAGATTTACCAGTAACTCACCTTTTTGGTCAAAATTATTTTTTGTCAAAAACATAAAAGCTTGTATAAATTTTTTTGTATAGGTAATCTTTTGAACTTTGCTTTGAAAGTGTTTTTGACAATTATTTTGCATCTTTATAGTCATCAACTCTCATCATTGATTCTCATTTCACACTGCACAGTGACACACCCTCGCTCCGTGCGAATCTCCCAAACACTCCTCTCCCAGTTCTCCCAAAATGAAAGCGTAGAAAAAGCCGTAAGATCCTTTGCTCTCATGACGTACTTCCTATCAACTTAAGAGTTATTAATAAGGCTTCCTGTTGATAACTTGATATTCTATTCTGACTATTCACAATAACAATACTGAAATAGAAGCAGCTGAATTCGTCGATATCTTGTCATATAATATCTGACTTACTGTTGAATATTTCACTATTAACGTACTTACACAGTTATACTCAGGTACTATTTCTATATTGCTACATTAATAACCATTCTTGAAATTGTAATTTGCGACAATGCAAACACATTTTTACACTTTGCATTAATGGCGTGGCGCGTTCTGTTAATGATACAATGTTAGCTATTTATTTCATAATTTAGTTGTATTTTGTTTCTAGTTTATAGAGGCCACAGCCCACCAGCCAAAATTAAGCTCGTAAAGAAATAAGTATTTGCAATTAGAGAAACTCTGAAATTTTTTGATCGAATGATGACATATGTGGACGTGATAAATTGCTTACTTTCCCGTTATTACTATTTACAACTATAAACTTGTAGAAATTACAACTCTCAAAGAACTCTTTTACATTTTAAATACTGAATATACTGTAAATACTCACATATTTATGACCTTGTATAAGTTGTATGAATCGATTCAAAGAAAATCCGTTGCGTATTTTCTCAGAAACCTGTGTTTCTTTGGAAAGAAAAGAAATATTGAAACGTCGCATCCCAGAATGGCTGATGGACCTGTTAATGGAAATAAGACTTTTGATAATGAAAGTGAGAATGTAGAGGCAGCTTATGATGATCAAAATGGTACATTAAGCAAGAAGAGTGAACAGTTGAATTCAATTGTAGTTCAGAATATTGGTCAGCATTCAAAGTCAGTTGTTGACAAGCAGCATCCTAATGTCAAAGTAATGAAGGATCTACGGCAGAATGCAGTTGACTTGACTGATTGTGCGGACAACCATGACAAGAGTAGGAACAAGGATCATAATCAAGCTCATGGTACGGTCGATCGTAGACAATCTACAGTTGATACTCCAAATGATTTGACAGATTCAGTAGTGAACCAAAACAATGATGAGATTGTAGATCGTAACAAGGCTACAGTTGAGGACCCGAAATGTGCTTCAAATAAAAATTGTGGCGAAATACCAGGTGGAAGTTGTACAGCAAAAGTGGATCGTAACAAGGCCACAGTTGAAGACACAAATGGTATTTCAAATAAAAATTGTGGTGAAACACCAGATGGAAGTTGTACAGCAACAGTGGATCGTAACAAGGCCACAGTTGAGGACACAGCCAGCACATCAAATCAAGTCATTCACAACAAAACAAACACTGTAGAAGATCAAGATAATGTATCTGATAGTTTAGTTGATCGTAGGCAATTGACCGTTGATTTACCAAGCAGTGAACAATTGGTGAAACCTGAATGCAGCGAGACTGTAGATCGAAATAAAGGGACAGTTGAAGACACAACAAGTGAGAAAATGCCAATGCCATCAGCTCAATTAGACGCACCAGGTAATGACTGTGTACCAGCCAGTTGCCTTGTTGATCGTGCGAAAAAAACTGTTGAAGATACAGAACTATCAATTCAACCAAGCTCAGCAAATGATGACCATTTACCAGGTAGTAGTCTGGTTGATCCTAAGGAAAAAACTGTTGAGAATATATAACAGTCAGTTAATAAAGTGTTAGATTGCCATGAAGAACATGTTAAAAGATCTTTATTTGATAGTGAGATTTTCAAATACTTACTTGTTTGTAAAAGTTAATGCATATACATTTATAATACCCACTGATCGGAACTAAGCACAAGACAATACTTACAGAAAATTGCATTATTTATTGCATTATTTTGTTGTTTTTTTTAACAGAAATTTCAAGGATTCAATTCCAGGTGACAAATGCAAGCAGCCAAGGTGTAATAGACCACTTAAAGAATGCTTGGTTTAAACAGGGCAAAAAAGTGGTCTTTGGCAGAGGAGAAGGTGTTGATATCTTCATAAATGATGATGGTGCCTCAAGACAACATGTGGAGTTGCTTGCACAGATTTTACCAAATGGCAAAGTATCGTTCATGATCAGAAACATTAGTAAAACTAAAGGCTATCATTTTAATGGAAAAGAGATCACTGATAATGAGCTTTGGACACGATTACGAAAAGGAGACCAAATCAAAATAGCTGGATTGGTTTTTGTTGTAGTTGACATTATCCTTGCAACAACTATCAAAGAATCATTTGTTGTTGAATTTATTCATCCACATGTTAGTCACCTTCAACCAAATCCTGAAAGACCTTCAAATTCCTATGGAGGATCAACTTTATTTCAGTCAAATATACCACCAAATAATCATCTCCCTACACAATTTCATAATTTTCCGCAGACAGGTGGGTGTAATAATGGGACAGGTCCTGATTAACAACTTAGAATTATGCAGGCTAATCTATGCTTTTCTTGTTAAGTTTCAGACTGTCTGAAAAACATCACTCCTGATATAGTGGAACTTGAACAATTCCTGCAACCATATAAAGAACAGAAAGGCCATGTCAAGATCAAAATTTTATGCCACCTTGCAGTTAAGGCTGTTGGTGAGTGGAAAGAACTTGGGAGAACCCTAGGACTGGAAGACTGTCAAATTACTAGGATTGACTGTGATAATCAAAAAGTTGCTGAGAAAAGTTACCAGATGCTAGCACAATGGGTACGGTCCAGACCCGAGCAGGCCACATATGAAAAGCTAAAGGAAGCACTTGAGGATTTTACAGTGGGAAGGGTTGATTTGGCAAAGAAATACTGCACTTTTGAAAACAATTGATGGCCATTCAACTTAGAAAGAACGTACGTGACCTAAAAAGCTATAAGTTTAGGTAAAATATTTTAGTTCATTTTATAATGTAATCTAATGTCTAATTTTATGTTGTATACAAGTTTGAATTCAGTATTATTTAAAGGTAAAATATTCATTCTGTGTTGCGTAAAATAAACTATCTATAAACTATTTCACTGCCATTGTAAACCAATTCATGGAAGGACTTATCTATGAGGGTCTTGTAAGACCGAGTTTTTTGCAAATTTCATTGCATTCTGGATGCATACTTTTCCAAAATTTGTTTATTCCACGCATTCCTAAGTTACCTGTACCATACAACTTTTTATCGACACTGTGTATCTGTGGATCAGTAAGGAATGTTGTGGACAAATGATCTTCGCTTGTCCATCCCTGGTGGTCTGTGATGAGGAGTGTTTTATTTGATCTCTCATAAGTGAAATGACTAAATGACAAATGATAGTATTATTTAGTTCTAACACTGCTTTTAACCCTTTCAAAAACAAACACTAAGAGTCATTCCATAGATTTATTCATTCTGATTGTCAGTTTATCCCCTGGGGAAAATAATTTGAAGCAGTTAATTCTAACCTGAAAGCCAGGACCAATTGACTTCCAGCCACATCTTCCTCAACAAAGGCCCAGTTGTTGGTTAGTTTTATAAATTTGCCTTGCATGTAAGGCTCCACATTGTAAACAACTGGGCTTGTTTCACCTGCATTCGGGGTGAGCAAGGTGACCATTACCACTGGTAAGAACTGAATATGGCTCACTTCAATACCTTCATGCATGAAAAAGTGGAACATGTTATCATTTAGCTACAGGTAAAGCTATATGCATAGATTTCCTAACAGAAAGTTTCTCAATCTTGTTAAAGATTGAAAATTACTACCATACCTTTATGATAAAGGTCTTGGTTAAACAGACCAACATAGTAGCGTGCAGTCATTTGGCATCTAACATCCTCTTTATACTGTTGTGGCCCCAGAGGTCCTTTATATCTTTTACCCACATATTTTCCCATTGGCTCATCTTGACCAAGATATTCCACCATATATGGATTCCTTTGCGCCCCTTCATCATCTTTAGAGAGGTTGAGTTGTTCCCCAATATATATAATTGTGTTCTGATCTTTCCACTTTAACTTCACTGCATCATAAGATGAAACCTTGCACTCTAAAATACATGAACACCAGTCCAGCTAGATGTCTAGTTATCAAGGTATAGTAGGTATAGGCATTTTAAAAGTATGGTAGGTATAGACATTTTAAAAAGTCACCTTACCATGAACGTTGTCACTTTTTAAAATATTGATGCTCTCATTGAGGTAGTCATAATAATTTGTCATGTCACTGCCAGTTAGGTCATCTATTGTTAACACTGTTGTCTTGGAGCGATCCACAGTTGAGGCTAAAGATTGTCCTAAAGTTAGAGCTTGTAGAGTTCCAGCACATCTATCCACCAATGAAGTTTGTGCTAAGACGAAAAAAAGAAAGAAAACTTTGTAGGAAAACTATAATCTGATTGATATCTAAAAGATCAACACATATGTACCTGGTTTAATATTGATTTCACCAACAGCCACAGGAGCAGATAATCCAGTTGTTTCACTTGGATTCATCTCTTCCACAAACAATGGCAATTCAAGAATTGTCAATGCTCTGTTGATAAGTACCTTACTGTTACTATCATGAACAATTGATGTTTTGTTACAGGAGTAATGATAGAACAGAGCCATTGAAGTTATTTTTAAATCCAAATGCTTTTTCAGCTGCATATCTTCCATAACACAACTAATTTTGTATAAAGCGATAATGAATATATGATACTGTTCACGACTCTTTAAGGCATCATACTCGTTGTGGGCTGCTAAACTTTCTTTCAATTCCTTCAAGGCACCATTCAGGTGCTTGGATTTATCTACAGAGATTTTTGAATACTCCAGCAACATCTGTCCTGCAGATTGCTAAAAAATATCATTTTAAGCATGATTGTTTTGCAATTATAAAATCATAAATTCTCCAAAATAAATTACATTCAATACTCACTTTATGACGAGCATAAAATATTGGTGTGTATATTGCAAACTCTGCAGCCTCAAATGCAAATTCATATGCTTGAATATAGGGATGAGATTCCTTCAGGAAATATCTCTGAGCAATAATTTTGAATTCCTCAACTGACATATGTTGTAGAGTTTTAGCACACAGTCCAAGACTCGAAGACAGACCTTTCTTGTCAACTTTTGGAAGTTCTTTGAAGAGACGTATTGAATCAAGCAACAACACAGCAGAATCATACCAGTGTCCAAGTGTGGCCTGAATTTCACCTTTTATCTGCACACAGACAGCTTTAACAAGATCATGGTGGTGTTCTTCCTTGTAGTGCCATGTTCCAAGCTTCTGCTTTTCATTCAACAATTTGTCAAGAACTTTCTCAGCACCTTAAAGTCAAAGCCATGCAGGATTATTAAAAGCTAGCTAATACAACAGCTCAAATGTTGAGCCACAAACAAGTCTCGATTCAAGATTTTATCATCCATATTATGCACCTTGCAAATCACCAGAGGTTCGCAAAACCCGAGCTTTTCTAATAATTATCTGTGGAGCAATAGGCAGTTCCGGTTTTTCCTTCATAATTGAGTCAACAATATCCAGCAATATTTTAGATCCACCTTGCCAGTAAATATATCTATCAATGATGAACAATATTGCTGCCATACTTTCATAGTCTTTCTTTAAAATTGCATGGTGGAGGGTTTCCTAAAAAATGAAATGCAAAAACACAACTAGAAGTGGATGCATTGTCGTTCATAAGTTCAATAATTCCATGGTTATTCATCAAGGCAGCTAGCTATAAAATCAATATTGAAATACCTGCAAAACATCAAACTGTGTCAAATGAGGAAGATTTTTCACTTTCATGTTTATTAGGTCTTTGACATTATAACTTTCTTCTTGACCAACATTTTTAACATATTGCCTGTTAACATAAAGATATTTTGAATAAAGTAAATTCAATGGTTGTGCATGTCGAGGCTAGAAATATTAATTGACTGCTCTTAAGCATACATACCATTTTTCTGGGACAAAAGGCCATGCATTATTTCTTGCTTCGTCAATCAGACCAATCAACTCTTCGCACAGTAACATCTTCCAGCAATCAAATACATCAAAATTTGAATCTGTTTTATTTAGAGGCATCTCACTTTCTGCCCTGGCCAACACAAAATCTTTGACAGAATCATTTAGGGTAACTTGTCCAAACAAATTTCCATAAAGACCTGGAGATTCATATTCAACCAACCCAATTTGAATAATCCTTAAAAGATCTTCAGCCTTTTCCAGTGGTAGTGCTCGACGGAGCTGGCTCAATTGAAAAAGCACCAATTTTTCATGTTCACTTAAATGGAGCCAAATCATGTTCAAGACATCACTTACAGGTGTTTGAGTCTTGACCCCTTCATATTCAAGGACACCAAAGATCTGTGATGCATTTAAAAGGAAATGAACAGCCAACGGATTTATGCAAACTGTTTCATTAATAGGTTTGTAATTGGCATCCAAATATTGGATTGCCACTTTCCAGTTCAAGTTGCTGCGAATGGCTGCATGGTTAAAGCCATGGACTTGAACTGTGATTGCATGATTTGGTGGTGGTGTCTCTTTGTTGGAAATATGTATGACACTATTTTTCAGTTTGTGTACTATAGACATCAATAGTGTAAAAAGTTGGTGGTTGCTTTCAGACAGTGACAAGTTGTCAAAACTGACCACTCCAAAACTGTTGAAAATGCTAACCATTGCTTCTTTTTTTTCTTGCTGTGAGCTGCTTTGCAAAGATAAAACTGATGTAACACTACCCATATTTCTAAGTTCCTGTGCCAATTGGATACCATAGTTCCAGACACAGTCAACATTATCATGCTTGTTGATTTTGATGTAAATAATTTCAGATTCCTTAACTGAACGATTTCTAATCAATTCTTTGAGGACTGCTTGGCAGAAAGTTGTCCGACCACTGCCAGTGTTTCCAACCACATGAATCAGATTTAGATGACTTTCTAATTTAGATTTTGAGGGTAAGTTCTCGCATATCAAATCACACACATCTTGTACGGTTTTGCTTGTGGAAAGTTCACTTGCGTGAGTTAGGAGTTTCTCCCCACACTGCTTCAGTGGAATGGTTTTTAGGACAAAATTGTTCATATTGTTGAAACAAATTGAGAGAAATGTTTGCTGTCAGTCAGTAACTCTGTAAATATGAAAGGAAGTCAAAAGAGCTTGAATTCTAAGAAGCTGAAGAACCCATTTCCTGCTTCCTAGGGAAGCATTATAGTATTACCAATTTACCATACACCAGAACAACAGAGAGATGGTACAACAGAGAGATGGTAGTATTACCATTAACACAATGTTAACCAATGAACCACACAAACAAACAAAAGCACCAGGTACTCCAATCTGCATACCAGGCATACCATGTATAAATTGAACTTCAATGGACTCACAACTTGGTACCACATCACATGTGCGCGGCACGTGATGAAACAAGACACCCATGTCATTCATGCTGAAACATGACATCATAATTTTTTTTGAATAAATTTTGTAGTTCAAAACAGAACCACGCGGCCGTTTAGGAGGAAGTACTTGCAAAACCTTCATCTTCGCAACGTTCAACGGCAGCAAATTTCCGAAAACTACATGTAACAAATTGTTGTAATTAGAATACTTTGTGGAGAATTTCTTAAAATCCGATCGTGTTCGATCAAGCTTGACAATTAATTATTCCTCAAAAGGGTAAAATTTGAATCGCAAATTCAAGCATAGCGTGTCAGGGCGCCGACTCGAGAGAGCTAATAGTCCAACCTCCTCTAGTCGAAGATCAGAGGTTATTAGAAGAAACTTTGGTGATTCAAAATGTCTGATCCAATAGATGTGTTGCGGAGACCACAAGTGATATGCCGACTCTTGTCATTAGTGAGTATATTTGTGGATCACATTCGCCCATTTCCAAGGTTAAAAGGTTATTCTGTTGGTCGATTCTCGTCTTGTAACACCCTTGATTGTTTAACAACTTATGAAATTGTTGCCTTGAGAACTAATTTGGAAAGTTTAAGGCTTGAAAATTTGCCTACACTATTGCCACGTAATAAAAAACAAGTCTTCTTTCAAAGACGTAAGAATGAATGTGCCCTTTTGCAAGTCTTAATTTAAACTGATATCATGATGCAAGCAATTTAATGAGCAATTCATGTGTCATAAATCTTGCAATTCAGCTATAAAAATATAAATCGTGGCACTATCCAAGTTCTTGGTATAAACAGCATGTTTAACAGCCAATAATACAAAGGTTGAAAACAGAAAACGATGGCTAGAAATAGTCTTTCATAAATAAGTAAACCAGTTTCGTTATGCATCGATAGTTTCATGTGATTGCCTTCGCATCACAGTCGTATTACAGCCTGTTTATAACCGTTTTGTAATCGTAAAAACACTACAATTAGACATAAGTTAGCACCAGACGTAAACATTGGGTAAAATATCAAAGTAGTAACAAGAACTTAGGTATAAACATTTGGTTTCAAAATAACCTAGTAACCAATTAATGTTTAACATTCCCTCAGCAAATATAATAATTTGATGTTGGACAGGGTATTCATTTATTGTAATATTTTTTTTTCATCTAGTTGTTTTCAATCATTGTGTTTGGTTGCATTTCGGATAAAGGCAAGGTGGACCTCGGAGATGGTAAAATGTGTGTTTATGATGGAGATGATGGTGCATGCAACTATGGAGTGGCCATTGGAGTGATTGCATTCATTGCTTGTCTAATATTTCTTGCTTCTGACTTCTTCATGGAATCCATATCAAACGTTGAAGCCAAGAAGTACATCTTTCTTTCTGATCTACTATTCTCCGGCATTTGGACATTCCTTTGGTTTGTTGGTTTTTGTTATCTTTGTGACAAATGGCGAAAGCAAGACGATAAGGATTCTTTCTCCTCACATGTGAAAAGTAATGCTGAAGGAGCAATTGCATTCTGCTTTTTCTCTATAATTTCTTGGGTAAGTGAAGATGGCAATATTTTATACCACAATTAAAAAACTCCACCCATATTCCAAAATGATATTATTCCAGTTCCAAGAGATGAAAAATCTTTACTTTTTCATTCTAGGCCTTTCAAACATTCTTTGCATTTCGAAATGTTAATGGTGGAGCTAGCAACTTTGAGTTTGGTGGCCATAGTCGACAACCATATGAAAGCTCACCCTACTCATCATTCCCAGACCAACAACAGAATGATGACCCGTATCAAGCAAAACCATTCGAACAATCTGGTCAAACTGATCAATCTGGAGAATACCGACCACCAACATACTAAACTAAACACTATTTGTATGAGAGCTGGTACTTGTTTGTGTTTTAAATCTACTGGGTTATTTTAAATTAACTTTAGCTACACTTTTCGCAAAGTTACTGTGGTATTTTCCGACTTCACCTTTCTAAATCATTTGCTCAAAAGGACTTGTGACTATACTTAGTAGTGCTAAATATTACAAAGGGAGATATTTAATCCAGAACTTCAGAATTAATCTTAGGCAAGCATGACAATACTCAACTTGAATGTGCACGCAGCAGCACAATTGTCAAATGTTGTTCTATTTATCATTTGCCAGTGGTGTAGTTAGTTAATATCTGAGTGCAAAATATCATTGTTTGTAATTTTCAAGTTAATAAAAGTTGCAAACAAAAATATGAGAAGTTTTGAGGAACATTTTATAAATATATAAATACCATAAAGGATTTATTACAAATTTGAATAATGTCTAAAGTAATCAGTGTACATCAACTCTGTCATTGGCACTAAAAGCAAGTCGAAACTGCTTAAAACAACTTTTTTCATGGAAAGCATACAGATGGCTGTACAAATATTTTTTTGTTCAATTTAAAAAGTGTCTAGAAAAATATTTATATACATTTATACAATATCTATAATTTGGCAATTATTATTAGTTCATATCCATATTTTCATGAGTGGGTGTATTGTCGATTGGTCTAAACTGGGCACGTTTTTCTGAATTCTCTGAAGAATGTGGTCTATTATTAACATCTATTAATGGCCGACGATGCACGTTTGCTGGTGTGCAGACAGAATTGTGTTCCTTTCTGACAGAACTCTCGTTCCCAACACTGTTTACGCGTCGACTACCGGTACTAGTTAACACCGACTGGTTAACAACATCTTGAAACCAACTTGGTGAGAGAAAACTAGGTGTTGATCTTTCTCTATGCTGTTCATCAGGGGTGTTCTTTGAAGTTGCCTTAGGGCTTGATTTATCCTCTACCCTTTCTAATTCATCATCATACCATGCCATCACTTCATCATCATCACTATCCATGTTTTCTCCTAAGTCCTCCTCATCTCCATCATATCCACTAGTAGAGCTCATATTCAATATGGGCAATGAGTCCTCAGGCAATTGATCAGTGTTATGCTCAAGTATCCGAAAGGAAATTATCAAATTTCTTATCTCCTCTGTGGAAGGCATCTGGAACAATGTCAGTTGTCAAGACTAAGATAACCCACAACACCATTTTTTCTCCCACCAAAAATCCCCAAACAACATACTTTTAGCCATAGAAAAATGTGTACTAGTCTACAGAATTGATAAACCTACAATCTTACCTTTAAGTTGCTCACACTTGAAAAATTAGGGGATTCATATCTGAAAAAGAATAAATCTAAGCTTTTTCAAAGGGAAATTAAAATAAACACATGGTGTTTAAATCTGACAATCTGGATTTTATCATCCGAAGAGTTGCTACTAGCAGACGGATTTGAAGAATTGAGGGAAGTTATACCTTTCTTTGACGGCTTTAAGTCGTCCATTCTGTATATCCATTGGACAATCTTCTGCTAGGCTAAAAATAAATTACTTTTCTTTTAACTCAAATAGTTTTGATAACAAGGGAGAACTGAAATGTTTTCATAATATACAGAACTTGAAGGCAACATCACATGTCCTAACTTGTGTTTCTCATAAACAAATATCTGCAGATGATATCAGCTGGTAAGACGTGGTTACATCTAATCTTCCAGAGTGGGCACTGCAGTTTAATTTAGCACTAGGTACTTCCAGAATTACATCATGGAATTTTTCTTGATGTATCTGGATTGGTTAGTGCAATTATAGCAAATCAAAGAGACACAAAGTGTTTAAACTTTGAGGTTGTAATTTCTCAAGGTATTTACAAAGTATTCTACCACATTATGATAGGGTTGACAGACCATTACACCCCACACAATGCAACTCACCAAGTCTCAAAAAGATAGACCATACAAGAGAGAACTGTGTTTCTCTGGAATGGAAGATAGATCTCAAAACTTGGACACCATGATGCTTCTGTAAATTAGAATGCACTATTCATTTAAATGTTCAAAATGGATTATAAATCCAAGTTTCTGCTTACCTGGATAAAATATTAACTGTGCTAATAATGTACAAGAAAATCCCATGACTGCACAGGAATGTCTAATTGAGAAAACCAAGCATAATACAGTCTATCATGTATAATGTATATGGTGAATGGTGAATGAGGACTACACAAACACTATATATACTATCGATTGTTTATTAACATATAATATAATCACCTTCCTGTGGTCACTCTCAATAAAGACATATCAGCAATATAGGATGCTAAATTCTCTATTTTTCGTTCAACCTGTAAACAAATCAATATATGTTACTCATTGAAAACTATCTTGTACTTTTAAAACTTATATATGTCAACTGACCTTCATGAGTTCACAGGATAATCTCACATAATTTGGAAGAGTTAGAACCTGTAAAATACATGTAAAGTGGTAAAATAAGGCCAAGGGATCAAAAATCATTATTATATATTTATATATCATGCTAAACACACCTGTGTTTCACCTCTTAAACAGCTCATGACTTCACCTATCATTCTACAAAAAATGCAATACCATCATTAAAAAAATTACTCCATACAGCCATGTTCTTTGAAAACTTTTTGTACAATTTCATTGACTAAAATACCTCACAACTTGCTCATAGGAATATGTGTTATCAGTCAACCATGAGGACTCACGAATTGTGACAATATTCTTCTCAAAAAATCTACAAGAAAATGTGAACTTTTAATACTCAATCCTGGCAAAGGAAGGCAAAGAAAATTCAAGTTAACTGTACCTCGAAGCAATAAGCATGCAGACAATGCCTAACAACTGCAGTTCACTACGATGGCTCTTTCTTCGATGGAGATATAGATCCACATACGACACAGCTGCGTGTAATACATGGCCACTGAAATTCTATAAAATACATCTCTTTTTAGCTATACATACAATAAATTTTAGTTGTTTTCTTGCAAAGCAAATTGTGAAACATTGTCAAAATCTGATTTTTTCTTAATATTGCCTACAAACCTTCATTGTACAGACTTCAACTAGCCAATCCACAAGAATGTACCTAAATGCAAATAATGAAAAGGTCAATATTCATTTGGCCATAGTTTCAAGCTCCCATATAGAATTTGTTTGAAGATTTTATTACCTCATAACACGGGTGACCTCCAATTGAAATTTGAATAAACCACGTATCCGACAAGGACGTGAGTTAGCCATAAACTAGATAGAATAAATGAAGCCTTGTGGTACACACCATGGGCAAATGATCACTAGCAAAATAAACAATCATGTCCAAAACTAGGAGGTGCCTCTCCCACACCTCTAATGCCCCCCCCCACCATTACCTGCTTAATATACAATGCCGTAGTCTCTCTATCTAAATTCCCAACATTTCCAGCTGCATAATTCATCGCTAGTTCTAATTCTGCTTCTTTGTTGTGTGGTAAACATTCCCTTAGGTCACGTAGTTGTTGTAAGTTGAAGAATGGATCAGTGTTTGACTTATTTCTAATTTTCCAAAGTTCAAATTTTGCAGCATTGCTGCCACGTTGCGCTGCTTTCTCAAGCCAGAATTTTGCATTAGCTTTATAGTCTGTTTCACCATCTGCATTCTTAAGAAATGATACAAAAACATGTCAAAAGATTGAATAAAGGAATATAAATTTTTTATAAGTATACAAGGCATTCTCACCTCAACCAAACTCATTATTTTCCCCACTGAATAAAGGAGAGATGGAGAGGCATCCTATTAAAAGAAAAATAAAAATCAAATTTTGATGTTTACAAAAACAAGTAATTGAAAGGTTTACAACCAGATTGATGCAGAACTGTATTAAGGTGGCTCTACCTCTTTCTCCTCACAATATTTTCGTATGCCTTCAAACACATGTCTTTTGCAACACATGATCCCTGGTGCCCAGGGGGGTCGAATAAACGTCCAAATGAATGCCACACTACTGGAAGTGATATTCTCAGCTTGACAGAAATACTCTGTTGCTTTTTTGGCATTTTTTTCATTGGCTGCGGACGTTATCTTTTTTGAATAATTGTTGGAAACTGCAAGATTTATTATTGTTAATTATTTGCAGAGGTATTAAATGGAATTGAACTGGTTTAAACACACAATTATTTGCTCATACCTCCTTCATTATAAAGGTAACTTATTCCTAACTTTATAGCAGTTTCAATGTTGCCAACTGAGGTGGCTCTAGGAATGAAATTAGAATAAAAATTACAAATCATAGTTGATAACCACCCTGACTATGAATGTACATTGAAAATTAAAGAAATTGTGTTGTATTTGTCCAGTTATCCAGGAGAGAATCTATACCTCCTGGTACCCAATAGAGAAATCAAATGGATACCATCTTTCCTGGTAGGCTGCCAACAAACAAGGAGCAGGCAGCCTAGTGGCCCACTTGACTTGTATTAAATTTCATTCATACAGTTCACCAAACATACTCACCTCACAAATATTGGTAAATTATTTGGAGAAGGCCAGATTCCGGCGAAAGATGCGTGAATGAATAAACTAGGTGTATTCAAGATCAAATTATTAAAACGGCGGCAAACCTGAAATAAGATTGAATGGAAAAACGTTAAAATTTTCAAACCATATTGAATTTCAATGAGCCAAAGGTCGACTACAAAGATGGGGCTAATGAGCAGCCACTTACCAATCGCATCTTATAAAGATCTTTCACAGAAAGATACTGAAAAACAAGCAGTAAAGCATCATCTGGTAAATGCACGAAAGGTTCACGATAAGATCGACGAACACGGTCTGAAATAGAACAAGAATAGAACACTCCACCATCATCACGTTCGAATCAAAACATGAAGCACAAAAACCGATCAATTTTACACGCAAAAACGCAACTTACAAAAGCGCTTCGGGTAGACCATTTTGCTGGTAAAGAAAAGGCGCAAGACTCCTTGTTATGACTGCTAATTTATATATTAAAAAATTCTATTTAAATAGTAAATCTAACGAGAATTCTATCATTCCCTCTCTTCTTGGCTGGACGACGTTCGCCGTTTGTTCCAAACCGTTGAAAGTTGTTTTTACGTGCCATAATCCTGCAATCTGATTGGTTCATATTCACGGACCCCAAGGGAACACGGTGAACCCTATATAAAAACTGGACCAATTTCTTTCAAAACCGTTGCTTGCACACGATAAACACTTGCGCATTTCCATTCCAATGAAATTAGAAACATTTTAGATTCTGTAAAATTTTCACTTTAAACCTCTACTATGTCTAATATATAAATAATTACATTATCAAGTCTCAATACAAATATTCGTGGTTTAAAAGACCGCATATTCGAGAAAAAGATGAACCCCATTTCACTGGGAAGAGTCAAAATAACCATGGACAATCCATGTATTCTTGAAGATGTCTTCTGAATTGTCTATGATATAACCAACATATCTACACCCCACGATGCGCTAGCGGGGAGCTTTAAGCTCATATGTGATTTATGTCAGATTTATACATCTTTGCATTAATAAGGTGATGAATTATCCACGTATGTAGTTTATGTCCGCGTGTTAAGACCTCTTATTTAACTTATCCCTCATAAGTAACATCTTGTGGTGTAAATCTTGTCTCCGTTTCACAAATTTCACCGCTGCTTCGTCGCTTCTTGCTTTTAAAACTTCAAAAATAAACAAAATAATACAATTCATAGAGCTGAAGAAGTATAAATAAAGTTATTGGGTTTCCCCCTGTAGTAACACTGGATCAATAAGAGATGATGATCCTTACTGGACCTCTGGAAGAACAGTTTAGAACTGATAGAGCTATCCAGTATAAATAAAGTTAGTTTAGTTTAGGTTTCCTCCTGTAGTAACACTGGATCAATAAGAGATGATGATCCTTCCTGGACCTCTAGGAAGAACAGTTTAGAACTAATAAAACTGGCTATTCCTTACTCTCAAAATGAGTGCCTTCCAGTGTCGGATGTGTCAACGGTAATATCACTTGCTCAATACCAGAGAACGTTGCTGGGATCTCAGTGTCAAGACCTGGAACATAATTCAAGGTGGCAAATACTTGACCCGCCATGTCATCAGTGAGGACGTCATAATCGTATACTGTCATTTGAAGGTGGGCCCCAGGCTGTTTGCAGGCTTCCACAGGAACAGAACTGCAACGAAGAAAATAACAAACCATCATCTTCTCTTCATTGAACGTTTGGTGCTTGGTGTAACTCATCCATCACTCTCGTACTTACAACTGAAATTTCGCATCAAATAATGGGAACAGTGTCTTCTTTTTTACTTCTGTTCTCTCTACTGTTGCCGTTGGAAACAGATGACGTGGAGCCAGACGCAACTTTACATACGGGTCACAATACCCTGAACGTGAGAAAATATTTCGTATATTGGAATAATGAAGAAGACACAAACTTGCAAATTCTCAAGTTATTTTTCAGTGGATTGACAAACAATGCACGTACCATTCGAGTCCAAAGCTGGCAAATTTCTTCCATTCAACACTAGAAACAGAACAAGGTGTAAGCTGTAATAATAAACATCAATTCACTTAAGGTTTGCATGCAACTGTCTGCGACTAATACATGGAAGAAGCCGTAAGATACAAAAAACAACATACGCTCAATATGAAGCTTTCCATTCTTTAAATCATAAAACATTCTCAAGGCAAGTTCACCAAACTCTGCTGGTTTCTCAGCCTGAAATATTAAAACGATTAAAGAAAGAAATGGATTATTGCGCAGGACTGACTTGATGTTTTTCTCTTACACTTATTCCCCTCATCTTTTCAGCGTAGTATTCTTCGATCAGTTTTTCAGTGGAAAGTTGACCGAGGAGAAGGTCTTCAATCAATACCTGGAGAAAAACATTTGAATGTAGAATTAAATTCTTAGAACTAATAGAACTAATACTCCCCCCCTGTAGAGGAAATCAATAGAGCTGTTTCATCCTGTAGTAACACTGGATCAATAAGAGATGATCCTCACTGGACCTCTAGGAAGAACAGTTTAGAACTGATAGAGCTGTTTATTTTAACTTTTAAATAAGACCTACTTTTACAGCATCTGTCATCATCTTATCCAGCGGAATACCAATACCGTCAACACAGAAGAAATCGATCAGAACCTAAAACAAGATAATTAAATATATATAATTACGATAAAAACTTCAAACAACAAATAAAACATGATTTGGTACCTCAACAACTTGATTCAAACGTTCGTAAAAGATAGGAGGCTTCTGTGTGGAAAAAAAGAAATTCAGAAACACAGAAGGAAATAAATAAACAACAGCCTGCTGTGACAGACGCTTCATATGGCTCCACACTTACTCCTTTATCGCCTCCCACGGTGGAAGAAATATTATCAACGACCATTGTCCAAAGTCGAAGAAGAGTTCTGGGAAAAAGACATCATAAAAATTGTCTATAGGGAGAATATTAGAACAACACTGCATCGCAAAGCGATCTTGATAATTTCAAGATGATTTCTCCCGGGGCACTAGTGCATCACCTGTCAAATACTGGACGAACCAAGGTACTGTAGAATGTTCTCATTGATTTCTCAAGATAACTCAATAATGGATCCATGGCCTGAAAATTTGAGAAATTCTACAATTAAACAATAACAACAGGAGAAGTGGGAGAGAGGAGTTAATATTCGTAGATCCATTCATCATTTCTAGAAGATGGCGTTCACTTATTTCCTGATAAATTTATGATGAATACACATGCAGCTTTCTCAAATGATTGTGATGACATGATGCATAACTTGCCTCTGAGATATCAACACTCTCATCTTGCCCGACTAATTGTGAGACAAATCTCTTGATGTCCACCGACATCTAAATAAATTAAACACGTTCGCAAATCCAATTCCTAAGGTGTTGAGTTGCTATGCATGTCCAGTCAAACGTTTCTTATTGAGATCACAGCAAGGTCTTGGTCAGGAAGACTAGAAATGAAGGGAATTGCACTTTGCAAACAATATTTCCAACCTTCTCTCCAATATGGTCAATCATATCATCAATTTTCCTCAACAACACGTCTTGAGCATTCTCAGACAATTGCTTCAATGTCTCTTCGCATTTCTTCGCCTCTCGTTCGTTATGCGACAGCATCATTCCACTGATGATACTCGGCCAGTCAAGATGAGTTTCCAACTCGTCCAACCATTGTTGAGTGTATGCAAGATTGTTTAATGTGATGCACAACTTAAAATTATAAACACAACACATTTGAACTCGAATACAAATCCACTTCATGATCTTTTCTTTAGTCAATCTAAAGGAATTGGAGGACACGAAATGTGCAACTCTAAAAGTATGAACGTCACTTCGTTTTCTAAGGCTCTAAATATAAGTTTTCATTCCCTGGTTAACTACTTTATTGATAAAAGGTTTAAAAGTGGGATTACCGACTCGCTGACACCAAAGTAGGATGGATTATCGTCATAATAGTCGTTTTTCTTTAGTTTTGTTTCCAGAGTATCAGCGTAGTAACGAGCAGCCTCGCAAATATCCTGGAAATATGGTTATGAGATGTATTTCTAAGGTACAAATCTTGGGTTGTTGTTGTTGTGGGTGGTAGACATTGAGGAGAAGATGAGGGAAGCAAGGTTGAGATGATATGGACACGTAATAAGAAGAGATGAAGGAGTGTTGGTCTATATATTATGAAACGAAGAGATCAGAAGATGTGAGGTGGTAGACATTCCAGATAAGATGAGGGAAGATAATATGGACATGTAATAAGAAAGGATGAAGGAGAGCTGGTCAGAAATATTATGGATTTAAGGGGTTGGAAGACGTGGATATTCTAGGACAAGGAAAAACACAAGGAGAATCAATTGATGGACCATGCGAAGCCATGGATCACAAACTCACATCAGTTAATTTAGTGACAAAAAGATAGCTTCCTGTGGCATCCGGCCATCGCAATCTTTTCCAAAATTGGCAGAGCTAAAAGAAACCATTATTGTTATCATAATCATCCCAAAAAGTATAAAATATTGTACAACGATACAGACGCACCTGATAAAAACAACACGTGACGTCAACAGCCGAGGTGGAATATTTGACACTAGTATCCACTACCATCGCCTGAGAAAGAAATAGTTAAGCTGATAAAGCCAGTATGAAATGAAGATAGTCAATAGGAGGTTCTCTGACTGCCATTTTCCGGCGGACTCGACCATCGTCGAATACGCCATTTTCCTGCATATTCGACCATGAATTAGTCGTTTTCCGGCGAATATGACTATGGTCGTATTTGCCATTTTCCGGCGAATATGACCATGGTCGTATTTGCCATTTTCCGGCGAATATGACCATGGTCGTATTTGCCATTTTCCGGCGAATATGACCATGGTCGAATTTGCCATTTTCCGGCGAATATGGCCATGGTCGTATTTGCCATTTTCCGGCAGACTCGATCATGATCGAATACGGCGCTATAATCAAAGAAAAGAAGCGAAGCTCTGTTCAATTGTTCCCACCTGGTCAATTTCAACTGCTTTGGCAATCCTTGCAAGAGCTTTCTTTTTCGCAACTTTGAACCAATGATCAATAAACTCTTTGAACCAAACATGACTGTTATCAAAGGCCAATTCTGTTTTCTGGCTAAGGAAGGTAGAAAGTACTTCAGACTAACAGATTGACTTATCTACGCGTTACCAAAGAAACTGATTTCGATAGAGCGAGGCTTGTTTCCAACCTGAGAGGCAAATACTGGCTGTATTCCATGATTTCTTTTGCAGCCAAGTACAAGGAAAGAAGTTTAGTTCCTAAATCACCATCCCCTACTTCCAGTTGTAATTCCTGTGGTTCCATTTTTGAGATCGACTGACGCATATCAGAGGCAAGCTACATAATGAAACAACAACAAAAATATCAATCAATACAGGTAAAAAACCCCAGAATTACACAAGCAAATAAACACACAAACCAGTTTCTCCAAAGCAAGATAAGTAAGGGAGAAATAATCGACGTCAATTCTGTTGAAGAGAAATGTTTTAGTTTAGCAAAAGAGGTGATGTGTTGTAAAATTATCTTATCGTCTTTTTCAAATGAGGGAACTCACGTACTCTTTAAATATTTTGGTGTAGAATTTAAGAGCTTTCAGGAGGTCGGTGACGATTAACTCTGAGAGTGATACCATGGATAAAATAGCGCTAGCCAGAGTCTAGAAATATACGATGATGAGTGAGTATAAAAACAGAGTATTTGCTCGTTGTTATAAGGGAAAGAACTTTCACAACAGTAGTCTCTTTTCACTTTGTACAGATGAGCACAAAACGGTATTTTTTGACGAAGCTGAAGGGCCCATTTTTAGAGAAGAAATAAAGGACGCTTTTTAGCAGAACGGTATCTGAACTAACTGAAACAAGGATATAAAATACGAAATAAATGATAAATGTTTTTTATTTATTTACAAAATAACCGTTTTATAACAAAATTTCAATTCAACAGGTTAAAAAAATGATCAATGTTGTATTGCTAACTAACAACAACTCATATTTCATTCGTCATGCTATTTAATAGTCGAGGTAATCTCATTCAGTATTACGCCTTGAATTGCATGCATTGCGCGCATGCGTCGCAGAGGGTCGTTTATATTCCTCAACTGAAAACCAATCATCTTCAAGAACCCGCCGACGTCATCATTCGCATCCTCGCGTATGCTCTCGGCAACTGTTCGTAGACTGTCGATTGTATCGTGAAATACCGATCCTAGGTTATCGTCGTCGGTGTTCGGTAAGCTTCGCTTACGGCTTTTGGTGGATTGGGGTGAAGTGTCGGTAGATAGGGCTTGCGAGAGTGAATTAGGGGTATTTGGACGGAGATTTGTATCATGAAGGGTGAACGTCGAAACTGAGTGAGGAGATAGATCAGTGGGTGGAAAAATAGGGGATTGGGGTCTAGAGGAATGAGATCTGACGGAATCCATGGGGAGTTTGCCCGATTCCTCTTGTAAGCGCCGTTTCTCGATCTGCTGACTTTCATCGTTGATTGTGATTGGCGAGTGCACGATGCCTGACTGCCCGCTTGTCCTGGAACCGTTCAAAAATTCGGGCGTTGTGCCCGAGTTGCGAACATTTGATTTAATCAGTCTTTCTGAGTTCATGCGACCTGAAATCCCGTCATCCTGGTTGGGAGGGGGATCAGATGAGGGACTGTCTTCAGTTGCGTAAAACGACTCATCAATTCTTGGATTCTTAACCATCGTAATCAAACCAAGCTCTGGTTCGCTGCTTCTATCGTCAAACGGCGGCAAATCGGGGCATCGCCGTAGTTGGGGTACCATAGTAGCCAGACTTAGGTCTTCGTTATCCTCCAGGTCTGACAGTCCGATGGGCGCAATCCCTGCCAAAGCTTCTTCAAGAAATAAAAGCTTTGAATAAGGTGGCCATGATGGTCTAAAGACGCTTCCTACTTCACCGCAGTGAGAGCGTCGTTGAGATTCTTGCACGCGGCGTCGTTGCTTAACGAAATATGTCCTTAAACTGTTGTATTTTGTGTCGACGAGCTCAGCTAAAGAGAGAGAGATGAATGTCATGTTAGAACTTAGAAGTGAAACCATTTTACGAATACTCGTCTGAAAAGATTCTTGGTTTGTTGTTCATGATTGTGGCATCGTGCAGCTAGACCGGCAATTTTGTACTTGCCAAAAGCTCTTCGCACTTTCTTTGTTTTGAATTGATAAAAATTTCCCGTCCATACCTATAGTCAACTGCATGAACTCAGGGTCTTGTGTTTACGTACACAAGAGTATAATCTTTTAGTAGATGGCAAATGTATAACGACTAATGATTTAAATACTTGTTTCAGCTTGAAAATACCAGGCAAACCAAGCTCTCAGTCTCAGAAACGTGCCAGTACTGATCGCAACTGGTGCCATTCTAGTTCGGTTTTGTACAAAGACCGACGAGACGAAATTTGACAAACCGTGACGATTGCGCACTCTGACACTTGTACAGTCAGCCGACTGAACAAGTAAAATAAAGCTTTTCCCAACATGGGAAACCACTGTGATGGTACCCTAAAATGAAACGCTTTCACTCTTTTCCTTCTGGATATTTGCCAGCGACTTATGACCATGTAGTTTAGATACGAACATGCAAGATGTTTGAGCACGGTCGAAATATCATATTGCAGTTTATATTTTAGTTATCCCAAGTTGCTCACTTAAGAGCTACAGCTGCATTATTTATTTTCATTGGACAGATATTGATCGTCGTTTAGGCAGACTTAGCAAGGAATTCATGTGTGTTATGTCCAGCGCAATTTGTCTTATAGAGATTAAATTATTAATTCATTTGATTGTATCGTTTGTCGGCGGAGAAACGGAAGACAGTTTCGCGTAGTTATTGATGCTTGTCTTTGACTTCCAGGACATTTAGTCGAATAGTAATGAACGTCAACACGGGCTAGCACTATCATGAAATACAGAAATCATTTTTACTGGAGAAGAGCCATGCAAAAGACGCGTCAACGATGATTATTTTTGGCTAACGACCACCGACGATCGACGTGTGTGCATAAATATATTTAATAACTATGGAAACCCGGATATTACAAAGATACCTACGGCTTATGCCAAGCTCTTCTGCCATGGCTTTCATTTGTGCTTTTCTCCTCGACTTATCTGCGTGTTCTTTCGATTTGTCGTTCCAAATAGCTTCGTATTTTTCCAAACATACCGCAAACCGACATTGATCAAAACTCCCGGCCGCCATATTGTCGATGTCGTGACAAAGCAAGTCAGTTGTTTGCTCACGCAAGCGTTAAGCGGAGAACAAACGTCGTGATTGGACAAGCCTGGCGTAAAGCCGATCTTAGACCGACCCCGACAGCCGCCAATTCCGTCGATTGTTTCTTGCTGTCGTTAAAATCCTTGAACCTTTGACCTCTGTCGGGGTCTGTTTTTAAATTAAACAGCGGAAAAAATCTTTCATCTGCCAGAAAATGCTGCTCCGATACGTGAGTTCCTCAGCCCTGGTTCCCTCCTGGCCGACCCCATTCCAACATGAACACCGTCGGCTCTACGGTTTCATACTCATTTTCACATTCAGATTCAGATTCAGACATGAATATGAAAATAGCCGGGTATCTGACGTACAAAATGTGAAAAAACTCCGCTCCTTTTCATGTAATAGATTTTTCCCCGCGAGTCATTCTTGACCAATGCATCAGGCATTATTTGATAATATTTTGAATTATTTTGACCCAAGAACGAATTCCAGAAAATTTGCAGAAGCTGCATGGCTAAAATGCTCTGGTTCCCTCCTGGCGACCCATTCCGCCATGAACCCAACAAAGAGAGGAGCTTGTGAAAAACAAATGAAAAATCTTACCGGGTCTTTAGGTTCAAACCAAGCATACTGGACAGTATACCATCTTTCTGCCGAGATCTAAAAACAGCCAAGGGCAAGCTTATGTTGATATCAAGAACTTGCATATTAGAAACAGTCTACTGGTTCAGTTGCGACCTAAATGCAAGCCATCTCACCTTGATTGTATTCCTAATCTCTTCCTCTATGTTGTTACTACGACTTGCGCAGTAATTCGGGATAGTTTGAATCGTTTTAATGCAACTGTAAAGCGAAGAGTTTGATATTAAATCATAGAAAAGTGTTGTGCGTATTGCAACGCTTGACGTTTAAGATGAACGGAGACGGGACATGCATGAGTTAGTGTTATAGCGGACCAGTTTTAATTTGCTTGATATACATATGTCTCTCAGTCTCTGACATTGTTTTCCAAAAGGTGACGATCGTTTTTATCCCTGCTTTTAAACTGTGGAAATAACGAGAGTATTACTTCACATCACCGTCGTAGATTTGGTGAATGTAAATAGAAACACTCACTTTAACATGTTGTTTAAACGAGATAGTTTTCCTGATTCAGTCGCTGGATATAAAGTGCGGTGGTTGTCAATCAGGCGAAGACAATGCTCTAGAAATGCGTCCAAAGATTGATGAAATGTCTCCTCCTGGGAACAGAGAGAAAAGTTTAGAACCGACAGAGCCACAGTAGCAGTCGAAAGAAGTTCTTCCAAGACCAGGCACTCCAGGCTGTCTATTCAAACTGCAAGATGAAACTCACTTCAACGACAGACAGTCCGCTTGTTTTCCAGTTGTAAGTAATTCTCGAAAGAAGTTCTTCCAAGAATGAATATTTCAAAGGCTGTGTTTGATGATAAGCACTGTACACTTCCCATTCACTAAATGACAGATATTTCAGAAATCACTCGTTTGTTTATGGTACGTACTATGTTCCATTCACCCATAGTCAGTGCCTAAGTTGATCATCATCTCAGACCCGAAATGAAAGACGAATCTTCTTTTACCACAAGTAATTCATGCTCATAATTTTAAAAAAACAACATATAATTTCATCTGTACTTACCAAACGGCTCTCTGTAATAACGTGATGTTATTTTGGATAACGTATTGATGTAGGATCCACTGAGCAAATCTCGACAAATCTCCACTGCCGAAAACATCATCCAAATCCTAGGGAAAAAGATCTATGATACAACAGAATCATAACTAGATATCGTCACCAGCAATAAATCAAACAGGTTTATCGACATCAGTATATGATAGACCATTGTATTTCCAAGAAACTTCATGTTGCAAACAGCTCATTGTTCATACAAACCTCCGCATGTCTTCCGTCATAGGTTACAAAGGTTTTAAGAAAAGCACCGTAGGTATCAAGTCTTGATGGACTGAATTTTGCTTCATTGTTGCTATTGTTGTTATTCTGAAAAAAAAGATTGTTCAACGAACAATTCACCAGTTGAAAGAAGGTCTCTGCCCCCCCCTTCCAAAAAAAACTTGCGAGGCTTTTCGATCAGTCTCAACCAGGGATGGACCTCACCCCCCGACGTTTTAACTACCATATACCAACTTTCTTTAATGGGAAGAGGTCTTTTGCCAGCTAATTTTTCAGGTCAACTTCCGTCCAAAAATGAATCCGGGGGGTTGAACCATGCAGGCGTTTACCACTAGGATACTGGAAGGTGATAGCATCCTGGTAGACAGTTATAGTAGACGAATATATATTATTGAATGCCGGCTTCACCTGGTGTCCAACAAGTCTGATAACAAGATGACAATCTCCACGTGTCGTTGACTTTGCTGATCTTGCTTGCAGTGGAAACCATTGATCTATGCCACTGGACGGAATATCCTGGTAAAAAAGAAGAAAATGATGTGAATTTTGGGAAGATATATGATAAAGTAACGCCTGAAACACAGAAAGCGCTTTCCTAAACCTCTGACCAAGCACACTATTTCATTGTAGCAATGACTGCATTTGAAAACTGTGGATTAGGACACGCGATGATTAAATGGTTTGTTTGTAAGAGATCTTACCTTAATCGGGAACTCAACAAATCCAAGAAAATCATCCATGCTCGTGCTTCCACTACACTTCCTGCTTGATTGAACCACTTGCTTGAGAAAACTAAAACCAGAAATTACTTCAAATTGTTTCCGAAATCTCGAATTCTGCTAAAAGGTCTTTTACTCACCGTCCTACCCCAGCAACGCCTTTAATCTGAGTTAGTCTGTTATCTTTATCAAGAAATGCATCGTCTTCATCTTGATCCCTGAAATAAAACATGGCCTTGAGATCTCCAGATCGCCGTTAAAATGACGGCTAAAGAAAGCTTTGTTCTATCCAAAAATGGTTGTCCATACCACATATCCAAGTGCAAGGTCTGCGTCATAACATCATTTACTTTTCTGCAAAGGATAAAAGCGAGTCATTATTTTCATTTAGCCTTAGTTGACCGTAGTTTTCCCTGCTTTATCGATCACGAATCCTTCAGTTCTCTATCATAATCCTTCTTCCATAACAAAGCAAAGATTCATACTTACAATGTGATAGTTTCGTTCCATGTAGGATTCAAAGTTTTCTTCTTCACTGACGTAAGTTTAATAAGGTCTTCCTCAAGTTGCTCAGTCACTGTTTTTGTTTTGCTCGACTTCCGTCTCAATTTTCGATCAAACGAGTTGTCAGTGACAACACCAAGCATGCAATAAGGATCGCTAAATCCTGTCAAGAATTTAATCAAAACGAAGTGTATTTGTTAGTCAGAGTTGTTAAATATCTTGTAGCGTCACTTATCCCTGAATGTCACACGTGCAATCTTTTCCAATCTGGGATACAAACACGTACCATTGGCATCTTTCGCTTCAATATCTCTTGCTTCAAGAACTGTGGAAAAGTTAACAATATTATAATAAAATACACTAAACTTGAACGCTGTCATAGTGCAAGGAACGTGTTCCGCGTTAAACTACAAGTCATCTCAGTCTCTGATTCTCGAGGTGGTCTAGCTACTGCAGTTCACAGCGAAACTTACTGTATATCCCTTTTGAAACATATAATTTTACCAACCTTTAACTTCGACATGACAAGTTGGTGGCTAAAATTTCAATAAAACAAAACATAAACCTTCAAACCTATCATCATCGGACATGAACAAACCCCTGAACTTTGTAGTTTTAAATGAAAATATTACCTTGAGTTCCTTGACGCGAGAGAACAACTCTCGGTGTTTGTCTTGCGTTATTCCAAACACCTGAAAATACAGGATATTATATTAATTCTAGCTTGCAGTGAAGAAATAAACTAATGAAATGATAGTTCATTGTTAATGTTACTGACTTCTTGACCATAAACATATATTTCTCCTTGCAATGGGGCATCTTTCCTCTGCTGTTCTGACACAAACTGGTTGATAGTGACAAAGAGAAGTTGACTGTATAGTTCCAGTGACTAAAACAGAAAGAAGAAGCTCATTCATTGAACTAGTTTGAATCTGCAAATCATTTGAGATGATCAACTTTACCTTCTCTCTATCAAGTTGTGGTCTCTTCTTTTCATGAGGAGGTCTGGTTGCCGCCTGTTTTACCTCATCATCGTCACCTGAATATTCATCTGTTTCATCATGTGATGAGGGTAGGTTCTAAACAGCAATGACAGAACTATATCAAACCTCCCTGCATCACAACCACCACAATGGTCACAACCACCATCACCATTTCACATCACAAAAATCACCATAATTTACCATCAGCACCATCATATCCACCACCACTACCATCATCATATGTAGCTACCACAATTATAACTACCATAACCATAACTACCACCACCACAACTACCATCACCATAACTACCATCACCATGCACCATTACCATTACATATTTCAACAACAATCACCACTTAAAATCAGCACCACCATAATGACCATCACCACCATTATGCAATATATATCACAACTACCGTCACCATGCAACAATCTAATTTTTCTACCTTGATTGCTTCTGATTGTGGCCTCAGACTCTGTTTCTTCCAGTCTAACTCAGTGATCTTCTCAAAGAATGCGTCATCCAAATGCAAGGCTCTGAAATTGTAGAGAGAGAGATGATTTTAAACTTAGCCAGCCATCTCAGCTGTGCCTCTTGTTAACCTTAATACTGTCAATGATAGTTGAATCAATGGAAATAGTGGTAGATACATGAAATATTTGCAGGGTTGAGTTCCTATGTGCAAACAGGCCCAGTTCCTACAGGCAAACAATCCCAGTTGGAGGTTTGTAATAATTCAGAAAACATTTTTCAGACTTGTCTTGTCCCAGCAGGTGTTGAAAAGCAGTCATTTTTTTATGATAGTGGGTGAGTAAAAAATGTCTGACAACACAGGATTGTATCAATCTAATATTGGTATATCATGTGCTGGACTTGATAAAATATCCTTATTGGAACATTGCCTTCAAGATCATCTATACTTGTCAGCACTTAGAAGAGGAAGTGCAAACAAAAGAGTTTAAAACATTGTCAGCTTGTCTGCAATGTGCTGTGTGATCATTATGTAAGCACAAGTGATAACATGCGTGCTTCTCAATGTTAACAAGATTGGAACAAGCCTGGAGGCAATATACTGAACATTAGACATGTTTTATTCTATGCATTTGAAAAAACATTAATTCATACTGCAAAATATCACGCACTGCTGCACATTTATGTTTAATGTCTAGCTAGAATAAATGTCTTAAAATATTAATAGGATTAAGTTTCGATCGAGTACGACATTATTTTACGACATAGCCTGTAAACCTCTATAGCTCAATAATGATATGATTAATAGCGATAAAGTTGCATGCATCAACAAGCTACATCAATAATCCTATGAAAATACACAAAAATATACCTCTGTTTTGGAGTTTTGTCGTTAATAATCCTATTCGTATACTCGTCTTCGAGTGTTAAAAAGCGCAATGTTGGTCCGTTAAAAGACTGATGTTCGACTTCTCCTACAGCCGTATCTAGGATTTCCATTCCTTTTCAAATATTATCACACGATAAAATATAGCTTCGTGAGCTAGTAAACCTTGCCTTTGAGCATAAAAATGGACATTAAAATAATGGAATATTTTTTTTGAAACTTGAGTCTTTAAATTGCAGGCTTCAAGAATTATACGTATGCGTTTGAAACTTTGAATAGAATTATATTATATACAAACATAGACATTTTGTCATGCAAATTAGGATAGTTTGACAGTTATAAAGTGCATAGGAGTTTCTATTGGCCAGAAAAATCTTGTGTATAATACCACACATTTTAAACAACTCATTGATACCTTTCGTTTTCTGTGTTTTCACCCGCGTACCAAGTAGTTTTGTCTTCTTCTCTAGTTTTGTTTGTTGAAGGTTCACTTGATGTCAATCTACGAATTCCTTTGCCTAATTGTGTTCTCCAAAACGGCTCGAAAGTTGGTTTAATAGCTTCATCGTTTAAATACTCCCGCCATTCCTTTACAACCTTTCTGAATGATCTCTTACTTGACATTTAGCTCTTTAAAACGAGATAAAAAGTCTCGAAATTGATGTGAATCCTAGCTTTCGGATACTTCGTATGTGTGGAAGTACTTCAACATATGACTCATGACTGTGGCCTGTGAGTAAACAATATCACAGGATTTCTCCTGTCAAGACCCGTCAACAGGTGAATTTCCGCCAGAAATTTACTATTGTTTTATTTATACAATCAAATAAAACCAACCAAGCCGTATTTCAGTTCTTAACAAGGCGATTTCACAATAGGATCATCAAATTTCGTTTTGTAAATATTAGTGTATTTATATTTGAAAATGAGCACCACTTCTGTCTGGCAGACTAGAGTTCCGTTTTAATAGGACATTTCTTTTCGAAAATAAAGACTTTTTATTATTCTTGAAATCAGAAGTGTTGTGTTCTTAGATTTATGAATTGAATAATTGCAACATGACTGTAACATTTTGAGTCACTATATTTGGTATTATTGTGATAATTGAAACATGTTTTGCGTATTTTTTGGTCAGATATTACATTTTTCTTCAACATATAAGACATCAAAGAAAAAGACGACAGGTAATATAAAAACCTCATAAACATGGAAGTAATTTGATATTGGTTTGTATATAGATGTGCTTGACAAATAAGGCGAGTTATTTTGATTTCTCGTTCCAGCAAATACCACAACGCTGTTTTTCCCTTTAGGAAATGCTTTCCTGCAACCGGAACTGCAAATTTTGTGCTTTCACTTCCATTTTCACTTCTACCTATCATTATCACGCGATGTAATTGGTTTTAATAAATACTCTTGTAGCGCCTTACTATGTTAATCCAATAGAAATTGTAAAAAAAAACACACACACAAATTTGCAATCTTATTTTATTTCTTTCAATGCCTTTATTTTCAATATAACTCAAGACCAGTTCTCTCCTCCAGCTGGTGCACCCCAATCAGCAGATGCATCTGCTGTTGTTGTACTGGCTGCCCAGTCACTAGAATCAGCTCCCCAGTCTGTTGAAGTTGGAGCTCCAAAACCAGCAGTTGTAGCTCCTCCTGCTGGAGTCTCAGCAGCCCACTGTTAAGAAATATGTTTCTGTTAGATGAAATCAAAAACATAGGAACAAGGGGGGGGGGGTCATCCCCCAGTGTCCCCCCCCCTCAACTTTCAAAATGATGAGAGTGCACTTTTTAAAAGGAAAGTGTCCCAATTGCTTCATTATGGATAAGCGGGAGAGCGATTATAAAATAAATTTTCTTGAGGGTGCCTTTTTTGTATAAAAATGTGAAGGCCTAGAAAGCCTAAGCTCCCTCAAACTTGAACTTGTTGCCTACAACTCTGGGTGAAATGCAGTAGAAAGCTAAAAATTACAGAAACAGTTGCTACTCACATCCTTGTTATCCGGTAGCGCAGCCCAGTCTGCCACCTCGGCAGGAGCGGTTTCCACTTGCCCACTGGGTGCTGCTGCCCAATCAGTCGAAGGAGCTGGTTGAGATGTAGCAGGAACAAATGGAGTCTCATCAACCGCAGCTGCAGTTTCCTCTTTCTCAGCCTAAGTAAATCATACATAAAAAATCAATTGTCTAGTGAAAGTATTTGTCTTGAATGTGGCTTATCGAATAAAACCACCAATAATCTGATAAGATTAGGTACCTCTGCTGGATCACGATAAAAGTACAAATCAACCATAACATCCCATGGTATGTCGCGGCTGATGGTTCCCCTCATTCGCAGGACTTCACGAGCCAACATCCACCACATTAGACCAATAGACAGAGCACCCTTGTTGTTGCATGGAATTGCTACATCAATATGTCTCAATGGAGAGTCAGTGTTGCAGAATGCAATGACTGGAATATTGACATATGATGCTTCGGTGACTGCCTGTAATAATTATTGAAAAATTATACATTGTGTTTAATTACACACCTACAGAAGTTGATGGAACTACTCAAATATATTTTTCATAGCAGTAATCTTTTGAGATAATATATTATATGGTAGGTAAACCAGGAAATTGAGTACTGTTCCTACCTGGTGATCAATTCTGGGATCGCTGACAATCAAGAGACGAGGTTCACGAAAAGCTGCTTGAATCTGATTGGTGAATGTACCAGGAGTGAACCTTCCGGCGACAGCAGTGGCACCAGTGTGCGAAGCGAATTTCAGAATACCACGCTACATGGTGGAGAGATGTATTCAATAAGTAATTACATCATCCTGGTCCTATTGACCCCTACAATTGATTGACAAAAATGGCAGTACTACACACCTGACTGTAAGGTCTGGCAGAGATAACACAGACATCCGCTGGGTTCTCAATAGCTACAATGATCCGTGCTGCCATCACCAATTTCTCCCAGGTCTTGCGAAGATTGAAAATATAAACACCTAAAAATATCCATTATCTTTCATCATAATGATGGTAACACATGCTTTTTCTAGATGACTTTTAATTGGAAAATATTGCTATAAATGTCTGTCATCAAACCATCCAATTTGGTCAGATCCAATTCCATTTTGACATATGGGATGAATCATCAGACAAAACTAAACTATTTGAAGAGACCAAATGAATGTCAATGTAAGAACAGCAGGTTGAAATACCATCTGGTTTTCTTTTGTAGATGTAGGAATTCATTTGGAAATCCACATTATTGGAGCCAAGATGAGTCCCAGAAAGCAAAAACTTAACAACATCTTCCTCTTTGAGCTGCAAAACGTCAGCACCAGGTCCTCCAGACATCGTAATGTTGCACAGAATAAGTTACGACGCACAACCTAGAATTACAGATACCAACAACATACCAGGTCAAGACCACCACCACAGGCTGGGTTTTTAATAATATAAGATAGATTGGTTTGAGAATACAGGATGATGAATCACACTTAATGATTTGCTTCTCAGCAAAAGTCAAAATATTACTAATTGGTTTACAGTTTAGGTCCAATTTTTTAACCAGAATACCCAGGACTACTCTGGGCACTCTGCGGCAAGTCTAAATCAGAAAGTCAGAAATGGTAGCCTTGAAACTCGCGTTACAATCAATGTTATGGGTAAATTTATCTATCAGCCTTTAGCTATAACTTTAGTCATGTTCTTAGGACAAAAATTAAAGCAAGAAACGGGTTAAAATATGGTAAATTATCGGGGAATATACATACTAAGTTTACAAGCCAAAATGGAGAATCGAAAAGAACCCGTCACGTTTCACGTGGCTTTTTGAACGAGCACGCGGGGAACCCAGATAAACGCGCAGGGCTCTAAAACGAAACACGTTGACGGAAACCGGAAAAACGCTTCGTTCATTCACGATCTTCTTTCCCCACGATCGATCCTAGGGGATATTAGGGGTTCTCCTTAGGTGAAATAGGGTATTCCTGGGGTATTTAGGGCGACAATGCGGCCTTGATCCCTAGATGGAAATCCAATATGGCCGAATGAAGAGGAGCGAGGTTTTCGAAAATTAGAAACTTTTGCGCTTTCCTCTCAAAAACTACGGCCTTCTTACGAATCTGCCGCAGAAAAGGCGAGAATGTTAAGAAGGCTTTTACGCAGACATGTTTTTACGTTCATGAACCGTAATTTAACTGTCAAAATGTCATTTAAAAGTCGCTTTAATGCAAGTGCGTATATTTTTGTACGTTTTCAACATGAACAAGCAAATTTGAGCGAAAATAGATCGGGCAATGCCGCAGAAAAACATGAAGAAGCTGGCAAGGAGCTCACTAAATCTATACCGAAGCAGGTGAATCGATTTCCATTGAAGCATTTGACAAAATCGGCTCAAATTTTTGAAAAATTAGCAGTTAGCTCTCCTGACGAACAAGGCTTCTGTGATGCAATAGAGACTTTCAAAAAACGCGATGTCAAACGAATTAAGGCTATGGATTTTATAAAAACAGCAATGACATATATGGAGCCATTTGGTGTTGCAAAAAATGTCGAGAGTTATAATCAACTGCTGGATCTCTTTCCTAAAGGACGATACCATTATAGGACTGTGTTTGATACATTGTGGACACGCTATCGTCCACAGATTGACTGCGCTGTACAAGTTTTAACAAAGTTGGAGGAAAATCGACTTCGGCCAAACGTGCATACTTATGACATAGTGGAAGCTGTGTTTGGTAATGATAGTATACCTTTGAACAAGTTGAGACGTATTGTATTCTGGTTTGACAAGTTTGACGAGATGTACCCAGACCCATTGCCAAAGGAACTGCCGAGTGATAGAGAGGATTTGTTCATGGTCGCAATCAATCGCATGGTTAATGAAAATATGGATGTTGAGGTCACATCTTTCAAGGTATGATGGTTGATCATTCTCTTTCCTTCATTGTCTCAGAGGTCACATTTCATGTTTCCTGAGCAAATAGCATTTGTCTTGATCTCCAGTGTTAGAATTGCTGATAGTAATAGATATATACTTGACCTATTCTTCATTTAGAACCAAGATGGGAAAAAGATGGAAATTATTGGTGCTCAGAACAAGTATCTCTCAAATTTTCTTTTGGAATATGACTTTGCAAAGCCAGTTTTTGTTGAGGGTCCTCAAATGACATGGTTACGGAAAACTAAGATCTTTTATTACGTTCTGAAAGCTGATATCAACCCAAGTGTAGTTGATGAAGGTAATTTGTAATAACAATAATTCATCGCAGAAACACTAAATGAAATATATGAAAACAAAATTTTGTGATATTTTAATACAGATCGTATTCTTGCGTTGTGTATACTTGGTGACAATGAAGGTGAAGATGAACTAAAAATATGGATAAAAGAATTACAGAAAGACTTTCCAAGACTTGCTGAACTTAATATTATATTTAATGTGAATATAAATAACAAACTTTAAGTTTGAAATTGTATTTTTTATATGTCAGACAATAATAACTTGATTATAGATGTTCAAATTTGAGTACAGATGAATAAGTCATAAATTTAGTTCAGAGAACAATTCAATTTATATTAGTTTTTCCATCAAAGCAGTATAGAATATAATCTCGTACAATTGGGACAAACTGCAAGGTTTCACTCCCAAGATATGTGGTCAGAAACAATTTTCATTTTCCTACAAGATATTGCAGCAGTTTATTTTCCTTGTGACCACACACTTGCAATGTTCTTTGCTGAATTTTTCTTCACAGTTCTGGCCATTGGTAAGGCAGGAAAATCTTCTTCTAAAGAAGGCTGAATCTTTGCAACTTCAACAATTTCACTTCCAGTGTTTAATGAAACATCATTTCCTTTTTCAACACCGTCGCCCAATTTATATGTCACTTTGGCATCATTATAGACAAGCAATAGTTCCCTTTTTTTATCTTCATCTGGAAGAATATCGATCAGTTCTCGAAAGACTTTGTGAATATGTTCCTTACCAAGCAACTGACAGCACTGCTGGTAATATTCTTCGGCAGAGGTTCTGCCGTGTCTATAACTACCTGAGACTTGTTGAAAACTTTCAAAACTTTCACTCCTATGGTTTAAAATTCTGCGTATATCCCTGATAAGCTTTTGACTTCGAGTTTCCTTCACTTGTGAACCATCTTGTTTCAGTGGGACCGACCAGCCCATGCCAGGGGGTGGACGTCCAGGAGCTGCAGGTTGAAATCCAGGGGGAGCAAGACCAGGTGGTACTTTAACACTTGAACTATGACCATTGATAAGAGAAGAAAGTGTTGGGAATTCACTATCGTACGTAGGTTTGGAAAATGGTTTATTATGAACATTGGTTTTGGATTTCTTGGTTGACTGGTTGACCAATGATTTCTCAAGATTTTGGATCTCTTTCTGAGGTTGTTTGCTTGTTGTAACAATGTTATAGGAGTTACCAATGTGTTCAGGATTCTGCTTGCTCTCAGAGTTCTCTTTTGATGTATTATCTTTCTTGGACTTTGGTTTAACAAGATCAAATCCAGGTGGGACACTTAGACCAGGTGGTGGCCTGAACAATGGCTTGCTTGGCTCATTTGAAAGGGTTGGAAATTCACTGTCATAAGCTGATCTTGGCTTGACGTTGTTCTTCACAGGCTCTGGTGTATTGCCAGTGGGCAGCACTGAAGCATCCTTTGGTTTCTCTGCATTTTCTTCCCTCTTCTCTCCTTCAGTCTTCTGTTGTTCAATCTCTGATTTCTGACTCTCTGATTTCTGACTCTTGCCATCTGTCTTCTTCTTGTCTTTCTTCTGATTTTCACCATCTTTCTTCTGTTTTTGTTTCTGCTCTTTCTGACTTTGGCTTTCCGTCTTTTGTTTCTCACTGTCCACTTCCAGACTTTTTCTCTCAGTCTTTTTCTTCTCTCTTCCTTCCTTCTGATTCTTGCTGTCTTTCTCTCCTTCCTTCTGATTCTTGCTGTTTTTCTCTCGTTCCTTCTGATTCTTGTTCTCTGTCTTCTGTTTTTGGCTCTCTATTTTATGATTCTTGCCCACATCAACTTTCAAACTTCCTTCACCACTTTTGGTATTCCTTTTTTGTGATGAGTTTTCTTCCATTTTCTTGCCTCTATCATTAAATTTACCATCTTCCAACTGGTCCAAACTCTGCTGCTTCTCTTTGCGACCGGCGCTACCAAACCTTTCATCTGATGATCCCTTCTTCCTGTTGGACCTTAAAGCTTCATCTCCTCTCACTATATCTGCACTCTTGCTAACTTTGTCAGTTATATCAACTTTATTATTCTTTCTTCCACCACCCCCCTCAAATATCCTTTTATTAACTTCACCAGGGGGTCGTTTATGATCACCTTCCAAGACATCTCTAGATGTCCTCACATTACCCCTCCTCGCTTCACCTTTATCACCCATATTCTTCATTCCCAAATTCATTCCTCTGTTTTCCCCCTTAACTGCTCGATCCTGAGGAAAATGTCGTTGGGTATCTTGATCACGTTCCTTGCTGCTGCCCTCCCTGTTATAGCTTCCTTGATCTCGAATTCCAATGTATCGAAAATCACTATAAAATATTACATAGAGAAAGAGGTTGGATATGATCAGAGATGATCCTTAGTCTAAATAGGACCTCTGAGAAGAACAGTTTAGAACTGATAAAGCTATCCAGTATAAATAAAGTTAGTTTAGTTTAGATTTTCTCCTGTAGTAACACTGGATCAATAAGAGATGATCCTTACAGGACCTCTAGGAAGAACAGTTTAGAACTGATAGAGCTATTCAGTATAAATAAAGTTGGTTTAGTTTAGCTTTCCTTCTCTAGCAACACTGAAAGATGATCTTTACAGGACCTCTAAGAAAAACCGTCTAGTGCAAATACACAAAATAGCTGTGATTTCCAACATACCCTGTCACTCCACTTGATCTGGTATATCTCTCTTGTCCCTGTTCTGGAAAGCTAAAATCACGACCAGATACAATGCTGTTTGGCTCCTCGCGTGGAGCAAATGTTATATTAATGTCCAACTGTCGCATCTGCCGAGCTTCTGCCTTGGATAATTTATCAGAATGATTCTGTGCTATGTGTGCCTGGAAGTCCACTTTCATTCTAAAAACAGATGTGAATTTTTCATGCAAACATTCACCTTCTTCACAGAGGAAGTGAGCTTGTTTAAAGTGTTTTCTAAGCTCATTGTAGTGTGGATAATAATCTTGTGATCCATCCTTCTCGCACAGATGACACCAGAAATGGTTCTTTCGTAAATGCACCAAGAGTTCATCGTTATCAAGGTACCGTTCATCACAAAACTGGCATAACGGGTGACCTCGATGCGACCTGTCGTCATCATCACCATGCTTCCGATGTCTTACCAACTGCTCTCTGGTATAGCACTTCCGTTCATGAGTAAATATCTTCAAATTTCTGAGGCAGATATCGCAGTAAATCATAGAATGGACTTTTCGTACATGATCTTTCACCTGGGGAAATGATCTATGGATCTCTTCACACTCTGGGCACTTGTGCTGGAGAAGTTCATCAACTTTCTCTTGACTCTCAGATGTTTCATGAAGGATTCCATGATTTCTTGAATGCTGCTGACGACGAGGTCTTGTCTTATCAGCCCATAACTTGTAGCCTTTTGAAACTATTACCTAAACACAAAATTGCAGAATAAACAATCTTAAACTTAACCAATTTCTTCACTTTAAAAAAACTGGAAATGTTCAGGAACATACAGCACCCTATGACGTAATACGACAAGGTGAATACAATCCTACATTGTATCTGGGAATATATAAAAATAGTAAAACAGTTGGTATGTATGTTTAAAAAATCTTACATACCTCTTTCAACTGGGCTCTACACACAGGACAGTCGTATTCTTTTCTCAAAAGACGTAATTTTACACAACATTTTAGGCAGATTGGATGATCACAGACCCCACAAGCGGTGTATTCAATGTCTTCACAACACAACACACAATGAGACTCGTCTGGTGAAAGAGTTAGAGCTGTAGCCATTACTTAACCAACGATCCTTCATATAGAGCAAATTTGTAGATATTACAATATATTTTCCCAAAGAAAAACGCTCTCAAAGTCACCCAACAGGGAGGAATTAAACTCATTTACAAATTCTTTCAATTTCAGTTTTTCAGTCATGCTTATGTTTCCACTATAAAAATTAAGACTTTCCTTAGCCAATATTTTAACTTCAGCCAGTTTAAAAATGTTCAAAAAATTTTAAAAATTACGTTCTTTAATTGTTTAAAAGTTATAATGAAGTTCTTTTAAAAACTTTAAACAAGTGTTTTTACTCTCCGAATGTTCTGCCATGAAGCAGTGAAGGTTGGGCAGCTATTTTTCATAGTAGTTGGAAATAAAAAATTGACGAATGAAAATGGCACACACTTACGGAAGTAGTCATATAGTGATTACGTCATTATTTGCATCATCATGAGCTCACTATTATTACGGAATGACGTAATGGAAAGGAAGGAAAAACAAAAGGCAAGTTTACACATTAGCATAATTGAACTAAACAGCACGACAAGGAATCAAATCTTTAAAATTTTTACATGATATAATAGTATCATAGTGGGAGAATATCAAATTATAAAGTCAATAGGCTTGAACTCAACAATTTCAACTACACTATATTATTGGAGAGAATAGTAATATTATTGATAGGGTCATGCCTGACTGTTTTCGAGTAAAATGCATTTCATGAAGTATACTGCACGAGAGTTACGTCTGTTCTCATGGTGAAAACAAAAGTAACTTACTCGTAAGGTAACTGACGATAATATATAACTCTACTTTTTCTGTCTGAACTCCCGGAGAGGTTGCATGAAAGCTGTCTAGCTTAAACAGTGGACAAGTGAGTTATCTTTCCACACATTGAAATTCCATGCCATAAATATTCTTTTGCAAGCATGAGTAAATGTCCCACTCAAGATAGTATTGCTTGCGTGTGTGGTGACTGTATAAATTTGATCGATACTTTCACTTATCGGCCATTTAACCTAAACAGATTCCCTTGGAGGGCAACGACAAACGAGTTCCCTTGGAGAGCAACATTGAAATAGCCAGTCTACAGTCACTGTCATTAACACTTCAGTCTAATTTGATTGTTCATCATTTTATAATTTAACCAGTCGCTTCTTCCCCTTCTTGGACTTGCATGTGATATTTGTACGTTTTTTCTGTCGTTTGTAACGATCCTTCAAACACAAAGAAGATATTCAAGATTGACAATTGGTATTTCTAGGTTTGCGATGTTCGTGATGGTCAGGTCCCAGAACAAACAGTCCCCAGCTCCCAGAACAAACTACGCCAACAAACTACACTATTCAGCTCTCGCGAAATGCAACAAATGGGGGATTCACCTTGTTGTACACACAACAGGACCTGGTCAATAGTCAATACATGACGTACTTACCTGATGAAAGATCAAACGTTCGACCTTTTATTTTCTTTTCATGTTGTAATGGTGAAAACCAGTTATAGAGAGACGATACAAGCGGAACTTGACGTAACAGACCCTGGAAGAGGATGCGAATAATGAAGATAGTTCTTATCAATACATTTCTTCACTGAAAAGCTCTATCAGTTCAAAATCTGATCCACTCACTTCTTCCATGAGGATATCGTTGGAGTCTTGGACTAAATCGTGTTCAGCTGCTTCGATTCCTTTTCGTATAACATCTGCCATCTTTTCCATAAACTATTCACATGCAAAGGCGAGATTAAAACTAACACTAAAGCTTAATTCTTATATAAGCGCATAATACATAAACAATTGAACACCATTCATACTAGAAAGATGAGATGAACTGCATTGTAATGCTATTCGACGAATCATCGTATTTTACCTTAGCGGACTCCTGAACTTCCTTCACACTCTTTTCTAAAAGCTCGACAATCTCTTGCACATTAACAGTTCTGTTGACCTGAGAAACGAGTAATTTAAAGGAGTATTGACGGCTCAAATATCACAGTATAAAGAGAACTCGTGCATCATCGATCTTACCAGTCCAATCTTTATACAAACACGACCATCAGCTGTCTCTCCTTGTGAGAAAAGATCTTTGTCAGAAAGCTTTGCTAAAACGTCTGTGTTTAGTTCGTCTAACTCCTGTTGTTTGACAGCAGGTAAATCCTTTAAATCTTTACTCTTCCAGTATTGCGGGATGAACCTGGAGATGAATTGAGGCACTGTTGGTGAACCGGCTCCGGGAATATTAGGGATATCGAAGGATAATACTTACTGTACCGCACCGACTCCGGGGAAATCAGGGATATCGACGAGTACGGCGTGTGGTTTGTCTGCCACAGCATTGAATAAACCAACTCTGTCCGCGAGCGTAGCATCAAATGCACTCTAGATGATGAAGAGAGACTTTGAGAGAAGAATGGGGAGGAGTTGGTGATGACATCATACAATATGACGTCATACACACACCATGACGTCGTCATCCACGCAAGCAAGCATACGTGTACTTACAATTTTTGTTTCAAGACATTTTATAAAGTGATCAACAGACTCGTTTGTTGTGGCTGAGGCTAAAAAAAGTGAAATTCATTATTTATTAAAAACAAGGCTGTCCATAGGTCAGAATACTGAGCAGTACAATATATATTAGTTCACAATGTACTGCATATTATATACACTAGTTTAGCAATATATATATTTAGGTGAATAGGTTAGAAAAGCCAAACTTACTGGCGGCAAAGACAAGAGGATTAAAGCGTAGACACCAACCAACACTCGGAACACGGATAAGATCAATACTGACGTGAACAGCATCTTTAGCCAGCGATGAAACTAACTGAAATAAAGCAGAAGAGAGGAATTATGAAGCATGACACCAAAAAATGAGATCGTCGTTGTTTCAACTACCATGATACATACACGTTAGGATAGGACAGTTTTAGCAACTTTCATTCCCATTCATTATCTATACAAACTACAAACAAAGTAGTGAATGTTTCTTACCATTTTGTTGAAAGAATCAATGAGAGCGTTTGATGCTTTTTCTTGTTCTGGTTTTCGCTTTGTTGAAACGTTTTTTTCACCTGATGATTCGTCATCACCTGCAATAGACCGTAAGTAAGTCAACCTTGTCTGTACTGCATAGTCCAGCTTAGACACTGATCTCTGAATGGGGTGGTCGGACGAGAAGGTATTAAGCGAAAAGCCCCCACACCCACCCTCTTCGCTGCTGTTGCTCCCTTCAGAACTCTCTGATTCAGAACTTTCACCGGAATAACGGAAGACGACAACCGGGGAAATACAACGACTTTGCTCCTAAAACATAAACAAATAAAACGTCAACTTCATATCCTTAGATTACGGTAGAAAGATATGGTTTAAAAGAAAAACATTCGCACCCTTAGAGTCAAGTCACTTACAATTCTCTTTATATTTGGCAATAGGTCAAGGAGATGACACATGTGTTGCGCCTAAATCAACAGAAGATATGGAATTACAAAAGCTATTATCTTTTTAGACAAACAAACCAGGAGAAAGTTGTATTAAACCCATACCAATTCACCAGCCTTAACAACAGAATTTCTCAGCTCATCTATTCCTAAGAGACAGAAAGAGAGGTGTAGAGTTTAAAAAACTGTTTGCTGTTAAACATTGATGGTGTATGGAAGGAGAACGAAGGGAACCTACCAATCTTCTTCATGCATATCCATAACGGGAGGATTAGCATTTCAACATCTTGTTCTGTGCAACCCAATCCAGATTGTGCTGCCTGGAATTAAAAATTGACCAGGATCTAACATACACCAGCACAGTACTCTGAATCAGTATTGCTAGACAATTTTACTTGCAAACAAAACGTAAGAATGTGATATTCTTAACAGCTTAAATTTAAATTATAGCATTGAATTATTTACCTGAACAGGATCCTTTATTCTATATAATGTCTTTTTTGGCAAAGAATCAAGGAAAATGTCATGTAATTTGTATAAAAATATTGTTAAATATGGTATTATTCTTGTGAAAGGATACACAACAGTGAGCTGTAGGCATTGCAAACCAACGATGCAACATGAGCGTCATGCTATCACTACTTATTGCAGCCTAGAAATATAGAATTATGATTAAAAATATTTACATGCTAAGTTGCAGTGGAAATGAATGAAAATAAAGATGAGACAATACTAACTGTCATTGATGATGGCACAGATGCTAACGATAATGTAGCCAATGTGTCACTAGAATTATATAAACAAAATTGTGTCAATAATATAGTTTAGATGCTCAATAATTATACACCACAATTTTTCACTGTCTTCTTGTATAAACAAATGGTCTGACAAACATACCCAATGACATGCAACCATAGACCATTCTGAGTGGAAAGTTCACGTAACCTCTGTAGATTGTCTGTGTGGCCCACAAGTGGAGTCCCTGGGAAGCAAGAATATAATTTTCAGGCCTTCGGAACTTGAATAAACTACACCTTATCAAGCGAGCAACAAAACGAGTTACCGAACTTCAAAGATTGCGTAGAGAGAGTCAACTTCAGAGACTTCATACCTGCATTTGCGACAACCAGTAACGGAGTTTTTCCGCATGATATATCATCACTCAGTAAACGTTCGAATGCAGCAATATCCTGTTAGAAGAACACATTCTTTGATTAGTTTTCTCCACCAACATCCAAATGAATGCTGCATGAATGATGTAAATGTATATCTGTATATGACCTACCATGGAATGCAATGATCCAAACATGGTGTTACATGGAACTACATTGAGAGAAGAATGCTATTTTAAATACCGTAAACCTTTCTTATAAATCATAATAATGTAAAATGCAGAAAGCTTGAGAAAAGTTGATTAAACTAGACAAATGTTTCTAGTATTTGCGTTGGAAAAATTAGGATGAAAAGTTATGATAAATTATTACCTTCACAAATACTAGACTGAGGAAGGCCAAGCTGAGAAAACAAAATGCAAGCATTAGTTCAAGGAAAAGCACGTACATATATATACAGATAAGATGATTCATTTATGCAGTTACCTCCATTCGTAGATATGCACCAAATGATGGATGAGAAGCAGCACTTATGTAGATCACAGGAGGTCTGTTGGAATGACAGCAATCATGCATGTGTTAAAATCAAATTTGAAAGTATATTGCAAATATTTCACTTGCATACTACCTTGTGTATAGAGCTGTAAAACCGTCTGTTGCATATTTTGGATATTTCATACGTAATGCAAGTCTACAAACTACGAAGAATACACATTATTAAACTGAAGCCATGGTCTTAATTCAACTTTACTTTATCAACAAAATACCTTTAACAATTCCAGTCCAGCAGTGATGATGGAAGTAAGCAAGGCTGTTATCAAAACTACAAGATAATTCAAATAATATTAACACGACCAGGAAGCTTTCCTTCCACTAGTTAGGTAATTGAATGAAATATACTTAAAAAGTTTTGAGATCCATTCAGTGACTTCTTCCACTAGATGTGCATAAAGTTGATCCAAACGAGTTTGTTCAAGAAGGGAAAGATACGAGGTAAAGGTTCTTGCCAAGATGGAGACATGGGTATTTCTTGTAGGGTGACAGTAATATCTGTTTCTAAAATCATTAAAATTTTCCAATCACACTTCAATTAGCACTTTTCAGGCACTGGGGCAACTGATAAAGCTATATACTTACTCATGCATTTTTGAGATGAGTAATGGAAGTTTTAATATCAATATTAGTGTTCCATACTTACTGTACACCCTTTTCAGTTATTTGGGAGCTAATTTCTTGCAAAACTTCCTGCAACTCTTTCTCACTACAAGAAAATGAATTATGTTCATGACACCAGCAATATTTAATTCTCTTTGTGCTTATTTCACAAGAGACCAACTCTCCAACTGAGCTTACCAGTCATCTACTGTTGCTGGCTGAAGATCATCTCTTTGGCTATAAAAAAGAACTGTAACTGATCACCTTTTACATAAACGAAATTGTAAATTCCCGGAATGATTAAATGGTATTCTCTGAAAGCTAAAACTAAGGTTATAAAATACTCAGTTTTTCAAACCTTTTTACGTTAAGAAGTGATGCGATAATTTCATGAATCACACTGAGTGTTTCCTTTAAAGAAGATCATATAAAAATATCATTGCATATTAGTTGACAAAGGAGGTTTAAATCAAGAACAATTGTTATCACGAACGAAAGGTCACAGTTCATATAAATAATTTTGCACGTTGATCAAAAGATCAAACCTTAAAACGAACGAAGCTGCAGGGAACTCTTTATCAATGAAGCAAAATAAATTCCATACACTGAATTCGCTTCAGTAAATTATATTAAACATGTTATTAGGCTTGCAACAATTACTAAAATAAAATTTAAAGGTCTAGGATTCTAAGTCACTATAGTTTAGGGTATAAAACAATTTTGTACAAATGTTTAGGAAGAATACATTTGTACAACAACCTTTTGCGGAGGTATTTCTTCAGCTTCTCCAGGGCTGGGTTCTTGAGGTTCTTCTAGTTCAACTTTATTTTCAATTTGTTCAGCCAATTCTTCGATCTTCACCTGGTCCGCCATTTTAACTTAGCCACGAAGTCACTTTTCAACGTCATCAGTTGCTTGAACTTTGAATAAACTGGAGCGCTGGAACGTGGGGAGGAGGGGGCATGCATAGTTAGGGCACTTTCCCTACCTTCTTCGCAGGCCGAAAAGGGCGCTTTCCATTAAGCGGCCAAAATGGTCAAACCGGTCATATTTTAAATTGAAATAGAGTATTTCGTTAAGGATATAGCGGTGAAACTGGATTACCCGTAAACTGGATATAGCGGTGAAACTCGATTAGAGCTGATTGGTTCTTGGCCATGTGGCAGTGGTCGTGGTGGTCAACCAATCATATAGTTTCACTGTTCAAACATTAATCTCTTTAAGCTATTAAGTTCAAATATTAATTCCTTAAGACATCAAGTTCAAATATTAATTTTGTTTGTGTAAGAATCATACATTCTGTTGTGATTGTGAGAGGCTAGCCGTTGGAAAGGTGGTAGTGGTGACAAAGGTGTAGTGGTTGTTGTGGCAACTGTGGCGACTGTGGCAGTTGTGGCGACTGTGGTAGTTGTGGCGACTGTGGCAGTTGTGTCAACTGTGGCAGTTGTGTCGACTGTGGCAGTTGTGTCGACTGTGGCAGTTGTGGCGACTGTGGCAGTTGTGTCAACTGTGGCAGTTGTGTCGACTGTGGCAGTTGTGGCGACTGTGGCAGTTGTGGCGACTGTGGCAGTTGTGGCGACTGTGGCAGTTGTGGCGACTGTGGCAGTTGTGGCGACTGTGGCAGTTGTGGCGACTGTGGCAGTTGTGGCGACTGTGGCAGTTGTGGCGACTGTGGCAGTTGTGTCGACTGTGGCAGTTGTGGCGACTGTGGCAGTTGTGGCGACTGTGGCAGTTGTGGCGACTGTGGCAGTTGTGGCGACTGTGGCAGTTGTGTCAACTGTGGCAGTTGTGTCGACTGTGGCAGTTGTGGCGACTGTGGCAGTTGTGGCGACTGTGGCAGTTGTGGCGACTGTTGCAGTTGTGGCGACTGTGGCAGTTGTGGCGACTGTGGCAGTTGTGGCGACTGTGGCAGTTGTGGCGACTGTTGCAGTTGTGGCGACTGTGGCAGTTGTGGCGACTGTGGCAGTTGTGGCGACTGTGGCAGTTGTGGCGACTGTGGCAGTTGTGTCAACTGTGGCAGTTGTGTCGACTGTGGCAGTTGTGGCGACTGTGGCAGTTGTGGCGACTGTGGCAGTTGTCTACGTCTATATCGTACACGCTAGATATTATATGGTTCTGTAGATTTTGTCTTTGCAATGACAGCTGGATATTACCAAAAAGATATTACATGGTTCTGATATTTCATGTGGCTCAGTTTTGATAGCTTGAACATAATTTAATAATATCACACATGCATATATAAGTATCATTCAAAATTTAATAATAATATCACACATGCATATATAAGTATCATTCAAAATTTAATAATAATATCACACATGCATATATAAGTATCATTCAAAATTTAATAATATCACACATGCGCAAGTATCATAATAGCCTGTGAGTTATAAACAACAGCACGCGCATATTTTGTGCCTCGATCTAGTTCAAAATTTAATAATATCACACATGCGTAAGTACATAACAGCCTGTGAGTTATAAGCGGATGTATAAAGAGACATCTTATTCGCTTCCGACATGTGATTGGTCGACAACCACGACCACTAAATATTTGTCTTAGCCAATCTCTTTAGACCTTGTGAACAGTGCGTAATAACAGGAAACACTCGAAAATACCAGAAATCTGTCCGTACAGAAATACAACGGGACCGTTCTGGCCGTCTTTTCCGTATAAAGGAAAGCGCCCTGAGTAAAAGAAAAAAAGAAGAAAGATCGAACTTTAATATTCCCCGAAAATACAACAGAATCAACGAAGGTAAAAAAAAACAACTTGTGAAATAAATACATACAATTTAGGCCCAAAGTGTACCGGCGTATCAAGCGGTTATACTAAACACAAGATTAACAAAACGTTTTAGTATAAAACTAAGCCGTTCAGTCATTTATATTGACTTTCCTTTCGAGAACGATGACTATTTTGACGTTAAAAACCAACAAGGATTGTTTCAAAACACTAAAATTTCTAAAAGAATATCAAAACACTAAAATTTCTCGCTAAACATACTTAAAAAACGTTTAAGCGTTTAAATCTTGACATTTCCAAGCGTGTGCCTTATTAGTCGTTTTCTATGCATATACTTGTTAAGGACCGCCCCCCGAGACCAGGAAAAGCTTAAATACGTTAAATTTATCTTCGCTCTCAGGGCTAGCCACTGTAGCTGATTCGTCTATGACGCTAGGCTTGTGGCGATGCATACTCTGTTTCTCACTGAGACGTAACGGTTAGGTGCACATACATCATGGTCTGGGGGCCGTAGTGCATCTCCCCCTTAGACGGCCGTTAAGATGTGAGTTATGGGGGGGAGTTCTTCCTATAGCAACCGCCTTGCACCTTTCGTAGTTGTAACTATGCTGAATATTGCAGCCGGTTGTATAACCAGGTTAGATTGTGGCATAGGCTGGATGATCTCTTTTGGGTGTTTTTCCCCAAATTTTTTTTGGCACGCTTTCCAAATTTTTGTTTTACATACAAAAAAAATACTGTTATTAAACATATATGGAACGGATATGGTTCGAAAAAAAATTCATATCGACTAAAAACCACCTTAATTAACCCCTGAATACTCTCCCCAGTCTCTGCATGGCTTAGTTTCTGAATTAAACAATAGTACAATACCAGAAATCATTCATAAACATCAAACATCTTCATCAACCTTACAGCAGTAAAACAGCGACAAAGACATTCAGACAGTCAACTCTGTGTTCTCGTTAGTGCCTTCAGCCCGAGAACTATCAATCAAAAGTCTGGATAAATCCCCTGGCTTTCCCTGCGAGTTTTCAAATTCATATTTCAAAATGTCTGACATTGAAAACAACTCAAGATTTTCTACTAATTGTGGACTTAGTTTATTCATTAATACTGATCCATGAGATAGTTTGAACGAAGACTCCACCATTGTTGAGTATACCAGTGCAGTATGGTAATCCAGGTTATATCCCAATGATAGACCATACTCTTGATGAATCAGCCTGAATTATTCTGTAGCTAAATTTTCATTCAACAACAAGAAACACGGGATATTTATGGCCGTTTTAAGAGCACATTCAATTGTTAATCCCAATTTATTGCATATAAAATCCAACTTTGATTTAATTTCAAATACATAACTTCAAGGTGTGGGACGGCACTTGTAGAGAAAGTGGACAAACCTACTGCGACCATTCTATTCCTCGCCGGCATGAATCGGACCACGCAGGTATTATACACTGAAGCCAGACTTAGCCAAACTTAACATCAGCACACGGGGGTGCTTTTCAACATCTCTCCGCTTAATGAAGGCTCGTCAAGACAATAATAACCAAGACCATTATACACACTTATACAAACATTGTGGACACTTGATCTCTTGCTCAGCACGCAAGCATCATAGAAACCAGTTCTTTGTTTAAAGGCTGCATCAAGTCGGTTCTTGCTCAAATATTCCACAAAACGACAACTTCAATTCTTGACACTAGCTGTTGGAAGATGGAATTGCACTTTGTCCGCCATCTTGAATTGGGACAACTGAGTCAGCACTTTTCCTTTGAAAGGGGAGGCTGGGAGGGGAGGTCAGGCCAGGGAGGGATCCAACCAAAACCAACACCGTCATATCATGGATAGTTAGTAAAAGAAATAAAGAAGAAAGATCGGACTTAGATATTCCCCGAAAATAGAACAGAATCAGCGAAGATAAACAATAAAAACTTGTGAAATAAATACATACAATTTAGGCCCAAAGTGTACCGGCGAATCAAGCGGCTATACTAAACACAAAATTAACAAGACATTTTAGCAAACTAAGCCGTTCAGTCATTTATATTGAGTTTCTTTTAGAGAATGACGATTATTTTGACGTTAAAAACCAACAAGGATTGTTTCAAAACACTAAAAGAATATCAAAACACTAAAATTTCTCGCTAAAAATACTTAAAAAACGTTCAGTCGTGTAAATCTTGTTATTTCCAAGCGTGTGCCTTATTAGTCGTTTTCTATGCATATACTTGTTAAGGACCGCCCCCCGAGACCAGGAAAAGCTTAAATACGTTAAATTTATCTTCGCTCTCAGGGCTAGCCACTGTAGCTGATTCGTCTATGACGCTAGGCTTGTGGCGATGCACACTCTGTTTCTCACTGAGACGTAACGGTTAGGTGCACATACATCATGGTCTGGGGGCCGTAGTGCATCTCCCCCTTAGACGGCCGTTAAGATGTGAGTTATGGGGGGGAGTTCTTCCTATAGCAACCGCCTTGCACCTTTCGTAGTTGTAACTATGCTGAATATTGCAGCCGGTTGTATAACCAGGTTAGATTGTGGCATAGGCTGGATGATCTCTTTTGGGTGTTTTTCCCCAAACTTTTTTTTTGGCACGCTTTCCAAATTTTTGTTTTACATACAGAAAAAATACTGTTATTAAACATATATGGAACGGATATGGTTCGAAAAAAAATTCATATCGACTAAAAACCACCTTAATTAACCCCTGAATACTCTCCCCAGTCTCTGCATGGCTTAGTTTCTGAATTAAACAATAGTACAATACCAGAAATCATTCATAAACATCAAACATCTTCATCAACCTTACAGCAGTAAAACAGCGACAAAGACATTCAGACAGTCAACTCTGTGTTCTCGTTAGTGCCTTCAGCCCGAGAACTATCAATCAAAAGTCTGGATAAATCCCCTGGCTTTCCCTGCGAGTTTTCAAATTCATATTTCAAAATGTCTGACATTGAAAACAACTCAAGATTTTCTACTAATTGTGGACTTAGTTTATTCATTAATACTGATCCATGAGATAGTTTGAACGAAGACTCCACCATTGTTGAGTATGCCAGTGCAGTATGGTAATCCAGGTTATATCCCAATGATAGACCATACTCTTGATGAATCAGCCTGAATTATTCTGTAGCTAAATTTTCATTCAACAACAAGAAACACGGGATATTTATGGCCGTTTTAAGAGCACATTCAATTGTTAATCCCAATTTATTGCATATAAAATCCAACTTTGATTTAATTTCAAATACATAACTTCAAGGTGTGGGACGGCACTTGTAGAGAAAGTGGACAAACCTACTGCGACCATTCTATTCCTCGCCGCAATGAATCGGACCACGCAGGTATTATACACTGAAGCCAGAGTTAGCCAAACTTAACATCAGCACACGGGGGTGCTTTTCAACATCTCTCCGCTTAATGAAGGCTCGTCAAGACAATAATAACCAAGACCATTATACACACTTATACAAACATTGTGGACACTTGATCTCTTGCTCAGCACGCAAGCATCATAGAAACCAGTTCTTTGTTTAAAGGCTGCATCAAGTCGGTTCTTGCTCAAATATTCCACAAAACGACAACTTCAATTCTTGACACTAGCTGTTGGAAGATGGAATTGCACTTTGTCCGCCATCTTGAATTGGGACAACTGAGTCAGCACTTTTCCTTTGAAAGGGGAGGCTGGGAGGGGAGGTCAGGCCAGGGAGGGATCCAACCAAAACCAACACCGTCATATCATGGATAGTTAGTAAAAGAAATAAAGAAGAAAGATCGGACTTAGATATTCCCCGAAAATAGAACAGAATCAGCGAAGATAAACAATAAAAACTTGTGAAATAAATACATACAATTTAGGCCCAAAGTGTACCGGCGAATCAAGCGGCTATACTAAACACAAAATTAACAAGACATTTTAGCAAACTAAGCCGTTCAGTCATTTATATTGAGTTTCTTTTAGAGAATGACGATTATTTTGACGTTAAAAACCAACAAGGATTGTTTCAAAACACTAAAAGAATATCAAAACACTAAAATTTCTCGCTAAAAATACTTAAAAAACGTTCAGTCGTGTAAATCTTGTTATTTCCAAGCGTGTGCCTTATTAGTCGTTTTCTATGCATATACTTGTTAAGGACCGCCCCCCGAGACCAGGAAAAGCTTAAATACGTTAAATTTATCTTCGCTCTCAGGGCTAGCCACTGTAGCTGATTCGTCTATGACGCTAGGCTTGTGGCGATGCATACTCTGTTTCTCACTGAGACGTAACGGTTAGGTGCACATACATCATGGTCTGGGGGCCGTAGTGCATCTCCCCCTTAGACGGCCGTTAAGATGTGAGTTATGGGGGGGAGTTCTTCCTATAGCAACCGCCTTGCACCTTTCGTAGTTGTAACTATGCTGAATATTGCAGCCGGTTGTATAACCAGGTTAGATTGTGGCATAGGCTGGATGATCTCTTTTGGGTGTTTTTCCCCAAATTTTTTTTTTGGCACGCTTTCTAAATTTTTGTTTTACATACAAAAAAACACTGTTATTAAACATATATGGAACGGATATGGTTCGAAAAAAAATTTATATCGACTAAAAACCACCTTGATTAACCCCTGAATACTCTCCCCAGTCTCTGCATGGCTGAGTCTCTGAATTAAACAAATAAAACAATACCAGAGATCATTCATAAACATCAAACATCTTCATCAACCTTACAGCAGTAAAACAGCGACAAAGACATTCAGACAGTCAACTCTGCATTCTCGTTAGTGCCTTCAGCCCGAGAACTGTCAATCAAAAGTCTGGATAAATCTCCTGGCCTGGATGATCCTTACTGGACCTCTAGGAAGAACAGTTTAGAACTGATAGAGCTATTCATGTGGTGTTATGCCTTTATTAGTTTAAGGAACACGATAAATAATTTACAATACGAAAGAGAAGGTTTGGCAATTCCCAGCTCGCTCTCATTTATTTACATAAATCGTGAGTTTCGTTAGTCCGGGAAATCTTAACATCAGCGGTTTCCTTTCGTACACCTTTTAAAAATGGCATTATTCCTAAAAACAAAAGTGATAAGGGTCTGTGTGAAATATCTTAAATTTACCCATTTTATATATCTATAATGTAACTCAAGACAGTCAAATCGAAAAAGTTAACCTGTTCCTCCAGTTCCTTGACTTGCCAACATCTTTATTCCACTGTGTTCGCCTTTCCTTGCTTGGTTGATGATGTATCTGACAAACAGAAGTTAGTGAAACAAATTTTGAGAAGGTTTTCTCTACAGACACGGCAGAACTGTTCGTATGCCCGTACCGAACAAAGTGTCTGATTCATCTTAAAGCAGTCATGGATGTATCAAATATATACCAGCCAACTACTACCAAATCTTAGATGAATATATTCAATATAACACAGAAACAGAACTGACCTGGTTACAATTTGAATGTGAAAACTTCGAAACTTCTGTAGACTTTCAACACAATCGTTGTAAAGTTTCTTCAGAACATCACATTTGCAATTCTGTACTAAATTTTTAAACAGAACAAAGACATTCATGTCAGTATTTCAATCGCTTTGAACACAAATAAAAACAGAGCAAAGGTGACTCTTCCTGAAGTCATAAAACTAACCATAGTCACGGACTGATGGGCCATTTCTTACGTAGAAAACAAACTCTCTGTGCCACCGAGGCATATAATCTAACATGGATTCCAAAAAGGATTTTTCTCCATCTAAATATAAACTTCCACAGTAAGCATTTGACAGTAAACATCTTCTGTGTTATCTATCATCTAGAGAGGATTTCCACCTTCAACTTTTGGATGAACAACTCCCAGAACGGCGTCAAATATCTGAAACGTAGTACTTTGAGCTGCACTTCCGCCTGAAAACTAAAAAGAAAAGAAATTCACTCATGACCGCGTCTGTTTCTGCTTTTTACATCACGAAATACATCAATACCTGCATCGGTTTTGAATCGACTCCTTCGTAAAACAATCCTTCAGGAAATGTTTCGTAGTTTTTCCAACTAAAAATAAACAAAATTCAGCGAAGAAACGTTTTCTACCTTCGAACATCAAGATGCATGAATTACAGTCTCATACGGTCATACCCAGCTAAAAATATCCGTATTTTCCCATAGAAGAATTCTGGCCGACAGTGTTCTAAATAAAGAAGAGAACTTCAAGTTAAAAAGAGTTCACTTTATTTATGTGGGTGATACAACATATCTCACCAAGCATTCTTGAGAGCGTTTCCTTCAACCGTTCAATCGTTTTTCGTAAAATCACCAAACACGTCTTCATTAATTCGATGTTGTCATCCGTAACAGCCTAGTATAGATTCATTTCATCAACTCGTTTTCTTTATAAACGTGAAGAACCACCCACTACCAGCCAAACTCACCTTTTGAGCAGCAACCACGCTCTACACAGAAGAAACGAGCAAGAATTAGTCCTTCCTAGGTCTACAAACTGTCCAAGGTTTCGTGCAAAGCCAGATCAATGCAGTAAGCGAGAATAAAACTTACTTTAATGCCAGGAACGGCGTCTAACTCTAACTGCCACGTAACACCATCAAACCAAAACTCATCTTTAAACCCCGTGAAAAGAAACTGTGTCTCGACGTTGTCAATATTCAGAGGTCTGTTTATGACATACAAATAAAGAAATGATACACGTACGAGTCAGGCGTTGATGAACGACCCGATAGTCATGCAATATAGTCGATCATTAAGGAATCTCAGCTTGTCACCATATTTAATAATTACTTTGTTTTATCCTTGATTTTCCAATTATTAAGAACCAGATCCCAGTGACAAATGACTGGACAGGTACCTAAACAATACGAAGTTTCTTTTTAGAAATAAATTTGTATTTGGAACTGTTTAGATTTCTTCATTTATGATCGTAAAACAAATTATGATCGTAACGATAACGTAGCTATATCATCGGTAGGATAAACTTTATGGGGAATATTATGAATTTTACTGACAGGATGAACAATGGGTGGTTTTTCTTGATTGCTAATCTAGGATCATCGTTCATATTGCGTTTACAACTCACCCGTAAACTTGGCAACAGCGACCCACGGGATAGCCAAACATTTCGGAATAACCTAACGTAAATTTTGATAATAAAACAAGTTGCCATTGCGTGTTGTTGTTAGTCTACATCATACGTTCGGTTGCGATTGCAAAATATTTTTACTCACCTTAACTGGATTGTGTTCACCATTTTGCCAGACATATCCATTACCAAGAGCTGAGAGAACCAGCGAAGCTCTGGCCCTTTCCTGGTGGCTGATAAGCCTGGTATGATCCAGTAATGGCATCTGATTATTTATAAATAATTGAATGCAATGTTTAGGATTTAGATTCGGAATATATCGAAAAATGGTATACTCGACCATGGTCGAATGTACCGAAAAATGCACTAAATACTGTGCAGAGGGAAACCAATATTAATATATATTGTATAATATAACTGGTGCTGAAGTTTAAACCATAATATGATTGCCATCTATAAAATCCCATTTAGTAAACTTACATTCTCCACAACTTCTCGGAGCTTTTTACATTGAATCAGATGAGTTATATTCTTGAAGATCTCATCCCAGGGAGAGAAGTATGGATTGGTAAATTCAAGCTACAATTGAAATGTATATGTTCACAGAGGCTTATTATATTGTTGATATGGTCAATGACAGAGATCACCCTATTGTTGGTGCATAATCATTGAAAGAATGTAGCTTTTCATCTCAAAAGAAATTGAATGAAAAGATCTGTTTCGAGACTGTGTGTCTTCTTCAAGGTGGTCAGATTTTCCCCACAGGAATGTTGACATACATATGAGCTGTACATAGTCAATACAATTAGTAGTTTGTTTATCATTTTCACACACTATTACCATTGGGTCTTCATCTGGTATAAATCCACGTGTATAGGATACTCTGTATTGTTTGAAAACAGATGTGATCCAGTCTCTTTCTGCTTCTATTAATCCACAGTCCACTAAATCCTCACAATTGCCAGCCATTGACCTATCATTCCTCCACTCAAATTTCTTAAATAATTCGTTGATAACAAACTCTATTTCGTTGCATGACGTTTTTTAATAACTTGTAACAATTTACACATCATAATATAATTTGACTATAAAGAAAATATGATAATAAAAGAAAGATAAACAAAGATAAAACAAATTAGACACGGTTAATCGCTTGTTGCTTGGTTGTATAATTAGATAATCATATTGGGGACGAATGACCCTCTGGCAGCCATGCCCCCGGATAAAACAGATAGGAACAGATAGCTTTTACCGCTTTTGCCAAAACAAATAACGGTGTATCAAGTGACATGACATGTATTAAAGGAATTAAGCTACGATGTTAACACTGCCTTTAATTTACTTTGATTGCTAAGCCTATAGAGTTGTGAGATATGCTTTTGACATTTGACTGCCTTTCATTACGATTTACAAAAGTATCGCATCGGTCGTCTTTTACGACTCGAAACCCCCAAATAACATTGCATAATGATAGATTTACATGAACGTAGTTAATTGCTAACTAGTCTTCAATTTTGGCAACTACATTGATGTAAAATATTTAGTGGTTTTGTTTTTTGTTACGTGGCACCTCGCGCGTGAAATTTATACCGGCTGATGACTGTCATATCTTACATGTAACGGGCTCTAGAAGTTCAATAAGAATCATTTTAACGATAATATCAATTGTCAAAACCATTTTGGTCGCAAGGAGAAGTTTTACCAAGAGTATTTTAACAGCAGAAAGGCAAACCAAGAGGCAGTGTTTTTCTTCTTCCAGCTGGCCTGAAATATTGAGCTTCGGCGTTTGCTTATTAAATATACAAGTATGGTAAATTGAGAGCTTGTGGAAATAACGAAATAGTATATTGAAATTCAACAATGGCAGATATGAAGAATGGAGAAACAAAAAGTGCGGATGTTGTTTCAAATGAACCTATCAGTGTAACATTTGCCGATGTAACATCAGCTCCGTATAGGATCAGAGATGGTGTTCCTCAAACTCCGTGCGAGGTAAGTGCATGTCTATATCATCAAAACATCTACCTGAATATTATTATATGAATACTTTTACAAACAAAAAATGTCATCTTGTTACTGTTTATTCAAAACTAGAATATATTTTGTAACTTTTAAGCATTATTCTAATAGTGACTTGCGGATTTCGTGGTTTAAATTTACGTTGAACTCTTCATCTTTCTACATGAATTTTTGACACGTTTAACTCGTGGATTCATTTTTTTGTCAATATTTATTTAACAGCACTCAAAGATGTCAGAACCACTTGGTATGGAAGTTTTCTTCAAAAAAGATTATCTCTTGCACACAGGAAGGTCAGTGATAAGGTCAAACATCGAGCAGTTATATAATTTTTGAGAGAAATATTATTAATAATGGTTAATCTTTTATGTTAAGTTTCAAGGAAAGAGGGGCAAGGAACACCTTGGTCATGTTATCAGATGTATGAGTATTAAATTTTGTTACTACTTGTGTGACGCATCTCTCTAATTTATGTGCTAATACCAATAACTCTTCAAATACAAAAACCTCTTTAAGACAACCTGGCCGCTCGTAGTTAGAAGCTTAATTTCTGGGTGCATATTCGTAGTTATACCTGACTGATTTCTTTTGTACACCATTGTTCCTACGGTATATAAACATGAATATATGGATATACACCCCCCCCCCCAAATTAAGCGGTCTACCTACAGTCCTGAAGACAACAGTAAAAAACAGGAAAGGTCATCTAATAAGTCACCTGATAATCCACGCACTTAATAATATATGTTATAATAAAGGGACTCTCTTATGCAGATGCCCCCTAAAATGGGCACTCCCCTATACAGGCACTCTTTAATTCTGGTGTTCTCTAATTCACACTCACTCTAATTCAGGCCTCTCTAATTCAGGCACTCCCTAATCCAGGCCTCTCTAATTCACACACTTCCTGAATCAGGCACTCTCTAATACAAACACCCCTCCCATAGACAACACCTCTATATAAGTGTCCCATCCAAATTCCAAACCATTCTCTATCTTAGAAACAAAAAGAGAAAGGTGTGATAGCAGCATCTGCAGGTAACCATGCACTAGCTCTATCATACCATGGTCAACAGCTTGAAATCCCTGTTACTGTGGTTATGCCTACAAATGCACCAATAAATAAGATTGCGTCCTGTCGGAAGTATGGAGCGAATGTTCATGTACAAGGATCAGATCTGATTGACGTAAGAGCACCGATCAATTATGTAGAGTTACATTACCTTAGTCATTATGAATTAGGTTCCATGAAATAATTTTTTTGTAAAATATCTCTCTTTAGTCTAAAGACATAGCATATAAAATGTGTCAAGCAAATGGTCTGGAATACATCAATGGGTTAGTAAGCTTATAATGAAGATCTATCCTCAAAACATTATTTCTTCTGTGCAAACTATCCAAACAAAATTAGTATAAGCAAAATTTATAGTAATCATTTGGGAACTTATAACATATAGCAATAAATAGTTCGTTTCTGCCTGCAAATTTGTCTTTGAATATTGACATTTAACCTAGGCACAATTCAAGTTCTTCATACCTAGGGATAATTCACCAGTTTGTTTTCAATATATTTACTAAAAATAATCAAGCTTACCCATGCCACAAGTTCCTCGGTCCAGTCCGGTTGATCTCCGGTAGAGATCGTAAGATGATCCTGCATTATACACAATGTCCATAATAGTACTGACATGATGCTTCGTGTACCACAGATATGACCACCCTTCCATTCTAGCTGGGGCTGGAACCATGGGCCTAGAAATAATGGAGCAAGTCAAGAGTGTCGACGCTGTCATAATTCCCGTCGGAGGGGGTGGACTCATCGCTGGGGTCGCCGTTGCTGTGAAGACGTTGAGCCCCAGCACCCTTGTCATTGTGAGTTCTCTCTCTGGGACGACGTCGTTGAAATGTCGGTAATTTAAAATGGTTGTTTTTGTTGTCAAGGGCGTGGAGTCAGAGCGATGTCCAAGCTTCACAGCAGCAATTAAAGCTGGGAAACCAGTCAAGATTGATGTAAACCAGTCGATGACCTTAGCTGATGGTAAACAGAGAAGAATATTGTAGATTAACTGGTCAACACTGTTAGCTTTCTTTAGCCATTTTCTCACAGCAAATAGATGTAAAAAAGTAACGAAAGTCTTGCGATAGACTTGTGTTGGAACATTGTCTATGGTTAGAAAACCTGCTCGCATTCGTTTTACCATTTCTGGACACCCATTGGCTGCCTTGTGGAAGTGAAACTCGCAAATCCAGAGATAATTTTTTTTTGTTCAAGGTCTTTGTGTGTCTAAAGTTGGCGCGAATGCATTCCACACGGCCAAACCTTTGATTGATAAAATGATTACAGTCAGGTAATATTTGAGAACAGCAACTATTCTCATTCATGGTTATGCGAGGCTAAGATGTGGCTTTGCTTCCCTAGCGAGGAGTACATAGCCCTTGCTGTGTTGAGATTGGTGGAAGAGGAGAAGGCAACGATTGAAGGCGCAGGTGCAACTGGTCTGGCAGCTTGTCTTGCTGGTTTGCTGCCAGAGTTAAAAGGCAAGAGGTAATCACCCGAAGTAGTGGCTTATTGTAGAATACTACCCATACTGGACCACCACGTTTGAGATGTCTTTCTCAGGCAGTTCAGACACAAACCACGACAGTTTATTGTAGAATACTACCTACACTGGACCACCACGTTTGAGATATCTTTCTCAGGTAGTTCAGACACAGACCACGACAGCTTATTGTAGAATACTACCCATACTGGACCACCACGTTTGAGATATCTTTCTCAGGTAGTTCAGACACAGACCACGACAGCTTATTGTAGAATACTATCTACACTGGACCACCACGTTTGAGATATCTTTCTCAGGTAGTTCAGACAAACCACGACAGCTTATTGTAGAATACAACCTACACTGAACCACCACGTTTGAGATATCTTTCTCAGGTAGTTCAGACACAAACCACGACAGCTTACTGTGAAAAAAAACAACTCTGTCTAACTTGTAGAGTGGTGATAGCCCTGTGTGGCGGGAATATTGATTCTTCAGTACTGGGAAGATGTTTGGAGCGTGGCCTGGCTGCAGACGGTAGACTGGTACGGTTTGTCGTAACTGTGAGTGATAGACCTGGTGGCATCGCGGAGTTGACGCAATTGTTGGCTAACATTGGTGCGAGGTAAGATTACGCACCTTTTGTTTCTTAAATGTGATCCGCTTCCATCTTTTTCACCCTTCTGTTACAATCTGCAAGAGAGTTAGTTTAGTTTAGGTTTCCTCCTGTAGTGACACTGGATCACTAAAAGATAATCCTTACTGGTCCTCTAGGAAGAACAGTTTAGAACTGATAGAGTTATCCAGTATAAATAAAGTTAGTTTAGTTTAGGTTTCCTCCTGTAGTAACACTGGATCAATAAGAGATGATCCTTACTAGACCTTTAGGAAGAACAGTTTAGAACTGATAGAGCTATCCAGTATAAATAAAGTTAGTTTAGTTTAGGATTTCCCTGTAGTAACACTGGATCAATAAGACATGATCCTTACTAGACCTTTAGGAAGAACAGTTTAGAACTGATAGAGCTATCCAGTATAAATAGAGTTAGTAATAGTTCGAGTTACGTTGTTAAATTCGAGGAAATACTAAAGCAACATTTCTTACTATTTCAAATTTATATCCAGCGTTAAAGACATATTCCATGAACGAGCGTGGTTAACCTCTAGTATATTCAGCGTACAGGTATTGAAATTTATTACCTCATCGTTCCTGAATCCCACTGCGTAATCAAACGTCTTTACATCCATCCTCTTTTCTATGTAGGTCAAAGTCGTGGCTGAAGTACGTGATCGTGACCATGGCAATGAACTTAAAGAGGCACTGTCATCGAAATACGGCAAGGCGTTCATATGGGGAGCTTTCTATGCCAACCAGGCTCTCAGCTAATTAGGATATAAACGATTTTATCGATGCTAGGATGTATTATTATTATTATTATTACTAGTATTTTGGGGGTTGTGAAATTTTTGACGTGAGCAATATTTAATAGACAGTTAGTGAAATATATTGAAATTTTTTAAGTATAAATACAAAACAATCCTTGATCACAAGCATGTGCAGGTGAAAATGCTTATAAAAAAGTGCTCTTAGGTAAAAAGTGTGCAATCGGTGTCTTTCATATGAATCAACCCTGCTATTAACTCTGCCTCACTCAACATAACAACAGCAGCTGAAGCAACACACTTATCTATCGCGGATAATGTAAGTGGTGTGTAATATTTACGTGGTGTATATACAATCGTGCAGCAGCGAGTTTCTCGACTTCTGAGAGTGCTGTAGTGTTCTGTGACATCCTCTCTTGCGGTTTATTCTACTAGAACTATTGTTGTGATGCTTATTTCATGGAAAACTGTTGGTTACGTTGTTGTTCCATGTCCTCAACTTTCAATGGTCCAACAATACCAATACCGCCTGCTTTTTGAGCCCTCCATGTTGAAAACATCTTCTGTATATCTGCGATCATTTCTTGTTCCATTTGATCCAAATTTTTAGCATCTGCGTTCGCTCCGATCATAGATCCTACAGAAACAAACACCAAGGCTTATGAATCGTTTATCAGAAGTATGAAAGACGATGAAAAGACAATGGATATGACTGGATAACACCACAGTATTGTCAAGCTGCATGCCTGCAAGTGACTGACATTCTACAGAATACATAGTTTACCTTTTTTCCAATGTCTCATGCATTTGCCCATAAGAAAATACTCCCAGATCAGACCAAGGATCGCCATTACAACGACAAATGCGATACAGGTGTACAGAGACGGCCAGAATACGTCTCCTGTTGGGTTAAAAACACTGTCGGAGCGTGCTGCGGCCTCGTTCTCGTCGGACTAAAAATAAATTTACGTTGAATTCTCTTTGAAAGAAATGTGAGCAACTGAAGCAGCCTTGCCTAACTTCACACTCTCTCTAGTCTCTACGTGTTCTCCGCAGAGGTTTATAAAACGTAAATGTTTTATATGCATTTTGCATATATGCAGCTCTGTTTTCATCAGGCCGCTGCAAGAGCCGATTATAGGGTCGAACTAAAATCCGACAAAGCAGACAACAAAAAAGGCAAATCTCTCGGCCTTTCTCCGCTACTTTTCACTTGTGTTTTCACAAGATGTTAACGTCATTTTACCTCGCTTTCAATTTCGTCAGCAATTATTTCAGCTATGTCCTTAGACACTTCATTGTAAGCATTCCTTAAACATTTTGTTAGGCTGTCATTCCTGACCAAAATGCCGTAAGATTTTTCATCCTCTTCGACGGTCTGCGAGATTCGGAAATCATTATCTTCTATGTAATTGCTAATCTTTTCCGTCGCTGAGAAATACGAATCCAGAATGATACCTTAATATGGAGAAAAAACTCTAAACCTTGAGTGGTGAAGATTCAAGAACAAGTATGATGTATCACCTGTGTGCATGATCTAACCATGCTTAACTCAGCAGTGAGTTCTGCTGTACAACATCACAGGGGTGGATCCAGCACTAGTGCACTAATTTGCATTACAAAACAAAATGACTATTTTGAGCAGTTTTCTTGTGTCATGCAAATGAGTGCACTAGTGCTGGATCCACCCATGCAACATCAGCTATAGTAGCTCACATTCCCCAACATGAATTTACTATCTTTTCATCATCTAGTTCTGCTCAACACAGCAATAAATTCCGCATACAACATCAGATTATTTTTAAGCAGGTCTCGAGAGTCACCGCTTTGTTTAATTGAGATAACATGAATCAAACCTCATACCTTCAACTTGCTCATCATCTAAAGCACGCCATAAATCCGCTGTGGAATTATATACTAAAAAAACGCAAAGCAACACAGATGAAGTGTCTGTGAAATTGATAAACAATAATGGAGTAACCGACGTCCTCGAACACGACGAAACTTCACTCACTTATAACTTTTGCCTTGTGATTAACAGCAGTGTAAGCTTCGAGTGATCCACGTATTGCACCGACCTAGGATTCAGTGATATGATAAATAAATCATATAATACCAAGGCTGTTCTTGCATATAATACCAAGGGTGATTCTTCGCAAAAAGGTATAATTCGGATGAACTGATATGAGTTGCAGTTGAGAAAACTGGAGCACTCTTCTCTGGTATTTTAGAGTGTTTCAAGAACTCTGCATTCAAGTATAACGTTATCTACATCTGCCTAGCGCGGGAATTATTAAAGAGATACTCTATTTCAATTTAAAATATGACCACTCCGCGTAATGGGAAGCGCCCATAGATGTGAAAGACACGAGTATTTTGCACGTAGTTCAGTGAGATCAAACTCACAACACTTTTCTCACATCTTCTACTGAGGTGAAAATAAAGTCACTCAAAGCTCGTGGTTTAATTTACTCACCTTCGCTCGATCAAGAGTCTTCTTTTCTTCAAGTGTGATTGTGGTTAACGCTGTTGTTAAGGTGGCTGTGAAGATGGAGCAAATACAAATACCAATCATGATCCAGAAGATTGAAAAAATCCGTCCCAAGATTGATCGTGGAACACGATCACCATATCTGTAAATAAACAAGTTACAATACCTCAGCAATACTATGAAAGATTCTTCATGCAGACGTAAAGTTGTAAAATGTATATTTGTCCATTCATATACCCACCCTACGGTCGTCATGGAAACAAAGGCCCACCAAAATCCTTCCCATGATCCTTTCACAAACGAACGGGGAAACTGTTCTTCATTCTGCCAGAGTTCCTGGAGAAGTAAAATATTAATTTATAGATGTTTTAGATGCATGCAGGTGTCCAGACGCCAACGATCTGCAGCTTGCATAATACGAGAACAATTTAAATCTATAATAAATTATCTTTTATTGTTTGTAGAGTAAATTGATTATTTTGGACAATTCAAGAGCCTGCAAAGAATAGGGCTGGTTCACAAATTAAGTCTCAAAAGACCTCGAAGAAACAGGATATTCCCAATACAAAACCTTTAACGCTAGCCAAGCCATTTTAAAAACCGACAATTAAACCTTCATAAGTTTCCAATGAGATATTACATATCCGCAAAAACACTTTTTGCTGAGCTGCAACGACTTAAAACAAATTTCTCTGGCTTTTGAAGAGGGAATTTGAACCGTTGCGTCATTTAGCACAGTTGAATGAAAGCATAGACGAAAAATACACTCATGATATTAATGTGAACGTGGATATTGTTATATTTCTAGAGATATACTTACCAAAAACCAAAGAACAACTCCAGAGACGACTGAGAGCAACAAGGCCATGATCATCACAGGCCAGGCGTTCCAAATTGCACCGATCAATTTTCTTGGTATCGCACCAGCGCTCTCCTTCTTGGTGATGTAAACTACTGCAGGATTTTGAACAAGACTTACAAATTCCATTTCCTGGATTTTCTCATCGTCTTTGCCGGAATACGGCAGAACCATATCGATATTATTGTCGATTTTTCCCGCCGTAATCGACTGTCGAGACACTTTGTTTGTTATGTTTAACTTCCAGCAAGTTTTGCAACAAGAACCGATATCGAGGAGATCCTCAAGTATATCTTGAAAGAAATTAAATTTTATTGGACATGAGAATATATACATGCATGATGTTATTGTCATGCTTTTTTCTAAAAGAGATTATCCCGATACCAGACTTCCATGAGGATAAGCTCAGAACTAATAGAGTTATTCTGTGTTATCATCTCTTATTGATCCAGTGTTACAACAGGAGGAAACCTAAACTAAACTAACTTTATTTATACTGGATAGCTCTATCAGTTCTAAACTGTTCTTCCTAGAGGCCCAGTAAGGATCATCTCTTATTGATCCAGTGTTACTACAGGAGGAAACCTAAACTAAACTAACTTTATTTATACTGGATAGCTCTATCAGTTCTAAACTGTTCTTCCTAGAGGCCCAGTAAGGATCATCTCTTATTGATCCAGTGTTACTACAGGAGGAAACCTAAACTAAACTAACTTTATTTATACTGGATAGCTCTATCAGTTCTAAACTGTTCTTCCTAGAGGTCCAGTAAGGATCATCTCTTATTGATCCAGTGTTACTACAGGAGGAAACCTAAACTAAACTAACTTCATTTATACTGGATAGCTCTATCAGTTCTAAACTGTTCTTCCTAGAGGTCCAGTAAGGATCATCTCTTATTGATCCAGTGTTACTACAGGAGGAAACCTAAACTAAACTAACTTTATTTATACTGGATAGCTCTATCAGTTCTAAACTGTTCTTCCTAGAGGTCCAGTAAGGATCATCTCTTATTGATCCAGTGTTACTACAGGAGGAAACCTAAACTAAACTAACTTTATTTATACTGGATAGCTCTATCAGTCCTAAACTGTTCTTCCTAGAGGTCCAGTAAGGATCATCTCTTATTGATCCAGGATTTTCGGCGTTGTGCACGATCAGAGACGCGGAACAAACTGAACACAAAACAGGATTGTAACCTGGTATAATTCCATCAAAATCTGTCCCGGTTTTGTACGCATAAGGCTTGAACTCTGCCCACAAGACATTCAGACATCCACCAGACGAGGGACATGTTGCACTTTGGCAGTTTGAACGCGTTGCATTACTTGAGGAACACTGATGCGAGCTTGGTATTCCAGCGACGAGGCCACCCAAGTAGTGCAGACAAAAGAATATTGAAGTAATTTGAAGATTCATTTTTCTTTTGCACAGTAGTGGCTATCCTGGCGCCCTAAAATGAGTTAGGAGAACAGACGGTTGACGATGCTATACCACAGAGAATGTATCAAATACGTGTATTTACGTCTCTGTTGCAGTAAATATGTATCCCCAGACACAACTTTGTGCTTTTGTAGCTAATACAGTAAAGCTATGGTTTTGAAGAGTGTTTTGCCACCTGACCTGAGTTGCCAAGTCAACTCGCTTGTGTTAGTTTTAATAATTGATGGGGAAACGTCCCGTTTCAGAGCCATGTTTATTTTCTTGTCACGAAAGCAGAAAAATATGTCAGGTGCATGTGAAGATCAAATCAGAACGAATGGTAACACACTCTTCATCAACCTTTTTAGAAAACTGTGTGTCTTATCGACTTTGGACAACCATAACCATCATATATCCAAACATTCATGAATGTCTGTTTAATAAAAGTGCACGTAGACTTTTTCACATCTGCACAAATAATTATTACCTTTTCAATGTTGACACTAATGTAGTTTATAGTTAGTCTAACATTAACACAATCACCTCAAGACCGTTTGTATGAAAATTTCGCCAAAATGTCCTTCGTTTCAACTCTCTATGAAAACTTAAAATGCACGAGAGTAGAATATCCTTGTAGATTGATAATTTTGTGAATATTTGAAAAGAGTTATAAAATAATTATATCCAATGTTTGACTTATTCGTTATACACAATTTCTTAAATGGAGTAAACGATAGAATGAAATAAACAAATAAAAGCACAAGTCCTCTATCACGGGGTCATTTCCTATCTTCATTTGTCATTGTGGAATTATTACACAGGATATAAATATAGCTATCCTTGTATAAATTACTAATAGCATGCAAATGAGCGAATAGTTATGAATTCTCTGATGGCCAAATGCCCTTATCCGTAACTTATCTTTTCTTTCACATCTACCAAAAGAACAAAATCGCACGGAAAATGGCTGAAAATCTTGGCCTTTTATATATATAAGTGTGATTTTTGTCACGGAAACAATGTTCTGTCCTATAGATTATTTTTGACTTAAGTGAATTGTTGTGTCGCTAAAATGCATCGATATATAAATATACATTATTTATCCTAAACGGATAAACGATCATCACAGATGTTCCAACTGGTGTTTGCCAACAAAGAGAAACATGGCAAAACATTGAAAAAAAACGATATTTCTCATGCAATATATGTTATACAGTTATAGTGTCATCTTAAACAAGGAAATCTCAAAAGGTTCAGACCAATCAAACAGTTACGCTCTGCTGCCTAAACTCTTCAAGGCAGAAGCTTCTTTTTTATCCGCCAATTGCTCTCTCCAGTTCGTGAAAACAACGTGAAGCTCAGAGATCAATTCCTTCTCGATGTCATCCAGTCTGCCCGCTTTCTCATGTTTACTGCCTGCAGGAAAACATTGACAGTTTATTGTCTTGAATAAAACCACAGAAGAAAAGTTGACATCGTAAAAAATTAGAACAAAAATCAGAGCTAATCTTTATAAAACTTTTAACATGCATAGACCTAAATCCCTCAAGAATCTCATCGATGAACAAAATATTAAGTTTTATCCTCGTACCTATTTTCTTTGCTTTGCAGCAAAAATCCCAAGAAACTCCAATCATGAAAGAACATATTGCGACAACGGTGCAGACTATCAATATGGTTTGAAATACAACTCCTTCGGGGTTAAAGATTCCAGATATTTGACTTGAATCTTCTGTTTTACTCTAAATGGAAAAATAAATGTTTTTATTGATCCAGTGTTACTACAGGAGGAAACCTAAACTAAACTAACTTTATTTATACTGGATAGCTCTATCAGTTCTAAACGGTTCATCCTAGAGATCCAGTAAGGATCATCTCTTATTGATCCAGTGTTACTACAGGAGGAAACCTAAACTAAACTAACTTTATTTATACTGGATAGCTCTATCAGTTCTAAACGGTTCATCCTAGAGATCCAGTAAGGATCATCTCTTATTGATCCAGTGTTACTACAGGAGGAAACCTAAACTAAACTAACTTTATTTATACTGGATAGCTCTATCAGTTCTAAACGGTTCATCCTAGAGATCCAGTAAGGATCATCTCTTATTGATCCAGTGTTACTACAGGAGGAAACCTAAACTAAACTAACTTTATTTATACTGGATAGCTCTATCAGTTCTAAACGGTTCTTCCTAGAGGTCCAGTAAGGATCATCTCTTATTGATCCAGTGTTACTACAGGAGGAAACCTAAACTAAACTAACTTTATTTATACTGGATAGCTCTATCAGTTCTAAACGGTTCATCCTAGAGATCCAGTAAGGATCATCTCTTATTGATCCAGTGTTACTACAGGAGGAAACCTAAACTAAACTAACTTTATTTATACTGGATAGCTCTATCAGTTCTAAACGGTTCTCCTAGAGGTCCAGTAAGGATCATCTCTTATTGATCCAGTGTTACTACAGGAGGAAACCTAAACTAAACTAACTTTATTTATACTGGATAGCTCTATCAGTTCTAGACTGTTCTTCCTAGAGGTCCAGTAATAATGGCGTCGTTTCGACATGAATTAAATCTTCAAACACTAACTGGATCTGGTATGCTTTCATTCACAATCGATTTATGAAGAATCTCAGCGTAATGATGGTGTAATTTTTCTCTCATACAGTCTGCGAGGTCTTTGGATTTCAAATTAACACCCAACGACCAGTCCTTTGGCTTGAACACGTTCACAATCATGAGATCATATGATTCAAACTCGTCTTCATGAACCAGAGCATAGTAGTAATCAAACAAGACCCCTTAACTTAATTTAACTAAATGAATACTATACAACATATTTAAGATTCGTGCGTGAAATTTGGCATGGTAAACTGATGACTTGAATTATGAATTTGTTGAAAAATCAAATGTATTTGTTATATGCAGAGCTTTTCGTCCGTTAACCCGCGCTGAACGCTGCATATACCAGATACAGCTTTCTATATCCACGCTTTACCGTCAACTTTGTCTTCACGTAGAGCATTCAGGACATCTTCAGATGAATTGTAATCTGCATGAGGAGGAAAACGAAACATTCAAAATGTTAAAAAGAACTTCAATCGTGCAACCATTGCATGAAATCATAGTCAATATTGAAGCTTACATATCACATCAGCTTGGTTCTGAATTGCAGTTATGGCTTCCATTGAGTTCAGTTGGACTCCAATCTAATGCAAGAAAAAGAGACAAGTGCATGCGGATGAGTTTTCTTTTATTTTATTGCTGAGAATATTGCAGTTGCTAGAGATTAGGGTATTCCTAGAGCTCCTCTCCCCCCTCATTTTCAATTTAGGTATGGGTAGTGACGTGTGGAGTGTGACTCTCTCCTTCAGAGTCCCGCCCGACTCACTGGCTAGGCAACCAACCATGCAACAATTCTTCAGGGAAGACTGATACGGCTTGGGTAAAACCTTTGTGTACCTTCGTTCGAGTGATGGCTTTTTGACTTGCAAACACGTTCATAGTCAGGGCTGATGTTAAGGTGGCTGTGAATATTGAGCAAATGCAAATACCAATCATGATCCAGCATATAGCGAAGGCTCGTCCCAGTAACGTTCGTGGTGCGCGGTCACCATACCTGAATAAAAGACAGAGGATCAGCGAAGGTTATCCTAGAGATTCACTGAATGATAACTAAGGAGGTTGAGGTTGACCTTAAGGTACACTGAAGGATAACTGGAGGTTATCCTGGAGGTTCTTACCCAACTGTTGTCATGGAAACAAATGCCCACCAAAATCCTTCCCATGACCCTCTTAGAAACCTTCTCGGAAATTGTTCATCATTCACCCAGGTTTCCTAAAAAATTACGACAGCTTATTGTAGAATACCACCTACACTAGACCACCACGTTTGAGATATCTTTCTCAGGTGGTTCAGACACAAACCACGACAGCTTATTGTAGAATACTACCTACACTAGACCACCACGTTTGAGATATCTTTCTCAGGTAGTTCAGACACAAACCACGACAGCTTATTGTAGAATACTACCTACACTGGACCACCACGTTTGAGATATCTTTCTCAGGTGGTTCAGACATAAACCATGACAGCTTATTTTAGAATACTACCTACACTGGACCACCACGTTTGAGATATCTTTCTCAGGTAGTTCAGACAATTGAATAGCAATACGTACCAAAACCCACATAGTCATTCCAGAGATCCAGGAGAATAACAATGCCGTTATTAAGACGGGCCAAGCATCGTAAATGGTCAACATCAATCTCTTCATCATCGTTTTCCATCCCTCCCTCTTTACCACGAAAGCACTAGACGGATCTTTAATCACAGACACATATTTATCGTTGAGATGTTTGTCATACGCGCTCATAATATAAGGAAAGGAAAGTGCAGCGTCTTTTGAATTTGCAGTTTCGTAAAAATCTGCCAAATCCACACAGGGTGTTTCCTGGATACTCCAGCATTTTCCACAGCAAAGGTTTAACAGCGTTTCCATGACTCCTAAACAAAAATTCATTGCTTCAAATTAGTTGAACCTTGTAAAGATACTCGAGGTAAGGAAAGAATACAAATGACTGAATTTCATGACGAACTCACCTATCAAAATTCCGCGTGGGTTTGTGTTGTTTTTGCCGTTGTCATAAGCGTAAGGGATCATCTCAGACCAATGGATTGTGACACAGGCCTTTTGGTGACATTGTTCAGTTGATTTCGCGTTTGAACAATTAAATTCGGCGGTCACATTTGTGATGTTTGTTTTGCAAGATTTGCATTCGTGAAAGACGCTGAAAAAGAGAATCAAAACAGCGAGCTTTAGGTTCGAAGAGTAAGCCATCTTTTGAACACAAGAACCAATGTTTGTATAGTGTAAGTTGGTATATATATTGCTATGCAACAACAGCTGGGTTTAAGAGCAGCTGTATGGATACTATTTTAACTATATACATGAGAGAGCGTTATTCAATCACACAGTCCGAGTTGTTAAATTAAAAGTTTTGCTTCAAATTATCTTGCAGCAGGGGTGAAAATTTGGTACGGGTTCTTCCTGTATTAAGCGTAAACAAATGAAATCTAAGAGCGCCGATGATTTTGAGGTTTTTTGTCCATCATACGGCCACAAAATCCTTCCATTGCATGGACAAAATTAACATATTAAAAATGGTTTTCCTGCAGCTGGTGAACCAAGGAATGCCTCGACCTTTTAGGAAGAATTTCCCTCGATTTATCGAATGAATATTCCTCAAAATAATAAATGCATAAACGCGGTACCTCGTAACAAGCTGCAGGGGATAAAATTAATTAATTTAATTATTATTTTCGCCTTGGCTTCCCCGTTTCATGTTCTCAGGATATAAATTAAAACCAAAACAATGTTTACTAGTTAGCCAATTAGAATTATGACTTTATATGGCGTTACAATTTTCTTTCAGCATGTTTAGATTGTGTTATTGAGTTATCGTTGGCTTGAATGATTACGATTAATAATTCTGAGACCAATAAATCGTCGACGTCAGACCTTACGTCGGACTTAATCCTTACTGGAAGAATGGTTTAGAACTGATAGAGCTATCCAGTATAAATAAAGTTAGTTTAGTTTAGGTTTCCTCCTGTAGTAACACTGGATCAATAAGAGATGATCCTTACTGGACCTCTAGGAAGAACAGTTTAGAACTGATAGAGCTATCCAGTATAAATAAAGTTAGTTTAGTTTAGGTTTCCTCCTGTAGTAACACTGGATCAATAAGAGATGATTCTTACTGGACCTCTAGGAAGAACAGCTTAGAACTGATAAAGTTATCCAGTATATAAAAAAAAGTTAGTTTAGTTTGTTTCCTAAAAATACAAGTGGACGAATATCTATATATAAATTTTATATTTTAATTTTCAGTTGTTTCTTTAGAAAGTAGTAAATTTCCTTCTTCTAAACTAACTATAGTTGAGTGTAGTTCCCAGTTCCTTCTCTTCAACTCCTCCACCGTCCTCTGGGCAATGCTACGATATTTGCTCAGCCGCTTTTTTGCTTGTAAAATTTCGCGCAGAAGTTTCGAATTCTCAACGGATAATTTCCGTAGTTTAGCATTATAATCCAACTCAACCGCCGTTCTTTCGCTTAAAAGCGCGTCTACTTGTCTTTTTGCATTTTCTTTCGCAGCAATTTCGCTATTTAGACGCCGTCTTAAATTAGTATTCTGTCTTTTTAAATAATTAAGATTTCTCTGTAAGCTATGTACTCTCATGTGACCTGATCCAGTGACGTATCTCTGACGTATTTTCACGTGACCAGTTTTGTGCGTTTCCATAAATTTGATAAAATTCTCTAAAGTGCGGGCCTGATTTTCAGGAAATTTTACGGAGAGATCTTTCCTAAATACGAAAAAAAACAAGATCAATAAAATTGAACAATAAGAGATGATCCTTACTGGACAATAAGAGATGATCCTTACTATAAATAAAGTTAGTTTAGTTTAGGTTTCCTCCTGTAGTAAGTAACTAAGGATCAATAAGAGATGATCCTGGATCTCTAAAGAAGACTCACAGGTCATTCTCGATTAATGAAATTTTACCTTCTTGCAGGAAAAAATATGAAACTAGGATACGAGTTCGATGTGTATTGCCAGGGAAGATCATTCAAATCTCCGTTCAATCTAGCAGGGAAAGAAAGAGAGATCGTCGTCCTTCGTCAAGTATAGTTTTTAAGAACAGCAAGAAACATCAACTCCGACGATAATGAGTGAACAAACCTGGCAATTCTGATGTGTTCAGAATGTTTATAATGTTGAACGAGAGAGACGATGATGTGGTTAACAGACTTGCAAAAGCCACACCAAGAAGTATAATACATTAAAAACACATCCTGGAAAAAAACAGACGTTCCGTAAGATTCTGCTTTCATTAAGGAATTGTAAAGGCCCTTCTCATAATTACAATTTTCTCTGCGGTTTTCCTCTGAGATTTTCCTTCTTGATAAATGTGAGTTATGTGACTGCTATATAAGCGCTTACAGAAGCGACTGGTAACTACCTTTTCATCATCTAGAACAATCTTAGAGAACGTCTTCGATACGACTTCGTAGAGACAACCGCTGGTCGTAAAACATGGCTGATTTGGGACTGGCGCAGACCGTAGCCGTCTCGATAGGATCCCGTTTGTAAAATTCATAAGAAAATTAACTACAAAAGAATTATTCACTGGATCAATAAGAGATGATCCTTACTGGACCTCTAGGAAGAACAGTTTAGAATTGATAGAGTTATCCAGTATAAATAAAGTTAGTTTGGTTTAGGTTTAAGAAACGTACCAACAGAAGCATTGTTTAACGTTGTTTCCTCTGGGAGAACATACTGTGCTTCGTTCTAAAAACAACGCTTAAATATCATTATCTTACTAACAACATTGGACAAACTGTGATGGTTGTGTTTGGTGGTTCAAAAATGAAATACAAAGTGGTAGCAACAGAGTGGGTCAGGTCTTACCTGACTATCAACGATAACCAAAGCAACTCGTGGCGCAGTGTGATACTTCACACCAAAGGCCTCCGCATAATTCCAATACTTCCGAGAATTCATGTAATAAAACTTGACAGTTATGTTGCTATAGCAACTGGCACCAGCAAATACCCTTATCTTCCCAGGATACTCACAGGTACCAAATTCAGGAGGGTACTGATCACTTTTATTAAAACCGGGGGGTGACTTACTCTCAAACGTTTGTGTAAATCTGTTATCAAGTTTGCCTTTATCTTCCTCACCAGGAGATTTGAAAATATTCATGAAGTTTCCAAGAAGATTTTTGAATACACCGAGGTCATTCTTAGAAGGATTAGATTTTATATCCTTGTTTAACATTTGAAATCTTTCTGCGAGGATTTTTAAATGTTCTTCCCTGCTCAATCCAGTTTCGCTGACCACACCTAACAATATAAATCTATTTAAAACTGATAGAGCTATCCATAAAAATAAAGTTAGTTTCGTTTAGGTTTCCTCCTGTAGTAACACTGGATCAATAAGAGATGATCCTTACTGGACCTCTAGGAAGAACAGTTTAGAAAGAACAGTTTAGAAAGAGAGGTTATTTTTTTATTTTAACTAATATTTAAACTCACCTGAGCTCTTTCCAAAGTTCACTAAATCCTGCAGTCTTGGAACTTTGTTATCGAAGCAACACACGCTCAGAGCATTCTTTTCCTGGTACGAATTTTTACGCAAACTCCTGCAACTGTTTCGTGGTAACGCGAAACTTCGCAACACGGAAAACGTTTCGTAACGGAAACGAGTTTCTCGCGCAAGAACGCACTTCGCAACACTCACGACAAACGTCGCAACTGTTCCGCATTCCACGAATGAAGCTGACAGGAAGTGATTGACAGGATATGACGTGAGCATTGTCATGACAACCGTCACGTGCTGAGGTCGGGGACTCATCGGAATGTGTCGGTTCGGGCTCGGAACAAGAGCAGTTGTGGTAACTCATAGCAACATGGTGATACTATATAAAATATGAACTCCGTAAAACGTGACTTGGTAACGGGATCTGGAAACAGATTCTTTATGATAATGTTGAGTCCTCACATACCATGTGTAAAATTCTTTCATTTGCATCCTTCCCATCCAATGGAATAAAAAGAATAACTGATGGCTGGTTCTTTATCATCTTGCCAAATGTCTTTGATTTGATAATGTCTGGATCTAACTCTTGAACGTACTGAAATAAAAATTTTACCAAAAACCTTGTGAATACTGTACCATACCATACCATACCATACCATACCATACCATACCATACCATACCATACTATACCAATTACCATACCATACCATACCATGCCATACCACACACGTCACCCCATCCCACCCCAAGAACGCCACACCACCTCACGAACACCACACCACACCACACCATCTGACAGCATGCCACGTCACACCCCACTCCACAACACCATACCTGAATTTTCCATTGTTCAGCCCACTGTTTCAGAGTAGTTGAATTGTACTTCAATCCTTGTGGGTAAACCTAAATGTCATAACTAACACTATAAAACAAGCATGGTGCAAAACTAATAGCAAGAAACATTTCAACTTTGACTTACAAGTGACTTACTTTATGAACTTTTAAAGGATTGATTAAGCCAATCTGCCCAATTCTCTTCAAGCCAAGCAACCCAGCTACAGACGACGAAGTTATCACACCAAACTGAAGACTAGAAGCTAAGAAATAAAATCTTCTTTACTTAGGCATTTAAAACAGGTTGATTGAAAACAGGAGCCCATAACCATGTTGCCACAAACCTGTGTGAATTGTGTGAAGTGCAGCACCAAAAAATTCATTGTAATTTTCATCTTTGTAATTTGTGCCATTAAAGAAAGCCAGCAGAGAAGACTGCAATATGATTGAAAGACATCAGATAACTTATTACAAATCATTACAAAAATAGACATTATGCATTGTGATCTCAGACAAGTCTGTGTGACATAAATTCTGTGCAAAAATAGCAGTGTTTATCTTGATAGTTCTGGCAGGGAATTCTAATGTATGTGGGCCTTGAAAAAGCATTTGACTCTCAAAAAATACTAACAGACATTTGCACAAAAACTATAATGATAGCATTTAAATAAACTTACTTTTCCCTTGCCCACAAATCCCTCCAAGATTACCTTGTTAGAGATATAGGTAAGTGGTCTAATTGATTGGTGGAGAAAACAAACCTGGAATAAAACAGAAGAATATTAACAAGAATAATAGAACACAAAGGCAATAAAGTTGACAGACAACAGCAAAAAAAACAAACAAGACATGAAATAGCATATGGTGTAGAAACTCACCAAATCTGTAAATTTTTGTCTTCCCTGATATTCTAAAGGTTCATATTTCATATGATAAAGGTATATTAATGGATAGGATTTTGGAAAATTATGCTGTCTGCATGAACCAGTCCAACAGTTTATTGCAAGGAAGGAGACCTGCAAATGATAGAAAGAGATTGAAAAGGATTGTTTGAAAATTGATTGAGCAACATAGCAACAACCTGAACTGATTTCGGCATCATATTACCTGCCCTCGAAACTTTTTGGATGCTCTGTGGAAATGATAGACCAACTTAGCGGACTTTGAACACCATTGAGCATAAAACATGACCAATGAGATACTGTTTTGTTGCAATAACAGATGCAGTGTGTTAACTGAGCCATCACTGATATCTGTGACAGGACTTTCAGCATGGAATAATGGGTATATGACATGGGAATGATGCAAACACAAACCTCTAGAGAAGTTTAAGAGATGCCATTAGTGGTTAGCATAATGTATACTAAACTTCTGCGGAGCAAGGCTATAATATGGAACTCTTGATTGAAATCTAACTTAGATTTTTTACACAAAGCAGCGTAGTAGATCAAAGATATATAAAAGAAGTTCTAGATTTAGTATGGTATGGTCATATGGTCAAATTTTCAAAAAAGTACACCATTCAGCCATTGACCAATCACAATCGCACAAATGTAACAAAGCTTGCACACCAAAAGTTTCATTCAAAATCTATGTACTTTTGTACCAAATTAAAATCAAACATGCAATACTAAACAAATCAACATCAATATACAGTAATATACATGAATGTTAAGCGCTAAATGCAAAATTATACGTTACCTTACCTCGATAACCACGTCGAGATTACTACGAAACTAATAATTAACCCTACAACCAAGGATAATTTAGGATATTTCATTAGAAACCAAACGATAAAACCTTTGGAAGACTTGGAGAATTTGTTCTTTACAAAACACATTCATTGAGATGCGAAATTTTACAAAAATAAAATATAAAGTATTGAACTACATAATTTTCTCACGAGAGTTGTAAAATTAGGCTGATTATAAATTCTACAAACTGCCCGATTCGCCCGAAGAATGTCTCGAAAACGACGAGAATTTCTCGATTTCCGTATTTATCTTCACCACGAGGTTAGATTTAGTTTGGATTAGTGGTTTGGATTAAGATCAGGGTTCGATTAACTTAGGAATGAGAGAGTTTCAAAGTTCTGTCTAGTTTTCCACCAGATACTCGCCTAAAATAATTCATGGCGGACTTTTCATGCTGTTTTGAAATCAATGGGGTGAATTTTAGAAGAGTTATGAGCTGCACCTTGTTACAAAAACTTTATTGATCCTTGATTATGATTAAGACGCCAAATTTCTGATTAAGTCTCCAGATTAAGACTCCAAATTTATGATTAAGACTCTAGATTTATGATTAAGACTCTAGATTTATGATCAAGACTCCAGATTTATGCAAAAACATCATATTTCTAAATAAGAAGTTCATAGGTTTTATTATTTGCTAAGGCAAGAAGTTCAAACAAACCCCATAAATTCTGATCAAAACATAACAAACAAAACAAATTAAGTAAAAAGATTTTAATAAATAGTAGTAACAAGCAGATATAGTTAGTCATGAAAGGCACAGTGTCTTAGGTTTACAAAGTTTGGGTCACTTGCTCTATCCCATATCTTTGCTGGTATAGCCTCTTACACATTGATGAGAATTGTGGTTATTGTGTGTCTTCTTTTTGCATTATCTCTTTTTAAAACCATATTTCTTTCTTTCATAGAATAAATCTGTCTTTGAGCTACCAAGATTTACAATTTTTGGGCAACCATCTCTCTGAAAGAGCAATAAAAAGCTTAGTAACTCATAGTGCGTTGGTTTATAAAGTTTGAACAAGTTCCTTACATCTTTCTCCTGCACTGTGCATTCCTTACAGTAATAGGCATCAGATACACCAGGTCCACCACAAGTGACACATCTTCCCTGATACGAACCATAGTTGCATTCATCACAGATCCGGACTAGAGTACATGGTCTCACATATGAATCACAAATCACACATTTGCCATCACCTGGGTGCGTAAATAAAAGAGTAATGTGTTGGTGCCTAAACTACTGGAGAAAGATATCTCAAACGTGGTGGTCTAGTGTAGGTAGTATTCTACAATAAGCTGTCGTGGTTTGTGTCTGAACTACCTGAGAAAGATATCTCAAACGTGGTGGTCTAGTGTAGGTAGTATTCTACAATAAGCTGTCGTGGTTTGTGTCTGAACTACCTGAGAAAGATATCTCAAACGTGGTGGTCCAGTGTAGGTAGTATTCTACAATAAGCTGTCGTGGTTTGTGTCTGAACTACCTGAGAAAGATATCTCAAACGTCGTGGTCTATTGTAGGTAGTATAACTACTAACTAGTATTCTACAATAATTCTACAATGTCGTGTGATTTGAGTACAATTTATAAAACTTACATTTTTCACAGAGCCGTCCAATTGCTAGTAAAAAGAAATACAAAACATTAAACTTTTACCTTCTAAGAGCAAAGCGATAAATCAACAAAGATCTTACCAACACCTGGTTGTTTTCTGCACATAATCAAATCTGGATGGTGCTTCGCCATTTTGTCTCACAACGTGATCGACGAACAGAAGACGAACATGGCCGGGCAAATGTACTCGGACATTACTATTGCGAGGTATTTTACCTCACCCGGGGAAAAGGCCATGGGGGAAGACGAGACGAAAAATACAGGCCACACAACTACGTTCATTAAAAAGTTTTCATTGTATTATAACGTTTGAAATTTTAATTTCTATTCTAGATTAAACATTCGAAATGTCCTCGTCACGTTGGGGCGAACTTCTGCTACTTTTGTCGTAGCCGTTGTGAACGCCTTGTCCATTAACTCTTCTGAATACTCTGAAGAATTAAAGTTCAGAATCAATATATCAATATATCTTGTCAGTAAGGATTATCATGTAAGGATCATCTCTTATTGATCCAGTGTTACTACAGGAGGAAACCTAAACTAAACTAACTTTATTTATACTGGATAGCTCTATCAGTTCTAAACTGTTCTTCCTAGAGGTCCAGTAAGGATCATCTCTTATTGATCCAGTGTTACTACAGGAGGAAACCTAAACTAAACTAACTTTTTATACTGGATAGCTCTATCAGTTCTAAACTGTTCTTCCTAGAGGTCCAGTAAGGATCATCTCTTATTGATCCAGTGTTACTACAGGAGGAAACCTAAACTAAACTAACTTTATTTACACTGGATAGCTCTATCAGTTCTAAACTGTTCTTCCTAGAGGTCCAGTAAGGATCATCTCTTATTGGTCCAATGTTACTACAGGAGGAAACCTAAACTAAACTAACTTTATTTATACTGGATAGCTCTATCAGTTCTAAACTGTTCTTCCTGGAGGTCCAGTAAGGATCATCTCTTATTGATCCAGTGTTACCACAGGAGGAATCCTAAACTAAGACAAGATCACCACATACAAGGAATACCAACCTGCTGACAGTGTTGCAATTTCGGGTAAAACCTTTGACGCGCTCATTAATATCCCAGGATCATCAGAACTGAGACACTCCAGATAAGCTTCGATTGTGAGTTTGGAATCCCTAGAGACAGAAATCCCAAAACAAATCATGGTTGTTGCTCACCGTATATTGATATGTTTTTAAGAAAACTCTACCTTGGATTGTGTTTCAAATGCCTTGCAATCAAACTGTGCGCTGTATCGCGACACGCCTCATTCTCGTGGTGCGTCAGACGCAGCAGGTCTTGCTAACGTGAGAAGACAAAGAGAGAGAGAGTTCAGTTATCGAGTTACACGAAAACTTTCCAAAAATTTTCTTACCAAGAAAAATTGTAAAATATCAACTCTTCTTTTTGATGTCTCGTCGAGATCGTTCAAAACTTTCAACACCTCTAAAGACACAAATATCTTTGGTTAACAAGGACACCATTTAAATTCCTCAGAGGGCACTTTATTTAACCCCTGTGATTGAGATTAGATTCCTATAATATGCAGTTGCCCGATTATGCAGTTGAACCTCAGTCACATGCGAGAAGAGTGCTTTTAGTTTGACTCGACCAAACACAGTGGTTTAAGTACATTCATTTCTGCAATATAAACTTGTCACTTTCAATACAACTAACTTCACTTATTTAAACCACATTCCAAATTACCCTTCACAGGTTGGCTAGGCCCAATCCTCTGTAAGAAAGGCTCGATCTGACTTGGTGTCCAGGGCGTTGCTGCCGGCGCCATCATGAGTGAGGGACTGGGAACCGTTGTTGACGAGCCCACAATACTGGTGGACGTTTCAGAATTTGTACGGTTCAAAGTCCTGGGCACAGATAAAACAGCCAAGAGCGATTTAAGAGATATAAGATCGGGATGTTTTAAACGTAAATCTCTGAAATAAAGAAAAGAATTCATTTAGCGTTGCTGTATAGAAAATATTGGAACCGATAGAACTGGTTTTGTTCAGGTTTCCTCCTGTAGTAACACTGGATCAATAAGAGATGATCCTTACTGGACCTCTAGGAAGAACAGTTTAGAACTGATAGAGCTATCCAGTATAAATTAAGTTAGTTTAGTTTAGGTTTCCTCCTGTAGTAACACTGGTTCAATAAGAGATGATCCTTACTGGACCTCCAGGAAGAACAGTTTAGAACTGATAGAGCTATCCAGTATAAATTAAGTTAGTTTAGTTTAGGTTTCCTCCTGTAGTAACACTGGATCAATAAGAGATGATCCTTACTGGACCTCTAGGAAGAAAAACTGCACAAATATCTTACTCGAGAAGTTCCACTTTTGTTTGAAGATACGTCAACGCTGCATTTGAATTTTGGACAAGATAATGTTGAAGGAATTCCACCAGCTTTGTGATCATGCACGAACGTTCCTTTGCTTTTATACAATTCGACTGCAAAACATTAAAAGGTTTTAAAACCTTCGGTATATTTTAATTAAAGACATCCTTCAGATGGCTTAGTTTGACTGCTACAGAAACATACCTGAACCAGATCAAGAAAACTGTCGATAGCGTCGTTAAGACCATCCTCAATCAACTAAAAATATATGACAGAATGCTCCTGACAAGTCCGTGAAAAAGATAAGTTTAAACTGGGCAAAACAAACCTTTATCGGGTCAAAGATGTGAGGTCGTAAGCTGTCCAACAATCCCAAGATATGGGTGAAAAAAAGGAAATGATTTTGATTGTAAAATTCTTTTGATGTTAAATGTGTTCTGCCACGCAGCAAAGACGAAATTAGTGGAAGAGATCTGAAAGGAAATTACAGACGAAATTCACTTGATTGCGAGATGAAATGTTTCATCTGCAAAGACTTTTGTGTGAACAGAAATATTTAATAAGAATGGCTTTAAAGGCAGATGTGAGAACTCGTGAGAACATCTTTCAATTCGTCTTTCATCAGCAGCCAGTATCTTCAGTATCTTCTTTTCAGACTTACCTTAAAATATGGCCAGGGTGACAGACAGCCATTTTTTTAAAAAGAAGAACAACTCCGTCAATGCGTTCTTCCCAGGCTTTCCCCGACTGACAATCATTCAATATGGAGATCATCCGATGAAATAAACCATCAAACTAGTAAAAAAAGAACTAGTCAGTCCAAATATTGATGCTTGGGGTGGTTGTCGGGTGGTTGTCGTGGTATCTCACCTTGCCATATTTTGCAGAAGCAATGTAGCTTAAATTAACAAGGGACTGCGAGTCTTTTACCCAGGATGAAAGTTCAGGTAGATATAGGTAAAGTTTGATTAGAAATTGCTGAAGAATCTGTTTAGACCACCTGAGATCAGAAAATCAAAATTACAATCGTTTAGTTCAAGTTTTCTTTGTTGGGAAGGCGCCTTTTTTAAAATTGTCTAAAATGTTAATGTCTCTACCTCGTGTCAACCTCCAATTGTTCAACAACAGGACGAATATTCTGCTTCTTTCCTTTTGAGCAACGCAACAGAAGAGAAACTCTGCTCTCCAGAAGTCCACCAAGTTCACCCTGATTGCCAACATCTAAAGAAATTCAAATCTTATTTCAACGCTTCCTGAGCTGGTTAGTCTATTTAAAAGGAGTTACTAAAGCAAGGATATGTGTATTAAGATAATAATTTTTTCGGTGAATAGACAAATCATACTGATGTACATGTGAACATCTTTGAAGTTCACCCAGCATTAGTGTTTTGTGTATTTCAGGCAGTTGTTATACCACATTTGATGCTAAGTTGTTTGAAGACGCTACCACGCTGCTCCCTGGTTATATTCACCTAGCATTAGTTTACCTCAGTCCTTATTCTGCCTCAAACCTACAACAATGGATAAGTGAATATTTACCATCAGTTTTTTCCATCATTCGTTCAGCCTCCATCAAGATGTACATAACAAGACAACCAAGCTGGTCGCTTGATAGACTCAATATCTCGTCTTCTGTGTCGTCAGCACTCGTTTCAATCCCCTGCGATGACTTCGTGTCTCGGCCCTGCCATAACTGGGGAATATTCAAACAACTTTGGATGAATTGCAGTGCAGGGGTTGGATCCACCCTGTGATAAAACGAAAGATTAAAATCTCAGTAAATCGTTGTCATTTTTTGACAAAATATTATAGCACAATGGTTTCAACTGGAAAAAAAGATAAAACTCACGTTGTTCTCTCCTTGTTCTGACTGAGCAGCCAATCAAGTGTATCCTGCAGATGTCCCCAACTACCACTATGTACCAGCAATACCAGCAACAGACCCTGATATCCATCACTATCCCCACCAAATCCACCAGTATTACAAAACAATAACTCTCTTCTTTGTTGTAATGGAGAAACGCTCACAATAGCTGGGTCTAAGACTTGTAACCAATCCAGAATCGCACCATTTCCAACACGTGATTTGCTTTCCATGTGACGTCGTAATAGACCAATCAGTTCCTGGACAAACTGACTCGCTTCGTAATGTATAGAAGATCGTGGATTACTAGGGATTAGCAGGTTGATCAGGGAACGAAGAAATTCGTCGACAAAATGTGATCGCGATGACAGTAGCCATGACAACACTATATAATGATATACACAAAATACGTAAACTGGATGGACTGAGAAATAAAAAAAAATAGTACAAGAACGATAGACGTACCTGGCATAAGTTCTCCAAGACGAATACTCTCATTTTTATCACTCTTGAGCACAGAAATAATATCTTTAATTTCTTTATCGCTGAGTGCATTTCCTGATTGAATTCTCTTCACACTTTCGCGAATAACATCTGTAGAAACTAAACGACGAAAAAAGATAAATTGATGGTGAAAGTCTTTGGAAGAATATCCTCTCCTGACTTGGGCATCTGAGAAAAGGCGCTTGGGACGAAGTCAAGATTTTCATGATCTTTGACAGCTGAATTGAATGATTTTTTGAATGTATGTCTCGGGAAAAAAGTTGATATTCATAAATGCCTACCCTCAGTAGTAGCAACTCTTCCATGTCTGGCTCGCGAGTTGGGTTTGTATTTTGCGACGAGTGAAGAAACAACACCGCCTTAAATCAATAATCAAGAACCATTAGAATATCAAATAAAACGTGGTTGATTTACAAACTGGTCATATCAGTCAATTTGACAACAAACTCGGTATATTACCGCTAGAATTTCGCCTGGAATGCAATTCCATGAGGTGTGGAAACGCTGAATGGTCTCCTTGTTTCTCCAGGATCGTCTAAGAGAAAAAGAGCAAGCTTGTTTTATATCTCCCACTAGCACTCTTTTCACTATGACTGAAGAGAAGTCAGAATTCTAGGAACCAGACCTACCTCTCTCGCGATCAAAATTTTCAGCAAAGGATGAGAATATCTTGGAGAGTTTGTAAACACTTTACCAAATAAAAAGCCATCTTGTGACTCAAGAATCTAGAATCAAAACAATAAATTCATAAAAACCAAACTTCCCAACCTAATTTCCTGTTCAACAGACATTCAACCACGTTCAAAATTTCAAAAGGAAACTCCAAAGTTTTTTGCATAAGTACAAATTACAAACCTTAATAAGAAGGTTGATAAGTCGCTCAGAAACGGTACGAGAGAAATTTAATCCTTTATGGATGTGCGAGACTTCTACACTGATGTCCTAAAGTAAAGGACGAACAAAAAAAGACTCCAGTTATTCTAAGGATAGACTAAAGTTGGATTTAATTAGAAGGAGATCTCACGTACTAAACCTCGTGTTAAATTGTTGTTACCTTTTGAAGAAGGAAGGCAGAGTGAGTTCTATTCTTTTGAGAGGTTTCCTTGTGTTTGCCAAAAGGGAATATCTGTTGAGAAAAAAAGAAAATACCGAAATTATAAACAGTTTGTTCTCTTTTGTTTAACTGGTTGACAAAGGAGAATACAAACACTAAAAAGAAGTTCTTCTATTTTCTCAATCGTGTCAAGTCGTTCTGGAGTTGGTTCGTCTTGTTCCATCGAAACCCGTGATGAACGCAGTGGAAGTAATAATTCTTCTTTGAATGGCTTGCCTGACAACGAGTTAAACTATAATTTTAACTTTATTTATACTGCATGGATAACTCTATCAGTTCTAAACTGTTCTTCCTAGAGGTGCAGTAAGGCTCATCTCTTATTGATCCAGTGTTACTACAGGAGGAAACCTAAACTAAACTAACTTTATTTATACTGGATAACTCTATCAGTTCTAAACTGTTCTTCCTAGAGGTCCAGTAAGAATCATCTCTTATTGACCCAGTGTTACTACAGGAGAAACCTAAACTAAACCAACTTTATTTATACTGGATAGTTTAACACAATTGCCACTTACTTTGTTCCATTTCGCCTTCATTTAGTAAAGAAGAAATCCGCTGTCCACCTGAAGCACCGCGTGACTGGTGCACGCCAATCCAGTGTATCATACAGCCTAAGATCAGACGGGATGATAGTAAGGTATGACTCAATAAGAGTGTATATAATTCAAACAGACACAGGGAAAAAAGCTTACTTTTGTCAACGATAAGTTCCTCCATAAGCTGTGGTTCTCTTTCAGCAAAATAATCAAGACGCTCTAAGATCCCACTAAAACAATCAACCAGCGTAAATTTTGAACAAACTGCTTGGTTATAATACTCAGCTTTGCAGAAAAGAGCAAGCTATTGCTTTATCATCGTACCTTGTTGCTTCCACTGGGACACCAAACGACTGAGCGAACGAAATCAACTCAGCTGGTTTAATGTTGGAAAAACCTGGAAGAACAAGACGAGCATAAATAACAGAAAACACACAAAACAGTGCATTTGATTACAGCATTCCGCTGGTGTTTTACCTAAATCTTTGACACGCTGTTCATTGGAACAAATCATTTTTAATCTCAACCACTCAGGAATCAAAACTACTTCTTCGCCGGTGTTTGCCAGGAATGCTTTCACGTTCCCTTCACGTGGACACCACGTGTCCAACAACTCATCAAAAATCGGACTTTCCTCTGAAAATAACAAAACAATATTCACAAACTACTGCAGATTTTGACAAGCAATATAGAGGGAGTATTTTGTACCATGTGGAGGTCCGTAGCTCAGTAAAACCATGGACGCATGAATGATGTAAAGACCCATTGTTGTTGCTTTCCCAGCATGGGTTGTGTTCTTTGACCACCGAACGAAAAGGGACTCCTGGACATCATCCTTAAAAGCGTTAATAGTTTGTTATTATTTTTATACTGGATAGCTTTATCAGTTCTAAACTGTTCTTCCTAGAGGTCCAGTAAGAATCATCTCTTATTGATCCAGTGTTACTACAGGAGGAAACCTAAACTAAACTAACTTCATCTATAATGGCGACTCACCCAAGACAGTTCACTGGAGTTTGTTTCCAGGGCTCTGGCGACCACGGACGCAAAAACAAAGAGAAGAGCCTGGTGTGTTTTTTCTCCTTTGGGGGAGTCATTCTGCAGGATTTTTTTAAAGACGTTTGTACGCTCCAGCACAAGTTGAGATAAATCCTAAGAGAATGAAAAAGATCCCGTCAGAGCTCGCTATATCACAGAGTTGAGAATAAATACCACGAGACACAGAGGAATACATACCAGAGACACATCTTGCGCATAACCTTGGGTACTGTACTCTGAGAGAAAGATTATGTACGCCTGAAGTCGCTCAAGATCCAATTCTTCTGCGCACGCCTAAAGAATAAAAACAAAGTATCCATTTTATGTGCATGAGGACAAGGTAAGATGAAAATATAATCATAAAATCTGATATTGATGTGAGTAAACTTTACTGCAAAACTTGAAAAACAAATGCAATAACCAGTGTGTTTCGTAGAACTGGAAGCATTTCTTTTACATGTGACTGAGGTGAAATCATAATCAGACGAGTTGATGTATTGGAAAAACAAACTACCTTGCGTAGAGCGAAGGTTAAGGACCCCAACACCGCATCAAAATACGGCAATGTTGGCACAGCTTCCAGAAGCCAAGAGTACGATTCGGTTGATGAGCAATTTTCTCTGTCATAGGTGAAGATCAAATGTAATGCCTAAAAGTGTTGAAGTGTTTTAGACTAGGGTTTCTCGCTGGGTTTTTTAGACAAGTCTTTCTCGTTGGGTCAAAGGAGTGGGAATAAAGAAACTGGAACAGATTAAACCGAAGCCAGGGTACGAAGTTATAGAACGTGACATCACCTTAACAGAAGCTTTGCGTTGTTTTGCTGGCCTTGAGTGGAGTCTGTATAGAAAAGACTCCAGTGTTTCAGAAGTGGATGCTGAAGATGCTTCCTCGCCAAACAACAAGATATGAAGACGACTCAACACTTGTTGCACAGTTTCCTGATAACATGAAAATAGATATTCAACAAACATTTCATTGGATGCAACACAGATTATAACAGCTGATGTAACATGGGAAATATATGAAGCAGACGGGAATCAAACCTTTTCTCGCTCATTTTTTGTTTCTGTTTCTTTATCATCAGGAGATTGGAGTAAAAACTCGCACAAACATTGAACGGGGAGAACATCGAGAGACTCTTGACTCGATAACACAAGATCTGCCAACCATGGTCTACTCTGAGCTGCACTCTGGAACAAAATATACACTAGTGAACACAAGAATTTGTTGATATCTGCGATGAAATTGTCCAGAGATTAGGGAGTTTACGGTCTACCTGTCGCTGAATGATCTCAAGAAGAAAATCTGGTGATCTGCAGCAACAGAATCGTTTCCCAACCCCGACTGTAGCGTTCAATGTTTTCAGTTGTTCAATTACATAATGAGGTGGCTTGCGTGCAGGACCCCTTTAAGAGAAAATTCAAGAGCATTGCTTTCATATGTAAGCTTTAAATAAGATAACTGGAGTCAAACCTCGGCCAGAGAGATAAAGGGCAAATGGATAAACAATTGTGGGGAAAGAAACGACAGTTATATGCACTTACTCCGGACCTAATGATATGAGCTGTCTCAAAAGCAAGCTGGATTCCTCGGTGATGCTCTTTCCAGACGTCGCAGCGGCGAGATGCGTCTCAAACAACAAAATATCGTCTTTCTCAGCGGCAACAATCTATTACATTGAAATGACATTCTTGAGCAACTGTACAAGACTTTTGATGAAGATTAGTTTCATGCAGTGATTCCATATTAAATATTGCAATGGGATATCGCACTAACCTGAGTCTCGAGGCTCTGTAATTCCTCCAACTGATCAGGATCTTCAACCATCGTGGGTGGTGGAAACACGAAATTACTGCAAGAAATGGAGATTTTTCGATGCAACTGACTGATGTAAGTTTCTATGATACTGGATGTAGAGTTTTACATACTTCGTCATGACCATTTCCATTAAACATCTCATCGTTGGATATCTCTTCCAAATCTCTTCGCCTACATAATATTAACACCAAGTTGTTAGTAATGTTGGTGCCGCAGAGCATTACGGTAATGATACGTGCAGAGTTTGAATCTCAGAGCTATCCAGTATAAATAAAGTTAGTTTAGTTTAGGTTTCCTCCTGTAGTAACACTGGATCAATAAGAGATGATCCTTACTGGACCTCTAGGAAGAACAGTTTAGAACTGATAGAGCTATCCAGTATAAATCAAGTTAGTTTAGTTTAGGTTTCCTCCTGTAGTAACACTGGATCAATAAGAGATGATCCTTGCTGGATCTCTACGAAGAACAGTTTAGAACTGATAGAATTATCCAGTATAAATCAAGTTAGTTTAGTTTAGGTTTCCTCCTGTAGTAACACTAGATCAATAAGAGATGATCCTTGCTGGAAGATCCTCTAGGAAGAACAGTTTAGAACTGATAGAGCTATCTAGTATAAATAGAGAGTACAGTGAATGCCCTTCTATATCAAACGTAGTATGTTTGAAGAAAAAACTGAATGTGATACCAATATTCGAAGGATTAAATGCAGCCACTAGAAGTATGATGATCCAACCACTCCAGTAAAGATTAGAAATAGCCAGCGACGGTGGTTCGTAGCCAGAAGGCAGCATGATATTTGAAGGGTAATGATAGACACACAAATCAAGAATGGCGTCGATAAATCTTAATCGATTCACCTCCATTGGATGAACACCTGCAATTATAACATTATTACGTCGTACTCCCAAAATATATTTCCAATCGAAAAAACTGCATCCAGTGCAGTGACCTGCCACATCACGAAATGACTACAGCAAAGTTATCCCTGACAATCAACGGTTAAACGTACCAGATTTTACAGAAGCCGCTCTCTGAACCAAGGTTTCGACAAATTTCAAAGCTTTCGGAGCATCAAGAGGCAGTTCAGGCGATAAGCCGATGACTGTTACTCTTGTTAATGTGTCATCCATGACTGGCACATCCGTGATGATGGAAAATAGAAAACTAAACACACAAACAGAACATTGGATACTGCATGAAAAATAAATGAAATAGCACGCAAAAATTCACTTTAACTGCAGGCTTGTAAAGTAAGGTGCTCCAAACCAAGATCTCTCATCACCTACACAAGCATCACCCAACACCCACGACAGAAGTACCTCTTACCACAACAGCATCACCCCACACCCTACTTACGCTCTTTCAGACTCCGAAGGCCAGGAGTCTTTAGATGAATACGATTCCGCCGGTTCCATGAACAGAACTTTACTAAGACTGAAAAGAAGTAAAAAATCAGGATTATGACCTAAATACTTTCTTCATTCATCCCTGGTTTGTCTCTGGTTCGTTGACGACGAGAATGACAAGGAAATGAACGATACCTTTGAGGATAGTTTGAAGATGAAACAGGAAACATGCGAGGAACGATCGTATGAAACCAGCTCGTGGCTTCCTCTTGAATTATGGCGATGTTCTTCTGAAATACGTGCAGGACTTTCAAATCTACAAAAGAAATCAAAGTAAAATAAAGTTAGTTTAGTTTAGGTTTCCTCCTGTAGTAACACTGGGTCAATAAGAGATGATCCTTACTGGATCTCTAGGAAGAACAGTTTAAAACTGATAGAGCTATCCAGTATAAATAAAGTTAGTTTAGTTTAGGTTTCCTCCTGTAGTAACACTGGATCAATAAGAGATGATGCTCTCTCAACAAGTTTGATAGCGGTGCCATCCATTACCTCTCGAATCGCCTCGTTTAATTGCAAGTATTGCATCTCTGATAGTTGGAGTAATACTGAGAAGAGTTGTGGCACAGATGACATCGGTGAGGGAAGAGAACATTCTTTCCTGAAAGATATTACTCTCATTTAGCAAACATAACACTCGATTTCTTTAGAGAAAGCATTTCCAGACATACTTTAACAGTCGTTGCAAGTTCTTGAAAGGCGACGTCATTTCGTTCAGCCATCAAACCACGACACAGGGCAACGAAGTTTAGATCATGACGTAATGCACGAACTATTTCACGTAGAAGTGCACGGATAGCACGCAAATAATCCTCTCTAAAAACAGGGTTTTAAATACACGTCAATAACTTTATTAATCCAGTGTTACTACAGGAGGAAACCTAAACTAAACTTTATTTATACTGGATAGCTCTATCAGTTCTAAACTGTTCTTCCTAGATGTCCAGTAAGAATCATCTCTTATGATCCAGTGTTACTACAGGAGGAAACCTAAACTAAACTAACTTTATTTATACTGGATAGCTCTATCAGTTCTAAACTGTTCTTCCTAGAGGTCCAGTAAGGATCATCTCTTATTGATCTAGTGTTACTACAGGAGGAAACGTTGTTTTACCTCTGTACGAGAAGATCTTGAAAGACAAGCGCAAGTTCTTTGGCAGCTTTATTGGGGGCAAACTGGAAGAGAAGGGCGAACAGGGACATGTTGTTTGGATTTCTGGTCTGGGAGAGTTCGTTATAGATGATATGTTTCATTAAAGTGCCCAAGTTGTCTTCATGTTGCTCCACCAACACTCTGCAAGAGATAAAGTAAAAAGAGATTTGAGGTTGCAGGATATCTTTTATCTTTCTATTCAGAACCCAAGCTGCAGTAATACCTGACACAAGTAATGTAATGTCCCGCTAACTGTTTTGTCTTTAGTCTCATTTTAATGATGTTACTAATCACTTCGTTATCTTCCATAGAATGGGAATTACAGTTGAGAGCGACTGACATCAGAAGTTCGTGAGCTGGGCGATTGAGCTGGAAAAGAAAAGGATGTCGTTTTCAAATTCTCTGGTTCATGTCAAGATCACTGCATTGTGACAAACCTTTGGATTTTGCAGCCAAGTTTCGAGTCTTTGTGATGCTAACAAGCGGACATCACTAACGCCACAAGCGGCAGACATAAGACGCAGTAAGTTACGAGTCGTGTTGTCTACCAACTGTCTGCGAGTGAGTTGATCTTTGATGAGTTCAACGACGTAACTTTGAACATTTTCCTGGGTAGATGGAAGATCATACCTACAAGTGAAGTATGTGTTATATTATTCTAGAATTCTTGGAAGAGGTTAGTTTGTTTTTCTGGACTCTGAAGCAATAAAAACTGAATCAATATGAGATGTATGCATGATCTTAATATGTTGTATGTGTCAAAGTTTTTAAAATCTACCTAGGGAAAACATCAGGAGAGATGGTTTCTTTGCATTCCACATCTTTTAAGAAGACATCTTCCTCTTCAGTTTTAATAAGCTTGGGAGATACTGTTGTTGCAGCTGTAAAAAATATTTAAATACAGAAAATAATATTTCTCTAAAGCCTTGCAAACATATTATGTTATTTTGTACCAAAACATGATGTGAATATCACAATTGGTCAAACTGCTAGTTTTAATAAAAATATTTCTAAAAATCGAATGAAATTCAAGACAGCTCAGAACCTTCCACAGTCTGCTCCTTGGTTACTTCAGATCCAGGCTGCCCAACACTGCGAGGTGGGATTTTCGTATCAAAAGCTGTCAAAAGGTTCTCGACAAAAAACCGACATTTTTCATTTTCAATCCAAGTACGATCACCGAGAGAGTCTTCAACATAGACCTGGCAAAATAAGAAAAATGGATCTTTATCACTTTATTATATTTCATAATGTAGTTATTGTTCACAAAAGCCGCCTTCTGGTACTTGTGATGCCCCACAATTCAGACTGTGGTAGGTATTATCACTACTATGTAGGTAGTGATATATTCCTAAGACTGTGTGTGTCACTTGACATGTGATTGATATTTGCTCTGAACCCAGAAGTTATATCTTACTTTTATAAAACTTTCTGGCCAATCTTGTTCATCTTGAAATGCACACAACAAAATATTACATGCAATTATCGGCACTGCTGGACTTGGTCTTGCACCTTTCAGATTCACAGATGAATCTCTTTTGAGAAAGCTTGTAAGAAACTAAAACATATTGAGACAAGATTATCCTTACTGGAACTCTAGGAAGAAATATGAAATAATTTAAACATCTGTTTCATTACCTCCATCACACGATGCGATCTAAACAAATGTGGTCGTCTTTTAACTAAACAAAACAAGCTCAAACACATGGCAGGATCAGGTTTGCTACGATTGCTTCGTAAAACTTTTAAAGCTCCTGTGAGGTAACCATCAATTTTCGTTCTATCACCAGCATCTTCTGCCTTCATAACTTTCTCTTCCAGTTCATCAGCACTTACTGTTAATATCATGGATGTGACAATTTACAACAATAATTTGATACAATACAAGCACTAAGAATGGTTTTAGAATGGTTTTAGAATGCTTTTTGTATGCTTTTAAAATGCTTTTAAAATGGTTTTAGAATGCTTTTTGAATGGGCATTTGGGGCAATTCATGTTAGGAACGGGTTGCCACTTGGGTCTTAGGAACTATTTTTTTTATTATTGAGACATTTTACTTAATATACTAGTTTAAAGATTTAACAACACAAGCAACATTTACCATCTATAGGAGCAATGCTTGGTACTGGTGCGCTCGTAGATGACTTCAAGCTACCCTCAATATCAATCGATACGCTGGGTGAATGTGGTGATGATGTTTTGGCTTTCTTTCCCAGCCGCAGTGGCTGAAGAGGACTGTGGCAGTCTCGTTTACGATCTGGTAAGCTTGATGACAATTTCTTTGACCCCGGTCCCGCCAAAGACTTGAGGGGCGGAAGGGGTTTGAGTTCAGGTACATCTTGGGATTTTGAGGGACCTTTGGAGCCTAAAAAGCAGGAGCGAACATGGCTTGTACCATTGCTTGCCAGGAAAATTAATTGTAATGGCATATGTTGAAAAATGCAGTTAAAAGTGAGTTCAAATAGATTTCAAGGCTTTGGTAATACTGAGGTAACAGCTTTGGAAAAACTTCTAGGTCCAATTCCTGTAGGAGGGACCTCAGTCCTGGATTTTTCAAGACATTCCTGGTCGTTCTTTCCTTAATTGAATGAAAATCTCATCTCAAACTGAAAAATACTTCAACTTTTGCCTTACCTAAAGCAATAAATTCTCCTTGAGGGGGATGCCCTAAAAAACACAATAATAATAATTTGATTTATTTTAATGAAATACATTCGATGAGATGACTAAAGAGTAAAGACATCTACTCCTGGAGTCCTGGACTGGGTCACTGGGACATTATTCCAGGAAGCCATGAAAGTTTTGAAGGTAATTTGTAAAATTAAACAGCTTAAAAATATACTTCTTACCTCTTCCTTTCGAAGGCCGCTTCCCTTTATCTCCACGGATCATTTACGAGTAGAAATTCTGAAGAAAATCCGACTTTTTTGGGGAAGATTCTTATTTACCTTGAAATATATTTCCAATACGCTAGAAAATAACGAGTTTCAACACGTTATCCGCTGATCAGCAGCATCTGCTGCACGATGAAAAATAGGTACGCAAAGGGTACGTGGATAGTTTTTGTCAGAAAACTGACGCCCTTGCGTGAAAATGCTCTTAAAATATCCGGTGGAATACTGTAGAATCCACGAATTCGAATTCATTAGTCTAGGATTCATATCCAGTAACTTAATCCACGATTATTAAAATCAGGAAAAACTAGGAATGCCGCTATCAGTTAAATCATGTTAAACTTTCTTCCCATTTGCGCTATTTTCATTCTTTTGCCAATTATATAACCTTAAAGCGACGTAAGAGCTGCGTAAATACTTGAAAGATAACTCTTACGTAATAAAATTGGGAAAACGTGAAAAGCGAACGTGCTTATAGTAATTCCGTCTGGTTATATAATAAAAAAGTTTCAAATCTAAGCATTGATCATCTGACGTCTGGGAATATAAATTGTATTATCCAGACGTCCCTTCAACGGAAGCTCTTCCAGATGACATTGCTCGTCTGAGGAGGGAAGAAACTAAATGTAAACGAAGCCACGTGGTTGATATTTTACTAAAATATTACTGTCAAAATAGAAACAGGAACTCGTAACTATCTCTCGTCATTCCAATCAAGAAATGTCCTGGGAATCAACCCGTTACCTGGACTATTATTCAACGATATTCGCCCTACAAGCCGGGTTTTTATTTAATATAAGTCTGTAAGAAACCGGCCATTATTAAAGTAGAAAGAATGAACATCACAAAGCAGGGATTTGCTCAGTGAATATGAAACTAAAAGGAAACGATCCGATATTTCATCATCTTTCTAAAACAATAACGTGAGATGAGTGTTCAAAATTGTCTGCATGGGCGAAAAATAATGACAATCTTATTCTGACAGTTGGCAGACAAATGTACACAAGTAATATTGTAATGTTGGGGCGAGTCTGATAAATATTGATCTTGGTAGAAACAGACCACGCACGCGTTGCCTTGAACAGCTTTTGCATGACAGGTGCACGAAAGCTACTTTCTCGTCGTACCTTCGAAAAGATCCTTATTTTGGCTGAGTCTAAGGTTTTAATGAATTCGGGTTTATCTGATGCAGGACTTCAGGTATTAGTATAACGATTGGATGAAGATATTTCTGTTTCCACGTGTTCACGCAAGGAAATCGAAACCAGAAAATTAAAATACATTCGACAAAGCTTCTGCCTGTTTCCGTAATAGTTTTGTATTACCTCAGTCAAACATACGAGGTGTTAATCTTGAGCCTTTTTTGTAGTAACACTGGATCAATTAGAGCCTATCCTTACTAGGAAGAACAGTTTAGAACTAATAGAACTATCCAGTGTAAATAAAGTTAGTTTGGTTCAGGTTTCCTCCTGTAGTAACACTGGATCAATAAGAGATGATTCTCACTGGATCTCTTGGAAGTATAGTTTAGAACTGATAGAGCTATCCAGTATAAATAAAGTTAGTTTAGTTTACGTTTCTTCCTGTAGTAACACTGGATCAATAAGAGATAATCCTTAATAACAAGACTTCTAAATTAAATATGACTTTCAGTTCAGGCTTTCAAATACGTCTTCAAAAACCAATTTCGTCACATAGCTTGCCTTCGGTGACATTAATCTTACACGTGGATATTAAAGTATTCTAGAGGCTAACTGTGTATTAAGAGGGGATAAAAACAGCTCAGAAAACAAAATAAACCTGGCATTGAGTAAAGTTGTTCGCCCCATCATCACAAAAACTATAACAGATGATAAACAGAAATTTAAATTTCGGTATTAATTGTCACCTGTTCACACAAAAGGATAATCGACGTTAATTATCGTGTCTAATATATTCAGAGTTTTCGTGTGACAATGTCAGCTCAGTCGAGGTCTTGAACTTGCCTATCCTGTGCAGATGATTCGCGCGCGCTGGTTAAATGGTTCTTAACCTTGAAAATTGTTTATGAAAAATACATACGCTTGAGTGTTGTTGGATGTGTTTTGACATAAAAAATCCTCACAAATTTAATGCTTAGATAAAAATGGTTCACATTTGTGAGGCGCGTGATTAAAGCATTCGAATAAAAATGGATTTGATTTCAAAGATTTTTCGATATTTTACTTCAATTTGATAAATTTTAAAATCTGTTTCACATAAATAATCCGTGTTAACACATAGAATTATGTAACGTTCATTTATCCATGAAGAACGCGATTAACTGCCATAAAAAAATCTCTATCAGTTTGCCAAATGGTAAACATCTCCTTAACCACCCCCGCTGCTGCGCAGAACCCCTGCGCATAGAGCGAAAAAAGCACACGATCAAGATCGAGATGAGCATGTGTAAACATTAATTTCTTTGCGGGGGAGGGGAGGGGATGGGAGGAGAAGGAGGCAGCTTCTAAGTAATATTAAAACTATCAGAATTTCGACCATTTGCCTCGCGAAAGAGTGTAATCGTGGTAGTTATTTCTCCGTATGAATTGCCCTTTCCGTAGATCACCAAGATTTTGAATAAGTTTTTTGCCATGCGCCTATCATCACACCGCATGTGGTCTCTCATGTGGTTAGGCCGATGTCATGAGGACTTAAGAGATTCTGTATGAAACATTTAAGTTCAAGAGATAACGCCTTCTCATGCATAAGAGTTAGGCTGGACGGGTAAGGCCAAACTTTTTCACACCATGCACGGCTAATCCTTATTTAACTGAGCCATGACTGAAGCATTTAGTGAAGAATTGTTTCTTTCCTTCTCAAAGAGTCATTGATGTTCAAAGTAAAAAAATTCCCAGAGTTCACTCTCTGTTATAAGTGTTATTACACTTCACGATTGCCTTGACTTAATAATTGTGAGAATATCTTGAAATGAACTACGTTGTTTCCAAACGTACGTGCCAAGGTTCCCAAGAAACACTTGTGGTAATATGAAAAAAAATCAAACTGAAACAAACGAGATCTTGATTAAATTTCACTTCATTGAATGAACACAAACACGTACTGCAAGGCTATGGAAAAGATTAATGTCAAGATATTGAGAAAATCTTGATATAGTTGGGCATTTAAAACCCCAGTCAACTTAAACGATGGACATCTGCAGTTAGGCGCTGTGCATAATTATTATCTTATCACTTGTCTTTCTAGCATTTATTCAAATACACTTTATTCAATTCTCGATTTTCAAAGATATCCTTGAGTTGGTATAGTACGTGTTTTCCTCAAAATGCTGATTCGTTATTTCCGGAATGTAAAAAAATTTTACCATGGTTAGGACACGTCTCGTCTCAGTTTGAATTGACTGGACTATCAGTGAAATGCGAGTGAAAGAAACTCTGGGAAACGTAGGTTTGCTACATGAGTGTATCACATTGCAGAATATTTATTATAACAGCTCCTATTTTAGTTAAAATCCCGTCAGTTTCGTTTGCATTGCAACCATAAGACAACTTAGTTCAGTGGAAAATCTTGACGTTCAATGCTGAGCAATTACGCTGGCTGAAGCTCGCTCAGGTCACGTCTGCAACTCCTATCTGTAAAGCAAATAGCATCTTCTACAACAGCAGCTTGGACGTCTTTTGTCTTTTTTCTATTGAAAAGCAGCGCTTGTTTGCAGCAGTTGATGCTTATCTCGTAAAGGAACCTAAAACTTCTGCATGACAACCTAATATGGAAGGAAGTCGTACAGGTCTTCAGGAGACTTCCGCGTGGTGACTTAATACGAAATGTCAACACAGGAACACTTATTAGGGAAGCAGATGTCCCATCACTCGTTCAGCCTCACTTCTATACAAGAACAATACATCAAAACAAATGCCAGTGTGTGTTTATACTACCGGATAAAGAATTATACCCCACATTTTAAAGACCTGTTCCTGAATTATTCAAATATATATCCTTTGTACAATCATGAGGCCGATAATCCCCCTAAACGGGAGAGCTGTTTCGTGCTTTCCCAGAATGAAGTCGATCATATGAAAAAATAATCATTCAAACCATATATGAATAAATTTTCTATTGAAAAAAATTAAAACTTATATTTACAATTTTGTTTTTTTTCGATTCAATTCGCATAATTAGGTTGATACAAAGCTTAAAAATTAAGCTCAATTTTATATATATATATTTATATGTATATACAACAATTTGTAAAACACTATTCTTTCAAAATTCAACGGTCAAAGGCTACAACCGTTAAGCCACAAATGTGTTTAAAAGCTGATATCAGCCGATATTGAGATAAAACATCTGCTAACCTGAATAAATAATGTCTTTAGCTTAATGCACGCTCGCCACGCGACTTCGCATTTTTTCTTTAAAAAAGACAATAAAATTTATTAAGTTAGCACAACTAAACCTATTTTATGATCTTCCAAAAGTGAAAACGTCTCGTGAATCGTCATCTTGCATGCACTTTCTATCATCACTCAATTTGGAAGTGCTAAAATGTCATATTAAAAATGCATTAGTTGTCCTTTCCGTGTGGTTTAAACCACGAATAGTTAGCAAGTTCAGAATGCTCTATTCAGAATCTTCAGCGGGAACATCAGATTGAAAGAAGTTTTTGCTGGCAACGGCGACGCATCGACTGCCGACCGTTATGAACTCAAAAACATTTCTATCTTCTACTGAAATCCTCCTCCGAACACGGCGCTATTTGCTTTATTCCACATCTCATCAAACATTGATTGCTGTGCTGATTCAAACAGAAATTTCTCTATATCTGTTGCTGACTTCTTTAAAAAAGTTCCTCGGCGTCGAGCCGATGGACAGGTTTCGTTCTTGCATAATTCTTCAGCCGTTTGAATCAATTGTTCGACATCTTTTGCCGCTTGATCTCGACAGACGTCGCTTAGACTGATGTAAACTCCTGAACTTTTCAATTCCTTTTGCGAGCTCATGGTATAATTTGAAATGCTTTTTCTTCGATTGAATGTTCCAGTGAAGCAGAAATTATCCCTCTTAGTCAGTGCTATAGACGTTGAGATTAGCGGGCAGTATATAATGCACATGTGCCACAGGATCGCACAGGATCCTTTATATAGATCGCGAATACACAAGCGTCATCGGCTAAAATGCTAATTTCCGACATCCAAACGAGTCGGCGAGCGCTCGTTACCCACGCTGATTGGCTAAACAGCTCGTGACGTCATCCTCGTGAATTAACGGTAATAACGGTCACTAGCAACAGGCGCTTAGCAAATATATGACATAAATTCTCAGCTGCCCCGTAGTTATTTCTATATAGAGAACTTTCTATATATCATTGATAATTCACGCGTGTGGGGAGCGATGCAATAAACGCATAGTGGAATATAGAACGCCCACCGTCGTCGTGAGGTGAAAATGCCCTTGATTTGTTAATACAAGTTCTGAAGTCTACCATATGCTGAAAATTTAATGATTTTTTCCCGAACTACGTGTAGCACTTTCTGGACTAAAACCCATCAAAACAATGAGCAGAATTTCTGATTATGGTACCACAGAGAATTGCTTGCTTTCAATAATCATTAACAAAGTCGTATATATTCGCTGCTTATGCCTAATTCTTCGCGTCGAGAGGCAGTCCATTGGGAACATCCCCGAATATATTTTCTTTATCAATTTCTACTGCAATTCAAAACAAAATTATCATTTAGGATATCAAATTTTACTCCATGTATATCACTGGGATATTTAGAGCAATAAAGATGTTTTGTCTACTTTTTTTGGGGGTAATAAAAAACCCAAGATCATAAAACTGCATCAATAGTCATACTGCATAGGAGCGATAAAAATATAACTATACAATGCACTAAAATATCTCCGGATGTTATATAATCTTCAGTATTCTATTGTTTTGAAAATAACAGAGGATTATCAAGGACATGTTTTTTGGCACGTGTCATTGAAGTCTGTAATAGCGAGGTATTAGTATACTACTCTGTATATGAAACGGAATCTGAGTTAGATATGATTGAAGATGAAAATGCGGGGTTACATAACACCAGATATATTAATGCAAAGCCGAAGAGCACAATGAAACAGCATATATTAAACTTGGATGCATGTATTCTCATGCAAAGTTATAAACACTTCATCTTATGCCCACTGAACATAAACACTAATATTCGGTTAAGTGCTCTCTCGAAATCGTCCTACCAGTTCAATTGAAAATGAACCTCGTGATGTGCATAATGAGTTTTTTTTAGTGAAGTACATGTGCTATTATATATACATATATATGTAAAACAACCACATTCATGTAGGACACGAAACGAAAAAAACAACAACAGACGCTTAAAATGTACCGGCCTGCCAACCCTTGTGGAAAATGTTTCCCGCAGCGATCGTGCACAGAAAATGCCAAAAAATTGTCGTATGTTATGAAAAACAAGCTTCTTTGTGTTCAGTTCCCACTCAAACTTGTCTTTCCCAATATTTTCAGGCTTATTGTATACAATATAACAATAGCTCTAGTACAATTCTACCTCCGCTGATGAAAAGTAGTTTACTGTTTCATCATCATAAAACGCCCACTCTCTCATTCCACGATGGGATAGAAATTACTTCCCATGTTACAATAAACGGATTATTTTCCGCACCGGTTGAGGATAAAGTAGGATTCTGTGACGTTATACTGTTTAAAGAAGTCTGGTTTTACCTATGGCTCATCGTCTGCCTTTTTAAAAAGCGCCATATTTACGTCAATTGCTTTATTCGTTCAAACTAAAAATGATTTGAGACTAACAAATTTACGCAGTAGCGATATAAATAGACTTTCCGGCCGATAAGAAGCACATGCTTCATTCCACCAAGGAAAGATCTAATGAGAGTGACGTTGACTTAATTATAGGTCAACAGCACTAGAGTTATGTCCATGCCAGAGAATAGAAACACTAAAGAGCTGCAGTTGACACATTGTGAAGAAGGCCATCTCTTATTGATCCAGTGTTACTACAGCAGGAGGATCATCTCTTATTGATCAAGTGTTACTACAGGCGGAAACCTAAACTAAACTAACTTTATTTATACTGGATAGCTCTATCAGTTCTAAAGTATTCCTCCTAGAGGTCCAGTAAGGATCATCTCTTATTGATCCAGTGTTACTACAGGAGGAAACCTAAACTAAACTAACTTTATTTATACATGGATAGCTCTATCAGCTCTGAACTGTTTTTCATGAAGGTAAGGTTAATATGCGGGAATGCCATTGAGCTGTATGTAACTGCACAAGGCACTATTACTGATGATCAAACTATTTAACCAGTGGACATTCGCTAAGATATAATAAATACATAGAGCATTTCGTCATATAGAATACTCGAGATATAATTTGTGCTAATTTAAGTATTGTTTATTACTTCATTTATACAAAAAAATCTTAGCAGGTGCAAGTTCAATAAGAGATGATCTCATGCAAAACTGAATCTCAGTATATAGTACCAAACGATGTCGAGGAAACACCATTGTTTTCACAATTCTTAATTAATATAATTCCATTATATATAGGGAATTGTAAACATGCATGTACAAAATGAATCCGTTCATGATGCATCATACATGCAGATGTTTTCATTTGCTGCATGCTTTATGACCTCATGTTCGTATATCTGGAGATCTTTTTCATTTACATGTGCATAAAGGGCAACTGCATAATTCATTTCAACGCCGAGACATAATGCGATAGTGAGGAAAGTCATAATTGAATGCTTTTGTCTACAATTAGGCAAGCAACCTTCACGCAAAGTAGACTCGCTATGTAAGGTGAACTTCTAGAAATAGTTGCATATAACGCAGGTGGACACGGTGATTTTTCGCTAGAACAGCAGAGAGACAATATACCTACGCGTTTTCCACTGCACTGATTAGGAAGAGCCATCTGTTTAAACAGGCCCTTTTCCGGGCAAAACATACAAAGATAACTGTCACGTTTCATGCACGAGTGTTTGGTTTTAGATTTTACTGATGATTTTCAATTTTTGCCTGACAGTGTTTACAAACGGTGACTTGAGATAAACTTTGAATGCATATCTGGACGAACTATATTAAGCTATCTATCAGTGTCTATCAGTTTTATAAACTGTTCTAAACAATCCTAGACTAAAAGCCCTGACAACTTTATCATTTCAAATTACAACTTTTTCTCTTGTGCATGGCCCATCCAAGTAAGGTTCATCTCTTATTGATCCAGTGTTACTACAGGAGGAAACCTAAACTAAACTAACTTTATTTATACTGGATAGCTCTATCAGTTCTAAACTGTTCTTCCTAGAGGTCCAGTCAGGATCATCTCTTATTGATCCAGTGTTAGTGTGTTACTACAGGAGGAAACCTAAACTAGACTAAGATAAATACATTAATACTGGATTACCTTATCATCTGAATGCGCTATTTTGGTTTTAGCGTATACTACCTTATGTAATCCATTGAAATTCTCAAAATCCTAATGCAAATGATTATATTTATACGAAACTATGATTGTCTATTTTCAAGTGTTAAAGAGAAGCATTTTAGTAGTGTCTGCGGATTATGCATTTCAACCACGATTTTTAAGAGAACATTCTTAAGATTCTTCACTGGGTTTCTTCGCATATTGTAAGCGGCAAAGATTCAGTCATTTCAAATACGGAACTTGTGGGTGAATAAAACGTTTTTGCTTCTAGATTTTTGATAAATTGACCAAGAATACCGCAATGGCGATATGCAAATGTGAGGAACCGACGAGAGAACGCCAACAGCTGACTCCAAGCTGCCGATGAAACGTTGATATTCTAGAAGGACTATTTATGGAATATGGATACAATATAAATAAATTTATAATTAAAATATTTAGCATGAGATTCTGGAGGTAATGGCCTGATAAAAAATCGATACGGAAAGATCGTGTTTTAAAACGAGGCCTTCAGAGAAATGATATATTTTAGATTTTCTTGTCTTTTGCGGTCGCTAATCCGAAGTGTTTGATGGCTAAAACCAAACTGAGATTACTTATTAATCTCTACTTACAGTACTATCACGAAAATACACTTCTGTCACGTACTGCCTCGTTATTCGGTATACAACCTTTATTAATTAAATACTCATCAATAAACTTAGCATTAAAGTAAAAAACACAGAAATCTTTGGTCTATTTATTCTCTTTGAGTCTAGTAATAACATGAGATTGGTCAAGGCGAGTAATGACTGTAGTAATGATACACTTGGAGCTCTAATTGTTCTCTTACATCCCTTCGTATCCTACTAGCAGTAATATATCGGGTACTAATGTTTCTGACATCCCTTCGTATCCTACTAGCAATAATACTTGGCACTAATGTTCTCTGACATCCCTTCGTATCCTACTAGCAATAATATACTTGGTACTAATGTTCTCTTACATCCCCTTGTATCCTAGTTGCAACTAATACACTGGCCAATCCAATGTTCTCTTACATCCTTTTATATCCTAGTAGTAATAATACACTGGCCACTCCAATGTTCTCTTGGTTCCCTTCTTATCCTTGCTGTTTTTCTTGCTTTCTTTAAGATTTCCGGGTTTTAATATATTATCAATGTCGATAACACTAGGCTTGTTCCCATGCCCACTCGCCTTCTGCTTGACCACAGCACTCAAGACTTCCCGTCGTACCCCGGGGTTGTGGTTCTTATTCACAGCGAGATCATTCCAGAACTGACAAGCCGACGGAGGGTCGCCCAATGCGTCAAATATTTTGCTACTTTTTACCAACTTTGTTGTAAGTGTTTTCATGTTTGTTTGAGCAAGAGTCCTAGGACAAGCTGGTCGCTTGTCTCGAATGGAATCTAAGTTGTAGTAATATTCTGAAAGATTTCGTCCATATTCCGCCACATCTTTCTTCAAACCCAACGTCTCCTGAAGAAAAGCAAAGTAATTACTTCATGAAACAGATACACCATGTATGAAGATATAAAACACAAACTTACATCAAGTAACACGCTATAAGCCCAATCTGCCCACATGACCATATATGGTGTCATTAGTTGGATCTCAAGAGGCTTCCCGTCAATCTCTGCAATCAGAGTTATCCCTCTATAGCCGCTGGCTGAAAATCTACCAGCTCGTGGACACACACCAAAACATTTAACAATGGCAACGCCAAAACGAGAGCTTTTGATGAACCGAGACTTCGCCTCTACTAACTGCAGAAAATGGGAAGCATATCATTTAAAATAGTAAATAAATTATTAAAATATAACATACAAATCAGAACTTACAGGAGGAAACCTGAACTAAATTAACTTTATTTATACTGGATAGCTCTATCAGTTCTAAACTGTTCTTCCTAGAGGTCCAGTAAGGATCATCTCTTATTGATCCAGTGTTACTACTGGAGGAAACCTTAACTAAATTAACTTTATTTATACTGGATAGTTCTATCAGTTCTAAACTGTTCTTCCTAGCCAGGTCCAGTAAGGATCATCTCTTATTGATCCAGTGTTACTACAGGAAGAAACCTAAACTAAACTAATTATATTTCTAGTATTAATTGAGTTTAATAATGATTCACAAACGAACCTGATGAACGGTGGGGAATGTGACTCTCCATGTTATTACGTCATATATATCCTTGACGGTCAAGTTCCCATTCTCATCCAGCTGATCACTGATTCTTTCCAGTGGCTTCAATCGACTTTCAATCAAGCTTTCTCTACCAAACATCCATATCAACTCGTGTTTGGCGGATTTATACGATTTCTCGAATTTCTTAACAAAAAGTGATAGCGCTTGAAATCCTTTGTCGTTGTACTTTTGATGCCACGACCATTCATGATCGATACTTTGAAATTTCCAAGATGGCGCCTCGATGCTCTTCAGTAATAGTTTTCTCAACGTAGGACTTTCTTCTTTCTTGCAATTTGATAGCACAGCAAGAAAAACGAGCGCGGAAAAGATTTTTATTCGCAGTTCAAGCATTATTTACTAGACAACTTTGACACGGAGAAGAGAATGCAACCTGTTGTAATCATACAGGTATCTCGGTTAAACAGTTAATACCTGTTAGCAATCAGCGAGCTTCAACTGATTTTTCTTTTCTTTTCAAGACCTTCCCATTTTCCCACGAACTTCAAGCATGCATCGCAGTGGCAACTACTTCAGTATCACAGAAAACCGCGGACTTTTTTAAAATTAAACTATTTCATTACATGCAACTGTATGGTCATATTCTGCCTGCATTAGGGCAATTCCTGCAGAGATGCTTTTAAAAAAATGAAATCACCCTTATGATAGAAAACTAATTTATTCCACGTATCATACAAGCAATCTGGGATAAACATAAATATCTTATTAGTCCAGATAAATATTCCGGCTAGGCAACAGAACACAATTATTTTAAAATTGTCTAAACGTAAAACAAATCTACGGCAAAGCAAAGATGATATTTGTAATCCTAATAAGTATTTCAAACAAGCAACATTCTTGAGGCTTAGTTCGTGATGCTCACGGCAAAGATCACAGCTCCGGACAATTTTGATAAACTATTTATGATCAAATCATAAATCTAAGGTATAATGTTGAACAAAACAAACAATTTGTGGGAGGCGTTTACATAGCCAAAATGAAAATGAAATCTCAAACCAAGCTTAGGTATTATAATGGAATATTGGAATTGATTTACAAGGAAATGGTTTACTGTCAAACGAGGAAGAAAATTAGCAATGTAATTAAATTGTTCAGTACACTTAGGTGCAGCGAAGTTAGGAACTCGCGCAATGAAGGAATTTCATACTTTTAGCATACTGCTAAACGAGATTCAGTTTAGGGTTTTACATCTATTTCAAAGTTGCTTGAACCGTGAATAATTAACGCCTTTAAAAGGCTTTTCGGAACTGACTCGAAGGATGGGCTGGGAGCAGTTTGTCTCGGAAATGCAATTTCAATATAATAGCCTACGATTTTCGGTGAATTTGTTCAAAACAAGTACAGTATTAAGGCTCACTAGCTCTACAAACAAAAACATTTAATTATAATGTACATGTTTTAATCCATATCTTCGACCATGTTATTAACGTCCTCGATTTCCGCCAAAACATCAGCTGTTTTATCTTTCCAGTGTTTTATATCGTGTCCAAGAGTATCAATAACTCGCTGCAATCTCGCTGTGTCTCTTTCCCCGGATTCCGCACGACAAATTGCTTCCTTTTTCTGATCGGAGAGGAACACCATCTTCTCTTCGTTCGTCGTTTCTCGCTGAGTCTGATCAGATTCCCGCGCTTCTAAATCACGAATTTTATTCGTCGTGTTCCTGATCGTATCCATCAGTTCCTCGATACGAAGGGAACTCTGCTCGAAGCGCAGCTCCGCCTTTTCTAAGTCACTCAAAAGCACAACCTCTTTACGCTGGGCTTCCTGATATTGCGTGTCGTAGCCATCCACCTCGAGCTTACCTCGACTGATCTGGTCTGCCAGCGAGGCCAATCTCTCATCGCCTTCAACCTCTTGATTTTCCAAATTTTTCACGGCTATTTCATGCTCGGCAGTTTTTGATTCCAAGCCATTCAACAGCTCTTTCTTATGCGCTAACCGTTCGTTTGTTTTCTTCACCTCTTCGCGTAGAATCTGAAGGCGCCTTTTAAACGATTCCTTTTCCATTTCGGCTGCTTCTTGTCGAGTTTTCGCTTCATTCAAAGCGACTTTGGCGTTCGCTTCTTGTTGTTCGCAATCTTCGATATCCTGTTTCAGTTTATTGATTCTTGCTTTTACTTTCTCCATTTTGTACAGTGGCGTACTTTCAAAGATATCTTGTTCTTGTCGAAGTTTAAAAGCGTGTACAAAACGAATATCGAGTGCCACACAAGATTTTGTTTCGACACAAGCTGTCTTGCTTTGGGTTAGGTCAAACAAAGCGCGAAGGCAAGGCAGCTTCACCTGACGACCGAATTATGTAAAAGATCAGAATAAATTATATTTGCCATTGTGCCACCGCATTAAACGCTGTCAAAAGCTTCACTCAGACATGCATAATTTAAGCCCCATGCAAACGATTGTGAAATATTTACATAATGCTTTAGTATTATCGTTGGCATTTTACAAACTCAATGGTTTAGTGCAGTTCTTACGAGGCAACTAATCTCTGAACGGCAAAACTTTGCGACGAACGGGTTGGGCCAGGTTTTACTATACAATTTATTTAGCTTTATCGATCCAAGAGCGCACCTGATCGGTTCTTCAAAATGCCCACAAATTACGTCCAGAAGAAAACGTTTTTATTCAGCTCTGTTTCCGGATCACATATGAAAACACTATCAAGTAAAGACAGGTGTAGGAACCAGGAAATAATGCATCGCCTTGCATTGCATTGACTGAATGCTATAAAGCCTGGTGAATGGTAATTTTTGTAACCAACTCTTGCAAAAATGTAAAAAGACAATTCCCAACTTTAAAATACTAAGGTTTCTTCTAGGTTATACCGAAGAACGGCGGTAAATTGCAATTGAATAAAACATTAAAATAAAACTCTGCAGGTGGTGGACAAGTAGGATAACGGTACCCAGTCTTTCCCAGTGGTCGTTCCTCCCCACAGAATTGGTATAAAAACCGATACATTTTTTAAGCTTCTACGTTAGCGATTGTACGGAATGCACCCTTAATAATTTAACCTTAGCTTCTCATACTAAGTGAATAAAAGAAAACTGAAAGTACTTACCATTAAATTGATCGTTTTTCTTTATTTTTACTTTCTACCAGAGAGCAAAGGTCATTTGACTCATTTCCTCAAGGAAAAGATTAGGATATCTTCCACTTAGTATCTAAAATACTTTCAACACAATTCTTTTCTGGGTTTTTGTATACTATAATATACGATGATTTATCATCAATACCTCTTCAACTACCCAATTTCAATCGCCAGTTGTCTTGAGTATTTATTTAATACTCGGTAAAAAATTTACTCTTTGTAGAATTCTGTCAAACTTTGTTTAAGATATAGAAGCGAAATTTACAGTAAGTTGCGAATTTGGAACTGAAAGATCAATCAATTTTAGGCAGATTTTTAACTGTTCATCGCAGTCATCGACACTTTTGCATAAGTAACAAAATCGCATGGCTTTTTGAATAAAAATTTATAAATCTAATGAATAATTATGGTTTTTATTTTTATATAAAAAGCAGCTTAGATAAATTTTTATTCAAGTAATGGAAGCACAGTTTGTTTACGAGCGATGCGTGCGCAAGTGAATGCCCACGTTTCCTTCGAACCAAACTTTTTTTGACCAGGAAAATGTTCTTTTTGGGTCGAATATATACCTTCCAAGCAAGCTCGGTGTTGCGTGTTCAATGCACAAGCATACTATTGTTGCGTGGGGCTCGCAAGCGGCGAGAGTCGAGCCCTCAAAATGAAGGGACAGAAAAATACTTGCGTGAACAGTTTCAAGTGCCAAAGAAATCAGCCAAACTTTTATCACAAGTGTGTACAGTTGGGGATATCGAGGAGAGAGTGGAGTACTTTAAATCTATAGGACTGACCCAAGAGAATATTGAATTGGTTTTCAGGAAGTTTCCAAGACCTATTATGACGTCTGATGTGTCAGAAATGAATAAAAGGGTCGTGTTTTTATCTGGTTATACAACAAAATTTAGGGATCCAAATGTCCTGGTCACCCACCTTATCCCTCAGTATCCACCACTGTTGTTTCACTCAGTCGAGGCTATGGAGAAACGTATTCAGTTGCTGAAGACATGTAACCTTAATGAGGAAGAGATTGCTAAAGTTCTCAGGTAATGAGATGTGACTACATCACAGGCATTTGTCATGGCTGACGTGATGTACCAAGATCCTAACTCTATCCTATGTTAGCCTCATTTAACACTGATCACAAAGAACGCCTGTGTGGTAATCAAATTGAAGTAATAAACAGATTTAGCTAGAAGACAACAATATCAAAGTTGACATGAGATTGGGAATTAAGTGGTAGGGTGCATCCAAATATGAGTGCATTGCACCAGTTTTATACCATTTCCTCAATAACTTGCAGTACTCTTCCACCAATAAGTAAAATAATCTTGCATTAGAGTAAAATACTAAAGTAGAGCGCATCTGGGTACATTGCAAGCCAATGGGTAATATTCCTGTTTTCAAGCTAAATCTTACTACCAAATTGGTCCAAATGTACTAGCAATTTTGTTACCTATGCTGGACGTAACCATTTGCTTTCTTTACTTAGATACAACCCCATGACCATCTTAACAAAACTGGAGGATAGTTTTGAAGATCTTGTTAAATATTTAAAGGACAGTGGGCTACCAGATCAAACTATTCACAAGTTCTTTACCAAACAGCCAAGATCAATAACATTCCGTTGGGAAGCAATTGAAAAAAGAGTAAGATTTTTCATGGACGAATTGGACTACACAAGAGAACGAATTATTGAGGTGTTTACAAATAATCCGATGGTGCTAACAGCCAGCGTTGAGCGTATGCGAGAGCGTAGTAATTTCATTAAGGATGAGATGGGATTGACTAATCATTCGTTACATAGGTCACCACTTGTACTGCGATACTCACTGGAAAGACTTCAGTGGCGATATTATTATTTATGTCAGATAGGGTATCAATTCACCGATGATACATATTTGTTGAATGTTTTATATGTCACAGATGAACTGTTTGCAAAGTATGTTGCGAAACGTCCAGTAAATGAGATTTTAGAATTTAAGGATCGTTTTTATGAAAATCTCAATTCAATAAGTGACAATTCAGATACTGTTAACACTACGATTCCTTGTTAATAAACGTTTATGCAGATTAAACTATACATGGTGCATTGTGAAATATCAATGTGGTCCTAAATTGTGTTCCTTTAGAAAACTAGTTAGCTTGCAAGTGTAAAAAATTCTACGACACAGTTTTAGTCGATACTATGACAGTACACTATCTATTGCATTGAAATATTTTAAAATAAAACGAAAAATTCAGTGCATTTAAACCTTTTCAAACCAATGGATCATCATTTTATATTTAAAGGTATATTCTTGTTTGTTTTTTACATCAGGGTTGATTTTCATTTCTTTCTCAATCATGCCTAAAATCAACTCTTTTTCATCCATTTTTGCAGATGATACAACACTTACACTTTTATACCTCTCCAGGAGACCTTGCAAATTAAATTCCTGAGCATATGTGAAATCCGTAAGATTAAATCCCTCATTCGTGAACCCAGCATGATCTCGTAAAGGAATTACCACCTTTTCTTCATAGGAATAAACTTGATTCGCTGCCTTAAATCTTGGATCAAGAGCTTTCTCAATATTTCTTATCCATGATACAGATCGGTCAGGCATGTACCATATAAGCCCAAGCACTGCTTTGGGTTTTAAGATTCTATGAATTTCTTCAATGGCTTTCTGATTTGAATAAAACCAGTGAAAACTCATTGCAGCCAGAATAGCATCTGCAGAATTGGTAGCAAATCCTGAAATAATTCAAAGTTTAGATTAAGTTTGGACAAATTAAACAGAAGTCTTTTCACTCTGGTAATAAAACTGTCTGGAAATAAAACACAGAAAGCATATGGCTACATTTGGTAACTAAGACCCTGACAACTATCAACAACTTTTCTACTTAAAAGGCTTGGGGTCATGGTTGACATTCCCCATTGACTCTTAATCATCTGGAGTTGGACATGATAAAAGCAAGGACAAGTTACAGTTACTTGATGATATAACAATATAACCAAAGACATCCTTCAATAAAAGATAGATATAATCAGATTTAATTTTATTCTTTATAATCTTATATTTATATGAAGATAATGATATTTATAATGATATAACTATTAAGAATCCTTTTTGTGATAATACATCAATTTAAAGTTTCTGAAACCAATGCATTTTTATAACAAAATGATAAATATAACTTTGGTTATCTTTTGCATCTGAATTGTTTTTAATTTCATTTTCAATTGCCAGCAGAATCCTCTTTTTTTCATCATCCGATGAAGCAGCCACTACACTATTCCCTTCATATCGTTGAATAATTCCATGAAAATCCAATTCCATGCAGTATTTGAAACTTGTCTCATCTATGCCCTCATCTCCAAACCCACCATGGCTATGAATTGGCGCAAACATGGCCTCGCTGGCTGGCCGAGGGATTTTAACCTTCTCAAATTTTGGGTCCAGCCACTCCTCAATTGTTTTAATCCAGGATACGGAACGATCTGGCAAATTCCAAATAATTCCTAGCCTTGCTGCAGGTTTGAGAATACGGTGAATCTCATTAAGGGCTTTTTGATCCGTACCAAACCAATGAAAACACTGAGCAGCTAGAACAGCATCAGCGCTATTGCTAGTCATACCTGTTAATGCAAAGAGGTATCTAATTCACTAACCTATTTCGCTGTTAAACAGCCCAATTTAACCCTGTCCAAAGCCAGATGATTTTACTAAGGTAATACTCCAGTTGGTGTTTTTCAAGCAAACTTGTTATGCTGTTCACAGATGTTCTTTCAGCCTAGTTGATGCATTTGCCAACCAAGAAACTTTCATTAAGTTCTTACATTCTTACATAAGCATTTTTACTGTATTTTTATCTTAAAAGTTAAAAAGGCCTTCCTTAAAATCAAGACATCTACACTCACCACTTAAATCGCTTGCAGGACATTGCATTATTTCCACATTCGGCACCATTTTTGCGAAAGTTTCACACATTTCTTTCAGTGGTTCTGTGGCAATGATTTTATAATTATCCACTTTACGACTTTCTAATACCTTGAGGGCAGCTCTTGTAAATTTCCCAGTGCCTGCTCCTAGCTCAACGATAGTGAATGGTTCTGGGCCTGAATGTGGCTTTAAAGCACCGGTCTTTTCTAAAAGAAACTCCACAGAATCGGGGTTGTAGTTTGGACGAGTTTTTTCGTAGATATTTGAAATCTCAGGGTTTGCCCATCCTCTGGCGGCCTCGTTCACAGAATCCATTCTTGAAAGTCGAAAATTACGGATTTTAAAGCCACGAAAATTCAGATTTTTTACCAAAGTAGTCAAGGAAACGTTGTACTTAAATGATAAAGAGAGTTTTGAAAGCCAATATACCATAACAAATACAATTAAAACACAATTTAAACAAATACAAATTGTATTTTGAGTTATTTTATAAATTCAAACGACCATTGCAAAATATCGTACTTTTTGACGGCAACCGTTCATTAACCGCAAAAAATGTCGAATGAGATCTGAAACAATCGATTTGAAAATACATTGACAATAAATTTGAAAGTGCAAATTGATTACATAAATTATTTTATCTTTACATTTTATCATTGTATGTTACGTGAGACGATCTGCAATTTCTTTTATAATATGACGTTGTTCAAAGATGAAAACCTGGCACTCCCACAACATATTAACCAAAACTTGGTCCCCTTTCTCGTCCAGAGGGACATCTGAGTACATCTGAGGATTCATGCGACGATAGAAGACATCAATCATCTCGCACCAGGCTGCTGCGCGATCAACCACCGCTCCAGTTGAAGAGGTTGCCTGTAAAATACAAGATATTTTGTGAGGTCAGTTTTATCACATGTTCCTCTCCCTTTGCAAGGAAGATACTGGTGTTACCGAATAAAACGACCATGTTACCTGTTCTACTAAGATTTCAACCAATGCCTGGGCTCCGAACGCAATCTTTGCTACGTCACCTACCGACGTCGGCCGTAAGACATCGATATTTGTTACGGGAACTTCCGGTGGCTTGCCGGTTCCAACCGAGAACACCAGGCCGAACTTCTTGCATGTGTCATGAGCTGGTGCCTTGGGTTGGGCGTTCTTATAGTAGGAATGCATGAAAGACATTACATCTAATGTTGGGTTGTTCGCAATCAGACCTCCGTCCAGCATTCTGCCCATAGCACGAAAATATGTCGGAGCTGCACCAGTTCCCCGTGCAGCGCGCCATACCAGTTGGTCTGAAATGAGAAGAGATATACCATAACCTCTCTAATACAGACATCTCTCTAATACAGACATCTCTCTAATACAGACACCTCTCTAATACAGACATCTCTCTAATACAGACACCTCTCTAATACAGACATCTCTCTAATACAGACATCTCTCCAATACAGACACCTCTCTAATACAGACATCTCTCCAATACAGACACCTCTCTAATACAGACATCTCTCTAATACAGGCGTCTCTCTAATACAGACACCTCTCTAACATAAAAGCCAACCTTTTGGTTTCGATATGGGTGGGAACTGAGAATTCTTGTCCGGTTTCTTCTCGTCCTCAGGAACGGAAAAATTACGGAAAAGATGAAGAGCTGGTGGAATTCGATCAGACACTGCACACGTCGCTAATACTCTAAAGTTATAACAGTGAATTCTGAAACTTTGTAGGAGCAGATCATGAAATTTAAAATATAAAAGGGCTTTAGCTTTACAGAACAGAGGCATTCGCTTGGTATGAACGTTGGTGCTCACCTTGGGTAACCAATGCTTGTCATTTTTGTATCGCTGCCAAATTCGTGTTGTAAGAATTTTTCGAAAGGTTCTGAGGGATACGGGCGAGCACCGACGAAAACCTCGTCTTTAAGTCTGAAGTAAAGTTGTTGTAAATATGGCGTGGATTTTCCTACAAGAAAACGTAAACAAATTGTGTAGAATAATAGGATAGGTAATTAGGATGCTATTTTGCTAGTTTACTTGCTAAGGAGTTGGCTTGCTTGTTATGGTTTCCACCAACAAGCATTCACACATACCATGTAAGAGGCCTAGGGCAAGTATTCCTCCTGTACTTGTTCCACCAATCCAATCAAAAAGCTTCACAATTGGTTGTTTAGCAACACGTTCAAGATTTAGAAGAACTTGAATGAGAATAAGACCACGGATACCACCACCATCTGCGGATAGACATGAACTATGTATGGGTCAATGGGGATTGTGTAGGAGCAGATGTGAGCTCAGTCAGTACACTGCTCTCCGCCTGAGAGGTCCGTCTGTACATCACAAATTGTTAAATTCTCGAAAACTGAACACAACCAGTACTCCTCTGGACTGTGAACAGTCCCTTTATTATCTTTCAATGATTCTGAGCATTGCACTCACACCTTCAACCTTACCTAAGCAAAGTACGCTATCATCCTTCCTTTTCTTTTTCATAATCGACTGACCATCACTTTCATTTCCTCCACCACCGGATTTAGTGTATTTCACATTAGCATGAGCCCCAGCTGCCATGATTTTTGCTATTTCATCAAGTTTAATAGCAGTTTTTTCAGCTTGTTTCTTTAATAACTCATTCCCTGGTTCATTGCCTAATGTTTCAACCAAAATCCTTGTTTTAGTTTCCATAATTGGTTTAACAGAAACAGAAATACTGACAGCTAATAGTTGTACGCAAATGATTCACGTACCTAAACTCTATCTTACCTGGTGGAAATTTAGACGGTAAAAATGGGACATTACATTGGTAGTTACAACTCCTTGGATTACATGGGGCTGCTCCAACAAGACAAAGAGCATGGACAATCTGATTTCTGAAGCGACTTTTGGAAACAGTTGCAATATGACGTGATGTTTCTTTCTTAGAGTTGACAGCATTTATATCAGCACCAAACACAATCAAGGCCTTCACAATATTCACATCTCCTACCTAGACCAACGAAAAAATACTTTACGAATTGAAGAATTTGGTTTCCGGTATATATGTCAAAGTTCAAAGAAGCAGTTGTCCTGTGTCGAAACAGACTAATCAATTCAATCAATGTCCATACCTTGACAGCCATGTGAAGAGGTGTTTCATCCTGCATCCCCAAAGCATTGACATCAGCACCATGTGATAACAAGCACACAACACATTGAAGACGTTTCCTATGCACCATGATATGCAGTGGGGTTTCCCCCTCACTATTACCCGCCTCAATATCAGCACCTGCCGCCAATAAAATCTCCACTGCCTGAAAGAAAAAAGGAAGAATTAACTAGTTGTTGCAAATGACGTATGCAATACTGTGGCTAGTCTGTCTATACGTGCAAGTTGTTTTAAATGATGCATGAACATTTCAAATTAAGTAAGACAAGGAAGATACAGAACCACACTGAAAAACACCGCACAGTGAAGTGGGTATGGTGCTGTTCGTATGCTGGTTAAATATAAAGATGATATTAAAAATAATATTTTCGAAACAGATTCTTGACTAGATCTAATCAATGTACCTGTCTTGTTTTGGCCCAATGTAATGGTGTCCCTCCATATTTCATATCCTTGAGATTTTTACTCTCATTCTGGAATTCCAAGATTTTCTTGACACAATCATTACTGTCATACTTGACAGCAGAATGGATAGTATAGGCGTGGTTACTTGGGGTATTAACGTCAGCACCATGTTCCAGGAGAAGCTGGTAATTGCGAACAAAAGAACGATTAGACAATTTGTACAAATGTTTGTAGGTTCAACATCTTAAATATTGAATTGTAAAGTGTGTAAATGTCAATGATGTTATTCACTAAAGTAAAACTATTTTGCATACCTGAACCCCTTTGGCATTGTTCACCATGCAAGCGACATGTAATGGAGTTTCATTTGAGCTGTTTACTTTATTCACAACTTCGGTTCCTGCATGGTAATATTGCAATATTCATGAGTATACCATATTCTGCCAAGCTGTATAATTTACAAACTTATTTGCAATGTATAGATTACCAAGCTCTGCTGCACGCAGAAGTATCCTATCCAGTAATTCTGGCTGTCCAACAGCGTAATGGACTGCAGTGTTTCCTTTCTCGTCTCCTTTTGTGAGTGACTTCTCCCCAGCTTTTGACACAAAATTCTCAATCTTTCCTTTGAAACCAAACTAAATCAGATCATAAATTAGAAAGGCAAATAATTCAGAATGAAAACAATCAAAGTTTGAACAATGCAAAGCTATATAAATCATGCAAATTCAGACTTGAAATGAAATGAAATAATACCTTTGTTGCCTGCAGAAGAGAGGTCTCAGTATTTCCAGCATCAGCGGCATCAACAGCTTTTGCACTTGCGGCAATCTTCTCATGTTTTAGACATTCTGTAAGGCCAGTTGTTCTGGCAACCACAGCAAGCTCCATGTCTGGATGTTCCTCGAGGCAGTTCAACAATGATTGCAACACCTGAGTTTTGTAACATCTTGACGAGGATTGGTAGAATGGCGTGAGACGCTCGCACAGTTGCCTGGAATTGTTTCAAAAGAGTTTCACCACTCGAACAGGATATTTTACAAATGATGTGGGAATTCAAATTTCCTGTAAACATTATCAATTAGGCTTGCAGCAATACCTCCACAGAAATAAGTGAGTTTATGCTAATTAAATGTTCAATATCGGACTACTTCAAGACTTGCTGTGGCAAATGACTATATATAGGTGGTTAGAAAATTGCAGGATATTCTGAAAATGCCCCGCCTCTAGGCAATTTTGAAACACAATGCATCTCATGTTTCAATTTAGAAGACTAATTAGTTGCATTTTCAATTCCTAGAAAGTTTATTAAATATTATTAATATACAGTACAAATACAAGTACAATGAATCCATCCCATCCACTTAATAATTTACCAGCAAAATCATAAACAAAGCGTTCACAATCAAAATTTACGCATCTTAAACTTATTCTAATCATACCTAAACATATCCTTTGCCTTTCTTTCATCTTCGATCCGAAACACACTCAAGCACACAGTCCTCTCCTCCGGATTATATAAAACTGCTTCGTACAAATCCAACTGTGGGACTCGATAAAGCCGGAATGTTTCCTGGCCATTGTCATTCTTCTCTAAAACAGTGGCTCCGTTGTAAAAAATCGATGTTTTTTCCTCAACTTTCAGAGCAGAAGAGCTGACCCCCATACCGATAGCGGAACTGAGATTTAATTTCTTAATTTTCTTAAACATTGGTATGCTTTGTTTTCGACGGAAATGCGAAATATTCTGTTTCTGTTTGCATGAGAGGCCCAAATATCGAATACTAATGAATAATTGAAATGAAATTCGATGCCAAAACATTAGTTTGTTTACAATAATCAAATATGGCTTCCCACAGGACCAAATCCATACTTCATGTAGGTCAGCCTTAGAATGAAGAATGAGGCACCTCTATCGAGGCAACAAGATTCTTTTACTTAGGATAATTGTTTTATTTCTTCGTAAAAACTCGAAGAAAAGAAAGCTTCCTGAATTTCATGTCGTGCACGACCAGTAGTGGTCAACGGCAGAAAAATATTCGCCTTTCATTTAAATAAGCTATCCACCTATTTCCAGGAAGATTGACTCTCTTCCAGAGCATGTCATTACCACAAATGTCTTCTTTTAGAAAACAGATTACTTTATATTACAACTTTCCAGAGAACGACGTCAGAAAATCCAACAGAAAAGAGTTTTTCTCCGGAAGGAGAGAATTGTACAGTAGAGATGGCATTACAATGTCCATCAAAATCTTGAAAGCTTCCCTCATGATAATCAAGAACTTTTACTAAACGTTCTGAAAAAACAATGGTGTTAGTAATTTGAGTTTGAATCAATCGATTTCTGCAGAATGGAGGAACGTACCTTTAGTTCCAATGGCTATCAAATGACCTTTAGGTGAGATTTCAAGACACGAAGCCCACTGTGTTAACGATATAGTTCGGAATACCTAGAAAAATGAGACAGGCTTACATAAACTTATATTTATCTTCAAATCCTATATTGTATTATTACTGTAACTAACTTTATTTATACTGGATAGCTCTATCAGTTCTAAACTGTTCTTCCTAGAGGTCCAGTAAGGATCATCTCTTATTGATCCAGTGTTACTACAGAAAGAAACCTAAACTAAACTAACTTTATTTATACTGGATAGCTCCATCAATTGTAAGCTGTTCTTCCTAGAGGTCACTACAGCATTTATTATAAACTCACCTTCCTCTGTGATAAACTGTAGAACTGTATTTGTTTTCTCAGTCCATAGCCTGTATACACTATCACATCAGGTTCACTGGGAGAAAACCTCGCTAAGCTTGGTGGAAGATGAGAATACGAAGACTAGACAATAAAAGGATCATATTACGGGAGTTTAATCAATAATATGTCTCATGATTACGGTGAACTTGTAGTTGAAGCGAGAGTTGATAAATGGGGAGAGAATATTGTGAATAGTCCTCACGAGATAGTCAGCGTTGGACTCACCACGGCATCTTTCTTCAAAGCTGTGCCATCTGGTGCAAAGTTTGGCGCGGGAAAGGTTAACCAATCAACGAGCTCGCAGAAATCTTTCGACCAATCAGTGCTCCATACGCTCACTCTACGATCAGCGCTTGCAATGAGCCACAGTCTTGGTGAGCTGAACGACGGATGATGATCCTGGCAGGACAAAAGGTCTATTTGTTAAAACTGGATAGATGTATACCTAATGATTTACATCAATGCCTCGTACGTGTTGTTCATGATGCGAACCTGTTCAGGTGCAATATCCATGTCTGTAATCGGTGCTCCTTTATGATCTTGAATCAAGCGGACCGTGAGACCAGTTGCAGGACTACTGATCGCCACAACACCATCTGAGCCACCACTCATGAAAACACGACCTGAAAAACAACAAACATGTTAGATCAACACAATCGTAATCATCAATACACCTCCATCATCATCACTACACCACCTCACTACACCTCGCCCTCATCATCCCTAGACCACCCTCATCATCCTCATCATCCCTTTACCACCCTCATCATCCCTACACCACCACATTAATCACTCACCATAAGCAGAGAATGTAACAGCAGTCACTGCCCCTCCATGAGGATGAATCTTCATAATCATCTCAACTCTCCCCAGATCAAACAACCTGAGCGTACCATCATCGTAACCAGCCACACAGTGAGACGGCCTCAATGGTTTCTCAACTGGTTTCTCATGAGGATGAACTGTGGCTAAGACCTGACCATCACTAGTTAGACTCTTTGTTGGTTCTGGCTGTGGCGTTGGACAAAAAGCCACGCAATTACATTTCTAGAATGAAGAAACAAAAGAAAAAGAAATTCTCAACAAAAGAAGTCATAAAAAATATTTTTACTTATATCGATACGTTCGTTAGTTTTATACCAGCTCAGCCCCGCCTAAACTCTGTCTCGATGATGAAGATGTACTCCATGATTGATACTCTATCACGCTGCATAGCTTGCTTTGATCGTACCTGATCCATGACTTGAAACTGCAGAGTTTGCTCGAGTTCATCAGCCGTCCAAACTCTCAAACTACCATCGTCTGAACAAGTAGCAAAGTATTTATCGTCCGGACCACTCACCACCAGAGAATTGATCTAAAATATTTCAAGAATAACAGGAAATTCAAAAGAGATACCACCAAACAGTGAATTGTCTAACAAAACTTGGGCTTGTTGGAAGTTTTTCAGGTAGACGAAGGCAGGAAATATGATTTATAAACCTGGACGTTTCTATCAACGCACTCATTGCGCATACCTTCTTCCTATGGCTGCTGACCAGACGAATACTCGTTCTCTCCATCCAGTTTATATACCACAGTGTTCCTCCAGCAGTCCCAACAATACCCTGTGATGGTTCAAGGTAGATTCACATTAGCAAACAAAATTGGGTTACAAACTTTACAACATGCAGAGGAAGAACCATAATTTTTTTTACCATTTCTAACGAGGCATCGAACGATGCTGAAACTACACCAGCATCCAGAGACATCTCATCTTCAATCACCAAACCATTCTGACTCAATCTGAATGAGAAATACTATATTATTATATTTACATCCCAACTAGATTCCGTGGGTTAGAAACTGATGGAACAATCCAGTTCAACTGATCTATTCATTAACCACTTACACATTGTTTTCACCCGGTAATCTCATCTCACCGACACCGACTACCGACCACAAACGAAGATGTCCCGAAGAGCTACCGGTAATTAACGAGCCACGATGACAAACTATTATGTCTGCACGAAAAAGGTAAAAATTAGGTAGAACGTATCTATCTAGCCGATATGATATTTTGAAGGAACACAAATATCTTATTCACCTATTTCTGCGTCATCAGCTTCCCAATGAATAAAACATTTGTTTTGTCTGGTGTCCCATGCTGATAAAATTCCTGAAAAAATATCAAAGATAATTCAAGACCAAACATGTTAGCCTTTTCCCAAAAATATCAGTGGATCTTCTGTAGAACTGATTTGTTTCTTACCAGCGCTATTACCAACATAAAGAATGCTATCACCAGCATAACGGACACTTGTGAAATGAACCATAGAATCGACCTGGAAAAAATTATGGAAATTATAGAAAGAAAGCCATCTTTTCTTAAAATTTCAACGCAAATTCACCGATTCGTGATAGAAACACCATTACACCAACCTCCTTACAAGCATAGAGTAAATCTTCTGGAACTTTCGCTTCACAAACCTAAGACAAAAAAGTTGAGGATACATTATTCTGCTATATATACTGACAAATTCGGCGGAATGATGCTAAAGCAATATGATACCTCCACGATTTATTGGAATGAAATATTTTAATGCATGTCACTTACGTTCAAATTAAACGAACCACGGGTCTCGTCTAGCAACCAAAACAAGACGTTACCATCTTGTCCGACAGACACAAACTCATTCATGGTATAAGGGTCCCATGAAAGGTCGTGGATAGGAGTGTTGGTGTAGGATGATGTGAGTACATTATAGTCCTTGGTACCCCATATTACCACTGAACATTCCCTGTAATCCCCAACTGAGATAAGGAATCGGTCATCGCGAGAGTAAGCTAGACATACAACTTCGTAGGCATGGTACGTCAGGACCTATGAATCGACGTTATTGGAAATTATGGAAATATTTAGAAGTTAGTTTAGTTTAGGTATCCTCCTGTAGTAACACTGGTTCAATAAGAGATGATCCTTACTGGACCTCTAGGAAGAACAGTTTAGAACTGATACAGCTATCCAGTATAAATAAAGTTAGTTTAGTTTAGGTTTCCTCCTGTAGTAACACTGGATCAATAAGAGATGATCCTTACTGGACCTCTAGGAAGAACAGTTTAGAACTGATAAAGCTATCCAGTATAAATAAAGTTAGTTTAGTTTAGTTTTACTCCTGTAGTAACACTGGATCAATAAGAGATGATCCTTACTGGACCTCTAGGAAGAACAGTTTAGAACTGATACAGCTATCCAGTATAAATAAAGTTAGTTTAGTTTAGGTTTCCTCCTGTAGTAACACTGGATCAATAAGAGATGATCCTTACTGGACCTCTAGGAAGAACAGTTTAGAACTGATAAAGCTATCCAGTATAAATAAAGTTAGTTTAGTTTAGTTTTACTCCTGTAGTAACACTGGATCAATAAGAGATGATCCTTACTGGACCTCTAGGAAGAACAGTTTGAAACTGATAGAGCCAAACACTATTCGTTTTGTTTTAGATTAGTTGTACCTTTTTACAAGTGCCTGAATGTATATCCCAAATACAGATACGAGAGGCAACCATGTCAGACGATCCTGAAGCAGAGGCCAGAACTTGAACGTCATGTTGTAATGCGAGCGTTGAGATTTCCTCAACATGGCGGAGCAAGTGTCTTTGCTGACCATCGTGAAGATCCTCAACTATGACGATACATCCACTGGTGTACACAAATAACCCTGGGAGAGAAAATATATGAGATGAATAAGTAAAAATCTTGTATACAGGATAGCTCTATCCTATCAGTTTTTCTTCCGTTCTATTGTACGCTGCATATGAAGAGTACAATGATCTAAAAAAGAATGAGTGATCCTTGCAAACCTGTTTCGGGATGCCAGCAGAGATTACCACGCCCGTCTCCATTGTAATCCAAGATAGCCTCCAGGGAGAGGCCAGCCTGACTTGGTGGAGCAGTATACTTCCTCTCAGGCAGAGCGGATGAACTTTTGCGTCTTTTATAGTGTTTTGAAACAGCAGGACTTGGATGAGTCATGGTTGACTGTTTTGAATGACCTGTTGGTCTTACCACGTCTTCTTCCTAGACAAACAAACTCAAATGATTTCGTGTTTCTCTGATCGAGTGACAACTTTTCTGAAGTCGGCTTCAGAAGACATATCTCATGTCATAAACATACAAACCCTTTGTTTTTTCTCCGGAGTATTTTGTGGTACGGTCGTTGCATTGGTGACCAAAGGATTAAAACTATCCACTAGGTTGACCTGTTTCACTGGAGAGGTTACCAGAGCCTTGCTCGGTTTGCTAGGCGATGGACTAGGACGAGGCTGTGGAGGTAACTCGGTCGCAATCACCGGTGGCCTGGGACTATATTCCGAATCGTCGATAACTGCTTGATGTGACGTCATATCACCAGAAACTCGAACACTTTTGTCTGAAAATATATCAGAAGTGGAAATTTTATCATATGATGGCAAGAAGAAGAACAGATTCTCTGTTTCACCTGGTTCATCCCTGAGATATTTCTTCGGCTCTTCTCTTCCGCTAAATTAAATAAATAGAACACAATTTTAACTCAATCAACTATCTCAATTATATTTTATACCAGCAAAAACAATGTACTGGTGAAAATCATTGATATTTCACCGACATTTCACACGATAATCCATAGCGTGACCTATGCAAAAAAGGATAAAATAAACACAATTTCATCTACCAAGACTACAATCCTACCCAGGTTCCTTTGTAACACGGCCATCTCCAAGGAAATCCCATATGAAGATAGCCTCTCCGATGCTGACTAGACCGAGAAGGTCTGGAGTGAAACAAACCTTCACAATCGCTTCTGAATGGCCAATGAAAACCTATAATTACAGCTGATGAAATCTTAACTTGTTGGATCAACACATATCATATCTAGATGATGAAAAAACCTGCAGGGATTACCCCTAAACCATTGCCTGCTCTCGTAGTATTATTCAGTGATCTAGATAATTCATCCTCACCTGAAAATTCAAGTCCATTCTCATGTGGTAATCCCAGATCTTGACCACCTTATCGCCAGCTGTTGCAAGGAAATGTCCGGTCGAGAATGGATCGAGACTTGTGCATTTAGAGCGATGAATATTTGTGACCTACATGCAAAGATTTGGATTAATATCGACTCTCCGGCGATATAAATTGTTTAGTCGACAAAACTCTAGGTCTTTCTACCAGATTGGCTCACCTCACTTAGCAACTGTCCTGTGTATGCATCAAGTTTCAACAGTCTACAACTTGCAGTGACTACCAAAAGTTGTCTTAACGAAGCCGGGGCATAACACAATCTGACTGCTGTGTCCACGTTTGTCTTGCCATTGTCTGTGTCCATTGTCGTGATATCAATACGAAGAACCTTTAATCGGAGAGAAGAACTTATAAAGGATCATCTCTTATTGATCCAGTGTTACTACAGGAGGAAACCTAAACTAAACTAACTTTATTTATACTGGATAACTCTATCAGTTCTAAACTGTTCTTCCTAGAGGTCCAGTAAGGATCATCTCTTATTGATCCAGTGTTACTACAGGAGGAAACCTAAACTAAACTAACTTTATTTATACTGGATAACTCTATCAGTTCTAAACTGTTCTTCCTAGAGGTCCAGTAAGGATCATCTCTTATTGATCCAGTGTTACTACAGGAGGAAACCTAAACTAAACTAACTTTATTTATACTGGATAACCTTTTCAGTTCTAAACTGTTCTTCCTAGAGATCCTCAGAGAGAGAGAAAGAGGATCCTTCGCTCACCTCGTTCAAAGTCCTGCTATCCATGACAGTAATCAGGTACTCTGACGGACCAATCACTGCCAGGCGTTGACTATCCTGACTGACTGCTAGAACATCGGGGGAAAAATGTTCCCCTCGTACCACCGTGTTCACTAACATCCGTTGTACACTAAAGTCCTCTGTTGACCCCTCATACAGCGCTAGGACCCCATGCGATCCACCAGTGTACATATGTTCACCGTTTGGTGAGAAAGCTAGACCAGTTATAGACCCTTTATGTTCCTTGTGTTCTGACAACATACTAGCTGTGGCTGCGGGTGTGAGAGAAAGAGGCGTTAAGATGGGGTAGCTAGGATGGGTGATGGGTATGGGGAGGGACAAGGGATGAAATGAGGGATGGGACGGGTAAGAGTTGGGGTGAGGTAAGGAAAGAAGAAGGAAAAGTGAGGGGGAAGGCAGGAAAGAGAGGTGCGAGGGTAATACAAAAGGACATCGGTGGAAGGTGGTGGGGTAAAGGCAAGGGAGAGGGTGCCTCTTCCCTTCTCTAGTCTCATCCAAATAGAGTAAAAATTAGGATTAAGGGACGTCAGTAGGTTCGAATATGGACTGTTACCGATATTGAACACGCGAACTGCGCCATTACGGAAGCCACAAGCAAATATTTGTTTATGAGGATGATAGGCGACTGTGCATGGTTTCTCGTTGGCTGCTCTGAAGTCAAACAGCTGGCAGAGGTTGTCCAAGTCCCAGACACGGATGGTTTCGTCATCAGATATGGTTACCAGGCAACGTCGTGTCGGGTCAAATGAACAGTCCAAAATTTGTTCCGTGTGTGATCTCATCAAAGTCTTGTAAGAACGGCTGGAGATGTCCAATATTCCAATATTACCCTGGAAAATATGGGTTTTATGAGTCGTTATATCCTGGTTGTCACCTGAAATCTAAGGTAGTATTGATGCTTTAATTTTGTGATTTATACCGTTAGCGTTGAAGCAAGAACAGAGAGCCCATCTGAGTTGATATCCAAAGCTGATACAGGACCATCATGTTCTAGAATTTGACGAGAAATGCAATATAACTACAGAATTGGAAAAATGAAGGGTCTTTACATTGATCCAGATTTACTACAACAAGGAATCCAAGGTGAAAATCAAACGCAGCATTATAACAATTTACATCTCGTTCAATAATTACCTGCCTCCAGGATCACACCTGAGAAATCCAGGGGCCACAATCTCAGGAAACCATCGGCAGATCCAGTGACACAGAAAGCCTCGTTCACTGATATACAATTAATACCAATCCCAGATTCACTGGTCGTCAATTTGACGAGATCTTGTCGATTTCCCGTCGGCAGAAGCCGATGAATCTTGTGGATAACAATTAGCTCACAGTTGATCTCAAATACGGTGCCTTGTTTGCAGGAAACAAAACTGAATAACAGAGTTTAGAACAGAAAGCATGAAGTTTTCCATTTCTAAGACACAAACCACGACAGCTTATTGTAGAATACTTCCTACACTGGACCACCAGGTTTGAGATATCTTTCTCAGGTAGTTCAGACACAAACCACGACAGCTTATTGTAGAATACTACCTACACTGAACCACCACGTTTGAGATATCTTTCTCAGGCAGTTCAGACACAAACCACGGTGACACAATCCACACATCACTTACATCATTTTGTGTTTTTTACTATTGTGATCGACAGTTTCATGACCAAAACAAACGTCGGTAAACTCCAGAGAGTGATCACTGCCAAGATCAACAGGGCACGACCGCAATGATCCGTGCCTCACTCTCCAAAACCTGATATTATCCTCACCACACGACACCATCCTATACAAAGCAGAAATAGGATAAGAATCACCCCAAATTCTTTCTGGAAATTGAATCGTGACAAAAGACAAGCACTTCTCAACATATTCTGGTTTCCTTCCTTGTGGTCTTGCACCAACACAGGAATTGTTAAAATCTAACCTTGTATCATCAGATGGAGAGATCTTGATTCGAGCAATATCGATGTCTGTGTGTGCTTTGGTAATGACGGATACCTCACCAGATTTGCCGCAGCGTGAAGTGTCCCAAACCACGACCATCTACGGTGTCAAACAAATATTAAATCACTGCAGTTAAAGTACTGACTTTGAGCAAGTTTTCTGGCTTGTTTCTGCAAGATACTTACATGTTTTCCATGGTTGTCCTTACCACAACCACACAGAACGCCGCCGCTGTTGGAGAAACTGCAAGAGAGAAACCAAATGTAATTCGAGCAAAAGAATGGAGTCATAACCAGAGATGAAGACAAGGTAATGTTGTTTCCACCTGAGACAATGAAGACTTCGAACTTGAGAGTTGAATATCGCGATGCAATCTCCTGAATGATATCTCCAAATGCGAATGACTGTGGACTGTCCTAGTTGACCCGATGCGAGAATTGAAGTGTTGCCATTGAAGGTGATAGCTGAGACCTGTGTTGGAGAATAATCCTGCAGTTAGAATGAAGCAAATGACGTGCCTTTTAAAGCCTTGTAAAGTAAACCCGCTTTGGTACGAAGCGAGACCTTATCAGTATGACCAATAAAGAAGCGTTGATGGCCAGTGGATATTTCCATGGATACGATGATTGCGTGGCTTGGATAGACCACGCATGCGCCATTCCTTGTCCACAGCACCTCCTTGTACGTTGCGCCACCGTAACCAACGATACGTTTTAGTTTTAAGATTGGATCCGGTTTTAGACTCTATAAGACAAAGGAAGACATCTTTCTGTAGTTTGTAGAAGTACATAATGCCTGGGTTATATTTAGTCGTGATTGTTGTGAACATGTGAAGCTGGCTGATGAGGTAGAAACAAATACACTGTATTGCAATTCAGTGCAGAACTTGCCTTGAATCCGGAACGAGTTGTTTGAGGTCTGGCTTGTTTTTCCGGCTCTTCCGTGTTGGAAAACATTATTTTCTAAAATTAAATACAGAAATGCAAAACTACGATCCTTTTTGAAGAGAAAACGAAGGAAACTGACTTTCTTATGTTTGCTCTCTCGTTGTTTTCTGTCGTTCTCAACGGAAGAGTCTTTGCCAGGTGAAGAAACTTTCTTCGATGATTTGTAAGCGTAAACTTGAGTGTCAAGATGATCTTTCGTTTGAACTCCAACTGGGACTTCTAAACCTGCCACAGGAACATGAGTTGCAACCACTTGTCTCCTCTGAATCACAACAAAAGTTCATGGTTGTAATTAGACACATATCATATCTATTTTCAAACCATATTCGGAAAATCATTGGTGTTATTGGTGTATTAATTACCTTTCTCACACTTTTCTTTGGGCTAAGTTTGTCAACCAGAGCAACTCTTGAGGAGATTGCTTGATGTTGCTAAATAAAATACGTTTTGAATAAAAAATTGAGAATTTTCAGAATCAGATTACAAAGGTACGTGTACATGCAGTATCTGTGACAAAATCTCCATGCATACAAAAAAGCAATTAGATATCAATTAAAAAAACCAGGGGCTGATTAAATATATGAAGTGAGTTACTTTGCAGTTATTCTCCTGATGATCTCTTGGTTGATGGTCGCTTTGATCAGATGCTGGGACTAAAACATTCATATCTTCATTACCCATAGAAAAACATTGATGTCCTTCATTACCCATTGAAATAAGTCCATACCTAAAGTCTTGTCCTCCATACCATTTCCATGAATTATACCTATGCTCTTTACAGACGGCTTACTCTTTCCAGGAAATTTGATGACATCATACAGATCACTCCAGTTTGCCCCCTTGGGCACATGAAACGCCATGTCTCTGGGGACTGGGACATAACCAGTTGAAATGAGTCCAAGCCTTCGAGCCTCGCTGATGGAGAGTCCTGGTTCATAGTCTGTGTCACTGGTGAAGAGACCTTTGACGAACATATTTGCACACAGACGTATGTTCTTCAGGTAAGAGTACTTCTTATTCAGGTAAAATGAGACAATGTATTTTAGATCAAGCATAAGGAATGTGTAGCGTGTGGAAACAGAGACATGACCAAGGTTGTCTGCAAGAATGAGAGAGCGACAATGTTGCTTTCACTTTACAACACAAATCTTCCACAAATCTTACCTTGACTTGTGGAAGTCGCCAAGATTGCCTCATCAAGGGATCCAGGTGGGGGCCTCGGCACAAACGGAAATTGCAACCAGGTCGATGTGGATTTGAACTCTTTGAAAAGATTTGAGAACGAGATTCTTATCGCCAAACCATCCTCAGTAGCGACATCAATATGCGTCACAAAATATTTCCCTGATATCGGTTTAAACAGGACGTAAAGATGTCTTCCAGTTAGGCTTAGCGACTGTGTTGATGTACGTGGAAACTGAATGTAGTTCCCAGCAGGAATTGAACCAGTGATACGATAAACTGTGCATTTTAACTGCTTGTCCTGTGAAGAAAATGGTTCAATCTTTAGATTGAAAAGAATAACTTGGATGGAAATTGATGGTAAATTCGATGGAAAGGAAATACATTCTAGATCTGAAATCCTACCATAATGGCAGTAACATCCCCTTCTTTTGCACATTTCTTCCACTCTGAGATGTTATAATGTTTAAAAAGATTTACGTAGGGATGCTGCCATACTATAGTAATGAAATATAACTGTAGTAAGTTGGAGCGTTGTGTACTAGTGTTATAACTCGTACAATGAAGCCTGATGTTGTTATATTAGCACTGAAACAACTACTTACATTTGGACATCCTGCACTCCGGCTTCCTTACTCACCAACACGACAAAAACGTTTAAATCATGAAAATGAGAAACATCGTCCATTCCTTGCTTGCCGCCATATTTTAAAACGAAAATTTTGACCGGGACGACCTTACTGCACATGCGCAGATGACGGTTTCCAAACACAGCTAACCCAAGCAACAATATTTTACAATCAAAACAAAGATGGCTTCGCGTCCTCGGCAACCAGTCGCGAAGGGAGGTTTATGGGCTCCTACAAGACAGCCTGTTAGCAAAGAAACCCAGGATTTACTAAAAGGTATATCATAGGTTACCTTCTCGTTTAGTTCATGGCTTTTTGGCCGTGGTTTGATCATATTTCTTCGCAATTTTCACGCGTAGTTATGATGAAGGAATCGAAGTTGACGAACTTCCAACAAAGACAACTCAGTGGTCGATTGAAAGGTTAGAATATTTGATTAGCCTGTTTGAATTTCCCTCTCGATGTCGGAGCAAAAGTAATGAAAAAAACTTACTATATTATAGTCGTTTGTTATGTCAGTGTTTCCATCTCACCGCGTTTGAACTTCCTGAATTTTTTCTAATTATACTAGATGGAGAGTCGTTCCCAACAGATGTGAATCCAACAAGTAGTACGAGGAAAGGGAATAAATCACCGCCCAAATCAACTGGGAAAGAAGTCAGGCAGTTATCAGGCACTGGGAAACGCACCCAGGCTGAGATACAGCAAAGATTGGCAAATGAAGAAGAACAGCCTTATAGACCACCCCCTGGAAGTATGTGAATGTTGGTGACTTGCTTTACGCTATATTTCTATATCTAGTTGGCTTCTGGTTATCTTAGTTTAGTTTAGGTTTCCTCCTGTAGTAACACTGGATCAATAAGAGATGATCCCTACTGGACCTCTAGGAAGAACAGTTTAGAACTGATAGAGCTATCCAGTATAAATAAAGTTAGTTTAGTTTAGGTTTCCTCCTGTAGTAACACTGGATCAATAAGAGATGATCCTTACTGGACCTCTAGGAAGAGCAGTTTAGAACTGATAAAGTTAGATTAAATACTGAAATAAAGTACATCCTATGCTGTATAGAATGTATAACAGAGAAGGATAAAAGAATTCTTCAGAACACGATGGCTTACGGTGAAGAAGGAGCGGCCATGATTGAGGAGACTCCCAGACCAAGAAAACCTCAGAGGGAAGCGAAACCAGAACCCGAAGTCGATCGTTTTGATGAAGGTACGTTGCAAACTCCCAGGTTTTGAACAGCCACAACAGACAAACACTCGGTCAACATCGTTATTTTTCATTACAGTCGTTCAGCTGATCGAAGAAAGAAAGGAATTTCTGGATGACATGGAAAGGCTTGGTCAAGGAAAGAAATATCGAAGTATTATCGCCGCTGAAATCTCACAGGTATCCATAAATTGCTGTGCCTGTGGAGTTTACAGATACTGCAAATGATACCACTCAATACGAGTGATTTGATTGACAATTGCGGGATTTCATTGATTGAAACGATAGTTAAACGTCGGTTTTTTGTGTTCTAGGGAATACGAGAACTGGAAATGATCGATAAGAAACGAACAAAAGAACTAAATCTCGCTCTGGAGAAGGAAACAGATACATCAGAGAATAGCTGATGCAATCATTTTATCTGCATGGTTGGCGCTGCACTGACGGTGAATGGACTATGAAAAGTTTGGCCCAGGAGGATTCATTCTTGGGGACGCTTTGAAAGTTTAATACCTGAAGACTTTATACTCGTAATTTATTTTGAAATATATTATTTGTTCGAATTATATTAGTAGCTATATCTATGTTTTAAAAGGATCCACTTTTGTACACTATCGGTTAATATAATATTATTCTCCGCTCTGATATTCCTGTTTAACTTATCTTTACAATTGTATTAAAAGTAATTGAAGTATCCACGATCAAAACAGAGCCCAAGTGCAATAAACAAACACAGTAATCCTAAGAAACCAAAGACGGAGTAACCAAACACACTTCCTGCAAAATATTCCATCATTCCTTTGTGAGGCTAAAAGGAAAAAAATGAAACATAACTCTCGTATGCATTTACAACACAACACGAACTCTCTAAGTCAGCTCCAAACTCTTACAAGCGAGTCATACCTCAGAGACTTGGGTATAGTTCATTATCACATTGTGGATAACGTCTCGATTATCTTCGGAATAACGTCGCAGACAATCGATCACTTCCGGCGCCCAGTCTTTTCCCAACAATACCCCATACACGCGGTCTCTGGGAATTATTCGTGTTATATCAAGATTTTTTTGACCTATCAGCTTCGAGTAATACGAAGCAACGTAAAAATCGATGAAACCAAGTCGAACTCTGTTCTCGTTGTTTGAGACTGCATCAATGACTGCACGTTCGTTTTTTTCAACTAAAAAGAAAATAGCTTCCGTTTTAATCTGCGTCACAATCGTTTGTCTTTACAGCAAGGACCTCTCGAATAAAAAAAGAACTGATAGAGCTACCCAGGAGAATCGAAATTAGTCGATTCGAGGTTCCTGTGGGAACACAATTGATGATCCAACTCTACTTTAAACTCTAGTAGAAACAGTTTAAAACTGAACTTACCTTGGAGTTGTGTGTTGTGTAAAATCGCGAACTTTTCTTCTTCTGTTTGGTTTGCAGCGGATACCTGAAGTATAAAGTTCAAGTCCAGACATCATTTACTTAAGTCTCTCTTGTAGTAACCCTGGATCACTGTGGGTGGACCACCACAACAGGTACAGAAGAATAAGTCAAAACTAAAAATCATCCGGTGAAGAGATGATTGTGGTGAAGCTAGCTCAGTCTTGATTTCCAATTTACCATGACTTCCTTACCTTAATACCATAAAAATGTTGTGTTCCCTCAAGTCGTGTAGTCGTCAGGGATGTGGTAACCACGCCCATGTACATCGCAAGAATGACCAAGCCAGCGCTGATCCAGAGAATCGTGAACAGACGACCCAGGACAGTCTTAGGAGCTATATCACCATACCTGAAAACACCAATAGTATTTTCAACGCTCTTATAGAATAAAATAAATAAAAGAGCGACACATATGATTCTCACCCTACTGTTGTCATAGTAACAGCAGCCCACCAGAAACCATTGAGAACTCCCTTTGGGCAAAACGGATCAAACATCTGAGGATTTGAACGACATTCCTGAACGAATATGAACAGTTTAAAACTGATAGAGCTATCAAGAATAAATCAAGTTAGTTTAGTTTAGGTTTCCTCCTGTAGTAACACTGGATCAATAAGAGATGATCCTTACTGGATCTCTAGGAAGAACAGTTTAGAACTGATAGAGCTATCCAGTATAAATAAAGTTAGTTTAGTTTAGGTTTCCTCCTGTAGTAACACTGGATCAATAAGAGATGATCCTTACTGGACCTCTAGGAAAAAACTAATAGAGCTATCCACTATATAAATGACGTTTGTTTAGTTCAGTCTTAACACACAATGACTTGGTTAACTAACCAAAAGCCAAATAACAAAACCACTCAGGCAAGCTGAAAGGACGACGAATATTAAGATTGGCCATGCCAAAAGAATAGCGTTTAGTAGACCTGTGCCAGTCAGGGTCTTCTTAATGAGGACAGCAACACCAGGAGAGTCTATCAACTTTACAAACGACATCCCTAAAAGCGACTCCTTTTCTTTACGTAGTTTCACAGGCATTAACAAGCTCTTTCCAGAAAGCTTTTCTGAAAACTCTACTCTCGATAAGGGAGACAGCTCCTGTAGTGTTCGTCCATGTTTCAAAATGTTAAATTCATCTGCAGATATAATGGGTTTGCAACTGTCGACGACTTGTTGCCAAATTTCAGGTAAAATTCCGCCTAAATCGCCAACGCTGTTTGCAGTCGATCCTGACGAGAAAATAAGCGGTTCTTTCAGCCACCACACGAAAGCTGGAGTCGCTTCAACATTTGAATCCGCAGCGAGTGAAAAATCTGTTAAAACAATCACAATAAGAAGTGCAGCGGCTTTCATCTGTCAAAGATGGGGAAAGCTTCCAGTTGCACTTAATATTTGATTTTTACTGAAGAATTGTTGTAAATTTTGCTACTGGGTCGACGAAAATGTCAGGAAATAAACAAATTCAAGCTTTTTTCCTTCTGCAATGCCTCGCCAAGTTGCAGTAAAAACATAAAATGCGTATACGGACTAATATATTCATATATTCATTATTCGTCGTATATCTCATCAAAGGCAACCTGTATAAATATTAATTTTAATTAAAAAAATTCGCGTTTTGGGTGTTTTGCCCAGTCGACAGAGATTAAGAAAGACGTCAACAGTCCGAATTGTTTCAAGAAGCTAGAAATTCTAGCAGACCCGACAGTGAATGATAACAATGACGTGCAAAGGAAACCGCTACAAATTTGCGGTTGTAAATTTGGCAAAATGCTTGGTTTTTTTAACGTATTTTCTTTCCATTTACAGGTGATAGCATAAATTGAAAACCTGTAGGCGTTGTGAGGCACTTAGCTGATATGAAAAACGAGATAAGTAGAGGAAAATTAAGAAACAAATATACCTTGTACGCGGGCATTTTAATGGATTATGCTCCCATGCATCGCCACTTCAAAAGCTCAACGAAATCGTCTTGAACGAAACGTAAAGTAGTATATATTCGTTACGAGGGTATTCTAAGATGATACAAAATTAAAAAACTCTTTATAAACCGTTTCCATGCCTTAAAATCCATCAACCTATAGCTTTAAATTGATATCACGTTCGTATGATGTGTATATAAGAGGAATATTTGATGAATAAATTTAAGATAAGGTTAAAAGATAAGTCATGCATCGAGGGGCGTAGATCTTTTTCAAATTTTCAAATATAAACAAGACACGCTTTGGGAGGGATTTGCCGAACCGCTTCAATGAAAAATTCTAGTATAGAACTGATGGATGCATTCACAGTACATACATAGATAACTTAGTTTAGGTTTCCTCATGAAGTATAACACAATCAGGGATGATCCAAACTGGCCAAGCTTAAGTGATAGAGCCATCCTATATGTAAATAAAGTTTTACGTTTAGTCTAAGCGTCTTCCTGTAGTGGGGGGATGAGGGATGATCCTTACTGGACCTCTGGGAAAGTAATTGAAAGCTGACGGAGCTATCCAGTATATAGGTATAGCGTGTACATCAATCTTACTTAGCGATGTTTCATGAACAATACTTGTATTTTATTTTCAAATTAAAAAATTACATGGCAGCGCTGTGCAAGAGACAATAGGACATTCGTGGCATATCGCTTTCCAAATTCATTTCACAGCGAAACCCAGCAAGTGACAACTGACAACATGCTGTTTCTAGTTCACCACACACATATACAAATCTATAGAGCTCGCTTCATCCCATTAAGGGAAAAATGATTTTCGTTTTTAAATTGCATACAAACATATTTCAGCGAAGATAACAGAGATAATAGTGAATAATTTAAGCGATGATATACGCAGTCGTAATTGCAACTAGTATTTTTTAGGGAAACGTGCAGATAATTTGAGAACTGAAAAACTAAAAGACACGTTGTTAATGAGTACCTGTGTTTTTTAGCAAAAGTGTTTTATGTTAATTAAGTCTGTAGAATATAATCAAACACGCTGAAAAACGAGCTATTTTCAACATATGCATATTCATGAATAGACATATGACTGTTTTTTGAATAGATAAAACGTATAAAGCAAGTAATAATGCCCTTTTAAGACAATCATTGACAATCCTGACGACACAGACAAGTCAGAGAGAAACCACTGGGCATATGAAATTATATATATAAAGAAGATTTATGCGGCGTTAATTCTCAAAGTCCACATGCGTTGGCAGTAGTAAGCTTGTGTACATATAGAACATAGCCTATTTTGAATAAGAAAGATATTTTCAGGACGTGATAAATGACCGCAGGAGTAGTGTCGGTTACTGGAACCAGAATTCATCAGGACTGTTGACGTTACACTAATATTGCAAAGCTATCGAAAGAGCTGGTAGATTCCGAAATCGTTTGCCGATATACATATAAAAGAGAGACCATATATTTATATATATAGTAGTGCATCAAGAATTGAACATTGTGAATTCTCACCACGGATAGAGATACAACAATATAAAGGTGTTTTTGAGCAAAGACTGGCAACTGAGGTGGCATATAGCCAAATCAGGGTGTTCATATTTTCCGCAAGGTCATAAGTGCTGTTTTTCTGCATGGGAGAAAATTTTTTTAACGAATTTACGAGGCGCATATACTCTTGTAACTTAAGTTCAAGATAACAACCACAAGAGAAGGAGATCGCCAGTCATAATGCATTAAAACCGTCGCTATACTTTCGACTCGCAAATTATTATTATCAAACCAGTGAAATAGAAAGTTGGTTACCTTTGGAACGAAGCGTCAATAGAAGAATCCTTGAAAGATAGGCCTAACAAGAATCTACCAGACTTGTGTGTTGCTGTATTTCTCAGGATAATACTGAAATAAAAAAAGGTAAAGTTAAAGTAACCGTAGATCCCAAGCATAAGGCAATATGAAAGCTTCGTCGTACACACGACATTTTGCAAGACGATAGAAAAACAAATAATTGTTATATATGTCGGAATCATTTGGAAGACGATTAGAAGTCGTAAAAGAGTTTTTTTAAAATATATTATGCAACGAATTTTGCATATCGTACAGTGCGATAATCGTACAAACTTTAATGAAAGTAAGCCGTATATTGCAACCTCTAAAATACTAATTTAATATGTGTTAAACTTAAACCTGTAATTATATTGCACAGTGTAAATTCGGTCCCTATATATCAAGAATTTCATGCATATATACTTGGATTCAAAATGTGATTTTCTCCAAATTTGTATATGTCCATTACGCTACAATTTACGCCGGCTGAAATAATCGCTAATTGAATTTGAATCATAGTTTTGCATGTAAATTACGTTTTTGTTAATTTCAAAAGCTAAATACATTCGTGGGTATGGAGTAATAATTTTATATTAATGACCTGATCCTGTCGCGTTGCTTTTAATTACATACGATGCACCGAAACAAGCAAATTGTTTGGATAAAACCGCGACAAAGGAATATGCTTGCAGGAAATTAAGTCTGTTGACTTTAGATTCTGGAGACAAGCTCTCAGAGATATATCCCCGTTTATTCAACCCAGAAAATCAATGTGAAATATACTACTACAGCGAATGACGAAATAAACACCAACTGTTTTGAAAAAAAAGCATCGTAGGTCGAAGCGTCAAGACGCCGGTTTTTTTTATCTATCGTACGCAGTTGTTTTGCCGGCAATAAAATACACAATGTATTTTTATCGTCGTGGTATCTCACCGTTTTCAAATTCATATTCCTCATAATCTCTTTGATAGAAACTTAAAGAGGAGCTTTTGGTCAATATCAATTCTGGTATTTTGACTACACACGCGAACATGCGGTATTTTTGAGTAAATTATTGGTAAATCTTTAATGCTTAAAATGATGTATTATAAGAAATCAATTGGGTGAAAAATATCATACGCGAGTTTCATCATTATTCGATGGCATTTTTTTAACATAAGCCAGCGCTCAACAGAGAGATCGATTCGCTTCCACAATGAAAGTTGAATAACTGACAAGCTTTAAAACTACCTTTTAGATGCAAAATCGCGGTGGAAATAGTTTCAACGACTATCATGCGTAATGTTGGTAAAAGCATCCAATTTCCTCGCAACTTTGGCGCTTCTCTTAACCAGCCTGCCCGCGCGTGGTAAACACCTGGATGAAACCTGCAATGAAGGTGGACAACTCACCATAATGTATTGGCAACACTGTCCGTATATCATGAGCTTACCATCTGGCCAAGTCTCAGGAATATTTCCAAACCTCCTCGGCAGTATTGTGAAGCAATGTTGCCATAGTGATGTGCACATGGTGTACCAGCAAACAAAAGGATCTTCGGACTTCTATGCTGCAATTAAAAGAGTAAGGATGACAAAAGAGAGCGTTGAAGAACAAAGGTAGAAAACACATCTTTCAACACCTCATCGCTTCGCCATTACATTGCAGTAAGATTCCTCCTGTAGTAACACTGTAGAACAGTTTAGAACTGATAGAACTATCCAGTATAAATAAAGTTAGTTTAGTTTAGGTTTCCTCCTGTAGTAACACTGGATCAATAAGAGATGATCCTTACTGGACCTCTAGAAAGAACAGTTCAGAACTGATAGAGCTAGTCAGGATAAATAAATAATCCGCCATTGTCTCCTGCTCTAATACGACGTTAATAACCAGCTTATAATTTCACTCTGCCTAGCTCTCAACCTCAGTTCGACATAGCACTGCCCCTTCATACATCGAAATATGGAAAATCCTTGTTTGAGACATTACCATTCATCGCTGTGGCCGAATCACTGGGAATAGCCGTGTTGAAACACAGCAATGTCTCTAGTGCGAAACTAATGATGTCCTTGGTTCAAGCTTGGCCTGTGTTGCTGTTTATCATACTAGCAGCATGTATCGCTGGTGTAATGATGTGGTTTGTGGTAAGTACAATTAAATCAAGCAAAATCTATTAATAATCACTTTCAGCTAAGATTGGTACGGTTATTAAAAGCTTTAAAAAAAACAAGATATCTGACTAGAAATATCCAAGCACAAAAAAGACTAAAATTCTCTGCGATATTTTTCTGATTCTTTGCTTTCATCCAGTAAGATTTAAAAAAGGTTTTTGTCACTACTTTTAGGAAAGACATTCCAATTCGAAACAGTTCTCAGCCTCGTTTTTTAGCGGAGCATTTGATGGATTTTGGTGGGCGTTTATCAGCATGACATCTGTGGGGTGAGTAATTATATATCATCTTGTTTTAAATCATATTATATTCTTTCGGAAAACTAAACACTCTATAAAAGCTTCTAATTGAAATTTTTCCCACGAAAACATTCTTTTCGCACGATAAAAGTTCTTTTCCCACGAAAAAGGTTCTATTCACATGAGAAACGTTCTAATTGTCTTTTTTTCCCATGCTTGCTACATTTTGACAAAAAGAACGTTTCTGCTACATTTCAGAATGTTCTAATTCGAATCAATGTTGCTTTGTTGTATTCTAAAGAACAAAGTCGCTACCGTACAAGAGGAAATCTGAACTGAGCTAAAAAATAAACTTGTTTCTATAGATACGGAGATAAATATCCCAAATCAGTAATCGGGAAACTGCTGGGAGCATGTTGGATCGTAACTGGAATGCTATTTGTGACAATGTTTCTTGGAATCCTGACCTCAACACTCATGACTTTGCTCATGGAAGGAACGTTTGATATCCAGCACAAAAAGGCAAGTTACAATTGTTTTTCTTGTGGTGCAGACAAGCCAATCTTACCCGATAGATAACGCTCCTTTTTAGTTATGCGGAAAATATTAGTTAAAACAACTTACATGCTTCTCATCCGTTCGTAGATCACCGTTGTTGATCGAAGCGAAGCACATTGGTTGGGAATCGAACATCACGCAACGATCAAGGGTGAGTTGCTTTTTCCTATATAGGATTGATATATAGAGCTATCCAGCAGGAGTTTAGTTTGGATCTGGACCTCTAGGAAGAACATTTTAGAACTGATAGAGCTATCCAGTATAAATAAAGTTAGTTTAGTTTAGTTTTCCTCCTGTAGTAACACTGGTTCAATAAGAGATGATCCTTACTGGACCTCTAGGAAGAACAGTTTAGAACTGATAGAGCTATCCAGTATAAATAAAGTTAGTTTAGTTTAGTTTTAATTTCCTCCTGTAGTAACACTGAATCAATAAGAGATGATCTTTACTGGACCTCTAGGAAGAACAGTTTAGAACTGATAGAGCTATCCAGTATAAATAAAGTTAGTTTAGTTTAGGTTTCCTCCTGTAGTAACACTGGATCAATAAGAGATGATCCTTACTGGACCTCTAGGAAGAACAGTTTAGAACTGACAGAGTATGACTTGTACGTTATTTTCAGTTGTAAAGAAACAAAAAGACCTCTACCTTCCTTTGATCGAGTACAAGGTTGACGCAGCTTTAGTGGACATCAACAGTTTACAAGATGTTATTCAAAATCTACAGAAAGAACATAATATCAGAGTTTCTGGGGTGCTTCTCAAGGAAATATTTTACGGCATTGTACTAAGAGAACAAGCGAAAAATCTGACATCATGTTTCCAAGAATATCTTGAAAAGCATGAACAACAAATAATCAGAAAAATGTCTGAGCATATTGGGACACAAAAGGTACGATTAAATAAGATTTAGTATGATATCACTCTGTGATTTTTGCCTAAGTGCAGTTGATATTTTTCACTCAGGAGAAGCCAGGTCCCGCAGAAGATTATTTTGGCAGTGGAGGAATATTCAGTATATCCGTGTACTGTATGATCGCTGTGCTGGTCACGTTCTGTGTCTGTGGCGCTATCTGGGAGTTGCATAAAATGCGAAATTTAGCTTTAATGAATGAGGAAAGAAACGGTAACTGGATTTAAGAAATTTCCACTTCTGTTTAACTACATCTCTCATTTTATTTAGCGTTACTACAGGAGGAAACTAAATTAACTTTATTTATACTGGATAGCTCTATTAGTTCTAAACTGTTCTTCCTAGAGGTCCAGTAAGGATAATCTCTTATTGATCCAGTGTTACTACAGGAGAAAACCTAAACTAAACTAACTTTATTTATGCTGGATAGCTCTATCAGTTGTAAACTGTTAATTTCTAACATAGTAGACAGTGATACCTAAAGTAACCGACATGTTTTTTCAGTTGACGAGTACAGTGGTCAAGACTCATCGAAGAGTGGTCGGCTTGCACTCGGCACAATTAGTACATCCATCGAGGCCTTCCCGAGCGACTGTCAATGCAATATGAAGGATCCGTTTGAGTCGGTAGATCTTTACTCCAGGCAATCTGACGTTTAGAGGCATCGCTTTAGAACAGCAACTTAAAGTCATGAGGGGGTACGATTGACTTTGGGGAGATAATATGGGATATAGGAGGCGCAAGTTTACCCTTCAAGATTGACGGATTGCACTACCCTTCTCTTCTGGAGGTCTGAGGGGAGAAACTCTGAGAAAAAACGAGTTGGGAAAACAGGCTGGATCCTATGTATGAACCCAATGCTAGAACTCGTTTAAAATCAGCTAAAATCGCATGCTCGTGATCATCAGATGAAAATATCTTTACACTAATAATTATATATTATACTGGTTTACCCCCCCTGACAGCCTGGTAACAATATTATTAGCAATACAACCTGGTAAACTATTTGACACGCTTCCAAAATGTAGAGATGAATATTCAAATAATTTCATTCAATCATTATGTTCTGTTTAGTGACTATTAACAGCTAATACAACAGAAGTAAATACCGCAATAATTTCATGTTCAGTAAATCCTAATTAAACGAATTAATTCCTTGGGCTTAGGTTAGGATTAGGATTAAGTTGAACCCGAATTCTAAATCAAAGACTAATCCAATTTCAAAGATTAATTTCGGCTATTTAGGATTTACTAAACATGGGATTACTATCGTAAATATTTCAGCAAATAATACTAGCAAATATACATTTTATTCTCAAAACTTGACGATATTGCCGTCCATTAAATTTATCAGTATAATTAAATTCATTCAATTCTGACTTGTTCGGTCTAAATTCACACAAATAATTACATCAAAGACGTGTTTTTTTTCCTGAGTATTACGGTCCAGCATAAATATTCCTGCATGATACGTTTTCAGAGAAACTAGCCATTGACCAGCCTATACAATTTAAATACTATTTCCTAACTCTATTTAACAGCAGACTGTTTATTTGGGGATGATTTTGTGAATGCGTGAAAATTTCTGTTGTAAGGATACGACTGGACTGCAAATCGTAACTGGACTATAAATCCCAGCTGAATAAATGGTGTTTCACCAGCATATCTTGAACGCTGTCTTTCAATGGCTTGCTCACCTGGAAAATATAAAACATTTACCTTAAAAAACAAACTGGTATATGCACCTAAAAAGCAAGGTCTGTGAAAAGATTCAATGGTCTCCTGTTTCAACAACTTGCACACTGCATGCTAATTTTACTACAGGTTTCTAGACTTCGGCAAGGAAGGTTATAAATACTAAGAACAAATATCGTCAACTTACACTTGCGTCCTGTTTCCCAACATCAAGACACATAAAAAAGAAAAAAAACGCGTTAATTCATAATCAAGATACAATACAAACATCACAAATATTGAAAATATATATTCTTTATTCACATGATCCAATTTTGTTGGATCCAATTCACTTCTGATGGATGTTTTATAGTCTGTTGACTTGCAAAGTACGTGGACAGCAAATCAACTAAAGCCAATGCAGTACCGCTTTATTAATAACAGATTACATTCCATACATCAGAAGGGAATTGTAAACAATGTAGTGTATACTTACGCCTTTTTTATCCAGGATTTCCCAGTCAATATTTAAGCTGAAAGCGAACGAGGCCAACACTCTGGAAACACACAAAGAAAAAACACGAAACACAACAGTCAGTACAACGAGAAGATCTCGAAAAACAGACAAGCAGTCTTAGATGTACGACAGATAGCCAACTATCCGCGCGCTAACTCACCTCAGTTCACATTTAATCTGAACCCATCCTGGACTGCGGACGAATGACCACGGATAGAACCTTTTAAATGAAACAAAAACGAGGACAAAATAAGTTAAAATTAATATTACTTCTCTGGAGTCCTATAAGCAGCCACCAAAACAACATCACAAAGGAATTATATTCTCTCATGAAACAATGTGTTTTCATGATACAAAGTTTAAAACATTAGATTTACCATCTATTAACGATGTCTTCTGAGGCACACAATGATTCGAACCAGAGATGAAGACATTGCTCGCTGTGGAGAAAGATTTGAATGTTATAATATAAACGAAGACTCTGACAACACACAACTCTGAGATGCAAAGGATCTTACTAACTTACTTTAGACCGTAACATATCAGTGAGCGCAGCTAAAATGTAAAAGTTTAAATGATTAGCGCGTGTTTTAAACCCACTGTTGAAGTGGAATATGGGAACTTATCGATGAATATACAGTGGTATATAACATACCTTTACGTCCATTTGTGTTTTCGCGCTATCGTGGGTCATGTTTATGGATTGTACTGCCTTAAAAACGAACAGAAATTCACATGAGGTGCCTGCCACAGGATGTAGTCGTTGATTATTTGTGATGGTATTTGCTTCCACTTACTCTGTATAATATTTCCTCAGGCGAGAGAACTTTGCCATCTTCATCGAGTCTGAATGTTTTGCAAAGGACGAGTCTTGAATAGACTGACTGAAAATCTTTCTCGACCTGATGAGCGCTAGCCTAAAAAACATCAATTTCATTGAACGTCAAATTGAGCTGAACTTCGGCTGCCCTGCATATTTTATCCAAATTCTTTGAAGATCCCTTGTCTTGATTTGAATGAAAACGGCTCGTTCTCTTCTCATGCCAAAGTGCAGTCAGTGATGGAGGATAGTATAAAGCGTGATTTACCTCTTCTATAAAATGCCACGGATGATAGGAGCCGCCAAGGAAGGATTGTTTCTTCATACCATGTTCAAAGATATTCTTCAGAGCAGGACAGAGGCTACCTCGCACTAGGTCTGTCACCGTCTCCGAGACAGAATCATCCCCAGCACTGGAATACTAAAGACGAAACAAACATGATTTTGTACGGTGAACTTATTATGAATACAAAATAGGTCAAACACAGAAACTTAAAGTGTCTCCTCGTCATTACCTCTTTGCTTCGCTCGTCCAGTATTTCTACAAACTTGGCGGGAAACCATCCTATATTTGAGCGGGAAAGGCAACCAGCATAAACAGACTTGCTAAGGCACTAGATACGAGTATGTTGACTAATAGCTATGAAGCATTCTGAAATAACTGAAGGACTTATCATTATACTCAATTTCAGAGAATTTGGAATGCTTCATAGCTATATTAAACTGGTCTTAATCCTGTCCCATTGCCAGCCGCTACAAGTCAAAATATAATCCATAAACATACCTCGTAAACCGTTCAATTCACCGACCCAACAATGCTCGTCTTTCTGCGAGATAATCTGCAAGAAAAATGATTCAAAATTACAAACAAGTTGAGAGACGACAAGAGGCCCAAAGCAGCAGAGCATCACGTGACATACCGTGATGATGTCATTCTTTCTGAAACCAAGCTCGTCATCGTCATGACGTTCAAAATCCAGCAAAGCCTTCGCCCTTCGACGTCGATTTCTGGACAAGAAAGGACTATAAATTAAAACCTTGTACATTGCACAGCAATACTCGTCGTCCCGACTTACTTGGCAACGTTGACGAAATTCTCATAATCATGACCGTGACTCTCAACGGAATAATCGACCTGCAGACCCTACACAAAGACAACATGGTTTTGTACAAATGTAGACTAGTATAAATGCTTTACAGTGAAAGGACTATACGATAAACACTGTCTTTAGCACAGTCTGTAGTGAAATCTTCCGAGGATTACCTTTTTCACATCGAAAGCATCAAAATGCCGGGCTATTTGCAAAATAGCTTCCCTTAAATCTGCAACAAGCTCTGAAGAATGCAACAAAACGGGATTTAAGATGGAAGAACGATAATTGGTTGAAACGATTTCAATTGTGGGCAAGAAATCTTTGCTCGGTTTCATTTATAATTTAAGGATTTTAATGATTACCAGTTTGGCGGATATTCTTTGCTTTGGCCAACGCTAGTTCATGTTTACCTGGAACGGTAAAGAGACGATCAAATTCGTTCTACACATGCGCAAGTTTTGCTTACGTACCAGGCAAGTTACGTGTTCGGGATACGAAGCTACAGTACTACTGTGAGTCCAATCATTAGACTTAACCTTACCCAGGAGATATCCAATCCACGTAGAGCTCTCGGATCTTACAATGGGACGACGATGGATTTTCTGAAAAACATTATACAGAATGTCATAAGAGGATGTGAATATTGTGATTAGATATGTTTGCCAGAGGATGGAGGCAACATGACTATGGAAAGAGGGAAGAACTTGCTTGTTTGTCGCCTGAACGAGGTCCATCAATTCCTGTCAGGGAGCCAAGATCCGCCATTAAGAAGGCCAAATGTTTCTTTCGATGTGCCTCTAAGATAACGTCAGTCAGCGATCCTGAAGCCTTCGAGGCCATCTTTGGAAGAAAGATAAACAAAGTTTAAGCTTCTGGTTTGGAAAGTCACAAGGAATTCACGTCAATCGAGTGGGTTGGCGGGTGCAGCATCACCTCAAATAGCTCATTTGCATCAGTTATCTCTCCCGGGATGTCTGATAACGCGTTGAATATCTGCGCTGAGTTGTCTTGTGAAATGATATAATCTTCCTATTGAAGATAAATATAGGAGAGAGAAGTATAAGCGAGATACATTTACCACCAGAAAACAATTAACTGCACACAAACTATAAACTGTTATATCTTGAGAAATTTTCATAAGAGCAAAGCAATGACCTATACTAGATCTATTATACCTATACTGTATCTTTTACAAGTCAGTGGAACAAACTAATGTTTTCATTGAAAGAACTACAATCTCTTTCCTCTTGCATCAATCTCAAAGATATTTTGTTGTATATGTAGTTCTAAATTCAAAAAAATTTAATTCTACCTTCATTTTGATCATGCCCAGTGTGATACGAAACAGAACCACAGAGCCCTCGTAGAAAAACTGATCCCAAATTCTTAACAGCACCTTCATCTCAACAACACTTGCAAACAAAGTCAAAAACCAGTGAAGTGTGATCAGTGATATCTCTATCGAGAGAAAAAATATATGGAAAATAAGTTCTGAATTGCCTGATAATGCTGTGCAAGGTATTGTCATACCATACAGTACCTATGTCATGTTGCTTCAGAGATTCGTCTAGTTTTGGTAAATAGCTGACAATAAGTTGTCTCAGCACTCTTTGATCAGCCTAGGAAGAGAAAAGAGAAATTACGTACAATGCATAATAACATTCTGTGGTTGGAAATTAGACTAAAGCAGTTATGGTAGTTCCCTAACTTACCTGAACACCAATTAAAGTGTTGGAATAGTAGGATGGTGGTACGAGATCCTCAATAATGGTACACATCAACCAAAACGTATCCTCCTCTTCGATAAACAAAAGCAGTGTTGCTACAATCTAACAAACATAAATAAACAGTTCCAGATTATGAAAAACAACATTGTATATTAAAAGAAAAATAATTCAAATCCCTGAGCTAGCCCGCCTGTATGTACCCACCACGCCCATTCCTTGACAGTAACCAACATCAGGGTAAAGCCAGGAGAGCCCCTTTAATATCCTCCTCAGTCTCCTTGTTCCGGTGCTAGTTGGTGTTGAAAAGCAGGCGTTGCTGGGCAACGTACGCAACAGATCCTTCTCAATTTGTTTTGCCATAGCGGTCGTATTATCACTTCCGCTGGCTTTTACAATTTGCTGGAAAATGATAGAAATTGATGTCATTGATTAGCAATAGGATGGTTAATGATGTCAATGGTGAAATTAAATTCAAAATTCGGATAATATTGATGGTTTATTGCAGTGACAATGACAGTTTCTTTGACAAAATCGTTCAGGTAAATTGAAAGATAACAATTGTTGAACTTTAAATCGATTAGAGCTTGACCTGAGTAACAGTAGTGAATAATAGAATGGAACCTATTATTAAACATACAAGCAATATACCTTGTACGAAAAATCCATCGACTCTTTCTTATGCATTGCACCTGATGTTCTCATCCATATCTAGAAGAGAGAAAAGCTGTCTGAGAAATACAGATGATCAGGAAAGACAAATTGTAACCATAAATCATCATAAATTCTTACTGGTGCTCTCATGCTATGAGGAATTCCCGCATGAATTAGCTCTCTCAATTTATCAGTTCTCGATAATGTTGAAGAGACCTAAAGACAGATACCAAAGGGTACAGTTTAACCACAAGTTGTGTCCTTGAGCTCACTGGCCACAAAATGTTGTGAACTGTACTAACCTTGTCCCAAGTAAGTTCACCAAGTTCTTGGTTTTGGGTAAACTCGAGATGTGCTTGCCATTTGAGTCTCTGACCTGGCTCTTCATCTGTTACATAATGGACGGACTCTGAGCTTTCTGCTTCCGCTACAAGGAGGCAAAGCCATAATAAGAAATATTCACAATGAAGAAATTCATTCATGGTTAATTCAAAGGTGACCGAGGAGATTCACAACGTACTTGACTCAACAGAAAATCCAAATTCATCGTACTCTCCTCCAGGACTGACACCGGCATCTTCAGTCTAAATATTTAACCACACAGAGCAAAGCTCATAATCAATGCAAATATTAACAGCAAAAGGAAATGATTTGATATTTTGAGTGAGAAATGCCCACAAATGTACCTGCTGGATCCGAGCTAAAATATCTTGGGGCCATATACTTGGTGTAAGAGCAGAGAATGGTGCACCCGCAGGAGGAACAAATGAACCACTGATTGGACTGTCTGTACCATTGACTGTCATGTCATCCCATAACAAGTCATCATCCACTCCACTGCTTTCATCTCCACTATCTTTTGTAAATTTAAAAGAATCCATACTTTTTTTAATTTTGTGTGGGTATACTATAGGAGGAAACCTAAACTAAATTAACTTTATTTATACTGAATAGCTCTATCAGTTCTAAACTGTTCTTCCTAGAGGTCCAGTAAGAATCATCTCTTATTGATCCAGTGTTACTAAAGGAGGAAACCTAAACTAAATCATAATTTTTACTGGATAACTATCATATCACATAGCTCTAGTATGCAGCACCAAACTGTTCTGAGGGCTAGAAAAGATCATCTCGTATTGAATCAGAACAATTTAAAAGACCACATACTGCTCCATATAAAAAACACTGATTAATATTAGCCCAGCAATATTGCAACTCTTTGATGTTGTTGCAAAGGCAAAAATAGAGCAAAAATTGCCAGAATTTAGTAATCCTGTAATGGTGATCTTGAAATTTGATCACCAAAAGGTTCCAGTGGCCTAAATTTCAAATCTATGACTCCTAAAACCCTCAGACTACAAAAATGCATACGCTTTTTAAATAAGCATAAAAGAATTGTAATTAAACCACGAAATAAAAACATTACGCAGGCAGATTACAACAAGTCAAAAACTTTTTTTAAGATTTCTTCTTGGAAACGTTTTTCCAGTATTTTGGGAAACAACAACAGAATCACTTGGTTTTTCGGAGACAAAATACAACGAGAATACTTAAAAGCATTCTGTTATTTATGTTTTTTGAGGTCAAAACATCGTATCTGAACCTTTGATCGGTAAAAATCGATTTATTGCTCTTTAAATAGCGAACGTACAAACCGAAGTGATCATATTTCAAATTCAAAAATAAATACGCGGCAAGCGAGATAAACGAAGCGTTTATTTAACAGTTCTGTGCAAAAGCAGTTTAAAGCGACAGCAAGAGATCAATAAATAATAAGGTTTCATGCATGAACACGTATCACAGCGCCATTTGACAAGCTCATAGAGGTGTAACGGCGTTTAAAAGCAAGCTCTGAAATGAATCACAAAGAGCAATGAAATACAAAGTTGTACCTTTAGCAATCTTCTTGCTGCTGGTTGTTTTCTTATGTCGTTCAAAAGCAAACGCGCTCGACGGAAGATACATTTTTTCAGCGAAGTTTTTGCTATCGATCAAAGATCATCATCTTTGCAAGCGTAGGTTGGGAGGTTTTTACCCGGTAATAGGGCAATTATGCCGGTGTGTTTTGTTCATGTAAGGCTGCGTGTGGGCGGTGCGTTGGAGGGGGGGGGCAGTGCGTTGAAAGGCCGCGTTGGACGGGGGGGGAGAAGGCGGTGCGTCGGAGGGGGGAAGGGCGGTGAAGGTGAATAAATTTGATAATAAAACATGATTAAAAAAACTCAGCCAACGAGACAATAACCATTGAACAATAAATATATATTTGTATACATACAAACTGCTATGTTTTCCTAACAACAAACTTCAATAATAATTATCCCATAAGCAGCAGATCTAGTACTTGAAGCTATAAATATTTATAAAGTCATATATTTATATTCACATATTATAAAAATCAATTTGTAAATAAGTCAGTCAGGTAAAGGATTACGCAAGCTCAAAATGAATCTTCTTGTGCTGTCTCTGACAATTGTCACTAGCCTGCCATAACTTTGGCAATTCTTCATACGGAGACCTGCTCTGCCTTGGATTCCAAAGAATTCTCTTGCATTTCATTCACCTCAAATAGTTTCTTCTCAGACTCTGTTTCCTCTCGTATAAACCCATAATACATCACAAACGAGAACACTCCAAAACAAACTATAAATGTCCGATATGAGTTTATTCTGTTGGAGTCATAATGCAGAGTGTCATTAACTGTGTGCTGTTGTGCTGGTGATTTGGAATATGCTATTGGCTGGTCTTTCTCAGCCTGATCATTCCCGGTAGAACTGTGCCTAATTTGAGACTGAACTGATATCATTTGCATGTTAACAGCAGGAGCTCTAAAGAGAGAAAATGAATACATAAAACCTTATAAAACCAGCATGAAAGCTTTATCTTATTACTTCATTATATGAACATTTTAGGAGGGACCAAGTAAGGAAGGACCAAGTGAAATAACAAACAAACCTGTGAAAGAAAATCCTGCTACTTCTGCGGGAAAACGGATTATTGGCAACACTTTTTAAAAGCAATTCCATCACTCCTTTGATAGTCGCCATCTTGAGTTTGTCGACGGCGGGGGCTGCCACTTGGAATAACGCAATTTCACTTGCGGAGGGACCAACATTCCCCTATGTATGGTCACCCCAGTCACCCATATCTCTGGCACTTCTGGGTTACCTAGAGGTGAAGGTGCGGTGGAAGTGCCGTGAAAATGCGGTAAAGGTTTCGGGCTGTTTATATGGGTCTGTTTACTGCCTAAGTAAGCAAAACACAAGCTCATAACTAGACAAATTTCCATCATTTCCATACAAACTTCCTTGTTTAGATTTCCTTTCACAGCCCGCGGTGCAGGTAGGGATTTCCACGTGTTCTTTTCGTTCTTCTTTCTTTTTTCGCCGCCATCTTGAAAGAGTCAAGATGCCGAAACCAGTTTGCTCGAAAACCTTCACGACACCGCGTCGTCCTTTCGAAAAAGAGCGCTTAGATCAGGAATTAAAGATCATTGGGGAATATGGCTTGAGAAATAAACGCGAAGTCTGGCGTGTCAAGTACACTTTAGCCAAAATTCGCAAGGCCGCGAGAGAGTTGCTAACTCTTGACGAAAAAGATCCTCGTCGTTTATTTGAAGGAAATGCCCTTCTTCGTCGGCTTGTGCGAATCGGTGTGTTGGACGAGAGCCGCATGAAACTAGATTACGTGTTGGGTCTGCGAATCGAGGATTTCTTAGAAAGGAGACTTCAGACACAAGTTTTTAAATTGGGTTTGGCCAAGTCAATTCACCACGCTAGAGTATTGATTTTCCAGCGTCACATTAGGTGGGTTTTAATGGGTAATTTCAGCCCGAAAAGTGGTATCACATTGTGGTGGTTTGGGGCTAAAAATATTATGGTAAAAACCATAATGTATGGTCATACCATTATGATAATGGTAGTTTCCACATATACTGGTTCATACCAAAATATGATGGTACTTTATATAAAATGTCTCAAAAGTTCGCTGAAAAAAACTGTTCATAAAAGGATGAAAAAATAGCAATGACAGTTGCCTCTCAAAATGTCAGGCTATAATTGTACAAACTGGTGATAAGTGTAGTTTTAGTGGACCAGACATGTCATTCCAAAATGGTATTTCTGGAAAGGATGAATTGACTTTCACTAAACTGCATTTCATCTAAGTTAGCAACAATGTCTAAGCTGATTCCATATTTCTTCCAGAGTACGTAAACAGCTTGTCAATGTGCCATCCTTTATTGTCCGTCTGGATTCCCAGAAGCACATTGACTTCAGCTCAAAGTCGCCTTATGGTGGTGGCAGACCAGGCCGCGTCAAGCGTAAAAACATGAAGAAAGGACAGCAAGGTGGTTCAGGTGGAGAAGATGAGGACGAAGATTAGAAATGGTGAGGTTAAAATGAAATTAGATACCTATGGCTGTGTTTTAGAAATTCTACCCCTCCTCCCCTTCTTACTTACTTGAGCCAAGGATTAATTATTTCTGTTTATTTTCAGGCATATCTGCAAGGCTGGAATCATATAAGTAATATGTGAATGTCTTTGTGAATATGAATAGAAATAAAACTTTCTTCATTCAATATCTGTGTGTTGTATTATCTTCTTTAAAAAGAAAAAACATTTTCAATAGTCTTGCAAAAGGCCAATGATAAAAAAGTGAAGTACCTACCACCTTTTGTTTCCAAGTTCTGTTGTGAACACCGACTGACCAAAAAAGCAAAGGGAAATTTTTGTCCCAAGAACAACTAAACCTCGGGTGCAAGTGGAGACACTAATAATATACAAAATTGGGGAAGAAAATAATTAAAATAATTATCATACATAACCATAATAATTATAGATAAGGCGCAATGTGATTGGCTGATTTTTACAATACCATAGATTATTACCACGGATTAATGGTATTAATCTTTGACAATACTGAAAGCGAAATTGACAAACAAGTTTCTAACGCTACATATTTATACAACAAAAGTTCTTTATCTCAATAATTACTTAAGCCCCCGAAACAAAGGTAAGGGTAGTATTTATAAAGTATAAGTTTTTGGAGATAAAGTTTTATATGTTTTTAATACGATGTAGATGAAAAATCGATGAAAATATCTGGGTAACTTTTGCGTGCACCATGTCATGCAATGATGTTATGGTACAAGGGAAACGACTCAGGGCAAAAACGTGGAGTGAAAATGCAGTTGGATACATAAAGATCCTTTGTATAATATCTCTGTTACTTCTAGTGTATGAATTAGCCATGTCGGAAGTGGATTTGGCCGAGAGATACAAGGCTGCGATGGTGTTAAGTGGTGTTGGTGATGCACTGGGTTATAAGAATGGTTCGTGGGAGTTCTGTCACAGTGGTGCTGCCATTCATCAGGAATTACAACATCTTGGTGGGCTGGAAAAGATTGACATCAAAGGATGGAGAGTAAGCGACGATACAGTGCTGCACATAGCAACCGGCGAAGCTCTGGTCTCCGATTGGTCAACAACCGAGCAATTGTTCTGTACAATGGCCGCAAATTACAAGAAGACGTGTGATGAGGTGGGTCTACCAGAGTCAAGAATTGTTATTGTTTTGAATCGAAATACAGATGTCAATTGTCTTTCCTTAGGATATGTGGGATAGAGCACCAGGCCTGACCACGACTAGTGCAGTTTTCACATTGAAACCCTCGCGTCCGCAAGGTTATGTGATACCATTCAACCCTCGTGGGGGAGGATGTGGTGCTGCCATGAGGGCAATGTGCATTGGGTTGATGTTTCCACAAGAAAATCAAGAAGAAATGCTGATCGAAGTTGCTGTGGAAAGTGGAAGAATGACACACAACCATCCTACTGGTTAGCACTTATATGTAACTCTTATCCTTTTAATAATACACCATGCTCTAGGGTGATATACCTTACCTACACTCACATCCTATATTTCATTCCAAAGGTTTTCTTGGCTCAGTTGCAACAGCTTTGATGACGGCGTATTCCATTCAGAGAAAACCGCTGGTGAGCTGGGGTGCTTCGTTACTTAACACTCTTCCAAAGGTATGGGCCTACATCGTGAAAGTTAACCGGGATGTTGAAGAGAATAAAAATGCTTGGGATTATTTCACCAGCAAATGGAAGAACTATCTTGAGTTGCGAGGATTAACCGACGGCAAAGCCGAACCAAAATTCCCAGAAAAATACGGCATTCCGGAACGTGATGCGTTTTATAAATCTGTTAGCTATTCTGGCTGGGGTGGAGCAAGCGGACATGATGCTCCAATGATTGCATACGATGCGCTCTTGAGAGCAAGAGATTCCTGGTATGAGTTGTGTTCAGGCTCCATGTTCCATGGTGGGGACAGCGATAGCACAGGGGTTATGGCTGCTGCCTGGTGGGGGGGATTGTATGGTTTGAAAGGGGTACCCCTCTGTAATTACAAAAATTTAGAGTACCGCAAAAGACTTGAGGAACTTGCCGACAAGTTGTTGAAACGAGCCAAACCAGAATGATACAACTTGCATGATATGAAAGCCTAGATATCTTAGTCACAATATGACAAATGAAAAACATAAAAATATGTTAGACATGCTGCAAGTATGATTTTCCTATGTTCAGCAATTTCATCCTGTTAGAAACAGTAAATAAATGCACCATGTTAGATGACTGTATGAGCAACTTTATAAACAGACATTGATTGATTAGTATTGTTACATTGAAACTAATCATGAAACTATCATGAAACGAATATAATTTTAAGATTTGTACTCTCAAGGTACAATTTTACTAATTCATATAAATTAATGCCGCTTCAATAAATGATCCAATTTTTTCAAAATATTGTTGTCAGATTGTTTGAGTACATTTTATAATATGTTTTTTGTGCCAGAATTGTTCATACACAATAGTTGGATTCATCCAGTAATGTCTGTTATAATTATGCCAGTAATGTACACAAATTAAGAGTTGGATTCAAAGATTTCACACATCTTCAGACTTACTGTATATTATTGTCTGAAATTTCCCATATAAAGATGTTTCTTTTTCTATATTTTTGTACAACTGTAGTATCTCAGAGCCCCGGTTTTTTTATTCATTTACAACAGAGACATAATCCTGATCACAACTCTTCATCCCCTCAACCGACCATCCGTCATTTTTTTCATTTTCATTTTGATCGCGACGTAATGATTCGTAGATGTTCCCAGCATCATTTCCGCGATCCTCAGCGAGGGTACTGTATATCTCTTCGAGAAAACTTACCTCAAAATTCCCCGAGCGAGAGATGGGGTCCACCGGGTCCTCCTCTTCCACACACCCGTCGTTCACACTCGCGTAGACGTTCTGTGATTGGTCAGTATTTTGTTTGTCACCAGGTCCCTCAAGAACGTCGTATACTGGGCCGTCATTTGATTGACAATTTAATGAATCATGCTCTGAGGGGATATCGTAAAGACTGATTTCACACGCAGAAGCGTACTCGTTCACTGCATTCGCCTGTCTTTCTGCACCTAGAAATATATTATTCCTAGTCAATACATGTCCATACATCTTAATTCGAATCGCCCATATATTTTCTTTCTTATATAATTGTAAAGAAACTTCAAACTTATTCTATTAAAACCAAAATCGTTTAACCATCAACATGCTTCCATATCTAACCTCTTTTATTCTCCCTGGTATTTCCTTTAATACAAGATAAAAAGAAATATCCCTTCCTATGAAAAACAAATTCGTATTAAATATCCAGAAGAAGGAAGTTCCGAGTAAGATGATGATAATCTCTCAAACTTACCTCATGATTAAAACCAAAGCCAACAGCAGAAAAATAACACCAAAGACAGCAACGACAGCATAGACAACAGCTGAGAAGGAAAACGAAACATTCATTCAGATATAGGAAGATGTATTAAAGCGAAAACAATCCGATATAAATTGCTCAATATCATACTATTATTCTTTAGTGAACTTTTCTCTACGTTCCCTGCTTCACTTTCTTTTTCTGTTGTATGAGTTTCTTTTGTGGATATTCGATTCGTGGGAGTCTTTTTAGAAGTTTCAGTTCCTACAGTGTCTAAAAACGAGTTCCCAAACAAGAACTGTACAGTCATCTTTTTCAATTACTCTCTCAATTCCGGCAAGAATTGTCTAGAGAATTTTTATACCTGTTATTATTTTGGATATTGCTTTCGTTGTAAATGCTGTCTCAGTCTCGCTTGTTTGAGGCTCTGTTGGCTGGGAAGTTGATTCAGTTATCGATGGAGTGGTGGGTTCTAAAAATTCAGATAATATACAAGGTTGCAGTTTTTCAATGCACTTTAGGAAGAACAGTTTAGAACTGATAGAGCTATCCAATGCAAAGTGTTTCGGCTTACTTACCCTTAACCCAGTATGTTGCATTAAATCCATAACATCTTTTACCAGAAGCATGAAATTTGAAAACTAATCTGAATGCAAACACGCCATCCAGTCCAGAACTAATCGGTGTCTGAATTGCATAACTTGGTAATATACTTGAATCGGCTGTCTCGCCACTTCTAATTTCGAGACAAGCCTTAAAGGAATTTTTATCACCGTCGAAGTGGAGAATTTCCAGATATAATATCGACTTTGTTCGTTTACGTTCAGGTTTTATAACCCATACACATTCCCTGTCGAAGAGATGTGGTTCTGATGAGTTTGGTGAACTGATTGAACCATAATCTGTCGTTAGTTTTCCACCACAATCTAGAAGAAAAATGTATGGATTTATTTATACTGGATAGCTCTATCAGCTCTAAACTGTTCTTCCTAGAGGTCCAGTAAGGATCATCTCTTATTGATCCAGTGTTACTACAGGAGGAAACCTAAACTAAACTAACTTTATTTATACTGGATAGCTCTATCAGGTCTAAACTGCTCTTCCTAGAGGTCCAGTAAGGATCATCTCTTATTGATCCAGTGTTACTACAGGAGGAAACCTAAACTAAACTAACTTTATTTATACTGGATAGCTCTATCAGGTCTAAACTGCTCTTCCTAGAGGTCCAGTAAGGATCATCTCTTATTGATCCAGTGTTACTACAGGAGGAAACCTAAACTAAACTAACTTTATTTATACTGGATAGCTCTATCAGTTCTAAACTGTTCTTCCTAGAGGTCCAGTAAGGATCATCTCTTATTGATCCAGTGTTACTACAGGAGGAAACCTAAACTATAAAGGCGAGAAGCAAAGCACATCTCTTTGTTTCATACCATAAAAGGTGACCTCAGTATGTTTTAAGTCTTGGCTTTGAAATCCATTTGCTAGAACTTGATAAATGCCACTTTGATTCTTGGATATTCCTCGAACTCTTAACGTCTGCTTATCTGTCACGATTTCATTTCCATTTCTTGTCGTATGCCTAGTGATATTATAGGTATTTGATGATCTCCTCCCATTGAACGAATGGATTGGTTTTGCATTAAAATACCACTCAATTTCACCGTCATTCGCGGTTGATTTTAAAATCAAGATTTCATTCCACAATACTTCTTTCCTGTGTGGAAATCCAGTCAATTTCACAGCGCCTGCAAGAAGAGTTTAAACTAATAATACAGTCTTCTTCAAACAACTTATCATCAGTATGGTCAAAATGACTAAAATTCTTGGAGTTAGTGGAACATTTCATAAGAGCTATCACTAAGAAATTGATTGACTGCAACTTGAAGCTAGGCTAGCCGGCGAAGATTTTAAACTGGTAGTTCAAACTCATCTCACCTCTGACATCCAGGTACGCTTTCTGAGAAATATTAGAAATTATACACGTGTACCATCCTTCGTCCTCCAAAGAGACTTTCTTAACAGTCAGTCTGTGTGGTGATGAAATGTCGAACTTTTCCCCAGGGCCAATCGGCGTCTTTCCTTTCAACCATTTCACTTGCGCATTTCTACAGATGATAAATAGATTCTTTTTTAAATAAATATCCATCTTAAAATCCATTTAACTTTCGCTTATAATGAAGGTCATGAACTTTATCGTACTATTTCACTAAAATGCTATCTGAAAGTGAATTACTTTTCACTGGAAATGCAGTCAAACGATGCAGATGACGAAGCAACAACTGTAATGTTTTGTGGTTTGATCAAAATAGAAAGTCGAGGATGCTTGTTGGTTTCGTTTGTTCCATCTGAAATATATATTCAAAAGGAAGATTAGTTGTGAAAACACACGTTGATCAACTTGATCTGCATGAATGCTCCAGCAACAAAACGCCTTACCAACAACAACATCATAAACCTTGTTCACAGTTTCAACACCGTTGGTTACCGTACAATTATACTCTCCTTGTCTGCTCTGGTTTACCTCAAGAATAACGAGCACACCATCGAGGGAAACGACAAACTCGGCAGACCTGTCATGGCTGTTCTCGATCTTAATGAAACTTTCGTTTGCGTGTCTGCGAAATTTCCAAGCAAAACTTGGCTCAGGAAAACTGACCACGTCTGGAGGTCTGAGAATACATGGGTGACTTCCACTACACACGATTCTCTTTGAAGATTGATTAGGTATCATGCGTAAATCTGAGGGAAAACAAAGTTTAATTAAGACCTGTTTTGATTTCAAATATTTTCCTATACTGGATCTCTAGGAAGAACAGTTTAGAACTGACCGAGTATGACTTGTACGTTATTTTCAGTTGTAAAGAAACAAAAAGACCTCTACCTTCCTTTGATCGAATACAAGGTTGACGCAGCGTGTGCCTTATTAGTCGTTTTCTGTGCATATACTTGTTAGGGACCGCCCCCCGAGACCAGGAAAAGCTTAAATACGTTAAATTTATCTTCGCTCTCAGGGCTAGCCACTGTAGCTGATTCGTCTATGACGCTAGGCTTGTGGCGATGCATACTCTGTTTCTCACTGAGACGTAACGGTTAGGTGCACATACATCATGGTCTGGGGGCCGTAGTGCATCTCCCCCTTAGACGGCCGTTAAGATGTGAGTTATGGGGGGGAGTTCTTCCTATAGCAACTGTCCTTGCACCTTTCGCAGTTGTAACTATGTTGGTATATTGCAGCCGGTTGTATAACCAGGTTAGATTGTGGCATAGGCTGGATGATCTCTTTTGGGTGTTTTTACATTCTTTCCCAATTTTTTTTTTTGGCATGCTTTCCAAACTTTTGTTTTACATACAAAAAAAAACACTGTTATTAAACATATATGGAACGGATATGGTTCGAAAAAAAAATTATATCGACTAAAAACCACCTTAATTAACCCCTGAATACTCTCCCCAGTCTCTGCATGGCTGAATCTCTGAATTAAACAATACCAGAGATCATTCATAAACATCAAACATTTATGTATTAGATCAGCATCTTCATCAACCTTACAGCAGTAAAACAGTGACAAAGACATTCAGACAGGATCAATAAGAGATGATCCTTACTGGACCTCTAGGAAGAACAGTTTAGAACTGATAGAACTATCCAGTATAAATAAAGTTAGTTTAGTTTAGGTTTCCTCCTGTAGTAACACTGGATCAATAAGAGATGATCCTTACTGGACCTCTAGGAAGAACAGTTTAGAATTGATAGAATTAAAATCATACAGTATAGTCTGCGGCAGATGATACTGAACGAGGTTTCAAATTGACAGAGCGCTAGACAGTGGCACTTACACGACTTTCTAACTCGTGCTTTTCTGCTGATGATGGAACCAGTGCTCGCCATTGCGACACATTGATACACTCCATATGCCTCGTCACTGATATTCTCTATCCTTAAGTTACCTCGCTTCTTTTGAGAAAAATTATAATCAAGCGTCTTGCTTAAAACAAGATTTGATAGAACTACTTTAGAACCATTGAAGACCCAACTTAATTCAGGTTCTACGTTGAATCCAAACACAGCGTCACACTTCAGTTCCACGGTTGAACCAACAACGGCTGCAGTATCCTTGGGTTCAGTGGTAAAACGTAGTCCAGGCAATCTCCTACCTTAATTAAGAAACAAATGAATAAATATTACTGAAATGCATCAAAGTGAAGATGCCTTTTTTAGTCGGAGTGATTATGACGATGAAGTCGTTCCTTGGTACACAAAACTCAAAACAGAATCAATCGCCTTTCGTTGTTATTGGTAAATATTATGAACCAGAAGCTTTCCTCTTTACATTTTCTTTCTGTTTGCAGACACAAAAAAGTTTTCAACCATTTGCTGTCTGAAAATTTAACTGAGGTTTCCCCCATTAGATATTGAATCAAAAATACTTTCCGACATTATTTCCTGACAGACAAATAATTCTATACACCAATGACAATTGCCCGCTAAGAATTAGGGTCCGCATGATGTTTATCTGTAGGAAAATTATACAATTGCATAGGGACGAGTCGAACTACACTCGTAAGGTATCTCACGAACATACAACTGAGAAATATTGTCCATTAACATACAGATGTTTCCCGACCGTATGTACTCATAGAATACCATTTGGTATGAACTGGATGGCATTTATACTAACTTACCTCGTACTGTCGTGATTGTAGCAAGTATCCAAATAATATTAGACAATGTTAGCACACCGAGGAATTTTCTGATGCAAAAGAAAGCCATTTTATTAGTTGCTAGACTGATGTAAAATGCTTTTAATGATTAGTACAATGTTTGCTTCCGTGGTCTGAGTCGGATCTTCCAAGTTCCAATTGCGGATATTTTGCAACCTTTGCAATGTAAATATTTTGCAAGATGAGAAAGGACCGCGCCTACGTTAATGGAAAATGTCGGAATTTATTGGAGATTCAAGTGTGTAAGGTGTAATTTTGGAGACAAACTGTGGGAGTGTTTAAAAATATTTGCGAAATGAGTTAAACATAGCGATTGGAGATTTAATAGAGATTTAAGAACGCGCAAAGACGTGAAATTATCTATGGTATATTCTACCTTTGGTAAAGTTGAATATAATATAGTATATTCGACCTTGGTAAAGTTGAATATGGTATATTCGACCTTCGTGAAGTTGAATATACCGGAATATGGTATACTCGACCTTGGTATTGTCAAATACACAGGAGTATGGGTATACTCGACTTTCGTAAGGTCTAAAATATTAGAAAGTGGTATATTTCACCTTGATATGGTCGAGAATATACAGGCATATGGTATATATTCGACCAAAGGCGCATACAACATTCGTGCTCCATGAGTCATGTTTATTTCGATTTTCTGCAGGACAAGAGCATACCAGTGATACCACGCAGTGTGATGTGCCATAATCCCATTACAGCCGGATATGCAGCTAGAGTTCAGGGGACGGTTGTTCGAAAGGCGTTTAGCTTAAACCGTGGATAAGCCAAAGTTTAAAAAAACTCTCATGAGTCATGGATGGAATGACTGAACTTGCATCTTATGCGTTTAATTTGTACTTCCATTGAAAATTAAACTTCCTACATTAAAATATTCAACGCAATCCTAGGGGAAGCCAGCGCAACCCCAAGGGAAGCCCCAAAGAAAGCTATAGATGCCTGTGGAGGAGGCTAGGTTGTTCAATAAATCGATCATTTTGTTTCCCATTTTCGACTTGACTTATCCACCGATTAAGCTAAACGCCTTTCGAACAACCGACCCCAGTGGATTAGCGACGTCATCAGCGTCGTCATCGGCGTCGTCATCGCGTCGCGCGCAGAGGCCGGAGAGATCTGGTACCCAGTGAATGTGTCAAATTACAATATTTCAGAAGCGCCGGCGAATAGTTGAAATGTATCAAATTTTAAAATAAATATTCATAATTCATTTCATTGATGTGTTAGCAATGACATGGGTTTGTGTCGACGCCGTATTGTACGATTTATCTTTGGAATTGGCGTGTTCTTTGTCGTTGTGCAGATCCTAACAACGTTACACTTTTCGTCGACACATAACAGCGATCCGGGCGATTTTTCACGCCAGAAGACGAGGCGAGATGACGCTCGTACACATCAACATAGCCTTCTGTCAAACGAGCCGACTTCGGCTAAAACTACAGCCGTTTTCGATCTCCGGAAAAGCAAGGTAAAGTGTTATCGGAATCATGGTCCACAGACAACGTTTTAAAATTCACTAAAAATAGTTTAGTCTATCGTGTTAGGAAAATCATAACAAGACAAGTATATATGAAATAAATCTTTGCAAAATTTGGTTTGTCACGGCGATATTATGTTCCTTACGGTGGCCTTTTAACCTTGCTGGGGATAGCCAGCTTTTTTGACAATTAGAGTGGGATTTTATAGTTTGGTTTGGCTTGAGATATCGCGAGACTCGAGCGTTATAGAATGCTCTATTGTTTAAACTGCTTAATTATTTACTTGTGCAAATAAGACCGGTAATAAATAGTATTGGATATGCGGTGACCACATATGTGAGCTTTCTGCCACGTGTATGCATTCCAATATCACACTGTGTCAAATTACGAAGAATTGCTACCTTGATTTATATGTTCTTTTAAATGCTTCAATTTTGATTGAACCCCCATCTCGAAATGCAATATCCCAAAAACAAAGTTGCATGTCTTTGACACTTGAAAGTGGCTGTCAGCATGTCACCAGCAATATTAACAAGATGAGTGGTGAATTTATTAATTTTAAATACTTTGTATCCTTGACCCTGGATATCAATCATTTGCGCTATTTATTTTGTCCAGGAATGTCAATTAACCCAATAAATTTATCAACCATCCACAATTCTGTGCCCCAGCCAATTCACCTTTGTAGTGTCAGTCTACATGGCTATAATCTTTCGCTAAGAGATTGTAGAAATTATGCTAGATAACCCGAACAGTTCTAAACTGTTTTCCATAGAGGTCCAGTACGAATAATCTCTTCTTAATCCAGTGTTACTACAGGAGGAAAGTGTTACTATAGACTTCAAGAAATCCTCTTTGACTAACCTTATTTATACTGATTACCCAATTCAAATCTTCTATTGCAAAAAGACACCAGGCTACCCAAAACAAACTCTTGCATGTGTCCTGAAAATCATTAGAACTTCTCACATTTATTTTTTCTGTATTTCAGGCAACAGACTTTGTCCTTTACGTTTTGAGTAAATACAAAGACTTTGACTGTTCGTTGAGACACAAAGATGTCAAGTCAGCGTTATCAAGAGCTAAAACTCCTGAATGCCGGAAAATCATTCAGAAGACAGGATGCTTACTAGAAAACCATAAATTATATTTTGACTATATAGAGAAAAGTTGTAAAATTCCCATCCGGGATACTTCATATCCGCGAGGTGTCACAGATAACGAGCCATCAGGTGCTCCTGTTAGGGTAGTATTTATGTTGACGGTTCATGGTAGAGCTTTACGACAAGTAAAAAGACTGTTGAAATCGATATATCATGTGGACCACTATTATTACTTTCATGTTGACTTGGTAAGTTAAGACTGTTTGAAAACAAATTTATCAGCATTTGCTTGATTCAACTCTAGATTGTGTCAAAACCTCTGAAGCGACTTTCCTTACAAGGATTGAATAATGACCTTATTAATTTACCATTAATTATTGATGAATCCTGATGTGCTTTTCTATATATACTGATGATATATCCCTTGCAGTCATATGTAGGCTATTGTTGTTGTAAATCAGTATAAAAACCACCTGTGTTTACAACTGACTTGTATATAGCAAACTGTCTAGCATTACTTTTGTGAGTGGCCCTGACCGAATCAAGACATAATAGTAGTGTATTTTAAGGAGAAAGCAAACCTAACTCTCCTTTCTTTTTTGTATCTTTACAGAGGTCAGATTATTTATTCCGTGAATTACAAGAAATAGCATCGAACTTTCCAAATATAGATGTTGCTCCATGGAGAATGGCTACCATATGGGGAGGAAGTAGCTTATTACAGATGTTGTTGAGAGCTTTAGATGATTTGATTAAGAGAGATGATTGGAAATGGGATTTCTTTATCAACCTGAGTGCTTCTGATTATCCCATAAAGTAATTGTTTTTTAAATCCATTGATTGGAAGCAAGCTCAAATGTGACTAGTTTAGTATCTTACTCAGTCCATTAGCAGAATATCTTACTCTTCAGTGGAAGTGTGTTGTCATGTTATATCAAAATGCTTAGGGAGGTCTTGGATTGTGAATAAGTGATTTTAACATCTGTACTGAAGGTTGATCTTCTTTTTTCACAGATCAAACGAGCATCTAACAAGATTTCTTACCGCACATAGAAATGATAATTTTTTAAAATCTCATGGCAGAGAGCCAGATAGGTATAGCATCTTATTTTCATTAAAATATCTTGTGTTGAAATGTTGGGATTGAGCTTGTCTGCATTGCTCAATTAGCTTATTTCATAAATTATACATTGACTGAATAGCAGAACTTCAATTGCAAATGCAAATTATGCAAGTGCCTAGATAGACCATCATCATAGCTTCACCTATCTCTTTCAAATAGGTTTATACACAAGCAGGGTCTTGACAGGACGTTTGTGGAATGTGATGAACATATGTGGAGAATAGGGGATCGTGCCTTGCCCAGGAACATTCAGGTTGATGGAGGAAGCGATTGGATTGGTCTGAATAGAAAATTTGCTGAATATATTATAAAGTCAGACGACAGCCTAGTCCAAGGATTGAAGAGAATATACGCGTTTGCGCTACTGCCAGCCGAGGTAATGGCCATTGCCCGTCCTAGTTTTTACAATTCATTTCCGCTTGTATAAATAAATCCGGGTTCATTTCAAAAGTGAGACTGTATTGAGTCTCGTTAGAGCAAAACTAAATTTAACGTTGTCTATACGTAGTGATTCATTCAGGTCATATCTTATTCATTGCATGAAAAACAGATAACTAGCGGGCTTTATTCAACACTCAACAGCCGATCAGTAGCTATAAGCTCTCTGGAGGTCCAGCGAGGCGCCAAAGCCATGCAGCGTTTTTCACTACATTGATATACCTATTCTATTTTCTAGTCATTTTTCCATACTGTGCTACGGAATGGTCCGCAGTGCGAGACATTCGTGAAAACAAACTTACGTGTGACTAACTGGAAGCGCAAGTTAGGATGTCGTTGCCAATACAAGCACGTTGTTGACTGGTGTGGCTGTTCTCCCAATGACTTTAAACCAGAGGACTTGCCAAGACTGCAGGTAAGAAAAAAACACGTTAAACTAAACTAACTTTATTTATACTGGGTAGTTCTATCAGTTCTAAACTGTTCTTCCTAGAGGTCCAGTAAGGATCATCTCTTATTGATCCAGTGTTACTACAGGAGGAAACTTGAATAATCCCGTCAGTCCTAAGCCGTCTCGAATGGATCCTAACAATCAAATCAATAATATTTATTGCAGAAATCCAAGTATGACCTGTTCGCGCGCAAGTTCGAGGCGATAGTCAACCAAAAAGTTATTAATCTTTTGGACGAATACTTATTCGGTAACTTTACCCCGGGTATGCCGGCACTTAATACCTACTGGGAGAACTTCTACCATCACGAGGACGATGAACGTCGACTTAGCGATAGACTGAGGACGTACTTTGCGTCATTTAGTCGCTTAGCAACGAAGCACGTCAGCTCCACGTACTGTAAGAATCTTCCAGTCGGTCCATTTAAGGAGGTGACATATTTGAATGTAAACGACGAGTTTAGTGGAATGTTAATGTTGCAAGATATCGCTTTGAAAGGAGGGAAAAATATTGAAATAGAAACGTGGTTGTCCAGAATTGACCAGGAACAGATGATGAATTTGAACATGAGCGATGGTCCTAACAGATTAACTGGGCTACAGGTTAGTTATCTTTGAACACAACTTTTATGTTTTACCCCTCGATATGAATGGAATGTGAGTTGACCCAACTACCACACCAAAGTGATCAAACTATCTATATTATTGTGCATATACATAACCTTGCAAACTTGTTTCTCTAGGTTGGAACAGGCTGGGATGAGAAAGAACGCATGTTCAGAAACTATGGTCGGTTAATGGGACCATGGGATGATCCAGTCCTGGTGCATTACTGGAAGAAAGGCGCGCCTTTCAATGTCAAACTTATGTGGATTGATCCTATCAGTGTTGTCACCGGAGTTTACGAGATGCAAGTGAAAGAAGACTGGATCGTATCCTTCCATAAACCAACATACAACAAACCACTTCGCCCTGGTACCTGGACTGTGAAAATGGTTTATCGTGGGGAAGGGGGAGTAGATCTCGTTATAGGCCAAACTAGTTTTCTAATTATACCATTAGCCTACAAAGACGGCGTGCCTGTCGGGCCTGATCAGGCAATTGCTTCGAACGGCGGCCCGCCTGCAGGCAGGTACACTGCTCAGTATACGATAGAGTTTGACAGAGAATCTACGAACATTGACTCGCTTGCCAACGGCGCGACAATGAATGCAAAGAAAACTGGGAAAGAGTTATACGAATGGATAGATATTCTCGTCAAGGAGAATTGGGCTATGGAGGACGCATGCGCGGTTGGTAGTGAGGCTCAGGAATGCGACGGGATGGCGCAGTGCGAGATGACGTCATGGAGCTCCAGGTCACCTGATCCGAAGTCCGAAATTAACAATATTAGCGTGAATGGTACACTAAGGTGATGGTTTGCGCATGACAGGAAAATGGTCGTTAAATATGGCGACAATCGCCTACCACTTGGGGTCACATGGGTGCATAGGAGGTAATGGTGATAATTGTGGTCACACTTGGATATACCGGGTTACAGCTGTGTGCACAGAGAGATACTGCCTTGGTTCCCTTATAGTATTTAAATTGGGTAAAATGCGTTGGAATTGGTTTCTGCGAAAGGTTTCCGAACATATGCACATCACATAGCCCGAATTTTGACCGAAATTTGAGTAATATATTTTCAATTTTTCAATAAAACTATATCGTTCATATAATTGCTGTTTACAAATTGTTTTAACATTGCATAAACGATTTTAACCCCAGTTCAAATTTGTCTATCCTATCTTTGATAAGCAAGGATGTTAGCCTTTCTTCAAAACACTGTAAGACTGATGCGTCTTCAAAACAGCAGTTGAATAATATTTATAAAAAAGGTAAGCACTCACGTAGTGCATAAAACCCGAAAACCCGTTGCAAGTATTGAACCGCTGATAATTGACGTCAGTCTTCGCTGGTGCTAACAGGTGACTCATAATATAAGCAAAACAGCCAATCAAAATCCTTTAGCCATACATGCTTTGACAAGCATTATATAGCAAGGTCATTGTCGCCACGACACTGTGTTTATATAGCAATCAGTGATATATCAAACCCAAATATATCAAAACAAAAAATATATTTCCAAGTACAACGTATACAATTAAATAAAAACAAATTTACTTTGGTAGGATGTGAGAACTCGTTGACAACTCAGCTTTTCTATTTCCCACCCAGTAGATACACAACCGCTACCTTAACATCGCTGCAATTATCATCTGTTAACGTTATTGTCTGTTGAATAAACTAGTTGTTCAAACTTATACAAAGCATAATATATCAAGTGTAGTTTCCACTAATCTATTGTAACCCCGACTGCTTCAAATCTCAAATTTTACGCGAAAACATGCGATAGCCACACAAAATATACTCTGGCTGCGGTTTGAGCGTGCGTTTTGTTTTCAGTCAGTTGTTGAGTAATTATTGTCTTGCGGTATTTTTTTTTTGCAAGAAAACGACCCCTAAAACCCACCTTTTGCCCTAATACACTCGAGATAGTCTATTAACTGATCACAATCGTAAAACAAAGCGCATAATATCACTGAACTATGTAACACTGGTCAGACAAAATGATTTTTTTTGGTGCCGAATTGCGCTAACAGTGAAACTGCGCCTGTAAATAAAGTGCTATCGCAATAGTGCTGATTAATAGTTAATAACCCTGAACAGATATTGAATTTTTAAGCAGTTGGTAGTCATACAACAAAAGAGTTGCGAGAAAATTCAGTCCACATCTGTTTAGCTCCGATGGAAATACGAACTCATAACTGTTAAAATAAGTTTATAATGGGCAGTTGAAAATGACAGCTCGGATTCACTCCTTTGTTTTGCAATGTACGTTCCTTGTCGGGTTAGGATTGCTAGTTTATGAACCTGGCGTTTCTGGACAGTGTTCCGAATTCGTATCTCCTTTGGAGATCCATGTAGATTGGTGGAACGTCTTGCCCTACTCCTCTCGTGAAAAGAATGAAAATGGAAACTTCACATACAGTGGTAAGCATGTTTTGTCAGTTTGAACTTCGCTTACAATGTTGTAACAAGCAACATTCACATTCGTATATCGTTTAAGATTATCACTGATATGAATGTTTATAGTTATTATAACGGTCCTTTTTGCGCGAAGTGCAAATTGAAAACATCTTTGAATATGTCGGAACTGAGAAATGATATTTAGAGAGGTTTAAACTAAAAGGTAGTACATATAATTTGCACAGCGCTGCTGTTAATATATCTGGCTCACAACATCCTCTGCAAGCAAATATAGTGTTGCGATGCAGCTCAGCTAGATTGGGTGATGGATGTAATGATTGGTGATTGTATCTTGAAAGGTTTACTGTTGGTAGTGATAAAGAACGGCGACTAGGCCGACTGAAAAGGGTAACTGGGATTTTAAAAACATTTTACTTGCCTCAAAGCTGGCCGGATGTTTTCAGTTGTGTTTTTTATTTTGACATTTTGATTCCTAGGCCGAATACTCACTGTACCAACCTCGAAATGTTGTTATTATGAGGAAATGTATAACGCTTTAAGTTTTTAAGAGTATATAACGAGGGCACTCAATGCGTGATCAAACTTGTCGAAGGAAAAACTTGTTTACCGGCTGCATTGACTAGACAAATTGACTATAACAACATGGAGCTATATATATATCAGCTTGCCGTGGACAGGTGTATTTAAGAAATGTTCATCTAGAAAATTCAGCTATAATTCAAAAGGGCTAACTAGAAAAATAAACTTTGCCTGCGGTGTATGAGTGATGTTTATAATAACATCTAACACGTAAAGCAAATAGATTTAGTGTGTAAGTGGAATCGATTCAATCGTATACTTCCCAATTGAAAAAGTGATTGTCATTTTATGAATTTGACAGTTATTAATGCGTTCTCCTGCGAAGCATGAATATTCTGGATAAACTACTGACGTGATAAAACGCAACTTATAATAGACAGAAGAAACAAACAAGTTTCAGCCCGGCAATTTGGCCATACAAGAGTTTTATCATGTAGGAAAAAGTTTCTCGTATAGCCTGTATCTGTTTGTTTTCTTATGAGATGACGGTTCTATTTGTTTTCTTCAGATGAGATGAGATGAAAGCAATTTTTTCATTCCTTTTGTCTTAAAAACACAATCCAATGCAGGCGAAAAGATAACCCATCCTTGTGCAATTATTTGCTGATTTATCAATTCCCGCCCTCTTTAGTTACGGCTCAAATTGATCTGGCTTTACTGCACGACCAAATGACTACCGTTGATTACTAATATCTCAACTTTGTATGCGTGATTTGACAAAAGAATTGCTAATTCTATTGCGCGTTTTTATGCAGGCATCCACGTTGACGGTTTTAATCATAATGGGCAGCGAAGATTGTTGTCTAAAGGTTTTACTTGTATTACAACAAAAGCGGAGACTATTAACGGAATATTTGAAATGCAATTGGTTTACAGAATATCCTAACCTTTGCCGAATGATCTACAAACAACTCTCTTTTTTAGGCGCAGAAAATTAACTCACAAACACCTCTTTAATTCCTCAGATTACATGAAGGAACTTTGACATACGAATTTGTATTTTATCGCCTCATGCTTGTGATTCTTTATGCGTTTCTGTCAAACAGGCTTAGGTTCGCAATAAAGACAGCTGCTTTCGGGTACTCACCGCAAATTTATAAATATTTCACGATAATTTTAGCAAGTACCTGCCTTGCGTATGCGTCCACACAGAACACGCTACAGAACACGTGAAGACCCTAGCTGGGCACGAGGTTGACGTCAAGCAGTACGCGGAAAACCTGAGAACAAGGCTGCGTATATTGGCCGCTACTATACTTGTGACTGGGAACGAACCATTGCTACGGCTGTGCGATTCTACAGTCCAGATGCTAATGACCGTTGTATAAGGATCAGTAGCGAAGCCATATGCGTGAGCGAAATTCGGGCTGACTTCGTTTAGCCAATGCGAGCTTAGATTTTAAAGTTCAATAGAATACATAAGCGATATATTTTGTACTTACTTTTCTTATGATTTCACGGAACATTATCCCTGGTATTTTGTTCTACGATCCCAGTTAATAACAAATAGAGTTTCTCACCAAACCTAAAACAAAAAAGGAGAATTACTCGTTGTCATATCTGATTTACCTTCAAACAAATATGCTCATCTTATAAACCTTTCTCTCCTTCTGTTCCACAATGCTTTTTATTGATGTAACCTTTTTAAGTTCCTCATCGCTTTGCTTTGAAAACGTTTCGACTGAGTTGGGTAAAAAAACCCAGTTCTAACTTGTTTTGAAGGTGGTAAAAATCTCTTTAAATTTCTCAACTCGTGCACCATTATTTTTTGCCTCGTAGGTATATTTCCTACAGTGTTAAAACACGTTACAAATCAAACTGGGATAAGACTGAAATACAATGAGCCGATGAAGAACTTTGTGAATTTCACTGGGATGGCAAACAACAAGAGAAATAACACGATTTATTTCCCAGTCATGGCGGAAGAAGACGACGACAAGAGCTGTTATATTCCAGTTTTATCAACCAACGGTCCAGCGTACATCATTCATATCCAAGAAATTGTTCCCCTAACACTGCTTGGGAAAGGCTTGCTTCAGGGGTGGCAGGTTATAGCGCTAACCTTGGTTTTAGCTGCAATATCTGGGGTTTTTATGTGGCTTATGGTAAGGCAATATCATGCATGTTTATTACGAGTTACCTGAATAACTTTATTTATACTGAATAAACTGTTCTGGAGGTAAGTAATGATCACCTCTTATTGCGGTTATTTGCTTATCTTTTTAGGACAGAGGCTCTAACCCCGAAGATTTCCCACCAAATTTCTTCACTGGAGTATGGCAGGGTTTTTGGTGGGCTTTTGTAACCATGACAACTGTAGGGTAAGCTGGCTACACTTTGTGCCAAACTTAGTTTTTCCTACGAGGACTATTATGTTTTAATTGTTATGAAATCATATTTAAGGTATGGTGACACCGCTCCTCGGTCAGTACCAGCCAGACTGTACAGTATTCTGTGGATGATTATTGGTATGATCGCTTTCTCAGTTCTCACCGCAAATATAACCAGCTCTTTGTCGCAGAAGACCTTTGATGCAGAGGAGAAAATGTTTGGAAAAAGAGTGAGATTATATATTTAACAACCATAAACTTTACCCCCGACCTGTATGAGATGATCCTTACTGGACCTCTAGGAAGAACAGTTTAGAAATGATAGAGCTATCCAATATAAATAAAGTTAGTTTAGTTTAGGTTTCCTCCTGTAGTAACACTGGATCAATAAGAGATGATCCTTACTGAACCTCTAGGAAGAACAGTTTAGAACTGACAGAGTTATCCAGTATAAATAAAGTTAGTTTAGTTTAGGTTTCCTTCTGTAGTAACACTGGATCAATAAGAGATGATTCTTACTGGACCTCTAGGAAGAACAGTTTAGAACTGATAGAGTTATCCAGTATAAATAAAGTTAGTTTAGTTCAGGTTTTCTCCTGTAGTAACACTGGATCAATAAGAGCCACATCAACTCTAGAGAGAACTTTATATCAGCGAGCTTATTTCTTTACAAAGGTTGGTGTTCTTGAAGGAACATTGGACGCAAAAGCAGCCATACTGGAGAACGCTCGTATTATCAGTAAGCAACACTATCATAATACTTCACAGAAAACGATCTAAATAAAGCTGTATCGTATCACTTATCAAAGGGAATCACATCAATCTAAGTGCACTACTGTCTTTGCCCTTAGATCATCAGACAGTCGCTGAACTATTAAGTAGTTTGCAGCGAGGTAAAGTGGACGGAATTCTCGTGGAGAGATACGTGGCAGGCGCTTATTACAACGAGTACAAAGAGCTAGGAATGGAACTGGGGACATTGATACGTTTTCCATACAAAGTGGGAATGCAAGCACCCAGTTTTATCACTGGACGCGACGGAGAAACTTGCACTGCGTTTAAGAAATGCGTGCTGGACATCTTGGGAGAAGAGAAGATTCCTATGGTGAGTGATATACTCGTGTTTCTTTCTGGAAAGTTGGTTTAGGGTCTGGAAAAATTGGGATAACACGGCTAATAGCAAGAAATAAGTTTTAATAGACAACAGGAAATTTTACATGTAGTTGGCCATCGTCAAGTTGTTTTGTCCTTTGATTATTGTGGAGAGAGTAGTCAATATTATTCACCAGCTATAAAAAACGCCAAACGGACTTTGAACATACAATCGCATAGTTGTATTAACTTACTCACTGACGACACATGCGGCATTTCGGAAGTAAATTATTGCTCAGACAACTGCAGAACACGCATGTACTTACCACACGTTCCTTATCGTACCATCTCAAACCAATGCTGTGTAGTCAAATGATATGTACAGTATTTATGGTACCATTCACACTTGAAACTTCTTCCATTTCAGAAAGTTCTGAGCGACTTTTCAAACGCATGGCAAGACTTTAAGCCGAGCGAATCGACATCATTGTTTGAAGACGAATCATTCTTTTATATTCTCATTGCATTTTTCTTTGCATTGCTTGGCGTTGGATGTGTCTGGCATTACTTCGTGTTTATTCCAAAACAACGACAAACTATTAACGACAATAATGGTGGTAAGTCCAGTGTTGTTTTATGTGCTCCCATAAAACTTTCGATAAGTTTTAATTCCATTAAGCTCAAAGCATGAATAAATTACTCAGCAGTAGAAATGTGAAAAACAGTCCTTTTAACTCTTATTCACTCGCGTTTTGGTTTATGGCCTCCTCAAATGTTAGATTTCACTGAGGGAAATTGTTCTTAGAGCCTTAACGGACGGTAGACTAGCTGAAGCCACGTGTAAAAACACATTCAAGAATCGAACTGAACGTTGGGAGTTTGGAGACGTTTCATTCAAAATGATTAATCATAAATGGGTAGAATAACTATCTCCATAAAATTTTATCCCATTGTGTTTTCGCCCCCATGGGTTCTTTATGCGTCTAAGCATTTGTAAGTGCCCGATTTACAAGAGCCTAGAGCCTAGAGGCATTCTAATATCGACAATACAGCGTGTGCAAATGATCCTATTCTTACACAATTATCATGTTCTTATAATTTCAACGGAATGCTAACAGTTTATTAATTCCATCGTAATTATCGCTACTGTGGTTTTAATAAATGAAATTAATCACCACACAAAGATTAACTTTCACGACCCAACGTTTCGACACTCCGGTCTAGTGTCTTCATCAGTTATAAATTCATATATTTCTTAACAGATGAGGTAAAGGCCATGGAGTCCGGAGAGAAATTTATAGTTCTCAAAACGGAACTCGAAATGTTGTGCCCAGATTGCCACCCGAAGTTGGATGCAATTTTAACGGAAAATCCAGATCGACAATACCACGATTCTCTTCTGCACATACCGTTGTTACACGGAGCTCCTAATCTCAAAATGTTGTCTGCGAATGCATTCGACCAACTAAAGCGAGTTCCATCCAACGCCGCTGGGGCCATACCTGATGCCTTTGTCGGCCGCAAAAAATCTGGCCGTGTTAGTAAATGCTAAGACACTAAATAAATACAGTATAATACGCAGTCCAGTCTCTGCATTGAGATCAGCCGATTGTTGCATAGATTAACTCTGTAGTGTAGGTTTGAACCCATAAGATGAGTTCGTGAAACCTTGGGACATGGAAATGACGAATTTGGGTAACCAACTTGGCGGGAAGGCTAGCAGTGAGTGTAGTCGGACGGTAGAGGGAGTTCAACGTCAGTCCCTTTGTCAAATTCCTATGTCCTATGAGGGGGGGGGGGGGGCAGATGTCAATGGTAGCAACTGTATCTTTAAAATTTTTGACTGGTTTTTCAGTAGAGATTTGTTTGATCCTGGAACTAGCTAAAACGCCAATTTTGTTCTCCAGATTAACCAAGCGAACTCTAGAAAACTTATCAATATTACTTTGTTCTACGAAGTATTAAAAAATTATAAATTTTTCAAGTCTCACTTACCTACATCTTCACCGTAACTCACCCTCGACGCTCCGTATTAAATCCAGTCCTTCACTTTAACTTTAACAAAGCCCACCGCCTGGCTATTCAAAAATCTGATAACACCTCTTTCCAATATTGCAGCTACTGTGAAACTTATTTTATCAGAGGCATATCTTAAATTTGCAGGTGTGCTAAATTTTTTGGAACTCTACAGTATAACAGTGAATGCGGTTCACGCACTTTCCTTGCGAGTTGAGCCGTTTAACTTGCAAAAAAATTACACAAAATTTATGTAAGTTATTTAAGTTGTAAAACTTTCGAAATAATCCGTAAAGCAGTTCGTTGGAACTAAACTAGACAAAACTTGGAGAGTTGTTAAGTTGAGAGAGTTGTTAAAAACAGAGTTTTATCAGGAGTTATCCTTTGAAACACGAAGAAAAAGCTGATAAAAACAGACGGCTTTGATACTTTATTGAAAATACATTTATACTACAGTACAGTGGTATGAGATTTCATTTAAAAAACGAGAAGCAAAAGCAGTACTCAAGCTGGAAGCAGAAATATATAGGTCCTTGGACACTTTTGGGAAGTACAAAAGAAACAATTCGGCAACTTGTTTGAAAAGATTCCTCTACAACCTTTCCCGATTATTGACAGCTGAGGGATCTTCGAGAAGTAAAATGACACATCAGAAATAACAAACGGTTATGCGGGTAAAACGTGTTTTCCAAACAAGCTTGCTAAACAACACAGATTTTCTTGACATAAGTTTGGAAATACATCCCTGTGGCAACGATTTTTCAAAGATGTGCCATTTCTACTTTTCCAAGGATCGCAAGAACCTTGTTAAAATCGACTTCTGCTAAGTATGATACAATATTTATGAAAACTCTTTGCGATGATATTTCTCAGGTTCGAAGTACGAGACAACGACCACCCGATTTGAGAACTTGCGGCCCGTGAGAGCCTGGTGAGCACTCTTGCTCTCGCTTGCCGACGAAAACTCGACGAATATCTGAAGATATCAAAATATTTTGATGTCAGGGACCTGGTGAATGGTTGATCTCATTCTGAGTGCAATCATCGGAATAAATGTCACATAAATTATGATATTTTATACACGCACCTTGCCACATCCGGGGGGTTCAAACTCTGGCGTGGGCCGTGGAATCTCAACACTGACAACATTACCATACTTAGAACACTCATCACGAACATCCTCGTAGATTTCTAAGGAAAAAAGAATGTCATTTAACTCGCTTGTTTTAATTGTATTAATCCCGTTATCACCGTTGTTCTAATTGCATAAATATTCTAATTTCACTTCAGTTGTTCTAATTGTGTTAATTAACCTAATTATCTCAATTAACGAACCTTCGTATTCCTCATCATCGAAAAGCTCGTCTTTCTGAACCATATTCATGAGGCACAGAACTTCCGTAGGCACTTCATTTGTGACCTTGTTTAATTCAAGACCAGGGATCTGCAGCTGAACTGGGACCATGTTTATTGCATCAGGCTGAACAAATGACAGAAATAAAAGCATTAGTTATTAGCATTACTATCCTGTTCTTCCTGGTAAACCATCATCGGCCATCTATCGACCCACGGGGAAAGAAAACAAGATCTCACATTATTCATATTCTGTTTCGCTCCAACACTTGCACGCTGGACGATCAGTTTCTTTTCGCCAAGTTGCATTCCATTCAGACCTTGGATTGCCTAAAAAAAGAACGAAGAACGCCTACAATTCAAGCCGTGGCAAAGAAAATATTCACGACTCTTTTACAGTGAAGAAGACCATCCCCCATCTGTGACCATTCAAGACGTTTTTATAAGAAATCCACAAGAATTCCCACACAAACATACCACGTCGGTGATAGACATGTCAACGTATTCACAGAATGCATATCCTTTGGAGAGACCTGTCGCACTGTCTTTGACTAAATTGAATGCTTTTAGCTCGCCAAACGAAGCCAACAATTCTTTAACCTAAGGGAATGACAGTTGGTCACAACCAAACACTCAATATTTTAACAAAATGCTAAGGGCCGATGTTACATTGAACTGCTTAACTCATAAACTGATTTCAAAATGCTCAACTTCAACTGGCTGGCCGCCGCTAATAAGCGACCAAATTTGCCTTGTTTTAAATACAGTTTAAGTGAGGCATATCTGGGTTGGTTCCTGGTTAGATGGTTAGGAGGTATTAGGTACCGTACACTTGTATGCAACAATTCCCAACAATGTTCTTTATCATTACGATCAAAATAAAAACACACATCGCATACATTACCCCAGTGAGCCATTAGTTAACAGACCAACCTAAAAACCTATTGTTTTTTTTTATTTTTTACGTTTCCAAAACAGTTTCAAATGGCAACTGATTGAGTTAGTTCAACGTCGCATCTTTTAGCCCAGTGTATTTCATGAGAACTGGGCTAATTTCATGCGATATTTTTACAGTTTGGAGTGTATGCATGACTATTTATCCCAATCGAGCCATTGCCATGAGAAATATATTGTTAGAAGCCGAAAAAATCATGAAAAAATCTAAGAAGTCTCTTTTGCTGTGGCGACCAATCAAGCGGTACGGTCTTGCCAAGTAGTATGCATGACTGAAGTTCTTTATAACTTGCCTTTCAACCATTGGATTGACAGTTTTAGGCTCCCCTAAGCTAGGGAGTAAAATTTTGGAAAAAAATCGAAGAGAAAGACGTCAGTTGTGTGTTTTTATAAAGTACAAAGCTATGTTAAGTCTCCCCCCTGACTCGGGTTTTATCGTTTGTCGACAGAAGTCACTTCAAAATGAGATGTTGTGGGATTTCAACACATATTTTTTCGACCAAACAAGAGAATTTTGAGTTCATATTATGGACAAGATCTTGATGCAGAAATGCACCACATCAGTAATACTGAATATGCCCAAAGAATAAAAATTACAAAATTACCAAACACCTGTGAGATGAAAGCCTAAAAAGCCTTCTTTTGTGATGAATCTGGACCAATCTTGACCTAAATCTCATGCATTCTCTCCTGTACGAAGCCAATCTAAAAATTCCTGCAAAGCTGAATTGAACAAAAGTGAAACCACGTTTGATCTTGTCCATAACTATAAACCTCAAAATTTTCTCGAATTTCTGCAATCCATCTCTTTTTTGAAGTGACAAATAACGCTAGGCAGATATTCTTTTTACTGAGATATAAACAGACCTGGTCTTCGTTCAGATAGTTTGGAAGACCTCCGATGAAAACTTTGTGCGGTGAGTCGGGAACAACTGTTGATACAACTCCTTGATGAAAAGAAAGAAATGGTTTAAATTCAATGATTTAAAATCTGTTTACAATTCTGGTCCTTGATCAGGACCCTTATAATGCATTGATCATTTTTATTGTGAAATAAATACCTGGAACATGGACCATTGATGAGTCTGAAGAAAGAATTACAAAATTTTCAATTAAGCTAATTTCAAAACAGCTGTTAAAGGAAGATGTTCTACCAGCCTATTTTTTATTTCTTTCCCATCTTCTTGTAGGATCTAACATGAATGAAAAATAAGAATTACCTCCACTTAGACCAGGGACAATTTGATAGTCTTTAGGACGTCGAATTTTGAGTGATTGACCCTGACAAGATGACAAATATGAGTTTACTCCACAATTGTTTACTCCTCAGACAATACGGCAACATCAGGTGATAAAATTACTCAGGAGGAAGCTGATATTTGTAGAATCAAACCTGTAGAATAATCCCATCAAACGCCATTGCCTGTGTTGTTTCTTCCACTGAACGGAACTATGCAAGACAAATATCAATCATTTTAAACACTTTGCTTTTGGTTTTTGAAGTGCGGTTGCAAAGCAATTGAACCAACCTCAAGGAAAGCGTAATTCTTTTCCATATCGATTTGGGCCGTGATAACTGGTCTACCACTGGCTGTACACAAACCACATTCTTGCATCTTGGCATTGAAAAATTCCACCATCAATTCCTGCATTTGAAAGAGAAAATTTAGTGATTGCTCTATCAGTTCTAAACTGTTCTTCCTGCAAGGATAATCCTAAGGTGACTGGTGACTTACCTCAGTGATACCAAATGGTATGTTACCAACATAAAGACGACGAGATTGCCGACTGATATTGCTGGCTTGGGTGATCCCAGTCACAGCCCCGGGCAAGGCAGGACCAGCCGTGGGTATCTCACCAGCAGCTACATACACAAGATAAAATATTTTTCAGCTTTTGAATGTGAATAATATTCAGAGTATATCTTTTTCGTATATGTGATAAGCATCATAACATATCCCCAAATATCACCTCTCATCTTCTTGTACTCCATAGGATCCATGTGCTCAAACCCAACGGGAGGAACATCCCATAATGATTGGATCCTATGAATTTATGAATCACAATATTATTAGAAAATCATCTACTGTTGTATGTATGCAACTTTCACAGGAATTGATGGTAAATCTATCTAAAAAAAGCTTACTTTTTGCGCTTTGGTGGCGATGGACTTCTTGATCTAAATGAAAAAGTAAATTCCTTATATTTTGGTTGAACAATACCACAAAACCGATTGAATAATCATCCAACCATTTGTGGAGTTTTAGATTTCTTTTCAATTTTTGTTACCAACCTTCTCCGCCGTCCCCTGTCAGGTGATCTGTTTCGTCGTCCTCTGTCTGGACTTCTGGATCTTGGTCGTCTGTCACGGTCGCGGTCCCTCCTCGGTGACCGTGACCTGGATCTTCTTCTTCGCCTGTCATTGTCTGGCCGATCTTTCAATTTTAAAAGAAATTTTGATTATGTCAGTAATCACACAATATAACAGGGCATTAACTTGCAAACGTCCTAATTTGGAGTTCCTTTTAACACCAGATCCATGAAAGTAAACAAAATATGCAAGATTATTTATTATATGAGTTTACACTTTATCTCAACACTTATATGCTAAGAAATTGTCCATGTATTCGCAGTAAAATGAGCTGATTATATTTCATTTATTGCAGAAAGCCTACTCAAGGTTTATGAAAACTTCACTGTCAAACAAACAAACTGTGATCAGATTACAATACATCGCATTCACAATATCAAATCTTCATTATTTCAAACATGCAAAATTCAGGGCCACAAAACAGCCATATTTCGCATAAAACAAGCCCACTTTCTCCCACAAGAATGCAAGTATAGAACACCATAAATCTTCACAGCTCACCATTTTCTGATTTATACGAGTCTTTGCGTAGAGAGTCCAATTTTTTGGTCACATCTTGTTCGATATCAAATTCCGCCATAATGACTCAGTCGCAAAGAAAGCGTGCTTTCGGCCACTTGCCCGAGCGTCGAATATGTACCTTGGAGTACTACAATGTATCTTATTGTAGCTCTAATGTACCCAAGTGTACCTGCAAATCTTGAAAATTATGCGCAGTCATATCATTACGTAAAGGAAAAACAACAACAAAATCGAAAAGATAATGGCAGTGAATCAAACGAAATCACAAAACGGTCAACTTTTCTTGACGAACGACTTGTAAGTGAAATATTTTTAGTTGAATATGTAATCGAGTGTCTTCTCAACACGTTTACCCCCGTTACAGCGTCATCTCAGACAAGAATGGTGTCGAATTTAGCTTTGAAAAGTCGGCAAACTTGCCTGGGTATTTGTTGGCTTCACGGACAGGAAGGCTCATCTTGACGGGACAAAAGGTACCCGAATCTTTTCGATCGCTTACAGAAATTGCGTATATCGTAAAGGGACATTTGTCTTCTTTCTCCCTTTCAGGTTATATTTGTAAATGCGAAAGCGACGGACCAATGTCAAACGATAACCATGGCCTTCCATTATATACGAAATTTGGAGGTAATGGATGTGGATTTTGAAACAGGCTGTATTTATTATACATGAAATCATAGAACAAGCTATATCTCAACAGAAACCACAAACTAACTGGCTCCTTTCCCGTGATTTTAGATAAAACAACCAATATTTGGAGCCAATTATCTTCAGGCTGACATTACAGCAGAACCTGGAGGTATAAATTCAACACAAGTCTATTTTTCATTTGTAATTTTGCGGTATTTTTTATTAAAATAAGCCTCATCATTTCAGCTGGATGGCAAGGTGATGCTGTTTTCAAAGTTGTTTTCAGTAAAGGGGGAGCTATCGAATTTGCTGAGGCTTTTCAACGAGCTGTTCGGAATGGTATGACTTCAATTTATTCAAACTAAACACATTGCAATGCTAAATTCTACTGGCTTTGATAGTTCTTATGTAATCCATTCTCATTGATCTCATCAGCCAGAGCAGGTCACCACCCAGCAATGCAACAACCACCAATGAATGGTCATTACTTTATACCACCACAACCACAGCAACAACCAAATCCTGGTTATTACGGTTACCCAGCCGCTGGTTATGCCCAGCCACCACCATATCAACCACAGGTACAGTTATTCATGATGATTAACTTGGCTGTTTGGTCACACTGTTTTAAAATTATGCACAACACTTTTTGTATTCCTAGGGCCAGTTTAATTCCCACCATTAAATGTACCAAGCAATTAACACAGACCTCTGTTATAATTTAATCTGTTACAAATGTTTTTAAACCAGATTTTCTTTTCAATTTTCTTGAAAATGTAGCCGTACCCTCCACAGTTCAATGGTGCACCACCAATGCAATATAACCAGTACCAGTCTGGTGTTCCACCCAGTAAGTACCATCACACAGTGAACCTTAGTTTTTGATGCAACAAATAACTTGAAAATCCAGGAGGGTTGGACTAGATCGACTTGGTTTCAAGGGAGGTTGAGATTTTAGAAGTTTGTTTTATTCTCGGTCTCTTTATTTCAGGTGGAAAGGCAGCCGAAGCATATGCATCTGGACAAAATGTCTATGTTCCTGCCCCTCAGGTATATAATCTAACCATTGCCGTTTCATTCACATAACTTGTGGTATAACATAGACCTGCCTAAAATAGACAAAAACACTTCTGTACGTTTCACACTGGTTGAGATCAAATTTCATTCGCATGTTACATCAACTCATTAACTGGAAAAACCTCACCAACAACTATTTAATTACTTGTCGTAATTTAGGGAAACTTTGCAACGCCATCTGCACCACCACCGCCGTATGAAGAAAGTGCAAAAAAAGATCAATAAAAATAACTGACCAGAAATGAACTTAATATAATTATCCTTACGGATAGTTTAATGGTAAAATACAAATTATTTCTGTAAGTTAATCTGGGCTAAGACCAGCACCATATTAAAGCATTACAGTAGAAGATATTGTAACATTGAATGATTCTTTGGAGAAATACACCTTATCTTTCAAGACATTATTTGACTAGCTCAGAATGCTTAGCAATTACCTTGAAATTAGCCAAAATTCCATAGTCTTGATAGTTAAATAAATATGTCATGAGGCATTTAATTAACTAAGGTCTATTTGTAGTTAATACATCCAAGAAACATATCACTTATTGTAATATTTAAGTTGCTATGAAATGTTAAGTATTTTACGTCTTTCAATATACCAAAATAGCCATGGTTGTTGATAAATAAAAACAATGTATTATATATAATACACGCATATTAACCTGTCGTTACCATTAATTCATTATTTTCTATTCATTATTTAGTCATTACTTGCTTGATTCTTAGGGTATTCTATGTCCTTTCTCACAGAAAAGCCTATTTCCCACACACTTAGTCTCTTATACATATAGAACCCCGTGCTAGAACACTATGCTAGATTTGGCTTGCCCACTTCAGGTGATGGAGTTTTATTAATCCACGACGATTTTTATGAACATAACATCGTCTTTGATATACTGACGATTATTTAAATTATCAATAGGCATGAATAATGGCGAGCCACTCGCAATGTTCATATCAGACTTCGGGCGTTGGAAAGAGGAACTTTGAGGATCAGAATGAAACGCATCGACCATGTGATCACCATTACCTTGATCCAAGAGCATCATGGTAATCTTCTTCTGAAATGGCCAGGTTTGAAGGGCGTCAAACTCGCCCTTCATGACCACAAAGAACAAGGACAAATGCGATCCTTTCCCAAATCCATCTCCGTTCATATAGATCTTTGCACACATTTTATAACCAAACTGAGCGCTGTAGAAATGTGGACTATACAAGGCAGTCTTCACTCCGTTGATAGCATCCTGACGCTTTCTCTGATATCCTTCAATCTTCCACAGCAAGGTACCATTGTAATTCACCTTCGTTTGAAGTGGCTCCCTGGGATTTAAGTCTGCAAACTTTGCCGTCATTATTGCCACAGATTCGTCTAGTTGCTCCACTTTATTTTTATACCTTTCAATTATTTCCGTCTTCTCTCTCAGTTGCAACTCTAATCTGTTATTTCTTAATTGTAATTTTTCAACTTCTTTTTCCATTTTTACCTCAACTCGTCTTATCTCAGAGTTCCTGGCTGCGCCATTAGAACCAGTGGCTTGATTTGAACTCATATTATCCATTCGTCTCGTCATTTCAGTTATGGCGGTCATTATCTCAGCAATCTTATTATTGATGCTCATGATTTCAACCGAGATGGCGTCTTTTACTTCGTTCACCTTGTCCACTACCACCTCCATCGTAGCAGAACCGTTCAATCTTGAAACAAAGTTCTGCATTTCGCTTTTTAATGCGAAAATAAACTGTATTAACAGTTGTATGTGGAAACGAGATGCATCCTTGTAGTGCTTACGAAGTACCTTCCTTTTGCTGACCTAAATGATGCCGTAAATAAGTTGTGAATACTGTAAATTAACAGTTAACAAGCGATTTAACTTAACACTAGACCAAGTGCTTTGATGAATAGTGATTAAATTCAGACACAAATCTTTCGTATAAGCATGAACAATAAAAAAATCATCACTCTCATTTTCCTGCGACGGCAGGTAGACGGTCATTAACTGAATTACCATTGGCATTGCATCGGCATTTCTTAGTTGCCCAAATACCTTATAAAACGACATTAGATACAGCAGGAATGTACCTTACCTGTATGTGGTCACAACCAAGCTGTTTAAAATCGCATTCCTGCTCGTTTTCCTCACAATCTTCACCAAGATGTTTCCTCATTTCTCTGCGAGGTATATTTGTCACCTCACAATATTCGCATGTGAGTGGAGCTTCTGGACAATCCTCATCTATATGTTTCTATGACATACGAAAATCAATGAATTACAACCGATGAGTTGTATAAAATATGAATCCAAATGGTGTTTGCTGTGTTCTGACTTACCTGTAAAGACGAAAAAGCCAGCGTTTCATGACAACTCTCACACTGCACGGATCTGTATTGGCATTCCTGATCTAGATGTTTTGCCAAAAGACGTCGCTGGATTTCCTTCGAGCATTGTCCATGAACGCATTTAATCACGGTGTAATCACATGTGTTTATGTGAGCCTAAAAACAGTGGCATATTGTTAAAAAGTCGAATGATAACATTTCACATAGCATTACACTACGTCAGTGCAGTGTACTTAGAGTTCACTCAGTCAAAGTCGGCAGTGCAATATTTACTAAAACCTAAAACCTATATTTTAATATTTGTGAGTTACCTGTAATTCTTTTCCAGCGCCAAACCAATCGCATTCCTCATTTACACAGTGTAACGTTAACGTCACGAGTTCTCGCTGCGTGTAGCGATCCAAGAATACCTGCAAATATTTTAAAAAGAAAGTTTAGCAAAAGGTTCAGTTGCAACTGGCGCTCTTGAGCGTTGAGCAACTACAAAACATTTTAATCATGACGGATGATTTATGTTCCTGAAGGAAGACTGATTCATTTGAATTGGTGCTAGAAAACCTTTGACCAATGCAATGTAATGATTACTCAGGCAAAGAAACGGAAGATATTCAGTGTTTACTTACATTGTTCTCCTTTAATTCAGTTCCATCTACTGGACAAACAGAATTTCCACTTCTGAAGAAAAGAAAAGTATGGGAATTTTTCCACTTTGAAAGTCGTTTGAGCGGAGTGGACAACTGACAAATACAAGCTGGCAAATCGACCTTATAACTTACCCTAAAATATTTTGAACACAACCTTTACAAATCAGATGCCCACAAATTGTTTGCATCGGCTCTTTCAACAACAACGAACATTTTGTACACAAGAATTTCTTGTTTATCTTCTTTCTATTACGATCTGAGATTTGCTCGCCCGGCATATTGAAGACCTGAATAACAACGATAATATATACGATAACGTAACTGCATGATGACACGCCGTATATATGTACACATGTGTTATACTAAGTATCTACTTTTTGTTTTAAAATTACAATTTGAATACCTTTACACGTGCAGTATTCAGTCCTGAATAAACTCATGCATATAGTCATGCACTATTAACAAAGAGCTTGCATGTCAGTTCATTGGAGAGAGATTCATATAACTTCTAACAAGTTATAACAGCAGCAAAGCATGTAAAATTAGCGAAGACTTCTTTGTAATTATAGACTTGCTCTTACCGGAACATCTATTGATTCGCCAGGCATTTTGTGATTTACTTCAATTTATTATATCGATAAATAAGTATCAGTATCTGAAATCATGCAGTCCTCACTAGTCCACAGTGAAAGTGATTTCGACGAACTTAGCATCTACTTTTATATATACTTTCATTTCCCTAATTCCTTGAATTAATGTACTATCTAGCCATGCATCTCGGGGAATTCCCGCTGAAATATGAAACCTGCATGCATGGAAAGTAAGCCAAATTCAAAGAACAGTATAAAGACAGAGCACGTCCCTGCATGAGAATCTGAGAAACTAGATTAATTGGGAAACTTATTTTTTTCTTCATAGACTATATGGAAAGGAAGAATTGACTGCTGCAGATGTATACAGCTGGTGAATGAAAGCTTTCAAAACTGTATAATATACTATAAATAAGTACTATTTATCCTATAATCTAATTGGGGGAAAACCATGCATCAGCTGGTGGAACGATACCATCTATCAGTTAGCTACTATATATAATCTAGAAACTATCGTCTGGAAGTATACAGAGAAAGACAAGAGCACTAAAATCACGATGAAATTGCACGCAATTTATGATCCAAATAAATATATTTTAAATTTATCAGGACAACTGAAAAGTAGTAAGGGGACTTAGAAACTCCATATATTTGAGTTTAAAACCAACATATACTATATATACGGCATTCTAGGAACTCCCTACCCACTCAAACCACGCCTTCCCTAACGCCTTTCGATACGTGGGTGAACTAGCTGTTTTCGATACGTGGGTGAACTAACTGTTTCGATACGTGGGTGAACTAACTGTTTTCGATACGTGGGATTATATATATCAGGTTAAAAAACTGCTTCGCTTTGTAATTAGCGACTTCCACGCAAAGTAAATTTTAAAAAAGCCATGCACGCAGGGATTAAACAGAATCACAATAAAAAGCGGAAATTTTACTTCAACTGACTGATATAGTTACAAATAATCAACTTTATCTAGTTCGTATCAAATGTAGTATATATAATAGCCGCCTACAGGCAGCTGTCATTTTATACCACAATTCATGCGAAGATGTTTAAAAGACGCTGGCCCTCTTCTTCCTGGTTATATTGGGACGATTCACCAAGTATATTTCGGTAAAAACAATGTACGTTTACCCAAAAGTAATTGATCGAGAAAGTGGAAGAATAAAATATAAATTGACCTATATACAACCTGTTCAACTTAAAGTTGGGAGAACGAATGTAAATAAAAGCAAACAAGTAGTTCAATTCTTCTTGAGATGATACTTCTTCTAAGCTATTATCTACCTTTATATAGTATTCACTCTTTTAAAGGAACACATCGGCCATGGAACACTGAGTCAAAGCCGCTTTAAACTCTGAAGGTAATGCAGGCCGTAGGGTCAAAAAATGAATGGTATAAATAGCCAAAGAGTATCTCACCTTCAACTTGAAGTGTAGTTTTATAACATTTCATAACTCCTGTTAGTTCTGTGCATATATATTACTAACCATATAGTGCACGTCCATATAGCTATTTTACTGGTCACAGCATTATAATACAAATCAGTATAACTGCTTAGTATCGATAAACTGTAGGTTTTGCGTCAATGTAGATTGTTTAGAGTCTTTAGACTTCCTCATACGTGAGAAAACTGTTTATTAGAGAAGGTATTTTGTAAATTATTCCATCTGGCAATTTTTATAACTTCCTATTTTTTGAAATCGAGTTCCGGTGTTGATGGCTGGAAACGTGCTTTGATTAACGAATTGAGGGTTTTATTTCACTATATACAAATACTTCCAGCAAATACAAACTAAATGATCAGTGACTGCTAAATTTCATAGTTTTATAGAATTTAGAAACATTTAAACTTTACGGTAACATCGTCACGCACGTGCTGCGCAGCCTGCACTACGATATGCTTACAGCCCGTTTACCACTAGGCGAAATTGAAAATGTAGAATTGCTTCCTACTTTTTATCAATTCGTGCGAATAAATGCGCATATAGTGAAAAACGGGCTTAAGACATCACAACGTCAAATAATATAATTCCGCGTATTTAATACAAACCGACAACGTTTGTAAATTTCTAGTTTGCGAAAGTAAATAAATTCGATTTTAAAAGGAAATGTTAGAACACCGTCTTAACTTTAAAAATTAAAATTTCCGCGGTATTCAGACTAAACGACCCGAGTCTGTGTTCCGAAAATTCGGAGAGCATAAAATCGGGGCACATATAAGCAGCTGTCATTCATAAATTTATTTACATTTAGCTTCGCAAGACATTATTTATAACAATTATCTGGGCTGATGCGTAATCACATTATATAAAAGACCTTTTTCATAATGATGTAAAACGCAGAAAGTATGATGTTACACAAAGTTTGATTACCTCGGTAGTTTTGTGGAGCCAATCAAATTTCGTGTCATCAGACTTTCCCCGTTTGACGTCATTAAAAGGGGCTTCCCCCCGTGTGCGGTTGCATCACACGTCAAATATCGCACAGTAAGACGATCAAGTTTCTCATACTAAAACTATCGAAATCTACTTTTCGTAAACGTTCAATTTCACCGCTTCGATGCCGAAAAACTTAAGAACCTTTCGTGCTAAATACAGGGCCGTAGCTAAAAGCATAATTGGGGGTGTTTATTCTGGAATTATTCATACATTCGTCTAATCACAGTTCTCGATTTATTTCCTTTTGTACGCGCCGTTGTTCCCATGGTACGGTGTACATAAACATGAATTTATGAATACACACCCCAATTAAGCGGTTTAGATTCGGCCATGGCTAAATGTAATATAGCTTACCTAGTGACTTTTGGGTCAAGGAAAAATATTACTTAAGGTCATTTAACTGTAAATACTGATAGCATCTATCAGACCATATGATCAGACTCACGTGGAGAGCATGCACGGACTCACGTGCTTTATAATAGTTAGTAAAAGTAAAAATCTATATTTTAGTCTTGAATTAAAGTTTTTTTGGCTTCTACTATCAATATCGTGACATATCAAGACGCTGGAAGTGAGAAATATTTATCTACATTTCTTAAATACTTAAATTTACGCTGGCAAATTGTTTTAGCACTTCCAAATAAACTTAATCCTTGAAATGTCAAAATATCAGAAATAAAAATACGTACAGCACTTACTTTAAAATAGCACTTTGGTAGATTTTACCGGCAATTCAATGAAACTGTACTTTTTGTCGCGAGAAAATCTTGACCCTCCGATATGAACACCTTTACTTAAATGAACGAAAATAGTTTGCTTGTTGATTTATGTTGCAATATTGCTGACCTGAACATGTGGGTTGATGACACCACAGAATTCACAGAATGCATACATGCATGCTTAACAGTTTTGAGGTGTTTGTAAAAAATGTAATCAAATGAATCTTCAAAAAGATGGCCCTGTCTAATCGAGTGTCCAATTGTAATGCTTATCTCAAATTTTGTAGATTCTTAACTAGGAACGAAAAAAATGTCCTACGTCATTTGGTTGGAAAATTGTCAGTTTTCGTTAATGTTTTACTATTTAATTGTCTTCCTATGAATCAAGACTTCGGTTCTTACAAGTTTTCGGAAACAAAGTTTTCAATTCACTTCTGATAAGTATTTTATTATTAAATGCCAACAAGAGATACCATCACTTTTTATTACAATACATTGCATTTAGCTTATTGGCCTTATTGACCCAACATATATTTACCTTTACCCTTATATACTATACGCTACTAAACCAACCACAGTACTAAGTATTAACAACAGAATTTTATTATTCCAATATCTCACTGCTAACACACATGCAGCTCTCTATATCGCACTTCTCGTATTACACCTAATCATATTCCCTGTCAATCATGCCACTGTCACCTAACCCCTACTAATTATACCCCCAATTACATATATTACACTTATATGCCCATGTTTAGTTTAAACTATTATATGTTTATGGTGCATGAATAATAATAATAATAATAACAAAATAATTATACAAACTTATACATTTATGCAAGAATAGAATAGACCCAAATATCCCCAGTGGAAAAAAATATTACACAAAATGTGAACACACCAGTCATAACTAAGTTTTAATATCATTATAATAATAATGAAAAATACATAGTTATATTGTAATTATAATTATGTATTTTGCATAATCATATTTATATTCTGCAGCTTCCTTCATTTGAAGTTTCGCATTGATCCATTTGCAGGAACGACATGCACAAAACCATGCAACCGAAATGCACACCTTGCATCTAAACCAAAGCTCTGTTATTAACAACACAACACAAGCTCAATAAAGCTCAAAACTTTAAAAGCACAATGCATAAAGAGAAGACAAAAGAACATGCAGCTTATGTTTCAGTTGAAACGTTTGGATTACTTTTAATTTCCTACGGTTTATAAGTTAATGTTTCATCAAACAGAAACCAGACAAATATACCATCACTGCATTATGGACCCATCCTGGAGCACAGACAACATAATAAATTGAAAGAAGCTGAAGACCATTAAATGAAAATAACCAGACTAATTAAACGGAAGTGATGTGCTACTCATCAAAACTCATTTTGGTTTGCTATTTCAAAACTCATTCTGGTCTTTCGAGTAGAACCATCACAGTATTAATTAACCTGAGTCATATCTACAATAAATCTTTTTCCTGTTTAATATAACCAGAAAAAGTGGAAAATACCTCTTTTCCAGCTAGAAAACTGGGAAAAGTCCCTTAATCGACGATGATCTTGATGAACATAACATCATCTTTGATATACTGACGATTACTTAAATTATCAATGGGCATAAACAATGGAGAACCACTCGCAATATTCATGTCAGACGTTGGGCGTTGAAAAGAGGAACTTTGAGGATCAGAATGAAACACATTGACCATGTGATCACCGTTACCTTGATCCAAGAGCATTATGGTAATCTTCTTCTGAAATGGCCAGGTTTGAAGAGAATCATAATCACCTTGAAATAACCATAGAAATAGTAACATAAGAACCATTGTTAACTATTTTTCGGGCCATCGAGTAACTACAGGGTGCCCCCCTCCCTCTGTTTGAGTCACTCTTGTTGTTAATAATACCTCTATCACAACGCATGTTCAAAACAAAAGATCTAATCTTAATTGAGGGTACCCTTCAGAGGAGTAGCAAGGATTATGGGGGGGGGGGCAGGGAGGAAAAAAATAGTTGGGCCCATGCCACCAAGTGTGACATTCAAGACAAAATTATATCGTAATTGGAAACAAAATGTTGAAACTTACAAAATACATATTTACAAAAGAAAACATTACATTTTATGAACTCACCCTTCATGACCACAAAGAACAAGGACAAATGCGATCCTTTCCCAAATCCATCTCCGTTCATATAAATCTTTGCACACATTTTATACCCGTACTGAGCGCTATAGAAATGTGGACTATACAAGGCAGTCTTCACTCCGTTGATAGCATCCTGACGTTTCCTCTGATAGGCGTCAATTTTCCACAGTAAGGTACCATTGTAGCTATGAATGAGCTGCTGCGCACGTGGTCCTCGCTGCGACTCCAAATCAGTGATTTTCACGGTGTTAAGGGTAAGAGACTCGTCAATTTGATCCATTCTGCTTTGCATCAGGTCGATTTGTGCATCTTTTTCTCTCTTTTTTTGCTCCAAATTTCTAACTTTTTCACGTAAGCTGTTGATTTCGGTGGTCATGCTCTGAATACTCGCTCTTAACTCATGGATTTCATCACTCCCTCTCCCATGACCACCATCCTCAATTCCAGTCAACAGTCCAACCAAGGCCACAAACTTTTCAGCCAAACCTGTTCGAACTTCGGTGATATCATCGCGTATTTTTTGAACGATTCCTGCGAACTCTGGGCGTGGGATATATGCACCGAGTTGGGAAAGCGAATTGAGAGAAAACTGGAGCAAAAAACGAACATGGTCAATCAAACCATCATTCATATGTTGGCGTAGCTCCCTTCGTGTTGAAGTCTACAAATTATACAGATTAAAAATCTCTTATTGATCCAGTGTTACTACAGGAGGAAACCTAAACTAAACTAACTTTATTTATACTGGATAACTCTATCAGTTCTAAACTGTTCTTCCTAGAGGTCCAGTAAGGATCATCTCTTATTGATCCAGTGTTACTACAGGAGGGAATCAAATTCTTACCTTGTCATGATTACAACCCACGGCCTGAAATTCACATTCTCCTGGAATCTCTTCGCACACAACTTGTTCGTGTCTTTCAAGGTCCCTTCTCAAAACCTTTAGCTTGCAGAATTTGCAAGTCACTGGCGTACTCTCACAGCTTGTAGTGACATGATCCTAAACGAACCATTTTCATATTTAACGAAATGCGATTTTACAGCACAGTTTTATCCAAAATATAAAAGCATTCTAAATCTTACCTTAAGAGAAGCAAATGGAACATCTTTGCGGCAATAATTACACTTCACGCTGCGATATTCACATTCGTTTTTCAAATGTTCACCCAAATGAGAACGTTGGATCTTCATCTTACATTGGGCATGGACACAGTTGATCTGCGCATGTTCACACACCTGGGAATGACCCTGCATCAAAATAAAATTATGACATCAATTGTTAAATTCGAACATTCGAAAAGTTTTTCAACACAATTATGATGATACCATATATCATACCCTATCATATCCCCACATGCTCACCTCCAGTTCAACGTACGTGCCATGCCAACGACAGCCAGGGTTAGCACAATGTAAGGACAATGCTCGCAATTCACGTTTAGTGAACGCATCAGGAAATACCTGAAAGAGATGAAGGGAAACTTCACAGAAAATCTCGAGTGCCGATTAACTAGAAACCTCTCGGCGGCCTTGTTTATTAAAGATTTATGGATCCACACAGACAGACAGAAAGATGTTGAAACCTATACCTGATCTTTCGTCAATTCTGTGCCATCATCAGGACATCTTGGATTTGAGCTCCTAAATTGTAATAACAAGTATCATCACGGATCTTAGGTTATAATAACAATTATTTTTTAGAACATGTGCACAGGATCTGGGTTTACGGATTCAAAAAATGTTATAAAATACCGTGCGCAGGACCACAGAAAACATTCTCTTTGCAGTAAATTAAAGCCAGTAATTAGCTGGCAAAGTAACTGATTTCTAGGTGGCCCAGAAGTAAGCATGTGCAGTTTCATATAATGTGGTCTGAGTACATGTCAATTCTTAGGATTTTAAAATCAACAACTCTGCCTGAAACAGCTCTGGCTGAAACTCTTCCTTCTTAATTCAGAGGGTTTTGAAACAACTTACAAATATTAAGGTTCTTGGAATAATTTTAGATAAAGATTGCAGATGTGACCATCAAAACCTTGGTGATTTAGATTAAGCTAGGTGATTTGCTATAGTAAAGTCTGAAATAATAACTTACTCTAGCAGGGTGTCAACACATGAAGAACACATCATATGACCACAAGAAGTCTGCATTGGAGTTGACAGCAGTAGATTACAACTGGTGCAAATGAATTTACGATCAATCTTTTTCCGATCTTCATCAGTAATTTTTATTCCAGGCATTTTGGAAAAACTTTCAACTGGAAAACAAAATATTTACTTGTACACATTGCCAATATCAAAGTAATACAGACTAAAGCTCAAATGAATAACATCATTAGAGACTAGGTACGTGTACAGTATGAATTGCTTGTTCACTTTGCTGTTTGCAGGAATTTACATCATCATTCAACATGGCTTTAAATACTCGACAATCGACATAAATGAACGGGCTAGATTTCACTAGTAGCTTTTTATATAATTCATATTTCTCAAAGTCATGAGACCCGCTGGGAAACTTAAATTAATATTAGTACGTGAACTTACATTGATTTGGAACAAAAAGCAGAATGTAGAAAAGACGACAAACGATTTTCGCTCAGAAATTTCAAAAAAATCCACCATGGCAATAACATTAAATCACGTTTTGTGCTGTTACTGGGTACATGTAGGAACATGTAGGTGCATTTGTGGACAATGTTACATCACTCGTTACATTTGTGGATAATCTCAGTTGACTCAGCAAGAGATCATCAACCACGGACAAACTTGGGACAAACAACACATGCATGTGAGAATGTGAGCAGTCAAAGAAAGTAATCGCAGATTTGAAATGTATTTTGGGATGGACGGACACGACTTTGGACACGTTTATATTTTCACCATTTACATCGTAATTTACATAGTAAATAGGCGTGCTTGAAGCATTGAAATCAATGATTTGACGAGAAAGTTCCGAATTCGAGCTTTCGAAGTGTCGTGTGGTCCAACGTCGATTCGATGTTTTGTGTGCCAGCATAAATAAATGTAAATATTAAATACCTTGTGCGTTTTCTTGGTTGCTTTTGGGAAATACTCGTTTGATTTATGGAGCAATAAACCAGTTTTAAGAGTCGAAGCCAGTTAGCGATAGACACTGCGACACACCACGGTCCACGGAACGAACAACGGAACAACGCCTTTTACGATCAGACGATGTCCGATGGTCGCTATAGCGTTTGGATACAGGAAATACTGGTTTTGTCACGTGTTACGATTACATGTTTCGTGAAATCCCAAGATTCCCAGCTGTACCAATATAGCCCAGACTGCCCAGTGATATAGCCACAATATGGCAGGGCACTGAATGGTATCTATAAGAAATAAAACAAGAATAATTAACTTCTGGAGACCCAGAACAGAAAAAATACTACCTCACGGGCGTCGCTATCGGCCAACAACCAAGAACTTAGTAGATTTATATTGTAGAACCTGATGTTAACTGAAAAACTCGTAGTTACTCAAAGACCAGAGTGAACAGCTATCATATGACTTAAACACTGACTTAATGTAATGTGATATCTCGCGGGCTCTGGGAACGAGATTATCTCATCCATCTCATTGTCATCCTCGTTCCCAGGTTGCCGGTGTTTTTGCACAATTTTAGTCGAACCTGCCTATTCTGTTATGTTTATTTTTATTCATTGTTGTCCAAATATCGGAAAATTTTACTATTTTTAAGCATTTTCACACTGAAAAATCACTGTCTGGAGGATAGCGCTATCCAACCCAGTGTATGCAACCTTCGTACACCCGGCCGCAGGACACAAGTCCAAACCATAGCTCGAATGTCAAACCGCACTCGAAAACATGGTCGCTTGTCTCTACAATTATAATATACCAATTTTTTTGCCAATTATTCTGATACTGAACAGTGTTCCGGGATTTTAACCCAGAAGCCAAACAATGCATTTAAATGTTATTCAGTTGCAGTTAAAAGATATGACGTGCATGGTCTTCGTCAACGCCTAGTGTACTGTACAACTGGGAATTTCAGTCCCAGAACTGATCAACTGAAGACCGACTTTCTACGAGTTAGCATTAGACTGTATATAGTGTATAAAAAAGGGGGAGTAATTTTTGATATCTTTGTTTGGCCCCAAACATGGACACTGTTTTTTAAAGCCAAACGAAAAGGAGGGAAACCGGAGTGCCCGGTGAAAAACCCTCCAGGTGGTCTGCGGCATAGCCAAGGCTGTAACGCAGACTACCATACGGCGGTCCGAATTTGATATTTTTGATTTTGAAATTCCGACATTGAAGAGTGGGACAGTCATCCCCCCAATTTATTGCTTTACACAATCCCCCCGGTTTATTGCGTCATCTTTGACCGGCTGTCAAATATATTAGTCGAGTCGCCATATTGATTCGCCATATTGATTGCTTTTTCATAAACCGGAGTTCTCGGTGTTTATATTTTAATATTGGTTATTCAGTAATATTCGTCTGACAAATTCCTTAAATTTCAATGCCATTTCAGTGAGGAAATCATGCAATAAGACCATGCAGGAACAAGTCATTGTGTGATGAACAGGGGGGGGAGACATTCTTAGGCTTTGTCAGACGAGCCTGGTGGTCTGGAGCGGATTATGTTAATTTAGTTATTCATGAATGCTTTTCGACTTCAAACTGCGCACTTTTGTGAAGGACATTTGCTGCAACTTTTTTCATTAGCTTATCATATGCAAATGTATGCTTTTACTGTTATACACATGACATGAAATTTAAATAAAATGCTGACATTGAATCATGATGCAACTGTATGCCTTACTGATACACATGAAATTTAAATAAAATGCTGAAATTGAGTCATGCCTACATAACTACACGAAGTTTCCAGATTACTTCGGCATATAGTGCTCGAAATATAATCAAATTATGTGTGCACAGTTTGACTGTGTTGTCAAACAAGGACAGTCAGAATGATCGAAATTAAACTAATGACTTACTGGATGATAATCACTGGAGTAAAGTCATCGTTTTTTCTCAAATAACTGATCACTAGTGAAAATTATCACTACGAGTGTATGTGAAAGGTTTATCGTGTGCATTGTGCAATTTTATTGATCTACTAGTATTCTAGTAAACAAAGTGTATAAAATCTTGCGTTATTTTTTCATTTGAAATAATGCGTACAGACAAGATCACTCCCGGAATATCCTCGTAAAAAATCATTCCCGGCACAAATTTTTTTGTTTTACCATTTCTTCTTTGGGTTAGTTGCTTCAAGCATTGAGAAAACACAGAAGAGAATCCCAATATACTGAATATAGATGGGCTATAAAATTATTAAAATATGCCTAAAATATCCCCGTTTTAACAAAAGAAAATAAGAATTGCTCCTTAATACTTAGCTTTGAAAACTCGAACCACGTTCTTCATTTTTAGACCACCCACCAGCTGACAGTTCTCAGTTGATTTTTGTCCTGCCAAATACCATGATTAAGGAGGGAGCCGTCTGTTCTGCGCATGTGCTGCGTGTGAGGACTGCTCGTTATAAACGGAGGTGAAAATCCAGCTGAATCATATATTCGATAACGCCATCACGTTTATCCTGAAAACCTTCGAAGGCTCAGAACTGAATTATAAAAGAAAAGTTTAGTACATTCAATGCGACACATTGTTAATTTCTTTGTTTCGAGTTGTTTTTGTTGTTCTGTATCATGCTTTCAGTCAGGTGATTGTTAGTTATTGTCAACTTGTTGTTAATCGTCTGGGTTCAACATGCAGGGCCACACCCTACCCCAAACCCACCTCACCCCCACACCCACACATGGAGGCCCAAATTACACCTGTATTAACTCAATGTTCGAAGCAACCAGTTGAAATCACGTGTGGAACGACCGACGGAAACAGTAAACCAAATATTGAAGACGAGGAGATTGACATGAAAGAGTGTATCGAGTCTTCGCGTCAAACAATTCAGAAATAATTTTCGTGCATGCATGTATAATAAAAGCCAAACAAAGCCAAAAGCTTTAATGTCTTGAAATCAAGTTATACTTGTCCTGCAGTTTAATTAATTGCAAGGATTTGAAAAGTTCAATCCATAATTATGTTATCATGTGCAAACCTGCAGAAATGTGATGCATTGTAATTCAATATTTTACATTTTACATTATTATTTCGCCATTTTTTGCCCAGGGCGCTCATATATTATAACCGCCTTGGTTTTGCAACTTGCACCGGATCTAAATTAGATCCGACCTCGCGCACGCGCATCGCGACTGTCTTTGAATCGCTTTACCGCTGGCATCATTCTGCTTGATAGTTTCTCATGCATCTCACACAAGAATATGTAAACAAATTCGAGTTAGACCACCAGGCTATCTCGACTTCAGAACAAATTAAACCATTGCATGCACTAACTTATTCGAAAGTTCTGAAGTCGACATCCAGGCAACTATGATACCTACAGTAACCTATGGTATAAACCTGAATAAGCTTCCTCTTCGTTCGACGCAGTCTCTCCATCGACGCATCTCTCTAATTAATCCGCATCACCCAAAGTCCACGCATGCGTAGATTGTACTCCAGTATTCATGCCGACGTATGCCTCCTCCAAAGTAGGTCCAGCTGGTATAAATCGCCGACGTAGGTCCTCCAAAGTAGGTCCAGTTGGTTCTTTTCTGCATGGTCTCATCTGTGGCATGGTCCTCGAACAACCGTCGTTACCAGGATCGCAATTCTTCTTTCTTCAATTCTCAAGTCATTCACATGTCGTACGCAAATACAAAATGCTCTTATGTACCCTTTTAGGTGAAAATACTCAATCGAAAAGCGGTCAATTTATTGCAACGGAATTCATGAATTGTTGCCATGCATCGAAACTACCAATGTTTTAATAGCAAAAGTCACAAACTTAGTTCATTTTCGTTCATTGGGAACAGACGTGCACACTAAAAAAGTCTCTCCAATTTCTCAGGTTACCAATTTATACACGAATAAGTAAGTAAAGAACAAACAAACAAACTAAAAGACAAATTAAAATGTTTCGAAAGCCACGTCATTTTTTTCTTAGGCCTTGAAAACCTCTTGTGTTCTTCTCTTAAACGAAAATATTTGATCCAAATCTGAAATTGCTATCTCAACAATCAATTTACCGCAAATTATTTTTATATTTTTTGCCCATGCAGCCAAATTAGTTGTTTTTAGTCACCACACTTTGCTTGCTTCATTCGTTTTTGTTCATTTGAAATAATCGTGTCGACAAAAACACATCACTCAAAAGTTCGTTCCTTCTAATTTTTCATGCATCTCGAGTTCAATTTTGAGCGCTTTAAAAGCGACATTTTCGACTATTCCGCCTATGGAATCAAGGACAGAAAATACAAATGAGGGGCCCCAATCATCTGTATTTTCCGTACTCAAAACACCATTTTAAAATCAAGAGTTAGCATGCACAAATTACTTCGAAAATCGAAAATAAGGATTGAACTATAGAGAATGTTTAGCGTCGACACACGTCAATGATTTACTTCAGGGATAAATTTCGTTTTTAGAGCCAAATAAATTGAATAGATACATGACCCGTCGCTTAAAATAACAGGATTCATGAACGCGAGCGGCGAGTCCCTATTTTGATTGTAATTTTAAAGATTTCTCGGAGTATTTGCGTACGTTTAGTGAATGACTTTTTCAGCGCTGTCTTCAGTCACCTGTAAAAAAGTGATTACGATCATGAGATTTCTGTGTTATCTGAACTATGGGTCTATTACCTTGGGTCTCTGAGAGAGTTGAGTTTTACCAGGGCTGATTGTTTAATGAAAGATCAATTATTTCGCAATTCATGGCAGCAATAAATGAATGCAAGAAGTTTGAATACCTTTGTCCAATTCACTGCAATTAAGGCTGCACCACAGACACGAGTCGATCCCAAACTACGCCACTTTCCCTAGATGATATTCGCTCTAAAATACAGGAGAAAATTAACATCACTCACCAGTAACGTCCAACCTAATTTACCAAAAATATAGAAGCAAAACCAGCAAGATTCGTCGAAAACAACCATCGGCACTTGCTAATTCATTTAGATATACAATAAGCTAATGACTGATGTAAATTTAAGCAAAAGAAACCGTTAACCACCTTTCCACACCTTCTTGGAGCAGGATTCTTTGAGACAGTTCCTTCGACTTGTTTTCTCAAAGCTCTTTAGATCCTTTGATAATACAATTTTCTGTTCAGGATCTTTTCTACCTCGAGGACGTCCGATGTCTTGATAATAACAAGGCGTATTCTCAAAAGTTCAGACTTTATAACCAGTTCAAACTTCCCACGCGTGGTGCTTGCATGAGTGACGATTGTTTTCATTGGTCCAAATGAACTCCCTCGATCGATCCCGAATGAAAAAAAAGCCAAACACAATACAGCGCAAAGTCCTCGGTTTTTTGACGGCACTAATGAGGAAAATATGAATCTTTCCATAGTTCTCCATGCAGTCAATCTGACAAGCAACGATCTTAGCTTATCAGTGTGTTTCAGGGACTGCTGAATATGATTAAAACAATTTGCAATCTACCTGGTATAATCGAGGTAGCAGCTTCGAGGCTCGTCGAATGTGGCGTAACAACTGACAAAAACAACTGCCTTTATTTCCAAAGAAAGTATTTATTATTCTTAGAAGTTAAAACACACAATACAATATTGCTCATAAAGATTAACGTCAATTAGCCTTTTCTTGTAGTTCATATATAGGAGCGTTATCATAACGACATTCACAACACTTTATTCGAATTTGTAAACTCGATTCTTTATCCAGCGTTTTGACAGGTTGTCGTATATCTCAATTTGTTTTGTGCACGACTTTTATTTAACTAAACTTATATTACTTTAGTACTAGTATACTAGTCAACCTTACAAGTCAAGTCTTTAACATTTACATCGTGCACGCACAAATTGAAAGCAACCGAAGTTTTGGACTCACTTACAAGACGAGGAAAAACAATTTCATGAATGGTAATCACCGTGACTAACAAACGACAATTGCTTCTCCGTCTTCGTACTGCCAGACTATGTCGCTACGACAGCGCAATTATATATGAACGTAAAAAATATAGTGCTTTTCACAAACCATTCGTAAACGACGAACTAGCTGACTTTGTTAGGAAACTGAATGGAATTTTTCAAGTGAATAAAAAATCTTGCCTGACTAGTTTTAAAACGATAGCAAAAAGGCGTGATCTTTTGTATATATTTGTAAGACAAAGTGAAATTCATGAATGTCTGCTTACAAACGGCTCATTGGAAAGCACTATATTGTTAAACTGGACATAAAAAACACACTAACATGAATACATATATAACCCTATCAAGTAACAGACTAGAACAAGTTATACCAGACTAATTATTAGGACGTCTAGACCGAAAAAACCTCGTAAAATACGGGGTAATTAAGCAACGCGCTAGTCCTATTGTACTAGTCTGTATTGTCCCCACAAAGTTAAGGCCCTGTTACACGGTGCAATTTTTCTTGCAATGCAATTCTACTTTTAAGAGATGTAAATTAGTGAAGCGTTCTCGAAATGTGAGTGTAGGAGACGCCATGGAGTGTAATAAAGACAAAATTTCGGTAGTAGCCAAAATTTACATTGCTCAAAAGAAGAATTGCATTGCGAGTTGCAAGAAAAATAGCACCGTGTAACACGGCCTTAAATTGGCAAAATCAACTCGTTTTTCTCTCATCTGAAGACGTCACGTGACGTCTTCATGCAATAAACAATGAAATGAACATTTTTGGTTTTGCCAATTTACTATATGCGTTTAAAATGAGGCTTATATATATAAACATGCAATCGTGTTAAAATAATACCAGCCATAATAGAATCTATTTATATTTACCAAGCATACAAGGTATTGAGAGCACTCTTTATTCGTGTTTACAACACGCAGGCAGGGGGCGAAACTAGAGCGATAATTGGGGGGGGGGGGGGGTGTGAATATTCATAAATCAGTTCTGCCCGACGGATTTCTATTGTAACATATTGCAATTACAAAAGAAATCCGTACGGCAGAACTGGATATATGAATATTTACACCCCCAATCATCGTTCTAGTTACGCCACTGACAACACGCGTCATGGGGTAGGAATTTTTGAACTTTAACAGCCTGCCTTGCTTTGAAAAGATTTTTAGAAAGAATAGAGGTTTGACGTTCTGGCGCAGAAACAAGAACCTCTTCCGACAAAGCTTTAAGGTACGTGCACGCAACAACTCTTCAAGAGGAAAAATACAAAAAGACAAATTGTTTGAATGTATTCCATTCGTGCATATCCTAAGAATAGGACAACAGAAATATGCAAAAACAAGAAAGCGAAACGACTTTCTTCACCTCAACCTCGACATATAATGGGGATCATACGATAAAAACAGAAAAATTAAAATGCTTCACCATAACATCCCCTCGCTACTGAGGAGATCACTGCACTCTCAAAACCTGTAGTTCAAAACAAAGGCTTCCTTGTATGCTGTAGTGTTATATAATATGTTATATGGATTGTTATATAGATTGTACTGTGGTGATAACTAGTGACAAAATTCCGACCTGCCTGTTCGGGGCTAATCTACGATGATCTTGATAAACATAACATCATCTTTGATATATTGACGATTACCTAAACTATCAATCGGCATGAATAACGGCGAACCACACCCGATATTCATATCAGACTTTGGGCGTTGAAAAGAGGAACTTTTAGGATCAGAATGAAGCACATCGACCATGTGATCACCGTTACCTTGATCCAAGAGCATCATTGTAATCTTCTTCTGAAATGGCCACGTTTGAAGAGAATCATAATCACCTTGAATTAACCATAGAAATAAGCATGATGAATTGGCACACGCAATATCTGTAATAGTAAGATACAGACGACAGTGACAAGAACAATGCTTCTGTCACCAGTCGACAATGATAATCATAACAGTTCTACTCACCTCTCATCACCACAAAGAACAAGGACAAATGAGATCCTTTCCCAAATCCATCTCCGTTCATATAGATCTTTGCACACAATTTATACCCGTACTGAGCGCTGTAGAATGGTGTACTATACAAGGCCGTCTTCACTCCGTTGATAGCATCCTGACGTTTTCTTTCATAGGCGTCAATCTTCCACAATAAGGTACCATTGTAGCTATGAATGGTGTTGAGGGCAAGAGACTCGTCAATTTGATCCATTCTGCTTCGCATCCGGTCGATTTGTGCATCTTTTTCTCTCAATTCTCGCTCCAAACTTCTCACTTTTTCAGCTAAGCTGCTGATTTCAGCGGCCTTGCTCTGAATACTCGCTACCAACTCACGGATTTCATCACTCGCTCTTCCATGGCCACCACCTGCCTCCAAACCTTCAATTCGTCTCTCCAACTCAGTTAACTTTCCAACCAACATCACAAACTTTTCAGCCAAACCTGAACGAACTTCGGAGATATCATCGCGTATTTTCTGAATGATTCCTGCAAACTCTGGCCGTGGGACATATGTACCAAGTTGAGAAAGCAAATTGAGAAAAAACTGGAGCAAAAATCGAACATGGTCAATCAAACCGTCATTCATATGTTGGCGTAGCTCCCTTCGTTTTAAAGTCTACAAATTATACAGAATATATAAAAATCTCTTATTAATTAAGTGTTACTACAGGAGGAAAGCTAAACAAAACTAACTTTGTTAGTTTATTTATACTGGGTTGCTCTATCAGTTCTAAACTGTTCTTCCTAGAGGTCCAGTAAGGATCATCTCTTATTGATCCAGTGTTACTGCAGGAGGAAACCTAAACTAACTTTATTTATACTGGATAGCTCTATCAGTTCTAAAACTGTTCTTCTTATTTATAATGGATAGCTCTATCAGTTCTAAACTGTTCTTCCTAGAGGTCCAGTAAGGACCATGTCTTATTGATCCAGTGTTACTACAGGAGGGAATCAAATTCTCACCTTGTCATGATTACAACCCACGGCCTGAAATTCGCATTCTCCTGGAACCTCTTCACACATGACTTGTTCGTGTCTTTCAAGGTCTTTTCTCAAAACCTTTTGCTTGCAGAATTTGCAAGTCACTGGCGCACCCTCACAGCTTGTAGTCACATGATCCTAAACAAACCATTTTCATATTTCACGAAATGCGATTTTACAGCACAGTTTTATCCAAAATTTAAAAGCATTCTAAATCTTACCTTAAGAGAAGCAAATGAAATATCTTTGTGACAATATTTACACTTCACGCTGCGATATTCACATTCGTTCTTCAAATGTTCACCCAAATGAGAACGTTGGAACTTCATCTTACATTGGGTATGGACACAGTTGATCTGCACATGTTCACACACCTGGGAATGAGCCTGCATCAAAATGAAATTATGACAACAATTGTTAAATTTGAACATTCGGAAAGTTTTTCAACACAATTGCAATGATTCTTCAATTGTATTCATTTCTCTTGTTATAACTGCACAGCAAGAAGCCTCAATGAAGGGCGTTTCTGCAGAATAATAGAGCGAAATGAGGATATAAAAAGGTCTCACGTTCCATGTCCTATTATCTCCCCTACATGTACTTCACAACCACCCTTCGTTCTTATGTTTCCCTATCATATCCCCACATGCTCACCTCCAGTTCAACATACATGCCGTCCCAAGGACATCCAGGGTTAGCACAATGTAAGGACAATGCTCGCAATTCACGTTTAGTAAACACATCTGGAAAAACCTGAAAGAGATGAAGTGAAACTTCACAGAAAATCTCGAGTGACGACTAACTAGAAACATCTAGGCGGCCTTGTTTATTAAATATTTATGGATCCACACAGACAGAAAGATGTTGAAACCAGTGGCGTTGCCAGCCTCACAATTTAGTCATGCTATGCTAATATTTTGGTTTCATTGACAGTGAAAACAATCAATTTGTAAATAAATGAATAATGATAATAACATAAAATTTGCATAGCATGACTAAATCGTCAGGCTGGCTACGCCGCTCATTGAAACCTACCTGATCCTTTGTTAATTCTGTGCCATCATCAGGACATCTTGGGTTTGAACTCCTGAGTAATAACAAGATGATCTGGGTTTACAGATCGAAATATGGAAAGTTACTAAATTAACTTCATCAGTCTCGGTTCAAATGTGTTTGTTACTCCATATCGAAAGTGCTCGATGCTGAAAAGCAATAAAGTCGCAAGGAGAACAACTATATGCAATCATTTAGTCTTAAGCTGTGTTATAACACACTGAAAGCGCAAGCATTGTGAGGCCACCGCAACAGCAGCAAATAAGTCAGCATCGCCCGGCAAAATAGCGAAGTATTTTAAGGTGTATCACAGCACAGTTGAAATTAAAGGTACAAAGTCATCTAAGGTATCATAGCACAAACTTACTGAGATGAAGTAAACTACGGTAAGCAATCAAGAAGAATAACATACTCTAGCAGAACATCAACACATGAAGCACACATCAAATGACCACAAGAAGTCTGCATCGGAGCTGACAACAGTAAATCACAACTGGTGCAAATGAATTTACGACCAATCTTCTTCCGATCTTCATCAGTAATCCTTGTTCCAGGCATTCTGGAAAAACTGTCAACTAGAAAAAAAAGATATACTTGAACACTTTGTTCTGTTTCAAAGTGCTTACTTTCCTCAAATGTCTAGATGCAGTTGATGCCAAATTTGTAATTTGTTAAAACCAATCGCATCCCAAATGTTTGTACGTATTATGCTCTGGTCAAAATTTAGCTCCAGAGAGTGTTTTTATTATTATATTAATCACTGTTCAATCCGACCTTAAGACTAATTGTGGCTTTTCAGCAAATAATCAAGGATGTACTATATTTAAAACTATTTATAAAAAAATAGGTATGCAATGCGTACATGTGGGTAGCCTGTAAAACATTATTAATGCGATAAAGCTGCTATAGTGGCGAGTAAATATCAACTGATGCGATAAAATATTATTTTCTAGTCTTATGTTCTAATGTCATAGACAACAGAATAAACGCCCTATAGTTAGCTGGTTGAACACAGTTATAACGAAGTCGATTTATTACGCAATCTATATATTATAATGTTTTATTGTATTAAATACATTTTAGGACAGATCAAAACATATATAAAAGCATTTTTACAAGAGATAGGAAATGAAATTTTTAAGCAGAATAGGTGAACAGAACAAAAAGGAGAGTAAGGTTCCGGGATGGCGGCACACATCGTCTGATAACATAAAGCTTAGTTTAGAAGGAGAAAGATCTTAACAAAGATTTCATTGAGGATAAACTACTTGATTTGCCAGATCATTTTACAGTCACATAGCAAAGAGTCCAAAATTGTTTCAAACGTTTCGCATTAACGTTTTGCATGTCCACATGCAAGAAATTGACAGGTGAAATATTGAATTATAATTTATAAAGGCAACTTGTTACTACCATTTGCCAAATTATAATTTATAAAACAGGGCAACTTGTTACTACCATGTGCAATAAGGTAATATATTTGGTTTAATAGCTGCATGTCCACAAGCAAGAAATTGACAGGTGAAATATTGCATTATAATTTATAAAACAGGGCAACTTGTGACTACCATTTGCAATAAGGTAATGTCTTTGGTTTAATAGCTGCATGTCCACAAGCAAGAAATTGACAGGTGAAATATTGCATTATAAGTCATAAGCTATAAAACAGGGGCTGGTTGTATCAAGTCTAAATTAAATAACACTCTTACATCTCTTTAAAATAAGTCAACTTGAATATTATGCACTGAATATGTAGTTGTCAACAGTATCTTTGTATTAAGGTTAAAAACATTTAGTTTGCTTCTTGAATAAAATGATAGATTTGCTTTCAATTTTGAACTTAACCACCGTTTAAGCTAAACTGGCTTGATACAACCGACCCCAGGGCAACTTGTTACTACCATTTGCCAAATAAGGTAATGTTTTATTTATTTTCTATTAGTGTAACTTTGTAGTTGTAGATTCAACGCTCACCCATCACCGCTTTTTCGTCGTTAAAGTACTCAACTTCGCTCTAAAATTTGACAAACGTGTAACTTCGGTTGCTTCCGTCCTTCGAAAACAACGAAATTTTCCAGAAGTAGAAGTACCGTTCGTCATCTTTCGTATATCCGATGATTGCCGAAGATGTGTGGCACCCACACACAAAACACACACAGATCCGGACACTTTTTCGACTACATAGTGGTTAGCCGCGCATGCGCACATGCGCAGGCTACACACAAAAATTGATAATTTATTAATTCATTGTTCGCAATTATCACAGGCAGCCCGGTCACTGCTGTTACGTCATGCTATTATATATGTGCATAATTACAATTGTAATTATATACATATATAATAGGATGACGTTATCAGCAGTGACCAGGCTGCCTGTGCAATTATCAACTGAGTTGTTTTCAATTGCGCTACTTAAGCCTTGGGCAAACTAGGAAACATTGTTTCGGAAACATTGTTTCCCGCCAATGTTTCTCAATGTTTCCCAGGGTGGGCAAACACTGGGAAACATCAGTGAGAAACAATATATAGCGCTCAGAGGAAATCAGTCCTATGAAGCAATTATTTTTTTAAAACCAAAACTAATTTGCATTACCAACATCCCATAAACAGTTTCTTGCTTCGTACAAACTTATCAGTTTCTCTGTTTCAGTATCTTTCCACACTCGTTCGCTTTTACCCCTTTTATTATTGCTTTGTTCGTCTACAACAACTGCTATTGTGCTTTCAGGCATTTTTTGTGTTGTTTCACTTGTTTGTTATCCGCAAAGAGTAAATATATATCTACTCTTTGTTATGCGCATGCTCTAATTGGTAAAAAGTGCAGAAACATATATATGGGCAAACATGGAAACAATGTTTCCGCAACCAAAATCACACTTGGGAAACATATAATGTTTCTGAATTTGATAGGAAACATTTTTGCTTCCTCGGAAGCAAATTTTGCTTCCGCAACAATGTTTCCCAGGGTGGGCAAACAGGGAAACTTATGAGGAAACATTGCGAAACATAAATGTTTCCGCAACAATGTTTCCTAGTTTGCCCAGGGCTTTACTAATTCTCTCTTATTTATTCGGAATCTAGTAAACTAAAATGATAATAAATATTCTGAGAGGGCAGAGTATTTTAAGAGATATACTAGTGATGTAACACAGCGTTCGTTCTCTCAGTAAACAACTCTATATTTTTAGCGGACTTTGAGCCTTGAGTTAAATATCATAGTAATTATATAGGAGACCTTCGTTTACAGTTTACTGCGGAAATTGTGGGAGATTATTGATTTAGATAGACATTTTAAATGTAATCTTGTATAATACTCAAGTATTTATCGAATCTTGGGTAAAATTTGTCATGTTTTAGGTCGGAATTGAAAAATAACCAGCGTGCGTTCGCAAGACAGTCACATGAATCACAGAATATGAAATCGGGCACGTTTTATATTTTTTCCCTTTTTAAATCATAATTCACAGTAAAAAGATTTATAACACATCAAAATAGACATATAACACGTTAATATATACGTTAGCGCGAAAATATCGAGTTCGAAGCATACAGTGAAATTATTTAACAGCAAAGTTCCGCATGCGAATAGCCATTCTCAGCATTTTGCCGTATAATTATAGAGGTACCTTGTTTCGGTTGTCTTGGCTGCTTTTGGGAATTTTTCGTTTGATGTACGCAGTAACCAGTTTAGACAGTTGAGAAGCCCAAGAAAGGCAACTAAATACCACCAAGACACATCTTGCGTAAGGTGTGTTGGCAAGTGAATAAATGAACCAGACTCAACCAGACTGAACCAGTTCAAACACTCCTTCCTGATGTTACAGGAGATCGGCTTCCGGTACGAGTATCGATCGATCACTGGTACCGATACCAATATTCAGTCACGCGCATGCGCAGACGTAACAATCGTCCAAAATGTGATAACATCGGAAGTCGCGAGTACCGTTTTGGGGCTGAAAATGGAAGTGAATACGTAGGCGAAGTACCAAATTATATCTACTGTATTATTGTCATTTTCTGCAGTTGTTTTCTAATATTTTAATTAGTTTTTAGTTGTGTAATGTTTCTGCTTTGTTCGTTGAGACTTGTGGATTGTGATTAGAGTTTCTGATGTGAATACAGCCGTTATACTCCGCCATGTTTAACCTCCCTAATAATGTTAATAAGACGACGATATCCATATATTATTTGGGCGCGTCTTGTCCATATTTGGGCACAAATGGAAGTGTCGCTGTACCCCGGGTCCCCTAAGTAGGTTTTGCACTCTAATTATATATTCACTTCAATACAAGGCATCGTCTCGATTATTTAAGATCAATTATTTCGCAATTCATGACAGCAATAAATGATGCAAGAAATTTGAGTACTTTGTCCAATTCACTGCAATTACAGTAAGGCTGCACCACAGACACGAGTCGACCCAAACTTCGCCACTTTCCCTAGATGATATTCGCTCTAAAATACAGGAGAAAATCAACACCACTCACCAGTAACGTCTAACCTAATTTACCAAAAATATAGATACAAAATCAGCAAGATTCGTCGAAAACAACCATCGGCACTTGCTAATTCATTTAGATATACAATAAGCTAATGACTGATGTAAATTCAAGCAAAAGAAACCGTTAACCACCTTTCCACACCTTCTTGGAGCACGATTCTTTGAGACAGTTCCTTCGACGTGTTTTCTCAAGGCTCTTTAGATCCTTTGATAATACAATTTTCTGTTCAGGATCTTTTCTACCTCGAGGACGTCCGATGTCTTGATAATAACAAGGCGTATTCTTAAAAGTTCAGACTTTATAACCAGTTCAAACTTCCCACGCGTGGTGCTTGCATGAGTGAAGATGGTTTTCATTGGTCCAAATGAACTCTCTCGATCGATCCCGAATGAGAAAATAGCCAAACATCTGGCCAAACACAATGCAGCGCAAAGTCCTCGGTTTTTTTGACGGCACTAATGAGGAAAATATGGATGTTTCCATAGTTCTCCATGCAGTCAATCTGACAAGCAACGATCTTAGCAGTTATCAGTGTGTCACAGGGACGGCTGAATATGATTAAAACAATTTGCAATCCACCAGGGGCCGTTTGTTCGAAAGGCGTTTCGCTTAAACGGTGGATAAGTTCAAAATGGAAAACAAAATTATGTGAACAACTGACCTGAAATATTTCGAGGTAAATAGTTTAATTTTCAATGGAAGTACATATTAAATGCATAAGATGCAGGTTCAGTCATTCACAAGATGTATGAGAGTATTTTTAAACTTTCGCTTATCCACCGTTTAAGCTAAACGCCTTTCGAACAATCGGCCCCTGGTATAATCGTGGTATAGCAGCTTCGAGGCTCGTCGAATGTGGTGTAACAACTGACAAAAACAACTGCCTTTATTTCCAAAGAAAGAATTTATTATTCTTAAAAGTTAAAACACACAATACAATATTGCTCATAAAGATTAACGTCAATTAGCCTTTTCTTGTAGTTCATATATAGGAGCGTTATCATAACGACATTCACAACACTTAATTCGAATTTGTAAACTCGATTCTTTCTTTATCCAGCGTTTTGACAGGTTGTCGTACATCTCAATTTGTTTTGTGCACGACTTTTATTTAACTAAACTAATATTACTTTAGTACTAGTCTACAATACTTAATGGTGACATTCTTCGATGAGACAAAATTCGAACCTTTCAAGTAACTAAAGTCTTTGACATTTACATCGTGCACGCACAAATTGAGTGAGTTTTGGACTCGCTTACAAGACGAAGAAAAACAATTTCATGAATGGTAATCACCGTGACTAACAAACGACAATCGCTTCTCCGTCTTTCGTACTGCAGGACTATGTCGCTACGACAGCGCAATTATATATGAACGTAAAAAATATAGTGCTTTTCATAAACCATTCCTAAACGACGAACTATAGCTGATTTTGTGAGGAAACTGAATGGAATTTTTCAACTGAATCAAAAATCTCGCCTGACTAGTTTTAAAACGATAGCAAAGAAGGCGTGATCTTTTGTAGGACAAACTGAACTTCATGAACGTCTGCATGCTTACAAACGGCTCATTGAAAAGCACTATATTGTTAAGCTGGACATAAAAACACACTAACATGAATACATATATATATATATATATATATATATATATATATATATATATATATATATATATATATATATATATATATATATATATATATATATATATATAAGCTTCCCCCTCGAATAGAGCTTTATCCATCATCCTTTGCACTTATCTGTATAGTTATTGTATAGTAAATTGCAAAATGCCAAAATCAACTAGTTTTTCAACCATCTGAAGTCGTCACGAGACGTCTTCGTCTTCGGTAAACAATGAAATGAGCATTTTTGGTTTTACCAATTTACTAAACGTTTTAAATGAGACTTATATATATATATAAACATACAATTGTGTTAAAATAATACCAGCCATAATAGATCTATTTATATTTACGAAGCATACAAGGTTATGAGAGCACTCTTTATTCGTGTTATAACACGACAAAACGCAACGGGTTAGGAATTCTTGACCTTTAACAGCCTGCCTTGCTTTGAAAAACGTTAAATTGAATGCAGTTTGAACGACCGACTGACAGACAAGGACAACTCATGAAAATAGCCAACAATAGGTAGCCAACTGGAAGATGTTAGTAAGAGAAAGACCGGCACAACCACGAAATTTTCCGGCTTAGAAGCAAGAATCTCTTCAGACAAAGCCTTTACAAACACGCACGCAACAACTCTTCTCAAGTCACTGTAAAGATACATGGCAGATATATGGGCATAAACTCACCGTCATGAAGAAAATATCTTACGATATCTATCGATCCTATACAACGATAATCCCAAAGCTCTACGCACATACTAGACGAAGTGAGGAAAAGTGGAGAAAGTAATTCTTTATAAAGGATAACAATTAGGAAACACTATACGACAATATTTCATAATCCAACAGTTTCGATTGCTCTGGTCCATAACTCAGCAATACATCAATTTCTGAAATGAAACATCATCAGGCAAGAAATTGACGCAGAACAAACGTGGCCATGAAGAAAGAACAATTGTTGAAAGTGTCCTGTGTATATCCTGCAAAAATGTAAGAATGCAAAAGAAATGTCTGAAAACAGATATAAGACGAAACAAGACGATACAGGAGGAAACAAAGCAAAGAAAAGGATAAAAACAATCGATAATCGAGAAGTTGACGCATTATTTTACGAAAACTGAACTCAGTTAAGAGGCATCGAAGAATTGAATTTGAAATGCTTAAGCCTTAACTGTAAATGACATGTATTTTCCTATTGCAATGAATCACTGAAGAACAAACTAGCAGAATTAGGCAAGAAAGAAGAATTCTTATATGGGATAAGAACTGAGAAACACGAATTCAAATATTAAGAAATCCAAAGGCGTCATTTTCAGACTTCTGATCTATAAGCAACACATCAATTTCTGAAAAGAAACATCATCAGGCCTGAATCAAGACCCGGAAAAACTTCACCAATGAAAGACAAATTTTTTGAACGTATTCCATACGTGTGCCTAACCATAAGAACAGGACAACAGAAATATGCAAAAGCAAGTAATGTATTTGAGTTCACATTATGAAAGACGACGAGAATGAGAGTGAAAAGACTTGATTCACTTCAACTTTTCGATGTATAATGGAAACGAAACGATAAAAACAAAATGTTCCACCATAATATGCCCTTGCTGCTGTGGTTGTTCACTGCACAATCAACGACTTTAGTTCAAAACAAAGGCTTACAATTTTCGACTTCATTGTATGCTGTAGTATCACGTAAATAGATCCAGAAACATGTCGGAATCCTGTCGCCAGCAACACACCCCGACATCTAGCAATATGTACTGTGGTGATAACCAGTGACAAAATTCCGACCTGTTCGGCTAATCTACGATGATCTTGATGAACATAACATCGTCTTTGATATATTGACGATTACTTAAACTATCAATAGGCATGAACAACGGAGAACCACTCGCGATATTCATATCAGACTTTGGGCGTTGAAAAGAGGAACTTTGGGGATCAGAATGAAACGCATCGACCATGTGATCACCGTTACCTTGATCCAAGAGCATCATGGTTATCTTCTTTTGAAATGGCCAGGTTTGAAGAGAATCATAATCACCTTGAATTAAACATAGAAATAAGCATGATGAATTGGCCTGTACGCGATATAGTGATAAAATTTTTTAGCTCAATAATTACTTTGCCAGAAGGCATTTAATATCTGTAATAGTAAGATACAGACGACAGTTAGAAGAACAATGCTTCTGTCACTAGTCGACAATGATAATCATAACAGTTTTACTTACCTCTCATCACCACAAAGAACAAGGACAAATGCGATCCTTTCCCAAATCCATCTCCGTTCATATAGATCTTTGCACACAATTTGTACCCGTACTGAGCGCTGTAGAAATGTGGACTATACAAGGCCGTCTTCACTCCGTTGATAGCATCCTGACGTTTTCTCTGATAGTTGTCAATCTTCCACAGTAAGGTACCATTGTAGCTATGAATGAGCTGCTGTGCACGTGGTCCTCGCTGCGACTCCAAATCAGTGATTTTCACGGTGTTAAGGGCAAGAGACTCGTCAATTTGATCCATTCTACTTCGCATCCGGTCGATTTGTGCATCTTTTTCTCTCAATTCTCGCTCCAAACTTCTCACTTTTTCAGCTAAGCTGTTGATTTCGGTGGTCATGCTCTGAATACTCGCTCTCAACTCACGGATTTCATCACTCCCTCTCCCATGGCCACCACCTGCCTCCAAACCTTCAATTCGCCTCTCCAACCCAGTTAACTTTCCAACCAACATCACAAACTTTTCAGCCAAACCTGAACGAACTTCGGAGATATCATCGCGTATTTTCTGAATGATTCCTGCAAACTCTGGCCGTGGGACATATGTACCAAGTTGAGAAAGCAAATTGAGAAAAAACTGGAGCAAAAATCGAACATGGTCAATCAAACCGTCATTCATATGTTGGCGTAGCTCCCTTCGTTTTAAAGTCTACAAATTATACAGAATATATAAAAATCTCTTATTAATTAAGTGTTACTACAGGAGGAAACCTAAACTAAACTAACTTTATTTATACTGGATAGCTCTATCAGTTCTAAACTGTTCTTCCTAGAAGTCCAGTAAGGATAATCTCTTATTGATCCAGTGTTACTACAGGAGGAAACCTAAACTAAACTAACTTTATTTATACTGGATAGCTCTATCAGTTCTAAACTGTTCTTCCTAGAAGTCCAGTAAGGATCATCTCTTATTGATGCAGTGTTACTACATGAGGAAACCTAAACTAAACTAACTTTATTTATACTGGATAGCTCTATCAGTTTTAAACTGTTCTTCCTAGAGGTCCAGTAAGGATCATCTCTTATTGATCCAGTGTTACTACAGGAGGAAACCTAAACTAAACTAACTTTATTTATACTGGATAGCTCTATCAGTTCTAAACTGTTCTTCCTGGAGGTCCAGTAAAGACCATGTCTTATTGATCCAGTGTTATTACAGGAGCAAATCAAATTCTTACCTTGTCATGATTACAACCCACGGCCTGAAATTCGCATTCTCCTGGAACCTCTTCACACACGACTTGTTCGTGTCTTTCAAGGTCTCGTCTCAAAACCTTTTGCTTGCAGAATTTGCAAGTCACTGGCGCACCCTCACAGCTTGTAGTGACATGATCCTAAACGAACCATTTTCACATTTCACGAAATGCGATTTTACAGCACAGTTTTATCCAAAATATAAAAGCATTCTAAACCTTACCTTAAGAGAAGCAAATGGAATATCTTTGTAGCAATGATTACACTTCACGTTGCGATATTCACATTCGTTCTTCGAATGCTCACTCAAATGAGAACGTTGGAAATTCTTCTTACATTTGGCACAGTTGATCTGCGCATGTTCACACACCAGGGAATGAGCCTGCATCAAAATGAAATTATGACATCAATTGTTAAATTTGAGCATTCAAAAAGTTTTTCAACACAATTATGACGATTCTTCAATTGTATTCATTTCTCTTGTTATAACTGCACAGCAAGAGGCCTCAATGAAGGGCATTTCTGCAGAATAATAGAGCGAAATGAGGATAAAAAGGTCTCACGTTCGATGTCCTATTATCTCCCCTACATGTACTTCACAACCACCCTTTGTTCTCATGTTTCCCTATCATATCCCCAAGTGCTCACCTCTAGTTCAACATACGTGCCATGCCAACGACAGCCAGGGTTAGCACAATGTAAGGACAATGCTCGCAATTCACGTTTAGTGAATGCATCAGGAAATACCTGAAAGAGATTAAGGGAAACTTCTCGAGTGCCGACTAACTAGAAACCTCTTGGCGGCCTTGTTTATTAAAGATTTATGGATCCACATAGACAGACAGACAGAAAGACGTTGAAACCTACCTGATCTTTCGTCAATTCTGTGCCATCATCAGGACATCTTGGGTTTGAGCTCCTGAGTAATAACAAGTATTTTTCATATGCGCACAAGATGATCTGGGTTTACAGATCGAAATATGACAAGTTAATAAATTAACTTCATCAGTCTTGGTTCAAATGCGTTTGTTTGCTCCATATCGAAAGTACTCGATGCTGAAAAGCAATAAGGTCGCAGGGAAAACAACTATATGCCATCATTTAGTCTTAAGCTGTGTTATAACATACCGAAAGCGCAAGCATTGTGAAGCCACCGCAACAGCAACAAATAAGTCAGCATCGCCCGGCAAAATAGCGAAGTATTTTAAGGTATTCCAAAGCACAGTTGAAATGAAAGGTACAAAGTTATCCAAGGTATCATAGCACAAACTTACTGAGATGAAGTAAACTACAGTAAGCAATCAAGAAGAATAACATACTCTAGCAGAACATCAACACATGAAGCACACATCAAATGACCACAAGAAGTCTGCATCGGAGTTGATAGCAGTAAATCACAACTGGTGCAAATGAATTTACGACCAATCTTCCTCCGATCTTCATCTGTAATCCTTGTTCCCGGCATTTATGGAAAAAAGCTTCAAATAGAAAACAAAAAGAAATAATTAACAACAAAGGCTCGGCACAAATAAACCTATATCTAGTTTCTACAAAACAGCCCAGGGGCCGGTTGTATCAAGCCCGTTTAGCTTAAACGGTGGTTAAGTTCAAAATAGAAAGCAAGTCATTCATATTCAACAAGCAAACTAAATGTTTTTAACCTTAATGCAAAGATACTGTTTACAACTACATATTTAGTGCATAATATTCAAGTTAACTCATTCAAGACAGATGTAAGAGTGTTATTTAATTTTCACTTATCCACCGTTTAAGCTAAACGGGCTTGATACAACCGGCCCCAGAAGAACAATATGAAAACAAAATTCTTGAAATTCTTGCAACTTTGCAACATAAACAAGTACTGAAATAGGCACTCGCGTTTCAAGTTTCATTAATAATTGTCCACCATAAATGAGGCAACACCAGACTACCAAAAACACAACAATCTATAGTACAGGAGCTGTATGCTTTTAGCAAAATTGAAAGCGACGGAGGTATTGTTGTGAGTAACATTACAAGAATTTCTGTACACAGTTTCCTTATCTGGAACATATTGTGGCGAACGAGAGACGCGGTGTCGATCGTTATTAAAACGTTGTCTTTCCATACACGAGGAAAAGCCTTCGCAGGACATAATTGGGAATTGTCGGCCGACCAAATTCGCTGGCAAACATGCATAGTGTACGATCTGCCTGTCGTATTCGCACACACCGGTATTTCAATAGCAGGCGGTTTTAACTGCGTACTTACTTACTTAGACCAATCAAAGTAGTTCAATCACCTCGTAACCATTCCATGATTCTACCTCTATTTACTAACTGAGAACTTGATTTAATACTCCACATTGTCATTAAGAAATATTATGTAAACATTTGTTAATCAATTAAAACTATGTTATTTATTGTATTGTTTACATGATAACACCAGTGAAATAAATATAACCAAACATGGCTTCCATATTTGTTATATCCATATAAGGTTTGAAATACCTTTTATAAATATAACTACAATCACTTTCCAAACGGACTTATATGTACATAATATCGAAGCAACGACGAAGCGTGAGTACAAGGAAATAAACGTGAGTATATAAGATATGCTGTGGGCCCTAAACTGGGAAGAACGGAAACTTTATTTCCTGACTTGTCCAATGCCCAATTTTTAAATTTTTTGGAGCTAAATTTTACTTCAAACATGCGTGTGAATTTTAAAGGTGTCGCGACAATATAACCTCGAGTTGAGGCTCTTTATATTCTGATATGTATCGACTGTTAAGATGTACGACTCTCAAGATATTGATGGAATTTGTTTTTACTCCTTCAAATTGTCGGCAAATTCATGATTTTTGGTCTAATCTCCGAAGTATCGACGCTGATGTGCAATAGTTTTACATTCGCTACCTCTTGCATAATCGACCAACTTTTGATTCAGGCGACAAAACTTAGTAAAATTGATACTAAACTTAGTAAAACTAAACTTCATACTAAAGTTAGTAAAATTGCCAAATTTGGAGGCGAAATATACTGTAAAGTACCGAAGATACCACAAAGCAAAGTTGGCAAATTTTCATACTTTTGTAATATTTTCATACTTTTTTCATATTGGCGGAAGAGTGGAATTAAATTCCTTACATACTTCGTTACGCCCGTACTACAAAGTATACAAAAATCTTGGTGTATTATGGAATAGATTACGATGTAAAAATATGTTTTTGACACAGCCTGGCAAATGCGCAGTTTATAGACGACGAAGATGCGACGCGGTTGACCAAATCATTAAGCCAGCATGGTTCACACTTGTCGTAATAATCTGCGACTCCCTCTGTCTCATTGTCGGAGGTCACTGGTGCGCAAAATGCTTTGTCTATCGGAACATAATACAAAGGATCCCCGATCCTTAGGAGCTTGTGTGACCCAGGCCTTAGAAGTGTACACTTTTGTAGCATCTCAGACCCTGGCCCATTTACACGATGCCTTGAAATTAGTCCTTTTGGCTTTTTTGACCATTTCGGGATTCTATTTACACGTTTACACACTGAATTGGTGACTCCTTCTGGACTAAAGACCTCCAAAAAGGACGAACCCACCGTGTGGACATTGAGAAGAAAGGTGGACCAGAAATTGAACGGTTCCGTGTGCAAGGTGGAATTTAGAAGGGTCACTCACAGAAGCCAGTAGCCTTCCGGCTTATTAAATTGCACAATAAAGTAAACAATACATAATTAGGAGTATTTGGTGAAATTTCCACATAAATGAACACTTTCACAACCACCAATCATGCAAATGAGCACAATCAGACATAATATTCTTAAGGTTTCGCAAGATATAATATTATAATATTCTTTATCTCTTGTGAGAATGTCTGTGCAAATTGCGTAACCAGTATAAAATGACACATATTCAGCTGTATAATCTGATAAGATTTTCGACTTAGAAGCATGCCAATAACGCAAAGCTTGCTCCAATTGCATCTTGCATTCATTGTCATATGACTGTATTGCCTGGGTTTCCCAGATTTAATGAATTCTAGTTCTCACCTTGGTCCAAATTATGAGACTACAGGCTGCGTCCATCAATCACAAAGCTGTAAGATTATATAAGGGGGGGGGGGGGGGTAGGGTTTTTTCGTGATCTGTGATTAGCATCATTTCTGTATTGTGATGCGTGATTTAAGAAAATGCCATTCCGTGAATCGTGATTAAAATGCGTTCCGTGACTCGTGAAGACCTAAAACGCTGGCAAAGGCATCTTATTTCCCCAATATTTTACCACTATTTATATTTTTTTAGATTAAATACTGGGCCCCAACTAAACTAGGTAAAATAGTTTAGGTAAAAGGTAAATTCGTGATTCGTGAAATCTTAAAAACACGTTTGTGATTTCGTGACAAGACCCCCCCCCCCTTGCACCCCCTCTTATATGCTACATGCGCCAAGTTATCGTGCGGCCAATGTAAGTATTGTAAAGCTTGAAATCCCTCGTTAAATGTTTACCCTGGCAACACAAGCTGATTTCACGAAGAAAATATATGATAAACATAGATTAATTACTACCTTCTTATCGTTTTTGAACAGAGCGAATACTGCATGTAAAACTTATACTTTAGTAGAAAGAACCATTCATCTTTATCATATACTCATGAAGCCATATATATATATATATATATATATATATATATATATATATATATATATATATATATATATATATATATATAAAAACCATAACCATAGTAACCATGCATGCATAGTTACCATAACCATAGTAACTACATAGTAACCAATAACCATGGAGCTCGTATTGGCATTGAAAGATTTACATTCACAGATACAGCTGTTTTAACGAAATCTTTCCTTGAAGCATTAGCTACTTATTACTATTCTAGAACATATAAATAAATTTATGACATATAGTTTGATTCATATTGTTTGAATCATGACGTTAGGTACCGATAATATGACACAAGTCAAGTGGAAGATATACTTAAGCTACAACGCTTGTTGATTGTGTTTAAAGTAGCTGGAATGCTAGAATATAGCTTAAAGATGTCTTGAAGGAAACAAAAACGATTGAAATGCAATATTTATGTAACGAAACAATAACAAATCTTGGTTATAGTTGGGATATAATAGTCAGAATAAAAGTCATCCATGCTATATGCACATCTATGCAATTGTAATCGAAACGTCGAACGTGTTTTTGTCTATTTCAGGCAGTTGTTATACCACATTTGATGCGAAGTTGTTTGAAGACGCTGCCACGCTGCTCCCTAATTTGATGTGTTCCACGAAACTGAATTTTTCAGATTCGAAACTGCTTCTTAGAAGGAAATTGAAAACTAATCTTCAACAAACTGAAACCTCTCTTGAAGGCTTATAACTAAGCTTACACCGATGAAAAACTGTACGCCAGATCGAGACGGTTCCAGGGAGGCTCCAACCGTGTTTTTTTCGAGGGTCTCATAAGTTTACTTAAAATGCCCTTATAGACGTCAAACTGTTGAGAATAATTCGAAAACAAAAAGTTGAAAGTAGACATAATCACTTTCTAGTTCCTGGACAACTGTTTATTTTGACTACAAAAACATAGTCGAAAGTCAAGAAGCACTTCCTGCATTCGCCTATTTCTCAGCTGTCCTCGTGTAATGTCAAAAAATTTCGTTTGAATGACAGAATGAGAAATGCCTGATTTCATAGCATAGCCATAGTATAAGAAGGTCCATTGCAGCATTTGATATTATAAACCATGAACATCCTGTATACTTCATGTGAGTCAGACAGAGGGGTTTTCCCAAAAATATACATATACACATCGAATTTTCTTATAGCTTTTCAAAATAACGCAGTTTCAGTTCCCACGACTTTTATATAGAAACTTCTATATTTAGTATACCAGCGAATACTTTCCATCTGTCTTATCATAGTCGTTCACACGCTACTTCAAAACTCTTCACCATTGGCATGGCGTCAGATGATAGCGAAGCTAGTCATTTCGACAGCATCTGTGCTGTGACGCAGGCTGCTGTGATGGAGAAGGCGTGAAGAAGCGACGCCGTGAATTCCAAAATGATCAAATGAAGCTCTCAGCATATAGAGAATCGAACCTTTGTTTTAGTATTGAAGTCATAGTAAGAAGATTGACCGCTAAATTCTGTTCTTAAAATTCCTTCTATTAATATATATTATCAACTGAAGTTAAGATATAGCAATATCTCAATCTTCTTGGCCCGAGCATTGTAGTTTGGTCTGTGTGCCACTTCGTCTTCTGACCACTTCGTTGAAAGCACGACTTTTGTTTGACTTTCCACATATCAATAATGTACAAATCTCCACTCGCTGCCACCATTCACCAGCTAAAGCTTAGTCAGTTCACTCGACCTGCGGTGAAGATCGACCGCATTTTATAACATTTATGCTCACTTTAGAAGCTTGTGTAAATTTAAATTTCATCGCCTTCCGCACATACATATTTCATTATAATTCATGATAATGTATGCAAGGGACTTCCCCTACTGCGCAGTTAAATTTTTCTGCATGAACCTAGGAGCAAAGTCCAATCGCGGGTCCAATCATTCCACACAGAAGTTATAAACAATTCAAAAGCGACGCATGGACTATGGTGTCTAAACGGGGAAAGAATGCACAGAACAATCTAACTGAACACATATTAACTTTGCAACAAACCTGTTGACGTGTTGTTCTTTCGTTGAGTGAGTGAAAAAGGTACCAAAGGCAAAGGTAAAAAGCACATATACTTCTCGAGTCGTTTCCTTGTAGATAAAAAACTTTTCCTCCAAAAAGTATATTGCAACCGGCCAAACTGAAGCTGAATTTTTTTTCTATACTTGCTTTATTGTGAGACCTAAAACAAAAATACATTGTCATTGCTTGAAGCAATTCACGGTGCTCGCGGTTATATTTTCTTAATTTAACCATGGAAACATAACCACAGTTATGTAAGAGACCTAAAATTTCTGCCCTAACTGTTCAGTCTGTTCGTAAATTTTTTGCAATTTTAAATATCCTTATTAAAGGGGGTAGCTATGATATATATTAATTTATATAGGAATATTTATATATGATATATATTAGGTTATATAGGAATTCAGTAAGGTCATTGAAAATGATATATAAACATTTCTATATATGTATATTGTTATATATTATATTATACGAATATCATTACTGGCCACATAATATAACGTAGATGCTTAGACGGCATATAATCTACACGGTCACGGATGAAACAAATTGCAGTGGACGATTTTTGTAAGCGATACTTCTATATCAGCTCTATCTATATGGTATTGTCTATTGAGCACTCTCTAGTATTTCATAAACCAAACGACATCAGGCGAATGATCGTTTCAGACGAAATGTTAAACACAAAATGTCGCGAATTAGATTCAAATTTTGTAATATTTCATTGTTTTTATTTTATTGCTCTAATAAATTTTGAAATCAAGCATTCATATATGTATGTATATATATAAATATATATATATATATATATATATATATATATATTTATATATATACAATTAAGTAAAGTATCCAAGAAGAAAGAGTGCTCGATATCAAAATTTAATAGAGCGATTAAAATAAAATCAATGAAATATTACAAAATTTTGAATATATTGTTCGCTACACTCTGTGTTTCACGTTTCTTCTGAAACGATCATCAGGCGAATGATTACTCTACAGCAGAGAGAGTAATCATTCGCCTGATGATCGTTTCAGAAGAAACGTGAAACACAGAGTGTAGCGAACAATATATTCAAAATTTTGTAATATTTCATTGATTTTATATATATATATATATATATATATATATATATATATATATATATATATATATATATATATATATATATACAATTAAGTAAAGTATCCAAGAAGATAGAGTTACAAAATTTTGAATATATTGATTATTGTTCGCTACACTCTGTGTTTCACGTCTCTTCTGAAACGATCATCAGGCGAAATTCGCGAACAATATATTCAAAATTTTGTAATATTTCATTGATTCTATATCATTGATCTCTTTTCCATTTTCGTACTACAAACCTGACTCCAATTAGGAATGCTTTATAATTTTGAATTAGCAAAATACCAAAATCGATCTGGATGAAACCCAACATAAAATATACCGTCGTCAAAACATGACGTTGAATATTCATCTAGATATACGTGGGCAAATATCTCTAAATACGCATGGGCCAACATTTTTTTTCAAATTAAATGCGTGCATGCATGGATAATAAAATCACTTTTTACTATCTTTTTAGTCTTTTGGCGCATGTGTGTTGTCAGTTCGAATTGTAAAGCTGAATGTTGTTGTCGAGAAAAAGCTCAAACGATAATGTTTCACAGGTAAACTTTTACAGAAATTATTTAAATCGAGTCGATTGATTTGTCAAAACACTTGATACCATCTGGCACATCTCAACACGGAAGACAATGTGAAACGATTGTACTAATGTCGAACAAAAACAGTCGATTATAACCATCAGATTCTCAACCCGCTCTGGTGTCTTGGAATAACTGCAATATCAAATTCTTATTGACATTGGCACCGTAACTGCGTTTATCGTCATGATTTTGCATTCTGACCTTGACTGGCTGCACCATGGTGCTAGAAATCTGCCAGAATACCTTTATTTTCTGATGTACCATACAGCTTGCTCGCCATTATAGTAAACCCTCCATATAATAAACCCTGCACGAGTTTCAACATTGAAACTGAATTCGAAACATAAAGCCATTCTATTTGTGCATCTTCTTAGGTTTACCCTTCTCATATTCACCCTCAAATAGAAATCTGATCCCTAAAGCTTCTTCCACAAAGGGCCACACAAAAAGTCACAAACTATATACGCAAACAATTGAGTTGAGACTTTTTTTCGTTCAAGAATGAAGATGTTAACCACGAGTCCACGAGTTAGTTCAAAGATCACTTCTCAACATGAATGTTTTAATAAAATCATATCCATTCGACGAAGGACCGAACAAAGATAACTCTGTCTTTGCTAAGATTTACCAGCAGGGCAACCGACAATCAGATGTGGTGGTCTAGATGAGGCGGATCGAGGTATATCCAAGTACATTACAAGCGCTGAATAAATTCGTAACAGACCACATTACTTAATATCTTGTAAGACTTGCATGGGGATGACCATCTTCCAAATGAAACGACTATTCTGTTAAAATCATAAAATCATCTCCTTGCCATATTGCCGCCATCAGGCACGTCCATGTATAATTGATAAGTCACTCAGCACGCTCGTTCATACAGCCATACAGTCGCCCTGCATACAGTTAATCAAAGATCGATAGTTGTCCACTGTAAACCTTGAACGCTAAAGCCAACTTCAAATACCATAAGCGTTCGAAGCATAATGCGAGTCGTCAAATGCACATCTTTAAGGAAGGGTGTTATTCTAAACTATATATAATAACGTTTAGTGTTTATACAAAATTAATGCAGCCCATAGCATTAAAAGATTTGTAGCTTTTTTCGAAATCTTCCAGTATGTTTTCAATTCATAGATATATACCACGTCTTGCTTGTGCATGTCCTTTAAAACTAGAAGTGGACGAAACACTAAAAATCTGGTCTGCAGAACTAATCATCTTTCAAAGTTATTTCCTTCCCCAGATAACGCAGATGTTCTCACGGCGTCGCTTCTGCAGTGAACTGTGTCCTTCCAATTCGACTGCTAAATACGATGTGGCTGAACATGTGTACGTCATGTGATTGAAAAATGCGGAAAAACAAGTATTTGTTCCTGTTACTAAGTTACTTAATTTCAGCCTTGGTAATATGGCAACTGCAGGCAGACTAGAAAACCTTAGTATGCACACTAGCATATTTTGGCGGCAGGTGATGTGATATATATTGACGATAAATACAACAATTCCCTAATACCACGGTTAATATGAACTTACACGTCAGTTTAGGAAGCTCCTTTTCAATGCGTTTGACGTTTGAATCCCAATTCCACAGCTATGAAGCTATATTCTAGACCACATCTCGAAGATGCCAAACGCTCTTCAGCAGGGGGTGCTAAATTATTTAACGTAAATTGTATAAATTATGTCTCAGGTTTCTAGGTTCAAAAAATTCCATCTAGAATTTGGCAAATGCCTAGGCCGGGCTTGGGTTTTTCCAAATGAAGCATTTATAGATTGTTCCTCAGGATCAATCTTTCTTCTTTATCCACTACACAAGTCAGAATTGTGAATCTTAAAGTATCAAGTAGACCAGTTAGCCTGTTGGTATCCATTCCAGTAAGGTACATATGTCCTTCGATTCACTTGTGTCACCGCATAGATGTGGGGAGGAGATATTTATATATTCATGTTCACAGACCGTTAAAAGTTAAAACAATCACTTTGAAAATAAATGAATAATGTAAAACACGAATACATGAATATATCCTCCCCCACACTTATCAAGCTGGCGACGCCACTGCTTTGTTCTTGTTCTTTGCTTTAACATCTACCAGTTCCATCCAAAATTCTCTTTTTGAAACAACCTATACACAATTGTCCTGCTTCCGTAATCCTGCTTCAGAAATCAGCCTTTCCTCAATCCCTATTCACTCAATAAAGAAGCTCTCGAGAACTCCAATCAAAATTCCATGTGGAAGTAGTCTCTCATAACTCATGCCACGACTTCCGGAGTTCTGGTGTTTCCACATAATGGTATTCCGGTTGCTCCAATAAGTTTGGTTGCTTTTATGGCAGTTATTTAATAAAGGTAGCTATTTAGGTAGCTACTTAATAGGTAGCTATTTAATAAATTCACTATGCTATTCAAGTTCTACCCGAGTGCTCAAAACACAAAGAAATTACAATGCTTAGCATTTGTACCTGAAAAGTGATCATTGTTGCAAGTAATTTATCCCAAGATATAGTGAAGATGGCAAATATTTTGCCAAAACACTTGGCTTTAAAATGTAATCTACCTACAAGAAGGTTTTTGATAGTCATAGATTGTACTTTGCAGGTTTAAATCCACCTTAATAAAGTGAAATTTTTACCAACGTTGCCTGCTGGTGATAAATGATTCATTTGGAACATTTCTAACATGCCTCTATTGTTCACCATATCTTATGTACATAACTACATAATTATACAGTTTGCTGGCAAGCTATACCTTCCAATATACTAGGGAGCAACCTGGCATCGTAATTCACATCAAATGTGGTATAACAACTGCCTAAGACACTGCTTTAATTCCTTAGTATCAACTTCATTCTGAAGAATGCTCTCAGGAAATGTCGAGAAAAGTGATTTTGACTACCTCGATTTTTGAGATATTAACCACATATTTGGCATTCTATGAATGATAGGGTTTAATCTTTGGTGAAACTTTTAAAAGTCCATTCATCAACAAGCAGTTGAAACAAGCTCAATATCGAATGCATTACGCCGGACGTGACTGATCACAAGACAATTCCTAACACGAAGGATATCAAATAGAATTGGGTTTTAGTCAGAAATTAACTTCAACCCAGTAATAACATCTCGAAAAAAGTTATACCAATTAGATGAACATACCTCAGATATTTTAAAGGTTTATGATAAAGTGGGATTCAACATTCAAGCGACTTTCACATTCAACAAAGAGCGCGCTATCAGGGTTGGTACGCTTCCGCGCATGTGCAAAGCCAAATGATATTTTAAAAAAAGCCAAATGGTACTAAAAAAAGCCAAATTTCATTTTTTTAAAAAAGCCAAAAAAGGGCCAAATCTTATCAATATTTTCCCGTACACTGGTCAAGTTAACCTCTAGGGTTCTAACTTCTAACTGCAATATGTTGATTAGGCAATAGAAATTAGGCATTAGAAATATAATTTTCTTGTATATATTTTCTTGTACCGCATTCCATGTGAATGTGGTTTGGTTTACATTGGAGAGACCGGTAGAAATCTCTCAATACGTCTTAAAGAACATAAGACGAACTGCGAGAAAGGTAAACTGGATAAGTCTGCAGTAGCTCACCATGCATGGACTTATGATCATCGCATTAAATGGAACGATGCTACCATTTTAGCAAACGATAAGTTTACTGTCTCTCGTAAAATGAGAGAATCTATTGAAATTTATAAACATCAAACTATCGTCCAAGAGGAAAGCCACTTAATAGTACGTGGCGTGCTCTTTTCGGTGTCTCTTAGTCAAATACTTGTCTAGGGCGCGCGCATTAATTAGAACTTAATTAAATGAAACCGTTTAATTAATAGCGCGAGCAAACTAATCACGACTAACATGATATTTAAGTGACGCGCAAACGTGTATTCAAGTAATTGCACTGATCACAGAGTACTACACAGAGGTGGAACTCGCGGCAAATCTTGTCCCCCTGTTTTTAATGCGCACGCGCTAGGCTCTGGCAAGTGTTTTTGCACTTTTTAATAAGGAAAATTCGATTTTTTAGCAGAAAAAATGCAATTTTAAAGCCAAGGGTCTTTTGCTCTTCGTTTTTTTGACAAATTTTATTTATCCATCCGACATTGCTCCTCTTGGATTAAAAATGACTGCGATAATACGAATTAAAACGGGAAAAAAAGGGAAATACAACTACGAGGAGTGCGATTTTCACACGAAGCTTCTAGAACTGCCAGGTAAAAATTCAAAGTTTGGTATTTCATCTAATAAATGTAGGTCTATCTGACTATATTTCGCCAACATGCAGTCGTATTTTTCTCTAGATGGCGAAACAATCTTCTCAGTTAACTTTTGAGCAGACGACATATCAAGACATTGACTTCTACTGTTCAAGAAGATAGCAAGTTAGATGGCTATTCAAAAAAACCGTTTTACAACGCATACGCAGTTTACTGATATTTGTGAACCCTATTATGTCTCTATATATGTGTATTATTATTTCACTTTGGACTCTTCAGACCCTCTTTGGGCTGGTACCGATGGAAATTCTAGAACTGAGATATCTAGCAGCAGCAGCAAGGTTAGACAATGGTTCTAGAATTATAGCTTGTATATTAGTATAAGAAATTTATGTTATTCAGTTATTCATATATAGGTATATAAGCTTTTATATTACCCTTCTTATGCATTAACTGCTCAAATTATTTAGGCTTGGTCTAAATTCATTCATGTAATTAATCTCAACAAAAGCCTTGTTTTTGAATCTATCCATGCAATGCACATTCTACAACATTAAAACTCCATGTAAAAGGGATTAAGGGAAGGTTAGGACACATTGAGTTCATCACCATATTATAGTTTCAGAGCAAAAAATATTTATATTTTTCATTATATTCACATCCAAAAATTGTAAAATAGCTTTCAATCTTCTCATAGAAGCCACACAGAATTGCATAGATTAGATTGGAAATTGATTTGCATGTCCTTCATGAATATTACAATCATGTATGAACTGAAATTAATATCTGTTAGCATTTACCATTTTGTGTGTGAAGTTGGATTTATACTCATGTAAAAAGTATTGTATATATAGGTAAAAGTTGCATTTGTTTATTGTAAATCCTTTGAATTCAAGTTCAAAATTCGAATAAAAACATGTAGTTTTTGCTAGTTTTATGGCACAATAAATTATTTTCAAAGATTTTTTTCGTGTGTTTGAATTGTAATATTAACACATCAATCATGCTTTTTTTAAGATCAGCTCAGATGTTTTCTGGATGAAAAAATAACTGCCTAATTTATAATCGGCGACGATGTTGGCAATCAGCTTGATATTTATAAAGAAAATCATTCGCGCTTGTATTTCTTACCTCTTTAACCTAACGCATATATTTTCTACAAAAAAACAACCATTTACCGTTTGTTTTTAAAATTTAGGCGCAAAAATGGAGATCGATAGAGCCAGCTTTAAAATATTAACATTTTTCGTCTTTCGAACACCTTTTTCCCTTACTTTAGAGTCAAAATACACTTGCCAGAGCAATTTGCGTGGCGCGTGGAATGGCGTAGGCAGGGGGACAGCAACATCAAAGGGTTCCGCCGCGAGTTCCATAACTGTATATCATTAAACTGTACTTGATAAAAAAGCCAAAATAGAGCCAAAAATCCAAACATTTTTTTCAAGGCCAAACAAGAAATAAAAAAGCCAAAATCGAGTTATTTGGCCTTAAAAAAGCCAAGTTACCAACCCTGCGCGCTATTGAGGCCTTCGCTAGTCGCCACGTGCAATCTTGTCTTAGAATTGACATTGTATTATGGTATTGATATTGAAATTTGCGAATTGTGACCACTGTGCCAGGTTGCATTCAGTTATTGTATAGAGGTCAGTTCAAAAAAGGCAAGCGCGCGGGGGTGCTTGGGTGGACGCAACGGAAGAATGAACACTGAACTGTTATACAGTTCAGTGAGAATGAATTCTATCAGCATCGCGGTGGTCTGAACGGACGCGACTGTCAAGTGAAGAGCATCATGGTAATCTTCTTCAGAAATGGCCAGCATAATCATTCAGTGGAGAACCAAAAGCGATATTCAAATATTTAGTTTTCCTTTCATTTTCATTCTGATCACAGCATGTTCCTTACAGCAAACAAAAATTATTCTTTTTATCCTATCGTAATTCACGTTTCATCACACCACACCTTTCCAACAGCTTACAACCGGAATCTTTAAGTTTTGAAAGGATAGATTGTAAACCATATGGGATCACTTAATCCCGAAAAATATTCAGATTGTCAAGGTGAGGTAGCCATAAATCTCTTAGATGCAGTTATAAATTTTAACGAACTCTCGAATATATACGGTTAAATATATATATACGATTAAACTAACGATCTCGTCTGAAATATATAGGATGAATAAAAATGGATCTGAAATGCTTCAGAAACTGGCATACAAAAGGCAAATGCAGTGGAAGAATATGTTCTTGTTCCAATTTTTAATAAAGATATACATTTTTACATACACCATACCGCCATGTGCCTGAAACTGAGACACGGCAGCACCAATAATATGAAAAATACTGCAAATGCCAAGTGAATGAAGTGATCAGATTTTAATCCAGGGAATATGTGAAATATGTAAGGATGTTAGCTTTACATTTAAGTCATTAACAGTGTCACACCAACTTGGCCGCATTTAGGCATTAGCCTCACTACCTCAACCTCTTACTAACGCGACTTCGTCTAGGTTGTGCAATTATATCCACGAGGAAATATTTACACAGTACTATACGTCATTAGTTTTCTCAATCATTCCTTTTCAATTTTTTCCAGTTGTAGTTTCTTCCCAAGCGCTCCACCAGGATGGTTTTGTAAGAAATCGCTCTTTGTGAACTTTCTCCTCGCCATTAACTCACATTCGATCGCATTCACAATCATCTCCTACAAGAAAGATCGACAAAAAGGTTGATTCTTTCGAATGTAATAAAAAATCCCATTCACACTCATACACTCATCGAGTGTAACTTGAGATTCTGTTATCAATGTGAAAGTTTTTCATGAATTGAAAGATTCCAGGCAAAAACATGAAATCAAGCTCCTATTTCAGTGGAAGATATGTCGTAGTGATTGAGATCTTCCACCCCATTACTTTTACTGTAAGATTTGTAGACGAAACGTTTGTAGAGGCGAAAAACGAAAAAACTTCCCCTAAATTTGTTGAGCTCAGCAAATAAAATTTACTCGAAACAAATCAGACAGGAAAAACATAATTAGCACCCTCCCTTTTCAGCAAAACAGGATATTAACATGTCTGGTCAAAACAGGATATTAGCTAAAATGGTTTTTGTTTTTCAATAAAAATAATAATAACAACAATGGACTAAAAATAGTTGCTCGACACAAATCTGTTTTATCTTTAACAGTCTGTAGGAAGTGATGTGTGAGATATTAGACAGACATGAAAGATTTAATGTGGGTAATCAACGCACACAGAGTTTTTTTGTTAAAAAATCTGCTTTGTTAAAACATAGCTACGTCTATCGCTGATTTCCGCTCAAAATGGAATTTCCGCTAATCAACATACCATGCATTTTTGGTATTAACCTTCATCAGCGAATGACCTTGATTGTATCACGCGATAAAGTAAACTATGAAATACTCTGTATACTTATACAGAAAAATCGACATTCAAATCAATATCAGTATATTACTGTGGGTATTCAACTATGGCGATGTCTAAATGGTTAATAACGGAGCAGGGCCGTCGCGAGCGGTGAACTATTGGGGGGGTGTCGAAGGCCAAATTGCCGACTAATCCCTGTTCAATTTGCCGAGTTCTTCGACGAAAGCATTAACTTTATCTGCAATAAACAGTGCGTCTCATAATGGTGCAATCAGTTTCGGTATTACGGCCAATTTTGCCAATTGTAAAGCCGCGTAAGTCTTGAGGCCTAGTATAAAAACTCGTTTCCACAGCGTGACAAAATTGTAATATTTTGATTATTTTTCCATGAGGTATTTTACAAATTTTAGTACGTAGTTTTATATGTTTATACGAAATAATATTGGGCAACCTAAACGATTACCTATATTTACATATTTACAAAGTATGCAGTAACGTTGGACAAGTCGCGACTTCTAGAAGGAAAACGCTCCTAATAGTATACATATTAGCTTAGCGGTGTATTAGAAGTCGTCTCTTCTTTAACAGGCTCCACGATTTCGCAACTTTTTCCAAGTCTATGGTGTCCGTTAAGTCTTTCTCGCAGGTTAAAAGCATTAGACCCGCCAATCTTGAATCGCTCATTGATGTTCGCAATTTGTTTTTAACAAATTTCAACTTACTAAATGAGCGTTCATTTGAGGCGACAGTCACAGGAGCTGTAAGCATTAATCTGACCATGGAATTTGCCAATGGAAGTGACAATTTGTTGGATTCGCTGACTTTAACTACTTTGGTACAGTCGGTTCCCACATCAGAAGGTAATAGCTCAGACAATACCTGCAATTCGGCTTCTAAAGCTAATGCATCAATCGACAGTGAAGGTGGAAATAGTGTGATGGCTGAAATGGTCCGAGTTCGATAAGGTACTCTCGTTGGTTCTCATTGCACACCTCACCGCGTAGGCCTGGATCATGTTCAACTGAGACTTCAGGCAAACCAAGGTCGTCAACTTTGAGCTTTGATCGTTTGATATCATGAAGAATCGCTTTCGACTTTTCAACGAATCTATGGCAGGTTTCTTGTATCACCGTAACAATGCTGTTGGCGCCCTCGACCCATTGCTCTATGTCAGGAATGTCAGATTCTCGCGCATCATGCACAAATGTGTCACATTGCTTAGCATAGCTCGCAATAGAGGACAAGGTTCCAATAGATTCCATCCAGTCATTCCAATATGACTTCTGGTTCAATTCTGAGTCTTGATCTACATTTCCAGGAGCTACACTAATCGAATCTTCAGGAATATCGTGGGTTGGGAACTGAGAGATTTGCGAGTGAGCATCTGTAGTTTGGGTGACGGTTGACGAAAAGACAGGAGAATTATCAGAATCTGCATTCTCTGACTCTGAGACAGAACAACACGAATCTGCTGATTGACTTTGATCGGGATTTTCTATTATGATGGCCTCAAGAGCTGTGTTCAACATCGGTTCTGGGTTTTCGGATGCAGGTTCTTTTATTGCCACTAAACATAATTCTTTTGTCAATACTTACAATACAACTAACGAAATGGATTTTCGTACTGGAGCAGCACAACGACTCATTTTCTGATCGTACTATAGTGACCAAATATTTGTTGAGTTTACTTGCGATAGAATTGTTTTAGCGACATATATTTATCCCATGATCGTTACGAAGTATTGATCATGATCCATTCTTATAATCTTATTTTAACTATTTTAGCTCGAATATCGTTCAATTTCAGACGCGGCTGTCTCTAAATACATGGTAATATTGTAATATATAAAATATTTTAATAAGTGCCATGGCTAGTAAGGGCCAGCTGGGCCATGATGTTATCGCACGTTTAACAGAAGTCAGAAATAAGAGACCATTACAAACTATTCAATAAAAAGTATATTGTCACACGTTTAAAAAGTTTACTGTGAAAACACTTACCAATTTCGCCTATATCTTGGACTTTCTCCATAGTACCTACATTGTCTGTTTGGGGTTCAGGCACTTCTGACGCAGCATATGTTTGGCTTTTACTGCGCGCCTTTGCGGCTTCGAACGGATTCGCCGGTGCGTCTTTATGTGCTACTCGGACCCGTTTTCCTTTATGTTGCAATTGCTCATGTTTATTGCGATAGTCATCGTCAAAAGTCGCATTGCATTCAAGACATTGAAGTTTTATTCGTTTTCGTTTTGGTTTTGAACCGCGCATGATACAGTCAAACAGAGACGTAGAACACCACCAGATCAGTCACAGAGAACAGTAGAATGAAAAAGACAGAACATGAGACGTCACTGGACAGTTGCCAGGGGTTAGTAATAATTTTATGTCGGCAATGAAAAATGTCAAACGTATCCGCCAAGGTGTACGGATAACAAATCCGCCACAGAGTCAATTATCTTCAGCCCTTGGAGGAACACATAACACTAGCTACACATAAATTTTACAAGATTAACGTTTCGTTAAAATAAGTTGAGAAATTTGAGTTTTAAAATGGCAACTTGCTGCCTGCCGACTGAAGGTACTGTAATGACGAATTTGCCGACTAAACGGGACGTATGATAATTATTGGGGGGGTGAAGCACCCCCCACACCCCCCCGCTCGCGACGGCCCTGTAACGGAGTCAAGGTTAATGTCGTAAGAAATGCGTGCGCACAGGGATAAAAGCAGCGGAAACTAGGAACCTGGAACGAGGCCTCTAGCCCCTCCTGCGCCCGATGGGCAACGGATATTAGTGTGATAAATGACATTTTGAATTGACCGAGTGATAAATGACATTTTGAATTCTGCTTATGTTGGAGAATTTCTAAAATTCACCTAATTATTTCACAAAGAACACCCACGCCTACACTGTTGACTTAGGAACTTGTGGTTAAATCATGTGAGGTCTACGAGGTATCTCACACTGGCATGTGATCGCACATGCGCACAACAGTGCCCACACGTCTCCCACAACAAGAAAGTCTTATTTCTACGTTGAAATACCAAGACATTCCTGCCTCTTCTCAACAAACTCTGGTTTTCCTTCATACCACGTATAAATCTTTCGCCTTTTACTAAAGATTTCCGTGGAGGAGAACAACAGAATGAGTCTATAGACTAATTTTTCATCACTCTGCCTAACGGCAGGGTTTTTTATTGTCGAAGTAATTGTTCCGAAGCTTTTGGTAATACCTCTCCTGATTAGGGGGCAAATATTGGCCTTTGTGCAAGGATATTACTTCAAAATCTTTGACCTAACCGCGGGGTTCTTAATACAACTTGAAAGCTTACCATACCTGAACAACAATACTCCTGGTAGGAGCACCACCAATGGAATCTTCAATCGTCCCTGCCACTCCATAATTAATCAAAGCATCTGACCATGCTCTAAGACCACAATCTAGTTTAGGTTTAAAAAGTCAAATAATATTCAACATTTCAATCAGACGGTGGCAAATCACAGTATAAAAACTAAGGCTATTGATTTGTTTATACTGCATAGCTCTATCAGTTCTAAACTGTTCTTCCTAGAGGTCCACTACAGGAGGAAACCTAAACTAAACTAACTTTATTTATACTGGATAGCTCTATCAATTTCATAAAGCAATCTTTTTGCCTTACCATATTTTCCGACAATCGAAAGAACAGTAATCCCACGTTCCTTCAACAATTGAGCGGCAGCTACACACTCCTTTGTATTACCACTGTGGGACAGAAACACTGCAACATCCCCATTACGAGCCCGACCCAGGTCCCCATGTGTCCACTCTGCGGCATGGACGTAATGTGATGGGGTGCCAGTTGATGCAAGCGAGGCTGACAGACGTTCAGCCACAATACCAGACTTTCCTGTCATGATCGAAAAATATCAAAAATTTAATACTAGATAAGCTTACAGCTTGTAGGAAACCATGTTTATTGGTTTCTGCAAAGCTTTCCGTAAATTTTTGCAAAAACAAATAACCATGGTTTCTCCTACTAAAATATTATAAATTCATCATGAAAAAATAATAGGAATTTCTTAAATGATCAGTCATATTGCTTTTATACCTAATTATCCCACATGTTCATACACAATTATCCCACATGTTCATCACATTATTCTACACATTCATACCTAATTATCCTACACATTCATACCTAATTATCCTACACATTCATACCTAATTATCCCACACATTTATACCTAATTATCCTACACATTCATACCTAATTATCCTACACATTCATACCTAATTATCCCACACATTTATACCTAATTATCCTACACATTCCTACTAATTATCCCACACATTTATGCCTAATTATCCTACACATGTATCCATACACATCCATACCTATGCCTGAGGTTAAGACCACTCCTGAACAATGTTGAATTAATGTCACAAAGTTTGCGGTATTTTTTGTATCCAAGGCATTCGCTATCCTCTTTGCAACATCAGCGTCAGCAAAAAGGCTACTTTGAAACTCAGATATTGCAGGTCTTTCAGCCTCTACCAGTTTCTCCTTCACATTTGTCATATCAAATGTTTCGCCTCGAGCTGAAAGCACAAGAGTATTCTTAAAACTATTAAAAAAAAGAGGAAACAGGGGAAAATATGAAAATATATAGTTTGCCTGTACCTTGGGCTGCATTTCGTAATTCCATTTCTTTCTTCGAAGCCAAACTAAAGATATGAAAATTTTGAAAAAAGTGAAAGACTGCTGTTAGCTTATCAGAGTCTAGGAGGTATTTTGTCATTATTTTTTCGCTGAACTATTTGAAAAATTATGTGGGAAGATTGATCAAATCAGGTACGTTTTTACTGCACCGATGAGTGGGTGCTTAGGAACAAAACAGAAATTGACACATGCTGTGATGTTTTGTTTTGAAATCACCAGAAGGTATGCTGTTGCAATAACAAGCTAAGAAACTCCAAGTGGGAAAGAAACATCATGAAAATGAATAAATATTCAACTGTGATTCTTGCTGATACAGAGATTGTAATAATGCATGTTCAACGCTATCATAACATAATACAAAAGCAAATTTCATCAACAATTTTTTAAAATTACAACAAATGAACAAGCATACAGCAACCACAAACAGAAGAACTCCTCAATGTTTTGACCTAAGGAATTTTAGCTCTATATTCGACAGCTGTTATAGGAAAGAGACTACACGTTCAAGAATAGTACAAGTTCAGGGAGATTTCTATATATACCATAATACTGATATTAATTATGAAGTCAAAGTATTGAAATACAACAAGGAAATTAGGCAAAACTACAACCACAATGCCTTCATCTGGGGCTGGTTATATCAAGTCCGTTTTAATACAGCTTAAACAGTGGATAAGTCTCTCTTGTGTGAGCAACTTGAATATTATAATATGCATTATATATACATTATAGTTTGATTCTTGAATAAAACGATAGACTTGCTTTCCATTTTGAATAAAATAAAATTCAATAAACGGGCTTTGATACAACCGGCTCCAGATATAGGCGGATTGTATGATATATAAATATATATCTTCCACTGTTATATATCAAGGTATAAATACACTAAAAATGTACTAACCTTGCCATGTTTTGGCGTTAAAAAACAAAAATGCCCAGCTTCGCATACAAGAAACGGAACTGATTTTAACCTTAATTAAAATATTAAAATAATTAATGCAAACGTCACAAAGAAGAGTCAGGTAGAATAAATAATAATTTACTGTTTTTTAGTTCAATATTTGTGCGAAAAACATTTTAAAAACAGTCTTCTTTAATTGCTGCAGGAAAGCAGTCAGAATATCAGATGTTATGTGGGTAAAAGTGCCAAAAACATTTTAAAAACAGTCTTCTTTAATTGCTGCAGGAAAGCAGTCAGAATACCAGATGTTATGTGGGTAAAAATGTTGCACTAAGGCACCCTGAGAATAGCCAGACACAACTTGATTTTGGACAGAAAGAAAAAGAAGAATAGACAACAACTATATATCAGATTTCAAATATTTTATTTTGCATTCAAGAAAGATGACAATCATGCAGCGACTCTTTTTTTCCAGGCTGCGAGAGGGCCATGGCTTGGATGATACTGAGCATGAACACCAGCAGGAATGATTGAACCATCCGCACGACCTTTCTCGTACACTTCTTTATCAAATTTCGTGAAACCCCATTTCTTTGACACAAATATCTGTTTAAAAAAAATTGATTATTAAAATTCTTGAAAAACTTCAAGATATCCAAGGAAACATGATAATTTTGTAACATAATCCTGTTTCAACAAAATTTTAACAGAATTCTAATACAAACCTGTAATGTTGCCATGGATATACGTATCTTTAATTTGAAATAATTCAGCAATATTTTTCTTGCATACCTCTTTAAAATAAACTTAACAACTTACTTTTTGACGACCAGGGAACTTCATTTTAGCCCGTCTGAATGCTTCAATACACGCTGCTTTGTGTTGGGGCTTTGATCGAATTGACAAAATAGTTTGACCAATATTGACACGAGCAACAGTTCCCAGAGGCTTGCCAAAAGCACCTCTCATACCAGTCTGGAGCCTGGTCAGAATCAAAGTGAGAGATTAAAAAGGATATTAGGAGATGTAGCAAAACGAAAAGTTTTGATCATGGAAAACATGATCATACAACAAGAATGAAACATGCAGACCTGCTGCATGCAATGCCCTATCCAATGTACACCATAGGACATTCAATATTTCACAATCTGGAAGTGGTAGAGCCCAGAGTGGGCATTGGGGGAGGAGGGAAAGCAAAGAAGTTTCTTAGGCATTTCTTATGGTATAAGCACTAGCCTTCGAGGTTTGTTTGAAAAAAAAGGATAAAAATGAAAAAGCTGTTGATTGAAAGATTGTTAAAGCCCACAAGGCATCCTACACTTCCAAATACACCAAAATACTTATATCATTAGATACAAAAGGATACTTATATAATTAGGTACAAGAGGGAGCACAGCTCTCAAGTAAACCCATCCCTGGTAATACCTTACCTATCAGCTCCCGCGCACGACAACATTTTGTTGATTCGCAGCACATGGAATGGATGGAGTCGAATTCTGATATGAAATGAATCCTTGCCAACATTCTTCACCATGTATTTGTTTGCACAGATACGAGCGGCTTCCAAAGCCTCTCCCGAGAGTTGTTCATACTCATCTGAGACCATGTGAATACACAGAGGAAAATCATCAACATTGGCTTTCTTACGACCAAGGTCATAGATTCGGATTTTCGGATCAGGGACACCTCGACAGAACCGAGATTTCGGATATGGCTTGTTCTTACAGTACCGGTAACTGAAAGTAACGCATGTAAAAGTGAGTTCAACCCAAAGTAGGCAGAGGGCATTTTTTTAAGAACACCAGGGTTATAATTAGGCCCCTTGCAGATGAATTTGTCTTCAAGAAGTTGACTGGAATTAAAAAATGAAGACTGGTATTTTACAATAAACAGATGGGGCTATAATACAAGATCAAGGTTCACTACTTCTGCTGAATTATATCCTCTTTCATACTCCTAGTTTTTTGGAACAAGGTAATTATCCTAACTTTAATACATCATAATACAAATGCAATAATACAATGTGACTTCATAAATTGTTCATATGTCCACATTTTATAAGTATATAAACTAGGTTTAGGTCACTGAAAATGCAAACAGGAAAATAACTCACCATCTAGCTGGACGGCGACCCATTGTGCTGTCCTAGACGTTCAACGATAAAATAATATTAAAGCAAAAAGATTTAGCGTAGTCATGATTACTAGATGATTTTACAAGACAAATTCCGTGGACAATTTTTCCTAAAGTTTAACAGAGGGTTACAAAATACAGGCTCGATATGATACATTATATAATTTATTTTCGTTTCAGCTGTGATTGGGTTTCAGCAAAAGCTTTATTGTCTGAGATTGGTTGGGATTTAAAACAACAACATGAAATAATCGCCATTACCTTCTAATGAAAAACCAAAGAGAAATAAAAATTTGTTACCAGTTCTCCTCCACTTTTTCCGCTCCTCGCGAGATGCGTGAATACCACGAAATCACGGGAGTATATTTTAACCAATTTTAACCAGAAAATTGGACCACCACGTTTGAGATATCTTTCTCAGGTAGTTCAGACAAAAACCACGACAGCTTATTGTAGAATACTACCTACACTAGACCACCACGTTTGAGATATCTTTCTCAGGTAGTTCAGACACAAACCACGACAGCTTATTGTAGAATACTACCTACACTGGACCACCACGTTTGAGATATCTTTTTCAGGTAGTTCAGACACAAACCACGACAGCTTACTGTAGAATACTACCTACACTGGACCACCACGTTTGAGATATCTTTTTCAGGTAGTTTAGACACAAACCACAACAGCTTATTGTAGAATACTACCTACACTGGACCACCACGTTTGAGATATCTTTTTCAGGTAGTTCAGACAAACTACAAACATACACTGGTCCCGGGTTGTTTTAAAAAAACATTACTTCAAAATATTGCGCTTATTTTGTTGATTAAAATCATCTCATCAGGCTGAAATGCAGTGGAAAAATTATTAAACTATTATTTACAGGAGGATTTCCATCTCTTTCATAAATTGCGCGTAAGCGTCGTCTTTTGTTGGCGCGTGAACAACTTGTCCTGGAGCCGAGCTAGCAACGCTAGGAGCGGGTCGGAAACTTTCTTCTTCGATAGCGGACTTAACTTTTTGTTTATTTGTCTTTGGTTGTTCGCGTTTCACTCGTAAAGCAACCGGAACAAGCCGGGTAAGCTCGGCTTGAGTGTTTCGTAGTTGAGGTTTCGCACTAATAATGGCGTCTTGTTTGGTACCACCTAAAATAAGAAAAAGGAATGTGGTTTAAACCAGTGTTACTACAGGAGGAAACATAAACTAAACTAACTTTATTTATACTGGATAGCTCTAACGGTAAATGAAGTACTTACTTGATGGCGAAGTGGAAACCGCTGGTTTGATGAAGGATGGTGGAGCGGATAAAACTGCGCCAGGCGGAGGTAACGGGGGTCTTGAGCGGGGCAAGGTCATGAGTCCGGGTGGAGGATGCCTGGGCGGCAGTGGTACCATAGGGCGTGGTCCTCGTGGCATCGTACCTCGTACACCAGGGGGTAATCCCGGAGGAGGGCGAGGAGGCATTCCACGGGGGAGCATACCTAATACATAGAAACAAGACAACTTAAACAGTCTGTTTCTGCTAAAGCGTTGTTTTCTATTAAGATAGGGCATAAGAGGGTAAAGATGGCCCCTTACCTCCTTGCATTCCTGGGGGGCGGCCAGGTGGTGGGCCAGGTGGGAGCATTCTCATCATGGGACGTTGATTGAAGTTCATCATGTGCGCAGGGCGTGGTTGTCTTGGTAACCCAGGGGGTGGGCCAGGGGGGACCATTCCTGATTGGACCGGGTTAGGGATGTTCGCTTGATCACCATCCTCATGGTTGTCATCTGAGCTCTAGGAAAAGATAAAAGTTAACACATAACAAATGTAGTTATAATTCTTCACTACAAACTTTATTTACACTTAAAAACTTACTTGTTCCTCTCTCTTTTCTTGTCCAGCCAACATCAACAATCTTTCTTGCAATGATTTTGGTGCTGAAGTGTCTTTAGACTCAGTCTTACCATCATCAGTTTCTCTGTCAAACCTCACATGCCTTTCAGCTTTACCTGGAGATGAGATTTAACAAGAAACCCATGGAAACACAAGAGACACATAATAGTGTATTGTCTCAAACAAATCAGCATCGATTCAAAATATGGAAATGATGAAGCTTTTATATCAGAGTACTATCACAAATACAACATTCAGATTTCAGACTGGAGTAGATTGGAAACAATGATTGTACACAATTTGG